AAATTTTTTCTTTTTCATTTAAAAAACTTTTCAAAACATTCAAAAATTTTGTAACAAACCTCACCGATCTAATTCCCATATATAAAGCAACATTTTCTGCATCTCTTAGTCCAAAACCCGCCTTGTCAACAATGTCTCTTAGTTTGGTCATTTTGTTGAAAATAAGCAATTCTTTTAGTCCTGGGGTATCATCTTTTGTTACATCAAGGCGACTGCCAAGAAGTACTGGTTCTTCAAGCAGCCAGAAAAGAGATGTTGTTGAATCTGCCTGCGAATGTTTAAAAAGTCCCCATACTTTAAAAATACTTTTGTAAAAAGAAGGTATTCCAGTCAGATCTAGATGCACATTATCTGTCAAAAAAAGTGACGCATGAAGATTCAAGCCATTTATTCCACGTAGGATGCATTGAGCTAAAGGCCTCCACACGAGATTTTCAGGCCCATACAACAACTTCTGAACGAATTGTAGTCTATATGTGGCTCCCCTGCTCACAAGATTCACCAACCCTTGGCCACCTTCATCTCTTGGCAGAAACAGAACACTTTGAGGTGTCCAGTGCAAATTGTCCCAAAAGAAATTGACCAGTTCTCCTTGAATTTTTGGTAAGAGTCCAGCAGGTGGATCAACACAAGCAAGTTTATGCCACATAGAGGAACTCACCAAATTGTTAATAATGAGTGTTCGTCCTCTGTAAGAAAGTTGTGGGAGCAACCATTTCCACTTCTGTAAACGACTTTGAATTTTTTCAAGCAATCCGTTCCAGTTTTGTTGAACAAAGTCACTTTCACCTAGGTAAACTCCAAGGTATTTTAAAAAACCCCTCTTCCATTTTAATCCTCCAGGTAATAAGGGAGGGTCTCTTTTCCAGTCACCTATGAGAAGTGCTTCACTTTTTTCCCAATTAACTTTAGCAGAAGAAATCTTTTTAAAATTGTTAATAATACATTCCAGTCTTCTTACATCATCAGTGTTAGTTATAAAAACAATAACATCATCTGCATATGCTGAAAGTTGCACTTGGGCATTACAGTGGGGTATAGAAAAACCTTTTAATTCCGCTCTTATTCTGTGTAGAAGAGGTTCAATGGCAATGGAATATAACATTCCTGACATAGCACAACCCTGTCTAACACCTCTCTGTACATCAAAAGGAGCGCTTAAACCACCATTGATTTTGAGTACACTTTGAATGTTACTATACATTACCTCAATCATTTTTATAAAATGAGTACTAAAACCAAAAACCTTTAAAACTTTTTTCAAATACTCATGTTCAACACGATCAAAAGCTTTCTCTTGATCTAATGAGATCAATCCACAATTAATACCAAATAATTTAGCAACTTCTAACGCATCCCTAATTAAAAAAATATTATCAAAAATTGATCTATTTGGTATAGAGTAATTTTGATTAGGCTGTATAATTTGGTCCAGTACTTTACTTAGTCTTACAGCTAAAGCCTTTGATAAAATTTTATAATCTGAACACAAAAGTGACACAGGTCTCCAGTTACCTATTTTTTGAAGATCTCCTTTTTTGGGTAAAAGAGTAATAACTGCTCTTCTACAACTCAAAGGCAATGATCCTTTATTTAAACTGTCATTTAAAACTAAAAACAAATCTTCACCAATCACTGGCCATAAAACTTTATAAAAATCAACAGGAATTCCATCAATGCCAGGCGATTTGCCATTTTCCATGCTCATCATTACTGTATATAATTCATCTTGTGATATAGGCAGCTCAAGCATTGCATTGGATTCATCATCAACTTTAGAGAGATTTTCAAAAAAAACTGAGTTTTCAACATCCCTCTGTAATACTTCACATTTATATAAAGATGAATAAAAATTAACTGCATATTTGCGAATCTTACTAGAATCTGTAATATCTTCTCCTGTTTCAGACTTTAGTGAATGTATTAATCGGCTTTTTCCATTCTTTTTTTCCAAATTGAAGAAAAATTTTGAAGGTGCATCCATTTCTGAAATATTTTGAAACCGAGAACGAATTAAAGCACCCTTTGCTTTTACATTCAATAAATCTGCAAGTAAATCTTTTTTAGTTTTACTTTCTTCAAAATCAGTGCTATTATTTGTAGAAGCTGTTGTATTTAAAAGTTCTGTTATACTTTTTTCTAACTCTTTCATTGCTCGCATTGTTTCTTTAGTAACATTAAAAGTGTACTCTTTACATAACTGTTTAATTTGTATTTTCCCGCAATCCCACCATTGTTGCAGTGAAGAATACATTTGTTTTTGTTTTTTAAAATTTTCCCAAAAAACAGAAAAAAATTCTTTAAAATTTTCATCATTTAAAAGTGATGTATTAAAGTGCCAGTATGCACTTTTTACTTTCACCGAATTGACAAAAATCTTACAAATAACCGCACAGTGGTCAGAAAACCCAACAGGAATTATACGACAATCTTTGACATAATTTATTTGAAACTTAAACATATAGAACCTGTCAAGTCTTGCCATAGAAATTTGGTTATCTTTGCTATGTACCCAAGTATATTGTCTATCATTTAAATGTACATTTCTCCACACATCACATAAATCACAAACTTGTACTAAATTCTTCATTTCTTTCTGTGAAGCATTATGTGGTTCTAAATTATTTCTATCCATTTTATCATTTTCTGTGCAATTAAAATCTCCACCTAAAAACAATAAATCTTCTGAATTTACATTATTGATAACATCACAAAACTTCTTTAAAAAAATTATTCTTTCAGCTCCTTTATTAGGAGCATAAATATTTAAAAACACCATTGTTGCATGTTCAAACTTGACTTTGACTTTCAAAAAACGGCCTTTAACTATTTCTTCTGTTTCAACAGACAGTGGAGACACTGTCTTAGAAAACAAAACAGCTACTCCTCCACTGTTGTAAGCCAAATGGCTCATAAAAATCTGACCATCCCAATCTTTCTTCCAGTTTATTTCATTAAGATTGTCACTATGTGATTCTTGAATAAACGTGACATCTAGGCGTTTCATTTTTATGAATTCAAATAAACACATTCTTTTCTGACTGTCTCTAGCACCATTTAAATTGAGAGTTCCAATGTTAAACACCCTCATAGTAAATGATGTTTTAAAAATAAAAGAAACAATCAGAAATACTGCAACCTTAACCAAGAACAAATTACACCAAATCTGGTTTTTCATCATTAAGGAGGTTTTTTTTCTTTACTTTACCCACTAATTTCCTTAGACGATAAACCTCTGTGTCTATGAATGCACCTTCTCTAGTCAGAATCTTTACATCTTTCACGAAAGCAGAAACATCTTCAAAATAATCCTCAGCCTCCACGTTTGGTAAAAATTTTGTTTCCCTCAGAAATTTCTTGATTCCCTCAGCCGTATATCTTTGTGTTTGACTTTCACTTTCATTTTGCGATGAAAAGGAATAAACTGAAGAACTGGAATCGGAAGAATCAGCATCGTTATCTGATATTATATAATCAGCCTTACTCTTGTCTTTTTTTGCTTGTTTGATCATTTTGTTTTCACTGACTTTTTTTCTTTTATTAGGAACTTTAAAGATTTGCTCTGGTTCAATTTCCATTTCCACTATCCCTTCACCTGTACTTTCCTTAGCTGTTCCAGCTGTGGAAAAAGTTGCCTTTTGGCTACTTGTGTCATCCTTAGAATTGATTGAGGTTTGAACAGCAGACGAGCCTGCTACTACCTCTGCCATAGTAGGAGCCACCGCACCTCCCCCGCCTCTCTCCTCAGAGACCGCAGCATCAGCCGCAGGTGCAGCGGCATCTACCGCGACAGACGCAGCCGCAGAAGACTCGCCTTGTACGTCTCCCTGACCTGTCTCACCTCCACTTGTACACGATCGAATTAAATGCCCAATTTTTCCGCACCCGAAGCACTTCATTATGCTCTCGGATGTTGCGTAAATGGTGTAATTGAACCCATCTACTTTGACATTAAACGATAGGTTTAATTCGTCATTGTTGTCTTTCAGAATCATATAAACTTGTCTTCTAAAAGACATCACATGTTTAAGCATGGGTGATTTACACCCAAGAGCAATTTTCCTGATCGGTGAAACTAATTTGCCAAAAGAAGATAATTCTTTTGCAATGCATGCATCGGAAACAAACGGAGGTATGTTTGACACAATAATTTTCCTGGATGGACTACTAAGAGGAAGTACAGGTATGAGTTCATCATTTATCACCACTCCTTTTTGCACAATCTCATTAGTTTTTTCTATCGTGTTCAAAAACAAAACAACCGCATTGTTCATCCTAGAAGCTGAAACCACCGATGAACATCCCACTACTTCGCCAACCGCTAGAATACAATCTTCCACACTGGCCTTACACATGATTTTAATTCCATGACGCCGAGTCAAACTTTCACAAACTGCGTCTCCTGACGACGCCATACCTCCCGGCAACAAAACACGCCGGGAGTAAACTCACTACACTCACAAACACTAACCAACAGCACACGTATACAAACAACAAACAAAGAAAGAAAAGTTAGAAAGAGAACCATTCAAACTCACCGCACTTTCCCAACACTCGCTCACCACACACTCGCTCAGGCACATGCGCACACGCACAGAGAGAGAGAGAGAGAGAGAGAGAGAGAGCGAGAGCGAGACAGAGATAGAGAGTGAGTGAGAGAGAGAGCGAGAGAGAGCGAGACAGAGATAGAGAGTGAGTGAGAGAGAGAGCGAGAGAGAGCGAGACAGAGATAGAGAGTGAGTGAGTGAGAGAGAGAGAGAGAGAGAGAGAGAGAGAGAGCCTATATAAGTTAAATAAATAAAAAAGACAATACAACATAGACATCTTTACAATGATAATATGTTTTAACCAATCAAATTGACAGCAAGTTTACTAATCAATTAACTTTAGCTCCTTAGCCACTATAATTGTATTTTTACATTTTTCGTTATTAATTTATTGGAACAATTCTATATTCAAATGAAAATCTATAATAGCAACCTATAAACAAGATTTAGAGTTATTTGATCTGCATTTGTAAACATTAAATTTTCCAAATAAATTAATTATAAAAAGATTAATTAAATTCAACGGATAAAGTGAATTCAACAAAATCAAAAATAACATATTTGGGGGTCAAATTACAACTAAAACCCGACTTATTTATTTAATTAAAAAAAAAATTTGGACATATAATGATAGATCTTCCCTTTTTTTTTTTTTTTGAATGTTCACATTCATAAAAAGGTGAATCAAAGACGGGTGATGTAAACATAATGAACAATTTCCGGGGGTGGATAAGTGGATAACCTGTCGAGCTGGAACCACTGAAGTTGCGAAAACACAATGTAGGTAACGTTTCGTTGACTTAACTCATTTAATAATGGCATTTATACGATTTAATTGTCCCCATATGTAGTTCTGTTTGTCAGTGTAAGCTATATTTGTTTCTATATGCTTGTATCATTTTTATAAATGATGTGGCTACTTTGCAACTGGTGAAAAATATATTGAAATTCTGATAACTTCAATCATTTGTACCGATGTTATGTAAGTACCGAGTGCATATGACACTTATACGTTTAGTCTACATTAATGCAAATTTAATGATTAGTTTTTTAGCCAATGCAAGTTTTGTTTTCACTTCACCTTGTCTGTGTGTTGTTGAGCAGGAAGTGATCCGCTGATAGGCTACCTGTTATCTTATGTAATAGGCTACATATGTAACAGTTTTTTCTAACATTGCTAGCTGCTGCTTTTTCTCGTTTGTCTGTTTATAGAAGACGTTCTTAAACTTGGGTTTAGGAAATGCTCCATCTTCTATTTTGTATTTTAGCCAAAAGCGCTGGTAAGTAATTTCAGTGATAAATTCCTTTATTGAGTCATGATAAAATTGTAGTTGCAGCTCATATATGGATATCTCTTTCAAATGAAATCAAAATCAAATCTGAATATTTTCCATTTTCAGCATCTTTTATTGTCAGCGCACCAAATAATGCGGTGATTGCAGTCAGGGGTCGTCCAGCTGTTCTGGGTTGTTATTTCATGCCAGACCCTGATCTATCCAGTCTTTCTATTGTTTGGCAAAGAATGGAGGATTCAAGGCTGGTGCACGTTTTCTATGATGAAGAAAACCTGCAAGAACAACAAAGTGCAGAGTACCACAGCCGGACCTCACTGTATATTTCAGAGCTTAATAAAGGGAACGCCTCTCTCAGGATAGATGGAGTTGGACTAAAGGATGAGGGTTGGTACGTGTGTAAAGTGAGAAACAAGAAAGGAGCAGGAAAAGTCAAAATAAAACTGGACTATGGAGGTAATTGTAAATCCTCTTTGTAATTTGTACCACCCAATACATTATTATTAATTTATTACAGCTAATGCCATGGATCATATAATATAAGAAAATAGCTGTGCTCTGCGCAGTGTTGATTAATCAGTGTGAATTTTTCTATATGTTTCTCAGCCTTTTATTCAGAGCCCAGATTAAGCATCCATGCAAACTCCTCCTCAGTGAGGGTGCAGTATGAGACGGAGGGTTTCCCCAAACCTGAGGTGATCTGGCAGGACGAACACAACCAGAGCCTCAGTCATCACCTGGAGCTCCTTGACCACACAGAAGTTGGACTTTATTTAGTAAAGAGCAGCTATGAGGCCCAGACACCAGTAGTGAAAGTCACATTTATACTAAAGAACCACCTCCTGAACCAAAAGCTGCAGAAATCAGTGATCTATAGTAAAGACTTTCTCTCTATCTTTACATTTCTTCAGATTTTCATCATAGATTTTGATTTACGCTTGTGAAGTGTAAATGTATGTTTCCATATTCAGGTCCAAATACTTCAAAACAGAAAACACCTTGTATTATAAGTAGAAACAGGTTACATTTTGGAAATACCTTAACCGTATTTCACTCTTGAAAATAAATTAATCATTATTGGCAGGCATTAAAGGGTCTAGGAAGAACATTTTAAGATCCATGGCATCATTTTAATCCACTAAAATGATCTTTATATAGCTAAAATGCACTTCATATAGTGGACAAATAATTCTTTTACCAAAAAAATAAAGGAACCAAACATATTCCAAATTTTTGTTGAATTATTATTATTATTATTATTATTTAGTACAGTATGTTTAGTATATGCAATGAAAGTATTTGGTATAAAATCTCCTCACTTTTCAGAAATGCTGACTAGTGAATATTTACATTTGTGTAAGTATTAAGACTAGAGTTTGCATATTCATTAACTTTAGGTAACACTTTAAAACAAGGTTCCATTATTAAAGCAGTGCTTCTCAACCACTTTCCTGAAGGACCACCAGCTTTGCACATTTTCCACGTCTCCTAAACCAAACACACCTAATTCAGATCATCAGGTCATTAGCAGAAACTGAAAGACTGTGGCTGTGACAGACAAAGGAGACATCCAAAATATGCAGTGTTGGTGGTCTTCCAGAAATTTGGTGGAGAAACACTAATCTTTATACACGAATGCCAAACTTAAAGAATAGGTTGCCCAAAACTGAAAATTCTGTCATCGATTACTCACATTTAAAAAAAACTATCTCACTTGAGGGCGAGTAAATATTGAGTCAGTCTTTATGTTTTGGTGAGCTATCCCCTTATTGAAGATTTATATATCATCGGTGCCCAAACTCAGTCCTGGAGGGCCGGTGTCCTGCACAGTTTAGTTCCAACCCCAATCAGACACACCTGGGCTAGTTAATCAAGGCTTTCTAGAAACATCCTTGCAGATGTGTTGAGGCAGGTTGGAGCTAAAATTTGCAGGACACAGGCCCTCGAGGACAGAGTTTAGACACCCCTGTTCTATATGAACAAACAATGAACCATACATTTATTGCAGTATTTATTAATCTTAACATTAGTTAATGAAAATACAGTGGTTCACTGATAGTTCCTGCAAACTTGCATTAACTAATGTTAACAAGCTCAAGTTTGGAAGTTTTAAATAAATTATTAAATGCTGAAATGAACAGATGTGTCTGTTTTAGTTCCAGGAGACACTGAAGATGGAAGCATTGCAGTCATTCTTCTCTCACTTGCATGCATCATATTGAGTGGACTCATGGGAGCATTACTATTTACAAGATGAGTGGGGCGAGGAGCACATCCATATTACCTTAATATGCTAAATGTGAAAAGGAATATGAAGGCATGGTACTGATTCTTAACCATTTCAAGTAAGCATTAATAACAATATAATAACTTCATGAACAAAACAAACCAATAAAAAAAGCCCTAATTTATATAAAAAAGCCACATTCATGTCTTTAAACTTCTCTGGAGTACCAGTTAGATTGCATCTGAATTTCCTAATGTTACGATCACATCTTTCATCTAATCTACAGCTGTACTTACCCATTGTTAACACCAGCAAGTGACCTACTCAGAACTGCAGCTTCTCCACGATGGACGTCCTGCTTTCTCCAGCCTCAGGCGTCTAGACTGCAGCTCTGCGCAAGAAGATTGGCCAGAGGTGAAAGTTTGTTCCACTGTCGCACTAGCTTGCTTGGTTTGGGACTTGTGGAGCTTGATATCGTTCGATATGCGCTACAGTGTTTAGGCTTTCAAGAGTGACATTTACATAAGACTAAACTGAACTTCAACTGTGGAACCTGAACTGACATGGATTCGATTTAATAAAACTTCTATGCAAAGCTGCTTTTACACGATTTCCATTATACAAGCACTATAGAAATAAAGATGAATTGAATTGCTTGCCATTTCATTTTCAATGAATAACTCTTCACCAATGATGTTTATTATATTTGAACTTTCACATGATTTTACAAATTATGGTGGTTACTGTATTTTTTGCTATTTCACACATCTGTATCTGCAAATTGTAAGTGCTCATAAATGAATCCGTTCAAATCCGATTTAAATTGAATACAACAGTATTGTAACATTATATTCTTACACAGTACTATAGTATTGTATGTATAATTTCACGAGTAATTTATTCATTTATATATCATTTCTGTATTAGGTGCTTGGTGCTAAAGAGATTTTGTTCATATTTCTGTGTATGCATGCTGATTTTTGTAAATTAATTATGACAGACTGTGATGATAGTGACATTAAAATTCAAATATAAAACCTTTGTTCTTTAAAATATCTGACTTTTTCATTCATGAGCTTTTGCACATTTATTCAATCTGGTTAGTTTGCTTTTAGATTTGGCTAACTTAGTTACAAGCCTTGTGAAAACATTTGATGGGAATGTTTTTATCGTTGTTATTAACTTCCTAAAGCTAATATAATGATAATAGTCCCTACCTAAATTCTTTGTTATTATATAGGTGTTTGTGTGTGTGTGTGTGTGTGTGTGTGTGTGGTCTTGAAAGAGCTTTTATTTTGAAATCTGTTAGCATACTTAGAGTGTTAGTCGTATTGCAGATCTGTATGGAAAACATGTGCAATCGCCGCTTGAAAGGAGCGGCAGTCTGTTTTTATGGTAATATAGATATCAGCAGAACTGCGGTTCGACAACGGAAGTAGTTTTTTTTTTTTACATGCGGAAGAAACGAAAACATGGTGTCAACAAGTAAGGCTGTTATTCATTTGTGGTTTTGAAGAGTTTAGTAAATGAAAGTATCGCCTTGGAATGTATGAATAACAGATTGATTCATTCCTATTTGTACAAATTAATAATTTGTCATTTGTTGACTTACAATCAAACATGTTAATTTCAGACCAGTGCAAGTGTCTGTCTTAATAAATGTTTCGTCCAGGTGAAGTGTTTTGTCTGTTGTTGGTCGCAATCTTGTGGGGAGGCACAAACCCGTTCCTTAAAAAAGGCACAGAGGGCATTGAGGAAGTTCAGAAGAAAAACAAACTCCTCCAGTTTCTAGCTGAGCTCAAATTTCTCTTTCTCAACTTCAAGGTGTGTTTTATTATTTATAATAATCTTTTTAGTATTTATTAAGTCTTAGGAGCTTACACTTTGGATATAATAATACCATTTTATTTTTTTATAGTATTTAGTGCCATTCCTGTTGAACCAAAGTGGATCATTAGTGTTTTACTTCACACTCGCTTCTACAGGTAAGAAATGTGTTTTGTTGTGTTTATTATTATTATTATTTACAATCTATGCTGATAAAGCTATAATAAAGCTTGATTCAGTCTCATACATTTTATAATAATTGTTCTTGAGATTTTGACTGTTCAGTGTGATAGACTCTCTGGAAATGATATACAATGTTTAATCAAATTGCCAAAATCTATATTGTGTACGCCAAATGGGATGCAAATAACCATTTATATTACTAATTAGTTGTTATGTTAACTGTATGGATTTTAACTATTCAATTTAAACATCAGGCATACAGTATACACACACCACAGTCAATTTGCAACCATGGAAAACTTTATCAGTTCTTTGTTTTATTTTGACATTTTTTACTGAACTGTATCATAAACCAACCTTTAATAATATACAATAGCAAGAAAACGATTTATCTTCATTGTTGGACACTTACATTTACAGTGCTCAGCTTATATAAGTACACCCCTTACAAATCTGTCTTTTAAATTACAAGCTATACAATATTATATTTGTGCATATACATTAGATATGTCAGTACTGAAGCCAAATCTGGAGCTTATCTTACAAAATAACTAACGATAACTGTCCAAAAACTAGTACACCCAAATTTATATGTAATAGAAAAAAATTTAATACAAATTTTAAAAAGAGGAAAAATCAAGAGAAACAAAAACAAAAATTTAGTTAAAATTTTGTAGTTTGTAACTTATTTTTTGCTATATTTTTTGTATTATCTTTCAATTTCTAAATATGTTTGATGTATAAAATTTTGTTTTAATAAATATATTAGGGCACTGTATATAGTGCGGTTTATTTTATTTGAAAATAAATAATAAATATTTTATTTTGAATTATATATATATATATATATATATATTTTTTTTTTTTTTTTTTTTTTTTTTTCTCCAAGACTCCCTGACATTTTTAATAAATAGGGGTGCCACACTAAGGGACAAAAAATTATTTTATAGTGGTTCCAAAAAATAGTAAACAAAAAATGTAACGTGCACGTCTTCGGCTTCACAAAGGGTTTCTGTCACATGATCTTAAATTAAGTACACCAAAAAATAAACGAATGAATGTTTTCCGTGGAATCGCTCATTGTAAAAAAAAATAGCATATAGTGTAAATTCCTATGTTTTTAAAAGTATGTGGATGAAAAAAATGATTGGCATTTACTAATATAAGCACATATAATATTAGTTCTGAGGTATTTATGAATGATTTTCTGTTCTGTAATTTATTGAACTATTGTTGAGACTTAAGTTTTGAGATTTGGCTCAAAAGTGTTTAAAAATGTAATAACAGAAGTTTTATTACAAGAAGTCCATGGAAGACAAAGAAATGATTGACCATTTTCAGCTTTTTAAATGATTACATTACTAATTCTATTCATTTTTTTTGTCATGTGCAACACTGAAAATGCTAACTCTCGTCAACAGCCCTCTTACACATATTAGCTGACATGAGCTTTTAAAAGCTGTTTGTTCTGCAGATCTGTCTTTGGCAGTGCCTGTGGTCAACTCCCTCACATTTCTGTTTACATTGCTGATGGGTAAAGTGCTTGGAGAAGAGTTTGGAGGAAAAGGTAAGTAGCTTTTCGCATTAATAACATTTCTTTTTTTCTAGCCATGCAGTTTTTTTTACTCACTGTCTCTATTAATGCAGGGGCCATAATGGGTATGTTACTCATCATGTGTGGGGTGACGGTGTGTGTCCTGAGTTCTGTCTCTGAGACGCACGGCATTGGAGCCCGAAACATAAGTGAGACCTAAAATATGGACTGAAAGGTAAACGTGGAGAAAGTTTTATCTGCATCAGCCACATCAATGTTTGAAGGTAGTAAGATTATGTGCTGCTTCATTTTCAGTATGTGCCATGACTGGAGGACTTTATATTTGTACTTGAACTATCTTGGTGAAATCCAAATGTTTTGCACTTTATGTGGATTGTGGAGCATACGAAGATAAATGTGTGTATAATATTATTAACTGACATTTTTAATATATTTGTATTAATAATGTGAAAGTGGTCTGTGTTGGATACTTTTATTTGAATTGTCTTTTACAATCAGATGTCATATTTTTTGAAACGGAAGGAATAAAAATGATAAGAAGCATACGTCTCGGTGGATGTCTGCATGCTGTGAGGTCAGGGTACATTATTTGAAAGGCATTGTTCACCAATATGATGTTCATTTGACAGCCATGTCCATGTTCAGAGAATGTGTGTGGATTGCCTCAATCTTGTGCATCTTCAGCAGCCTGACGAGGTGAATCAGCATCTCTGTGTGTTTGTTCATCATGGGATCTCCTAATCTACACACAGCAAAGGCATGCGTTCATATGGTTAATGCTTATATATAATATTTACAAACAAATATGTACATCAGGCAGATGTAATTTACATGATCTGTATAAGTATAAAAAAGGACCTGTTGATGGATGACCATGAAAGACTGCACATATTTTTTATTTTACTGTTTAACTTCCATGTGAGCAAGTGCATAATAAAATACAAACTATGCACCAAGTTTACTGGACACCTACAGTACAAACACCTATTTTAAAACAAACATGTTTTGTGAACACTTACGCTGTCTGTTAGTGCTCTAGATTTGCCAATTTTAAACCGCTAAATGACTACTTTTGGCGCAAACATGCATTCACAATGGTATAAACAATTATAGGGGTGAAATGTATCAAAATGTATATCAAATGTAGGTCAACTGTATATTTACATTATCTATTATTTTAATTAGTAATATTTATTTAATATACAGATCAGAGCAAACTATTTCTTAACAATTATCAGAACCCCTCATACATCTTTTTTTGATGTTCTTCAGGGGGATCAAGTGTTAATTAGGGGGTCAGACCTTCCCAAACTTCATGTAATTCACATCCTGAGCGTAAGGTACAGAAGATTAAATGTATATTTTGTACTTTATTTTTTTATGCCTTAATTGTACATATTAACATATAGAGCACTTTGTTTTACATTTGAATTTTTTTAATTATTTCACTGGATATTTACTGTCATTTAAACACAAGAATAGTTATGGATGAACATTACCAGAAAAGAATAAATGGTCCTGAAAATTTATCATATTTAATATTGTTTGTGGTCAAAAATGATCATACTAAACAAAAAGGAAACATCTAATGCATCTAATGGGAAGTTTTAGTACCCTAAAATCTTTAAAAAAAAAGTAATTAATAAAGATACTGAACTCAATTTTGAGGCACAACTCAATTTTAAACTTTAATGTTTAAAAATATAAGTTTAAAAACTTTTTTAAATTCACTTTACCTGTTTGCCTCTTCAGTAATAATCTGACAAATGGTTTAAAAAAGGTTTATGAAAGTTTTGTTGGAACAAGTTGTAAATTAAAGTTACAGATCTATACTCAAAACGTTACAAGGAATTTAGTAGATTATAACTTGCATAATAATGATTGAGTGCCATACAATTTCCTATAAACACAATATTTCTGTAGGGAATTATATGATAAAGACAGCACCATTTGGTTAAAGAAACACGTTAGTACCTTCTAAAAGGGTATCACCCAGTGACAGATTGGTAACATTTTATCTGAGAATATACCATCAGTAGTTACATAACTGAAATGGTAAATGCTGCAGAATACATGGTTAAAAACATTAAATAAAAAGTATTAAACTGATTAACCGACAGGCTCCTGCTGTGTTTCTTCATGTCGTGGGGAAAGACGGAGAGATGATGACGATGATGATCTGGAATGGTGTGACTCCTGATTGTAAACAGAATAAAAATATTTCAAATAATTGTTGGATTTAAGTTTTAAAAAAGGCAGACCACACTTTACTAATATACTTAAAAACAGAGCTATTATTGTATTAGATTAGAATATAAAAGCTGTTGTCCAACGTGCATAATCTTACGCTCTCATATTTGTTTGTCTCATGCGGAGGTGTGTGTTCCTGTGGTGTTTCTCTCTGTGGAGCTGACGTGTCATCCCATGTCTGTATCTCAGATGCAGCAAATTCTCTTTCAGGGAGCTCCTCATCCTCCACAATTTCTGCTTCTCTCTGACATAATAAACAAAGTGTGTTTCTTTCTCTTTTCAATAAAACACTATGATTCAATGATGTTTATTGTTATTTATTTCACTTATTATATCAAATGGTGGATCTGCATTATACATTTATTTGCAGAAGGACACTTTTAATACATTTTTTCCCTTATTAAAGCAATATATTTCACTATAACAAACGTGGAGGTAAAACCAACCAATCATTCTGCAAGCACAAAGTTTATATATTTCAATTAATCATTCATTTAATGTTTAATTAGCATCCAACAAATGTAATAATTATTAATTCAATAAGAGTTTCTATATAATTCTTACAAAAATATTAAGGGTCAAACAGATGCAGGTCCATGTGTAGCATTTTATTAAAGTTCAGCATAGAAACATGTACTCAACGTTAGCAGATCAACAGGGAAATACAAAAACATAAACATGACCAAGCTGAGGTCACTGCGGGCAGTAAACAATCCAAAAAAAAAGAATACAGTTCAAAGGTCAAGCAACAGAAAGGCAGATAGAAACAATGGAAAACTGCTTGGAATTGACAGCCGGTGCAAATCAAGACGTCACACTGGTAAAAGGGAAAGAGCGTGTATATATAGGGGAGCAAAGTGGAATCAGCTGTTAGAGTAATCAGTCCCAGGCATAAGAGAATATGGGAGTTGAAGTCGGAATAGTATCGGTTAGAATTTGGGCAACTACTCCTTCCCATAGATTAGGGTTAAAGGAAGAAGCAAGGGACTCATTTACAACAATTACACTACAATGTACAACAACCAATACAGGGGGATGAGCTTCAAGAATGTAACCCATTACACAGAAGAAGAAAAAGAGCCTGTTTGTGGTTTTGGTGTTCTGTTGAGAATGTCTTGTGAGTTCACGGTTAACATACTCTGACTGACTGAACTTAACCCCAGCAGTTTTGAAACCAATATATCTTAAGTAAGGCAGTTTAGAGTTAATCAATTGAGACGCCTGGATTCAGCAAATGGTAAGTTTAAAGGGTAGTTCATCCAAAAATTCGCAATAATTCACTTGTTCCAAACCTGTTTGAGTTTCTTTCTTCTGTTGGACAAAAGAGAAGGTACTTTGAAGAAACCTGTAATGATTAACTTCATAGTGTTTGTTGTTTTCCAAATGGTTACAGGTTTCCAACTTTTTTTGTGTGTGTGTTAAACAGAATAAAGAAACTCTTAAAGGATTGGAACCACTTGTGGGACAATACACTCTCAGAAATAAAGGTATCCGAGCTGTCAATGGTGTGGTACCTTTTCAAAAGGTAAAAAAAGGTCCATTTATTACCTCAAGAATACATATTAGTACCTAAAAAGTACAAAAGTGTTCCTCTTAAAATTTTTAGGTGCTACTATGAGCTTTTGAGGTACCAATATGAACCCTTTAAGTACAAACATGTACCTTTTGAAAAGGTACCACCCCTGTGATAGCTTGCGTACCTTTATTTCTGAGAGCATAATTAGTGAATGAATTTTCATTTCTGAAATCTCTGGAACATGCCCCAAATGAGATGAAAATAGACAAAGGCATGCAGTGAGTGAAGAGTACCTGGTCAACAGGAAGCTCCACAGCTGTGTTTTCATCCTCGGTGACCTCCTCAGCACCTCGAACTTCCTCCCTCATTGTGCTCTCAGATGCCTTGAACACACTGGGCTCTGAAATCATGAAACTTTAACAGCTAGTATTCTCAGTCCCTGAACAATTACACATTTTAATTACAAAGATATGACATTGTAGTAAACATTCCTCTGTTTGCAGCTAACAAAATTTAAGTTTACAGAATATAATTGATTTGAATTAATTGCTAATTAATTAAATAAAGGTTAAAGAAAATTTCACAAATCACTAGTTCTTGGTTTTAATGCAATTAAAAAAAATCATTCCTTCTTTTTCTGCCCTTGGGTTGTGGTGCTTTTTTCATTGATTTGTTTTATGTTTCACCTGTTATGACTTTAGGTGTTGGTCTGTGTACAGGTTGTTGCCTGCGGACTCTCACAGGTCTGGCATAGAAAACAGAGTTCTCCCCCTCTCGTTCTGCTCTTCTTCCTCTCCTCTTCACTGGCTGAGGGGAACTCTCCCGCTCCGCATCGTCTCCAGTGGACTTCACACGTCTTCCTTCCCTCTGAAAACAGACACCATTCACAGGATGAGTGTGATACATTCACCATTGAGGGTCAGTGATCTGAGGGATTTTGATTTTGGTTGAGTGATGATAAAAAAGTAATGGATGCTGCTTTATGAATAATGGATTGTGGCTATGATTAAAATTGTTTGGTGTATGACAGAAACTCGGTAATGTAATCACACATACTAGCAGATAATTACGTGCTAATTGTAAAATGATGTGGAGAGTCTTTGGTTTTTATTTTACCTCTGGAGAATTGAGGAGAGTAGAGTCACTGTGAGTGTCCTGGGGAAACATCTTTCTACTCTGAGTCAGATCGTCATAGGAGAACAATAAGGAACTTCAATAGAACAATTTGTCTCATTAAAATTGTATAGGTCTGACACATTAAAAATAAATATACAGGGAAGGTTACAAGTCTGAGGTCAATTAAATTAAAAAATTAAAAAGTCTGGGAATAATAAATAAATACAGAAATTTCTGTAAACCTTTTTACGCAAATAAATATACTTTAATAATTTGTAAATAGAAAACAAATAATAGGCCATTTTCTCAGAGATGTTGTCTTCTATATACTAACTGCACTGTATAATAATGGTGGATAGTACCTCAATTCTTCTGTGCAATCCTCTGTCTCCTGCATAATGTCTACAGTGAAAACAGACAGATAACACTTTAATACTTCTAAAAGATATCTGTTATGCTTATCAAGGCTGAATCTACAGGCTCGAAAATACAATCAAATTGTATTGTACATAACAAAAATTGTATATATAAGTGTATATATAATATATTTATATATTATTTAATATAATTTTATATATATATATATATATATATATATATATATATATATATATATATATATATATATATATATATATACACACACACTACTTGACAAAAGTCTTGTCACCCATCAAAGTTTTAGGGACAACAAATAGTAACTCGAATTCTAGTTGATCATTTGGTATCAGAATTGATCTCTAGATTTTGCTTATTTTACCAAAATACAAAAGGACAAAAGTCATGTCACTTAAATGAAATAATGTAGAGTATAGAATATAAAGTCATGGTGCAGTGGAAAAATTAATGTTGTATATGACTCCTATGAGCTTGGAGGACTGCATTCATACATCTCTGCAATGGCTCAAATAGCTTATTAATAAACTCATCTGGAATGGCAAAGAATGCGTTCATGAAGGACTTTAAGAGTTCATCAAGATTCTTTGGATTGATCTTCAATGCCTCCTCTTTTATCTTACCCAAGACATGCTCAATAATGTTCATGTCTGGTGAGTGGGCTGGCCAATCCTGGAGCACCTTGACCTTCTTTGCTTTCAGGAACTTTAATGTGGAGGCTGAAGTATGAGGAGAGCTATCCTGCTATGGAAATTGCCCTCTCCTGTGGTTTGTAATGTAATGAGCAGCACAAATGTCTTAATACCTCAGGCTATTGATGTTGCCATTTATTCTGCAGATCTTTCGCACGCCCCCATACTAAATGTAACCCCAAACCATGATTTTTCCTTGACCAAACTTGACTGATTTCGGTTAGAATCTTGGGTCAATGAGGGTGCCAATAGGTCTTCTGTGGTATTTGTGATGATTGATGATTCATCAAAAAATAAATAAATCAACCTCCAGCCACTTTTCCTAATGATCAACTAGAAGTCAAGGTATTACTTTTACATTATGTACATAAACTTAAATGTGATTTATTACTGAGTAAATCTGAATTTTCAACATTTTTGGAAACTGTGGGTTTTTTTTTAACAATACAAAAGCCATTACTGTCAGTTTAATCAATTTAATGCATTTTGCCTAATAAAGGAGGTAAAAAATGTACAAACCCCAAACTTTTTAATGGTAATGAAAATATCCATAAAAATTAAACTATTGTTGATCCCAATAATCCATCATCAATATCATCATCACCTGTCGGCACTGCTGCCTGTTGCTTTATTCAGCAATATCTCCACATATGGGAGTTTCTTGAATCTTTCTGATCCCACAGCAACATAGCATTGCCCAGTCTCCAGCTCCTCTGCGGAGGTCACCGTGAAGCCCTCCAGAGTACAGATCCTAAAAAGTAAAAAGGTAAACTACGCTCAATCAAAACAACCTAACTATGTGTGACAACAAAAACAACCTGCTTCATAATCCGATTATGAAACATACAGCATGACATGAATACCTGCGCACAGCTCCAGTACGAAGCATGGCTTTTTCTGAAATGAGGCTCAGGATCTGCTCGAGATTTTTCAGCATGTGTCGAGGAATGATCAGACGCATGGCAGGACTGAGGATGTCCCCGTTTCTAAACACACTGTAGATGAGAATGAAGAATGAGCTGAGATTCAACCAAAACTGATTTAAGCGTAGAATTCATCCATGTGTGTTGAAATCTAAGAGTTCTCACTGAATGATGCAAGGAAGAGTGATGACCTTTCTCCATTTCGCAGACACGTTAGGCCTGGCAAGTGTTTTAGACTGTGAAAAAGAGTTATATATTATTAATGGCCAATTAAGTGTATTATTTACACCGAACGGCCACTTTATTAGGTACACCATTGCTAGTAACCAGATTTAGACTCAGTATATCGAATGCAGCTCACAAATATATACTTTTATACATGAAAAAAGACAAACAAAAACAGAATAAAGAGTATTAGTGAAAGAAGGTCAAGTCAATTCTTGAGAAAGACTCAACATCAATGCAAAAGCATTGACATAAAGGACACAAAAATGTAATTTAATGACAATTAACTCATTTCCACACAGCAGAATGCATCTCTCATTTAACTTTGCAGCCCCTTTATTATAAAATGACTGCAAATCAGAATGTCTTGGCCCTTAACTCATGCGTTAGCTGTGTAATAAGCAGGATAATGCAAAGCCAGTGATTTTCCGTCATTGTAAATGAAAGAAGTGCGTGTGTGTGTCGATGCTGAGTCAGTGTCCCCTGCTCTCAGGGCTATTATCAACAGTGGTTTTAGCAGCTCTGTGTGCAGCATTAAAGGGTCAGGCACTAAAACATGCCCCAACAAGCTTTCTGGCATGATAACACTAATAAGTGCGTCTCCCCTGGCCTTTTATTGTTGGAAAGGACAATAACTCCCCTCTCCTCCTCTTTATGGCACTTCAGCTAAGCATCCACAGCAACATCAAAACACAAACACAAAATATATACATTCATAGAGCTGTATGCTTTGTGAATTAAAAAAAAGTCACAAATAAAAAAGTAACGAGCACTGAATTGTCACGGATATACCTGGGTTGGTTCAACAGCTTTCTTCAGTCCTGCGCTCAGATAACTAAACATACACACAAAAAAACACATGAATAAATCAATGACACTCACTCACAATGGCATGACAGATCACATGAAGGGCTTCACTTTGGGATCTGCTTTTCCATTTGATTATCAGGTAAGTTTTAAGATCTTTTTCTGTGAATTTAAGTGTTTAGGTGTTTTCTTTAAATAACTACAGTAATGAAATAATACAGTTCTCTTTGAATAATTTATACTTAAATCTACATTCATGCAAGCTGATGCATTTCCTAATGTTAACAATTGAAACCTTACTGTATAGTATTACTACTTGATTTGATGTTTTGTTAAGGTAACAAAATATGTAACCTCACCGTTAGGGATGCACGATATATCGGCAGTCATATCAATATCAGCTATTCATTCATTCATTTTTATTTCAGCTTAGTCCCTTTATAATTCTAGGGTCGACACTGCGGAATGAACCGCCAACTTATCACCTTCTTGCTGTGAGGCGATCGTGCTACCCACTGCACCATCATGCTGACCCCAAAAATGCTATTTTTGATGTTATGGTTATCGATCCGATATCAAAATTTGGCCGATATATTTAAGCCGCTAAATGACAAAATTGTACAGAACTGCCTGCCTTGTAAGCACGAGAGAATCTTACGGGAGTGCAGTAATAAAAGTGTCAAATGACTAACAATTGTACATTACTGTAACACTTTTCATTTGAGAACATTTGAGCTGGTTTGAGTTATTAGTTCTTTCATTTTCATTTTATTTTTTATTTAACATATATTTATTTAACTTGTTTGTTAATTAAATCCAGTTTTGTCATTTAACCTGTTATTTTTATGCAACTGTCTGAAGAAAAGGAAATAATTAATTCTTGCCATGCTGATTTATGTGAAATCGTGAATATAGGTCTATATAATCACTTTATGCTTTGAGTAGGATATTCTACGATTAACTTTTCTAAAGTTTTTAAAATAAAATTGTTGTAGTTGTTCACTGCATCCAAATATAAAATTTTAAAAAATATTTATATTTATCGGCCTTTATATCAGTTTTCGGCCTCCAAATCTAAAGATTTATCGGTATCAGCCAAAAAATCCATATCGGTGCATCCCTACTCAGAGTAAATGTTAAAGAACAGCATAATTTTAGATTCAGACAGATTTAATTATAAAGGAGTTTGCACTTACTCTAGTTTCTTAAAGCGTTCAGACCCCGCAGCCACATACTGCGCCCCCTGCTGTAGGTCACCAAGATCTGCGACCCGGTGGCCGTATCGCGGTGTATAGAGAGTTCGAACGGCTAGCGGAGCTCCGATATTGAGAGTGATGTCATTAAGTAATGCATCCATGGTGGCGATCTGCCTCTGGTTTACCACAAATCTCCTTCCTGACCAGACAAGATGTATACATATTTAAAAACATAATAATAATTATATCATATGTATGGAAATACGGAAAGTTACAAATGAAAGGGGCTCCATGTAGAATTCAAAAATATTATTGGAATTATATAATAATCTATGTTATGGTGCTGTTAAGTGAAATGCAGAATTAAATTGCTAGAGACTATATTCAAAATAAACTGATTCTGATTATTACATACTGCAAATAATAATAATACTTAGTTGGAAAGACCTTCAATATACTTTAAACAAAACATCTGATGTGTTCTATGCTGATGTGAGAGAAGTTTAGATGAATATGTTTATATGTGCTGCACTATTTCCTTGTAATAACAAATTAAGCACACAACAAAATAATAGCAATGTGAAAACATGATCATAGCGAATATGTCGAAATGTCTTCAAAAAATTATAATTTTACAACAAATAAATCAAAACGAACATGGTTCTTGTAGTTCACCATGGTTTTTGCTACACTTACCATTGTTTACCTGTGGAAATTGTATCTGTGGTTATAGAAATAGTTATCAAAAGATTGCTCCACATTTACTATAATGAAACCAAGGTTAGGTTTCATAAGGGAAACTCTGCAATTCACTTGCATCATGTTAACAGCTGAGGTAATTAACTTACGATGTTAAGACAGTATAATCAAAACTTATTTTTGAGACCTAAGCCTATTCTTTACATGACACATTGATGGTAACAGTACATAAGAGCTATTTGAGCATTGTTCTTTTGAACATTGTATAACCATTTGTTTAGTGTCATAGACTAGAAAAGAGGCTCTTAGAAGAATAAATGTCACATTGTTTTGAAAGTCTCAGAAATTATATATAAAGTTTCATCCCTGCATGGAGAAAATAAAAACAGAAACCATTACAGAAGTGAGGAATTTTCCCTTCAAATACCACTAAATACAATACAAACAATCAGATTTTACCCATCAAAACCAAAATGATTTATGACATATTCCATTACGATTTTAGAATTAGCATACCACCCAAAGGCAAAAAACTCCAAAGAACCAAAACAGTTTCCATTATAACCATTAACCCATTACCAATTCTACAACAGTTTCCATTGTTTGCTTGTTTTTTTAAGCTGGGATTTACATGCTGTTCACACATTTGCAAGAAAACAGTAATTAATACATAAAACTCTGTACATTCAGCCATAATAATTATGAGCTACATATAACATTTTAAGCATGTGAACCAAAATAATCTAATCAAGGCTATTAAAAAATCTATTCCAACCTGAAAAGAAGGGGTCTCCATTTCTATAGACCATCACACTCTTGACTGGAGGCAGGTGACTAGTGACACCGGTGGATGCCATGACCTTAAATTAATCACATTAACACACACCTATAAAATAAACACAGAGAGAAGCTCAAACAAAATAATACTGTTTGCCAACAATAACAATAAGACTATAAATCCAATTACATATAAGAGATGCACAAATACAGATCCACGTGCTTATTTTACGTCAAATTAACAAACGTAAAAATACTTACAAAGCAACCCTACTTTTCAGTTGATCACCTGGAGAAAATCTGTGAGTTCATCTGGCCTGTTATCTGCGGTTGTGCTGATTTTTATTCAGTGTTTATTTCTTATAGTAAAGCAGTGTGTGTGAGAGAGAGACTCCCTCCCGTTCACGATGTTTCCTGGTCGCCATGGCAGCATCCCTAACTATGGCGGCAACAACAAGACGAGAGGGAGGGGAAGAGGGTTAGAGAGAGGTTAAAAGACATACTTCACTTAATTAATGACATTTTTATCTCAAGACAGTTCCTCACTTAATCTACTCGAATAAAGAATAAAATATTTTAAGAAAATCCGACCTTCAAAACGGCTGTATGCAGGGTTGTGCGAAAATCTGAAAGTGTGTGTTTGAAGAGGTTGCTCATTTGGAGAATTATGCCTCTTATCATCACCCAAAGACCAGAGAACAAAAGCATTTAAACAGAGGGATGTAAATAACATCTGTGGAGAGATAAAGAAAAGAAAAAATGCCTGTCTGATTTGCAATGCTTTTTATTATTATGTTAAGTTTTAGAAAGTATTTTAAGAATATTCAGGTTGTATTTGGCAGACTTTAATAGGTGATTTATTTTCAAACAATAAAATTTCACATGTAAATCTGGTCTTCTACGTTTAAACATTTGTGATGGCTGCTTTTTCCCCGCATTCCTCAGTTTATATTTCTGTACTCAGAAGAAAGAAACAAATGGGTTTTGAGGTGGAGTAAAAGAAAATGATGACAGAATTCAAACATTTTGGTGAACTCCTTTAATCAGAAATTGATCAGTTTTTTAAAGGAAAAATTACTATTTGCATAATTTTAAAAACAAAATGTCATGTTAAAAAATAAAGCACTATACAATAAGCAATTATACAATAATGAATGTTTTTTTTACATTAAAATGGTCACTAGTTCAAATTGTTAAAAATAAAACATAACGAGCAATTTTTAAAAGAAAACATAAGTTTTTAGATTATATGAGCGCCACAGTTGGGATTCCTGTAATTCAGATTTATTTTGCCGACTGTCTGTTGTCAAGCTGAGTCATGTTTTATTCCTTTAAACCTTTTCGGATCACCTTGTTATACAAGTGTGCATAATAGATCGATATAATCCCCAGTCAATAAGCAATAACAGAGTTTTAACAAAAAAATTACATAGCTTTAAGATTTGCTACTATATATTGTTTTAAGTGATTATTACTGCATGAATTAAGTTTAAAGTCAGTATGAACCAAAATTTGCTAAGACTTTTAGAAGGACTAAGTTACTGTGAGGTTAGTTTTAGGGTTGTAGTATACAAACAAAATAGGTTGGACGTGTCATTTACAAGACAGTAAATAAATGAAAACTCCAGGAGCCCACTTGGAGCTCAAGTCCCACCCATTTGGAGCTGGCTCTGACCTATTTATACCCTTTTCCAGTATGTTGTACTTTTTACCAAAACAGAATATTGTGAATAGAAGGGCTTTTTTGTGCATCCATACACTGTAAAACCCCAAAATGTTAAGGTAACTCAAACCATTTGAGGAAACCAATTGCAACAAACCACTTAAGTTCAAAAACTAATCCTAATGAGTATTGTGATCTTAATCTATTTAAGTAAAGAGTTAAAAACATTTAATAATAAGCCATCAAAGTGATGTCAACAGAAAAGGACCACCACTCCAAATACAAAAGAAAATGGTCTGACTTTGACTGAAGATTACAAAAACAAATTTTTTACAGTGGATTAACTTTCACAGATTAATAGTTCACCTAAAGATTAACAATGTATTAACATAGTAAATTTTGATTTCACACAGACTTTAGTTTTATAAGGAGAGCCATATGACAGTAGTTTATGCATTTAATATTGTTACGACCCTGGTCTAAAATGTCAAGAGAGGACCCACAGAAAAATATAAATAAACAAAAAAAGTGTTCTCTACCCAGACACCTATATAAAACTAAATACACCTTATAACAGAAATAAAAATACAAAAACTACTCCTGACTCTCTAACTATATATATATAATATTTTCCCTTGTTTATATATATATATATATATATATATATATATATATATATATATATATATATATATATATATATATATATATATATATATATATATATATATATATATATATATATATATATATATACATATACATATATAAAAACAAGGAAAAATATTTACAGAAAAGTGTGGCGTCCAACCCAACACTGCCTCTCACCGTGTATATACAAAGTACAGTGTTTACAATAACGAACAAACTAAAAACAAACAGAAAATGTATTATCACCCACCTCTAAAGAGTAGAAGTCATACTTCCACAATGTCCTATAAATATGATTTGTGCAAGTCGAAGAGGGTCAAGGAAATACAGATTATTTAATATTATGTAAAAAAATAAAAATAAAAATACAATTTGTAAAAATTTAAATCTAAAATGTAAAAAAAAAGCTATACAGTGCAAATATTAGTTGAGAGTATAATAACAGTCTGTGAGAGCTATCCAGAACTAAACTGTATTGGTTTTGTGTAACACATAAACAGTAATCTTACACAATCTCCATCCAAGTGCACCTTGTGTTTATTTATGAAATATCACCTCTATAAGATTATTCAAATTTATCATGGACAAAACAAGCTCATAAATAAACATTTATTTACAACATTGCTGAAACATTCAGTGCTGTGAGTGTTACAGAGTAACTAATAAGAATATTATCCCTGAATATATTGGTCCACTTCTGAACTGGTCCAGAATCAGTGTGACACATCCATTCTCTGTTTGAGAGTGAGATACTGCAAAAGAGCAGATCAGATCATTTTTATGAGACTAAAACATACATGCATGTCCATACACACTTTATTCTCATTATTAGGATGTTTCCAATCTTTTTTTTATATTTGAAGAATTGTCATTCAGTGTAACAATAGTTTATAAACCAAGATAGACTTGCCAGGCAGATTTAGAACAAGAATAATTTGAATCAAGAAATTACTTTGTCAAGGACCTCACTGAAGCACCAAAATACTAATTCATTTAAACAAATTTTAAAAATGTAATAAATGTCAAATTTTAGTCTTTGTACATGAATATATCTATTATACTGTATGAGTATGGAACATAACGTCACCCATGTATTAAAATGGTTCTCACAAAAGCTATATATTCATTCATTCCTTCACTTTCTTTTCAGCTGAGTCCCTTTATTAATCAGGGGTCGCCACTGCGAAATGGACCGCCTACTTATCCAGCATGTTTTACACAGTGGATGCCCCTCCAGCAGCTCGAACCAGCAACCTTCTTGGTGTGAGGCAATTGTGCTACCCACTGCGCCTCCGTGCTGCCAATAAGCTATATATGTGTGAATAGAATAAATAAACTTTCCATTGATATATGATATGTTAGGATATGACTATTTTAAATAATAATAACAATAAAAAAGTACTTTAAAGTTGTCCAAGGTTTTTACTTATACATATTACAACTCTAAAATTTAGTTTTGATATAGTTATGGTGTAAAATTTCATACAGTTATATATACACATTCCATTTTGTAAATTTATTTTGATGTAGAAAGTGAAATGGGACATCTAATATTAGATAAACATTAGCAAATATTGATAAGAGCATATCAACTTTTCTCACTTTCTTTCTGCTACTGATGGCTTGCTGAATCCACAGCAGCTCCATGGCCAAAGTGCTCCTCTGCTGCTTCAGAGACTCAGGAGTGTGTGTTGTGTCTTTTAAAAGTGTATGCAAACCTGGTCCTGCTGGGAAAAAAAACACAAACATCTAAAGTCCCCATCTGACTTCTAAAATCTTTTTTTTATCCTGTTAATTAAAATCTCATTTCGAAGCACCTGTCTGAAATAAACTGCTCTGTCTGACATCAGAATTCAGATCACTGCAAAGTGTAGAGCAATCATCCATCAGGTTTTGAATGACCATGATGTCTCCTCTTTTATCCTCAACATCATCCACATGTGTGGAAGTTTCACTTCTGGCTGCTTCAGGAGCTTCGTCTTTCTCTGGTACATGGATGTCAGACTGTGGGAGACATTTCTCACATTCCTCATTCTGTTCCTTCTCTGAGCGATCCAAAAGGTCATGGCACTGAATCCTAGAGCGTTCATACCGCAGCAGCAGGCTTTCCTATAGCATACAGAACATTTATATTAATAAATTTAGTACTACAATGTTTTTCAACCACATTTCTGGAGGACTACCAGCTCTTTACATTTTCCATGTTTCTTAACTAAACACACCTGATTCAGATCATCTGCTCATTAGCAAAAAACCTGTAATGGGTGTGACAGAAAAAGGAATCATCATGTAGTGCTGGTGGTCCTCCAGGAACACGGTTAAGAAACACTGTTTTATTAGACATGATTATATTGTATGAAAATCTGGGATAGTTCACCACCCAATCAATTCTGTCATTGTTTACGTTTAGTTTTTCGTTTTTTGAAGACACAAAATTTTATGAAGAATTTTGGAATTTTTGTGTATTTCTTTTTGTCCATCTATAAAAGTCAGTGTCAAACAATTTCAAACATTCTTTAAAATGTCTTCTTTTGTGACTATTATAGGCCAACTATTGTACAGTGGATCAATAATATTTCTGTCTGTTAAGCGATAGAAAAGATTACCTGCAAATTCGGATTTTGACTATTTACTAAATGAAAGAGGAAAGAAGAAATGACCTGAAATTGATTTGCCTCATCTACATATTACACATATTTCCTGAAATTTATTTAAATAAACCAATGTCATATAGTTATCTGGTGCACGTCTTCTATGGATGATTTGTATTTTCATTTATTTCTTCCAACTGTTTTATTATATGCATATATATAGTCATGTTTTTCTTAAATCTCTATATTTCCTTTTTTTTTTCTTTTTCAGTTGAACTACCCAAAAGGTAAGATATGAGCATGCCCACATGGTATCTACGCGTGCGCAATCTGCAGATTTTTAATTCATCATCAAGTCTACTTATTTACTTGTGTAAATGTGTGTAAATTTATATTAATTCAGTTTTTAATTTTATTTAATTTCAGTAAAATCATTGACTAATATGAAAATGTTGATTTGATTAGTTTACAATACAGTTTGTAAAGTAATATTTTCGGTCTATTAGTAGATATATTACATATAAGACTTGCTTTGATAACAAAAACAAGTGGATGTAATTGGATTTGCATTATAACCATTAAATAAAACTTAAAAATGTATTATTTTTATTTCATATATTCAGTTTTTAGTTATGATACTCCTATTATCATTCCGTATAAATCCACAGATTTTGTTTTTTAAATTCTCTGCAGAAATAGCAAAAAAATGTCCGCAGATTCCGTCTGGCCCTATTCAGAGAAGCTCACCGTGTCAGTGAAGTGAGGTCTGGGAATAATGTTTCCTCTCCACTGCAGGTGATCCAATCCTCCATCAATTTCTTGCACAATGTCCTCAAACTGAGCCTGAACCAAACTCAGTCCTCTTCTCATCACACAACCACGACAGTGAGCCTGGAAAAAAAAGTGTATATTACCTTTAACGTTGCTCTCCTGATATTGGGACTTAACCGAACACCTAAATTTTGTTAAGTTCAGATGACTTAAGTGATTTACAGTTCATAAGTAAAGTTACAAAATTGTATTAAATGGAAAAGAAACAATAAAGTATCAGAATTTGAATCTCATAATAGATTTGCTTATAAAAATATAACGTTACAGGCTACATGAAATGAACTTAGTGACTGTGAACAAACAAAGAATTGCGTAGAACATCTAACGTTAACAAATAAAGCCTCAGTTAGATAAACTATCATATTGTCTCAAAAATTAATGACACTTCAACTTGGAGGTAAAATCAATACTATAATAATACCTGAAACTGAGTTAACGTCTGAATCCATTTCTGTTCGTTCATAGCGCCGCTGTTTGTTTGTGCGTTTCTTCCCTTACAGATACACCGAAGATCAGTCTCGATATCAGCTCACTGCCGCCACCCACTGCTTGGAGGAGCTTTTGGCTTTATTAGCGATACTATGCCCTGCCTGTGACACGTACTTTTTGTGAAGAAAAAGTATATTTTATGGTTACAGTAGGAAAAAATGCACAAAAGCACGCACATCAATGTAAAATGGGGGCTCAGCCAAACATCAAGAAGTACAAAAATATAAAGGCAGCAAAACAAAAGCTCCAAAAATATGAATGTATTAACTTAAAAAGGCTATCACAACAGAGAAGGCAAGCTGTGTGACATTCAATATAATATTGCACTCATTGGTTTACTTGCCTAATTTAAACGTGAATAGTTTTGAATGCTCATATTTAAATGGTGCATGCTTGTGAACATTTAACAAAAACTCAAGTGAAACATTTAGAAATACTTCACATTTTTGGGTCTTAAAATGCCTTGACATTCTTATTTTAACCATGCTTTCAGAAAAAAAAATGATATGTTTGGAGCTTCAACTACCATTTGCTAATACACAATTTTAATACAAATACCATAGTTAAACTAGTGTAGAAAAAAATAACGGTTTGTTTGTGGTTATCATATAACTTTAATAATCATGTTTTTTAATTGTTGTAAAATCCATGGTTCATTTTTTTTTTTTTATTAAGGATAGTCCACAGAGATCTTAATTCAGAGTCTTAAATAATTGGATTTCTAACAATGAAAATATAGAAAAATATAGAAAATTAAGTTTACAATTAAATAGATATCAGTGAATTCAGATGTTATATTTCTGAGATATCTGCTTTTTAATAATAAACTCACTTCATTTTTTTCATGTAAATTACCTTCATAAATCCTGGAGAACAAACATTTTTTCTTTCATTAAATCCCTTAAAAGACAACACTTTTAAACCTTACAGGAATCATCCAGTCGGTCTTTTGCAATACGCATTTAATTTAAAACATTTTTATTGACATTTTGTCATTTGAAACACTGATTAGAGCCCAATAAATGCACTTTACGGTGTACAACTCCAACACCATACCACCACAAGTAAGTTGACTAAATGAGTGAATTGTTTCATAGGTTTTATTAGAGCATACAAATAGAAAACAGTATACAGTATGCACTGATAAACAAAACATAGACAAAAAAGCAAAGCAAATATATTTAAAATACACAAAACTATACAGAAAGAACGCAAATGTCATTTTTAACTGACACATTTAATGCTTTTGGCTCAGGCGATGAGTGAAGAGAAAACAGCCTGTATGCGTGCTGATGCAGGATCAGCTTCTGCCATCAATCACTCTGATATTCATTTAATCAGATTGCCCCTTAAGGCATCAGTACTGACTAGAATTATCTGGAGGTAGGCATTGCATGTCTGCTATGAAGTGAACTTGTATAAACTATCTGCTGCAGATCTTTTGCATTTCTATAAACCTGTCCTGTAGTTGTGCTGAAACTAAAAATAGGAAAATTGATTTTTTTGGGGAACGTTATCGAGGGTTGTGGAAATTATGGAGCTGCATTTATGTACTCCTGAGCATCAATATAACTGACTGAGGCTGCAGGCTTCAAATACACTGTAATTTAATTAACAGGCTCCATATTTTGTGATTCACGTGGATTTTCTGTATATTTATGGCTGTGATTAGCATTATGTGACCTCGATGTCTCTGTGGATTTTTGATGTTAAACATTCAACTATGCAATTTACACTGTGACTTTTCCTGACATCTTAATAGTTTGAAACAATATATTGAGTATGATATCTTATAATATGATATCTTATAATGTAAAATCAGATAAGTTAAATTAACTCAAACAGTTTAGAGCAAACCAATTACGGCAAACCATTTAAGTTTTGAAACCAATATATTAGACATTATTTGTGTTGATATCGTCAAACAGTTAGAGTAGTAATAGCATGAATTAAGTCCAAATAACACTATGGCTACTGAAATGGTTTGGTATTGCTTCTAGCATTAGAGCTACAACACAAACAAACAGAATTAATTAATTTATAACTCATTTTGTTTGAGTTCTGCTTAATTGGTTAATGAGTTACCGTAACTCTTTTTCATTAAGTCAAAGTAATTTGAAATTATTAAATTAAACTAACTTATTTCATTTGGTCCCTGCTGAAAAAACAGCTTAAACCAGCCTAGGCTGGGTGGCTGGATTTAGCTGGTCGACCAGCCAGGTTTTAGAGGGGTTTTGGCCAATTCCAGGCTGAATATAGCCAATTTCAGCCTGGTCTTAGCTGGTCAGGCAGGGAGATGACCAGCTAAAAGCAGCTTGACCAGCCTAGCCAGGCTGGGAGTCCAGCCAAAACCAGTTATGTCTAACTTAAACCAACTTAGCTGGTCATTTTTCAGCCTGGTCTAAGCTGTTTTTATCAGCAGGATGGTTTTCACTGTTGGGTTTCACAGTGTACCCAGCAGGCACACAACATTATAAGACTGTATTATTAGGTTGGATAGGTCAGGTGACCAAATTTCAATGTCTAGCCAGCATCTAAGAACAATGTTGTTTTGACATCTAATAACGACGTCAAATGATGTTGTTGGACTTTGGACATTGAGGTCAACCTAACGCTGGGTTCTGACCTCAACCCGATTTTTATTTCCAAACAAAATCCAACATCCCCATGACGTTGGGGTACAATGTCAATATGACGTCATGTTGACATCCTGTGCCTGCAGGGTATAAATAGAGAATTAAAATACTAAAATAACACAAAGTACTGGCAGTTTATTGCCAGGTTTTGGTACAGTAATTTACAACCCCAACCCAGGCAATATTTAACTTCAAATTATTCAAAATGTCAAAATAAGTCACGTTTACAAACTTTTTTAACATCAAATGTTCTGAGAGGAAAAATCAAGGTTCCATAATGTAATTGAAAAGCATAAATGAAACAACAAAATAAAAAAGGTTGTTAATTTATGAAATTTTTTACAGTGTACAACCATGTGCCATATTAGGAAATAGAATCAGGTCATATCCAATTTCCCAAATCTAACCTAACATTTCATATGCTTGATCACCATTATGCTTTTAGTTTAGTTTTGTACAAAGATAACACACAAATACTGTATCCATCAGTGCCATCAAGAACAACAAACAACTTCTATCATAAGTGTTCCTATAGATCAACAACATTAAGCTATATCCGAATCTCTATATAAGTTACATGTCTATTTCAATGTACAAGCATCTAAAAAAAGGTCCATTACCATCACTTGTAGAGTCTCGTGAAGACTTTACGGTCAAACACAAGAATGTAACCTGGACATTGAAAAAGAGGCACTAAGATCCATGATCTCAAACAGTCCTGAGTGAGTTTAGAGCTCCTCTACAGCTGATACAACAACACTGCAGAAAACACTGATCAAATACTGAATAAAACTCTAGTGTGTATGTGCTGATTGACTGATATTATAAAGCCTTTTCATTCACTTCTTCCATTCTGGAAAGAATGTGAGGATTCTAGACCCCAGATTTATTTATTTTTACTTCTGTTCGTTTTTAAAAGAGTCAAACTTTATCAGTGATGAATGAATATTTGAAATCAGCTCATAAAGTCTTTAACCCCTGGAGGTCCTTGGCCATTTTAGATAAAAAAAAGTAAATTCATAATTTCACTGGAATGTTATAAATCTTTGTGACTTTTGCGGCACTTGCTTGTGAATGCAAAAAATTCACATGCTACAGTTGTGAAAATATTTACACTTGTGTTGACCACCATACAAAATTGCAAAATATTCAAATACAGAGAATTGTTTTGGGGTGTGACTATCATGCAAAAACATTTCAAATCAATTAAATATAATGCAAAAACATTTCAAATCAATAAAAAACATTTACCATATTTATTTATTTATTTAGGTTGTTTCCAGTAAATTGATTTCAAGTATTTAAGTATCCCTCTATTTTTAACATAAACACTTAATTTAATATATATTTTATATAAATATATTAAAATAAATGGTCCTTACACTTTCATGCGAATCTTCAACTCAATCTCACAGCAATTTGTAACTTTTTAAATTAGTGGTTAATTCGTATTTATTTATTTATTTGTATTCATTCGTACATTTTAATACAATTTGCTCGTCTTTAAATAAGGAGTAGTGTTAGAGGCACCTCCTTTTAAAAACCATACGTTTTCATACGAGTGAGTTCATATAAATTTGTATGAATCAGACACTTCTTGGCCAAACATATAAATTTTTTTTTAAATAGTTAAGTTTCCCCAACATTCACTCTTGGGGTCATCTGGACTGGATTTCCACCCTCCGCAACCATCAAGCTGCAATCGTAGCAACGTGCACTCAAAAAAATGATGTTTGCTGTTTGTTCAAACTACTTATCTAAAATAAGCTGAAACAACAAAATTCTTTGTTTTACGTTCAATCCACTTACATTTGTAAAAACTAATAAGGTAACTTAATTCCTTCATGTTGTCCCAACACAAATCAATTGTGTGGAACCCAGCAATTTTACAGTGTGAAACCTTCTCAAATACTAAAGAACATCAACATTAACTATAGCGCATTGATTTAATAAAAATAGCACTATTCTTTCTACTTCATTTTGACAGTGAACAGCACAAGTGTGACTCTTAATAGAGCATGTTAAAGTGATCACAATAGTTTAAAAATCACAGGAATTCATCATGTTGATCTGCTACAATCAAAACATTCTGTAAGTGCCTCTTTGCAGCTGAATTTCGCTCATATGGAGAATGTGCTTTGATGCTGCGTAGCATTGCATTAGAAACAGATCACAATGACGGCGCTCGTTAACTCGCAGCTGAGTTGTAGCCATATTAAATTGGGCTTTGGATTGCACAGTGTTTGTTTTTCTGCTTCAGGTGTTGGAGGTCTTGGGTAAGTCTTGATTTTCTGCCAGATGTAGTTTCTGTCTGGATAAACCACATTAAGGAGAGATGCACTGCTAATGCACAAGATCTTATTACATACAGAAATGCTGACTCAGAAAGATATAACACATAAATCCATTAGGCATCCATTAAGACACAAGTGATCTAAGATGTTTTGAGGAACTCAATCCCTGCTTTGGCTGACAGTGCTTCGCCGTAACACAAAACCTCACTTAATAAACACAAAAGCTTGGAAAAAAATTATCATTTTCCCCTTAATAGTTTTGTTGATTAAGGTCATAAATACATTTAGTCAATAAATGCTTTTATTATAATAGAATTTGACCCTTTTTCAATTAATAGAGTGCAGAAAAGCTGGGATAAGGTCAATTGTACAAAATATATTTGTACGTGTACAAACCATAGTATGAAAGGATACATTGAGGTGCTTAACTCTTCCAGCTAAAAAAGGGAAAAAACAGAGAGAGATGCATTAAAAAAATCAATATATCTGCTGCTTTAAAAAGATTAATCTAAGCTGAGCTTTCAGAAACAGGATAGCACCAAATTGCCAAAAAAACAACAACCCAAAAACAACCTAAGCTAATTTGTGTGGTGTCCTTTTTCAAAAATGACATTTGCATAAAAACATTTCATTTACTTCATTTTTGCTTCAAATAAACACCTATGAGCTTTTGTGAATTCCTTTTTAAAACCATATTTGCCTTGTAACATATTTTTATTTAAAACCATTTATAGATTCAGTTTTTATTCTAAAAAAATAATATGCAAATACATACATATTGTAATATTTCATTTAATCATTTTCCTTCAGCTTAGTCCCTTTATTAATCAGGGGTGGACACAGCGGAATAAACTGCCAACTTATCCAGCATGTTTTATGCAGCGGATGCCCTTCCAGTTGCAACCCAATATTGGGAAACACCCACACTCTCACATTCACACACAAAAACTACAACCAATTTAGTTTATTCAATTCACCCACAGTGCTTTGGGAAAGTATTCATATCGCTTCACCTTTTCCACATTTTTTTATGTTGAAGCCTTATTCCAAAATGGATTCAACTCATTTATTTCCTCAAATGTCTACACACAATAGCCCATAATGACAATGTGAAAAAAGATTTTTTGAAATTGTTGCGAATTTATTACAAATAAAAAAAATCTGAAAATTCACATCTACATAAGTATTCAGAGCCTTTGCTCAATATTATGTTGATGCACCTTTGGCAGCAATTACAACCTCAGGTCTTTTTGAATATGATGCCACAAGCTTGGCACACCTATCTTTGGGAATTTTTGCCTATTCCTCTTTGCAATAACCTTTTAAGCTCTATCAGGTTGGATGGGAAGCGATGGTGTACAGCTATTTTCAGATTTCTCTAGAGACATTCAATAGGATTTAGGTCTGGAGTCTGGCTGGGCCACTCAACGACATTCACCGAGTTGTTGTGAAGCTACTATTTTGACAGTGTGCTTTGGGTCATTTTCCTGGTTTCCTGGTCGCCCCAATCTGAGGTCAAGAGCCCTCTGAAGCAGGTCTTCATTCAGAATGTCACTGTACATTGCTGCATTCATCTTTCCAACTCCAATGAAGCTGCTGAAACATCAAGAATGATCAGTAGAAACAGAATGTATCTGAGCTTAATTTAAAGCTTCACGCCAAAGGCTGTAAATACTTATATACATGTGATTTCTCAGCTTTTTTTATTTTGAATAAATTTGTTTTTTATTAAAAAAAATTAAAAAATATTTTTTCACATTGTCATTATGGAGTATTGTGTGTAGAATATTGAGCACATAAATAAATTCAATTTTGGAATAAGTCTGTAACATAAAACAATGTGTAAAAAAGTAAAGCGCTATGAATACTTTCCAGCGATACAAACAATACAAACCAGTGAACTTCTTGCTGTGAGGTAACAGTGCTAACCATTGAGACACTGTGCCACCTTATTGCAATATTTGTTCATTTATTTATTAATTAATTAATTATTAAGTTTTGAATGTGTTTTAATTGTAAAATGTTAATATATCATGTATTTGTTGTCCTGCCTTTAATTAATGCTTAATAAAATAATACATAAAAAAGACTGCAGTACAGTTATGAGGTTCTAATGAGAATCAATATTATGAATTATCAAAAAATATAAAAGTAAAACATTGATAGTATGAAGGATATGCAAACAAGGGCTTTAGGAAAAAAAAAAAGCCAAATGGGACCTCAACATGAGATTCAACCACATGCAGTCTTGTTACACTGACTGAACCGCTCAATAAAACAGTTCACACATTGTAATCTGCTGTGCTCTGGACCACATAGCATTCAGCTGACAGCTAGAAGGGAAATACTATCAATAGTAACTGTCCAGCCCCTCACAGGCCGATGAAAGAATTCAGTCAGACAGCGACACTTGAATTTGGATGATAATAGAGGATCCAGCCATAAGCCCGTATTCATATACAGGGTATTATAGTGTCCAGTCCTTGAGTTTTTGTGTGCGAGAGACAGACTGAATGAATAGAGGAGAAAAAAGCAGAATCCATTAATAACAGATTCCACTAGTACACGTGTAATGTACAATTATACATTTGTGTGTAAAAACGAATGTCTCGGTGTTATTACAATAAAGATTATAGCTGCTTAAATTGCAGTTACAATAATTGTTGAAAAATAAAGTTGAAATATAATTAAATGCCTTACATTTTACAGTAAGACATTAAGAGTACTTAAAATAACAATGATAAAAATATACACTGTGTGTGTGTATGTATGTATGTATATATACATATATATATGCATATATATATATATATATAGAGAGAGAGAGAGAGAGAGAGAGAGAGAGAGAGAGAGAGAGAGAGAGAGAGAGAGAGAGAGAGAGAGAGAGAGAGAGAGAGAGAGAGAGAGAGAGAGAGAGAGGGATTTACTGAAAATGTACAGATTTACTGAAACACATTTAATACATTGTATAAAAGGTTTTTTTTTTTTGAAGATGGCAACTTAAAGACGCATCTCATGTGGGGAATGAAGTCACCTGAATTGCTCAGGTGATTGGTTGGGCCATTCTACAGCTTGATTTTCTTTCTCTGAAAGCATTTGAAGTTCCCTTGGCTGTGTTTTGGATCATTGTCTTGCTAAAATGTCCACCCTAGTTTCATCTTCATCTTCCTGCTAATGTTGGACTGAAGCAGCTCATATTAATTTACAATGACGAAGGGCAGAGGGTTGCTTAAAAACTACTGAGGGACTTCAACTGTTGTCTGGGCTTTCACTGCCTTTCTACAGCTCCCTTTCTTTATGTGTTCAATACTTTTTCCCTGTGTCATTTCATTTTATTATGCATAATGTCATTTGTAAACTAATTAGATTATTTATTTATTTTTTTTGCATTTTTTGCATATATAGATTTCTTTGGTTGTTACCAACATCTGCAGAAAATTTTGAATCAATACCACCTTTAGAAATATGTTTTCTGAGAAAAATGGTGACGTGTTCAATACTTATCTTCCCCGCTGTATGTATATATATTTATATTTATTCATTAAATACTATTGCAATGTCTTAGTGTAAAATTTGATATTTTACAATTAACTTTATTTTACAGTTGGACTGTACTAATTATAAAACTTATATGTATTCCGCTGCAATACTAATATTTAGAAATTCATAATATCTTCATGTTCAAACAATAAACCATATCAAACACTAAATTATTTGTTGACAACAGCTGGTTTTTAATCACTTTTCAAATACAGGAATGAATTGGGATTGCCAAATGCCAGATAAGTGAGTGAGTAGTGATTTCAGATGGGGTAGAATTTACTGTGAACCAATCTGCTCTGAGAAGCTCAAAACACCAGAGGCCTCATGTATGAAGACTTGCCTGGAAATCTTACTAAAACATTGCGTACGCACAAAGCTGTAAATGTGCGTACGCAGAAAAAAATTCAGATGTATGAAACACTGCGTACGCCGAATCTCACGCATATTCTTTTGTACATCTGAATGAACGTGAAACTGAGCGCAACATGCACGAGCACAAAACCCCTCCCTGCCTCCTCCCCCGTATGAATATGCTAATGACTGTGCTAATGGCAAAACCCAACGAAAAAGTAATGTCAAAAGCAAGCAAAAAGAGAAACTTTGAACAGAATGTGAATTGGAGGTGCTGCTTTCGGAGGTAGACGGGAGAAAAGCGGTGTTATTTGCAAGTTTGTTCTCTGGAATTAACAACAAAAGAAAAAAATAGAGTGGGAGAGTTTAGCTGATGCGGTCAACACAGTTGGGTCTGAACATCGCACTGAGTGCATAAAATAAAGAAATAGTGTGGTTTATATCTGTAAAATGTTGCAGGACGCTTAACAGTCTCAGTGGCGCTACTCGTAAGACGCATGTGATCATAAATTGATACATTCGAGCATGAACTCGGCTCAAATCCAGCGCGGTGAATGAACTCTTTCTTGTTTTTTCCCCCGCTACATATCAGATTTTGCCAACTATTTATCACGAGAAAGACAAGTAGGAATCATCAATAAGTTCATATCAATAAGCATCATATTTTATTTGCACATTTATTGAATGGAAATGTTTCTGATTCACGCATGCAAATTCATCTTCAGATAGTGTCTTTATAGCAATGTGCGTGCGGTAGATCGCTCAGATTACATTGGGAAAACAGGCGACTGCTGCAAATTGTGCTTTAATGTTTAGCTGGTCAAATGTATGGTATGGAAACCTTATATACCTGCTGAACCCGTCTCATACAGCTGCCATTGCAAGGCTCAGACACTTTGTAGAGAGGAATTTAACACAACTGCCTCTAGGAGTCGCCAATGGAAATAAAACAGACACGCACAAAAAATGTGCGTACGCCTGCCAGAAAGCTGCCGTGAAGCTGCGCACATTCCCACGTTCAGTTCATTGTTAGTAAATCCAAACGTGAGCGATTCTGAGCGTGAAACCTGGCGTACGCAAAGTTTTTGTGCGTACACAGCGTTGATACATGAGGCCCCAGATCATGAGCTGATTGTGTGTAAATAAGCATAGTCCTACAAATTTACTTGGAAACAAGCAGTGCATATTTTCATCTAATTAATTGAATATATTAATCCCACTTATCTATACCGCGCTTTTGATTTTATCTTGTGAGATTTTATCTTGTGCTTGATTTAATTGTAAGCGATGGTTGATTTAACTAGATTAAATAGCATCTCACGTTAGAAAGCAGGTGTTCTAGATTGCGATCTGAAGCGTTTTTCCTCTGGTCTTCAGACAGCTCTTCCACATGACTGTCCAGACTGAAATGCAACCGAGCCAGACGTTCCTGCATCTCCCTCACATGCTCTAGTTGCTCGAAAGAACACACTTTACCTGCAAACACAAATAATCATAACATAGAAACGTAAATATTAACTATAACTGCAAAAATCTAAAGGACACATGCATTAGGTACAAAGGGCAGATGTCAGGATGAGGGGTGGGCATTTGCAGGTTGCCACTTAATGCATTTCATGATTTTTAACGTAAAACAAATTTAAAGCTGCAGTTTGTATGTGTTTACATGTTGAAATAAACCTACACCATGACTGTTTCTGTGATTGGTTGTGTTGCATCTCAAGCGTCATCATTACATCTTACGCAAAATGGCCCGACAATCTGTACCAGTTGAATGATATTTAGTCATTTAGCAGATGCTTTTGTCCAAAGCGACTTACAACTGAGGAGACAATCAGCAATTCAAAAAGAAGAGGCACTACTCACAGGAAGTGCTAATTACACAAAGGAACTGTTAGCGCTCAGAGAATTAGATACTAGAGTAAGAGCGGAGTGTTTTTATTTAAGAAAGAGATGAGTGAAGAGTGTTTCTACGGGTGGTTTGTCAAGCCCACACAGCTGTGTGAAGCACACTGTATAAATGCACAGTATTTTTGTTTTTTGCAAGATTGTGTCTAGTGCAAATGTGCAAAACTGGTGCAAGTGTTGGTTAAAGTGTCAGAGAGATGAAGGAGTGTGTTTTCTACGGGTTGTTTATCGAGCCCACTCACCTGTGTGAGGCACACTCAGTTTGACAGTTAAATGAAAGTTTAAACTAAGGATTCAGAATAAAACTCTGTGCCATACCAAATGCCTGCAGTTTTCCTGAGTGAAAGTCATTGAGCAGGTTGAGCAGTCCTCCCTCCATCTCTCTCACATCGGAGACGTCGGTGAGAAATGTGTGCTGGAGCGGTGAGGACGACTGGGACACTCGGCTTGGACCAGCAGGCTGAGGAGCTCTGGGCTTCTCTCTATGAGGCCTGCATTAAGACATACACAATCAATATTAAACACACTATTTAAAATTTCAATTGCAAATGCAAACCAACATTTAGAAGACGCACACAAACCTTGTGTTTTTAGGGGGAACCACAGGAACTGCAAGAGCTTCTTTGGATGGACCCATTGCCCCCACCGATCTCTTGTATTTGCCCCTGGGTTTGGGGGAGGGAGGCTGGGGTAGGCCCAGAGAGAATGTGGCGCTCTTGCTCGCGGGGAGGACGGTGAGCTTTCGAGGGTTGATTGGTGGAGGAGGGGGCTGGGGAAGAGACACTTTGGGACTTCTTTTCTTCCTCTTGTCCTCCATTGAGGCAGTAGCTCTTTCTAAGAGACACAGACAAAGAGCTCACACATGTATGGGAAAATACTTGATCTAATCCTGCACTCTTAATAATAAAGCTTTCAAAAATTTATTTTAGCAGTGATGCCATGAAGGAGCAATATTTTATAAAAGTTTTTTTTTCTTTGTGCATACCAGCCATTGAGATCCTTGTTTAGAATGGAAAGACTCCAAAGGCATAAAAGATTATTTAAGACACCACTGATGCAATGGACACTTTCAGTAGCAGAAGTCGTCATAGTCCCAACTCAGAGAGCAGTGATTTACTGTCCTGTCCCATAATCGCTCAATATATGATATATTACAGGGATGTCCAAACTCGGTCATGGAGGGCTGGTGTCCTGGAGAGGTTAGATCCAACCTTAATCAAACACACCTGAACCAGCTAATCAAGCTTCCTAGATATACTTGAAACTTCCTGGCAGGTGTGTTGAAGCAAGTTGGAGCTAGACTCAGCAGGAAACCGGCCCTTCAGGACCGAGTTTGGACACCTCTGATGTAATACATACATAAATACATATAAATATACATTTTAAAGAATACATAGATATTACAAACATTAAAGAATTTAAGATGCTGATGATTGTTAAACGCGTCGTGTGAAAAAGGTACACAAAGAATCTTTATTTTGCATGTATGGGACAGTTCACCCATTATTAATCAAAATTTGCAGTTAATTTACTCACCCTATGGCCATCTGTGATGCAGAAGATAACTTTTTTAGCAAAACTTGTAAAGCCCGGGACACACTAAGTCATCAAAACCAGCAGTGAAGAAAACAAATTCTGTTGTTTTCTTGCCTTCACTGCATCTGGTCTCGTCTAGGCATGGGCCGATATCTGTTTTGAGTTATACCGTGATTTGGAAAAGTCAAGATTTTAAAACCGCCAAATTCTCTGTTATGCCGTTCCTACGGTATATGTAAGATTTCTTTAAAAAACTTTTTTAGGACAACAGTATCTCCAGAAGATGGCAGAAGTCAATGATTCATTTGAATTGTTAAGCCTGACATGTTTACTGCTCCAAAATATTTAAAATGTTCCTCAAAATAAAAATATATTGGCTGTGTCTGAAATCACACGTGACATACCCTCTTCATTCCCATTCATAAATTCTTTCACAGTGCATGATGGGATAGCACAGCAGCCAATGGATGCGCACTTCCAAATCGCGTCGGAAGTAGTAGGTAATCCGGGTACTTCTCGCATACTGTTTTTCTAATTCTATAAATTTAGACATACTATTCAACTTGCATTCTGTTTTTAGCGCACTATATAGAATGGATATGTAATTTGGGACGCAGGCATTGTGCTAAAAGCGGAAAAAAGTTCTTGTTTTTTACCCAGACATTTAAAAAGAATATATTTTAGAGCAGTAATCACAATACTATGAAACTGTGATATTTTTATTCAAGGTATCATACTGTTAGATTCTTATACCAGCCACTACCAAGTATCGTCTGGACTGAAAATGTGCACGTGGACACACCAAACGGACGACAGCCAACTGAAATGAGAATGTATGTTCTGCTCCTGCGTGAGAGGATGAATCTTTTCATACATGCAGGTGGCAGCAGTCTGTATTGTAATTTTGATTTTACATGTGCTCCACACAAACAAATAGTATGCATAAACAAAGCAGCATTTAGTAACAGAGAGCTCTCTTTCACTGGCGGTCGAAGCAGAGTATACATTACATACTGATTTGGATAAACTTGCTTAGATGTAACGCAACGAGACACAACACATGGAACACATACACACACAAAAAAACTAGCATGACAGATGCTCACTGAGCCCAGCCATAGAGAAACGGTGGTGCTTTGAGATTCATATAATGTACTTGAGATTGAAAAAACACATATGGAACTAAAGTAATGGAAAGTTTTGAACACAGGTTGTAGTATTGTAAATAATCATGTTATCTTTCTTGTACAGACCCAGGGCCGGCCCGTGGCATAGGCAGTATAGGCAAATGCTAAGGGCGCTGTACATCCAGGGGACGCCAGAAATGAGCGGGGGTAAGTTGGTTTTGTTTTTAATATTCCTGACACACATTCAGTGATAGATGGCAATAACTCAAAAACATCTTACCCTAAAAAGATCTAAAGTGTGTTTCCTACAAAAAGACAAAGCTGGTTATGTTTCACAGCTGTCTTTTTCTTTTTTTTCGCTCGATATTACGAGCACTGCTTCGTTTAGCCCGGGATATGCGTTTAGCCGGGAGAGCTGAGCTCGCGCGGAGTGGAGCTCTCCGTAAGGGACCGTCGGAAAAGTGCTTCTTTTTTTCGTTTCTTTTTCTTTTTTTTTTTTTTTTGCTCTATCCTGCTTGTTTTATTTTAAACACAACTAATTTTCTCTTAAATGCGCACAACAATTACTAAAGTAGTCAAATGCTTCATTCATTCATTCATTATAGATCGGTGCATTCTTACATTAACACCTCTGTTATCAAACAAAACACAATGAGAGATTCATTTGCTGCTCTTCACTAAATAACTATAGTAACTTTAATCAATATGCTAATACAATTAAAAGTTAAATAGATTTTATAGCTTTATTTTTTTCTGTATAGGCCAATGATTTTAATAGGTTAAACATTTTATTTTATTGTCAATATTTTCTATTGTTTGCTATGTATTCTATCATTTGAAGCTATTTGTTGTCCCATATTTTAACATCTCAACGTTGGTAGATATGACATAACATTGCTAATCATTAAATAGCTATAGTGCTATCTGTTAGTTTTACGTCAGCTAATGTTATGGAAGGGCATAGATGTTTTGGAAAATAGTAATATTAATGTATCTACCCCATCATTCCTTCCTCAAGCAAATGTGTAAATATTAGATCTATTCAGCAATAATGTTAATTGCATTGGCATATTTATCTGACATTTTCCCAACTTGTAGTAGTCGATCAAAAAGCTGTTTAGTTTCTTATGACTTTACACTAGCAGTGGAGTTTACTGCGATGTGACGGGGCGCCACCTGAAATCTTGCCTAGGGCGCCAAATTGGTTAGGGCCGGGCCTGTACAGACCATTTGTGAAGGTAAGAATAACAGGTATGAATTTTATTTTGCCTGTATATGTTGTTTGGCTCTAAACTAACAGTAGCTGTTGACCACAAAGGACCACAGTTACACCCATAAATATTCTATCATGTTCTCTTGAAGAAAAAAAGTCAGCAACATCTTGGATCGCATGAGAGTGATTAAATTAATGACTCTTAAATTTTTGGGAGAATGACCCCTTTCTTGAATATGGAGATAAAAATGCAAAAAGAAAGCTACACAAATATTGTTATATAAAGACTGTCCTCACCACAAAGCTGTTTACTTATTTGGAAAAGAGACTTGTTTGGTGTAACATTGCTTTGGTTTGAGTCCTGCTGGTGTCACTGCACTAAAGTCAATTTCAGCTTCGGAGTGTACCAGTTTCAATCATTACAGCTGGTCAGTGAAAGTCCATGATAAACATTCACACGTTGGCAGTTTGTAAAAGCTGACCTTGATCTGCTAACAGACAGAATGGAAAATTCAATGATTTATGTGACTGCATAGAGCCACTTTAACAATATCAAAGGCAACATGCTTATTGGTAATCATATCTATCAAGAAATACTTCAATCATCCCAACAATGCATGTTTTTTTTCAGTTTTCACCAAACGTTATACTGTCTAGATAAAGTAGCCACTATTTATTCTCCTGTACCGTTTCTCACACTCTGTAAAGAAATACCTTTGCAATCAAGCTGTGCTCCAGTGCTGAATATTTTTAGACGCTTCAAATCTCTCTGGGACTCTTAGGTGCCTACTAAATGCCAGGGATACAATGATATATATACATGTTTACTTTGCTAGTGCCAACATTATACCAATAATTATTATTATTTTCCAGAAATTGCAAGTACTTGGGTCACATAACTGGCATCAAATCAACTTTGTTATCTGAAAGTATCCTGACAGCTGTAAGAAAATCACTGACCTTTATGAAAATAGAAAAATTAGACAATAACCAAAATAATATGTAATAACAATCTAATACGACAGTATAATATAAACAAATGTTGCCTTTATTTTAATATGCCATAAAATTATTTATGACAATTTGCACCTTATTACAGTTTTAATGAAGTATATTTTTAATAAAATTGATTAGATAAAAATACTCTATATCTGAAAAATTATATTTACGTGAATATTCGTTGAATACTGTACTTATATGTACATTAGAGTCTATTTAATAATTAAATTGGAAGTTTGTTTATATACCGCACAATCTGGGTCAAACCACAATTCTCAAATAGAAGTATTTCACTATAGTAAAAAGCAAACATGCGAATAGCGCTTTTCTTACAAGATTACCCACACTTTTCTTAGTAATGAATGAATTTTACCTAATGAATTGACGTGTTTATTAAAGCAGGATCTAGTGCATTTCTCCTTTGGCAAAGAGGTTTTACACAGAATGGAGGGGATTTGCACAGGATGCTCATTGAGGCGCGATGCGCACATCGTCATATGGCAGAACAAAACGATTTACTCACCGGCTGTCAGAAAAGGATGAGGCTCTTTCAGCTTTCCGAAGACAATTTAAGCCGTCTCTATCGGTTCTTCCATTCCAGTGTGCCCAGGATGAATTCGCGGTCCGTTTTACAAATCGAGCTCAAGCGCTGCTTCCAGCGTCTCCTACTTCCCGACCGCGACCGAGATTCGCACTATGGTAAAGCTGAGTGGTTAATATTCATAAAACACTACAACGCTATTGGACGGTATTAAAGAAGCGCCGCGATTATCTGATTAATATTCAAGAGCCAAGGCGCAGCAAACGGGAATGCTTCCACGCAGCGTCAATAAAACCTAAATTAATATTCATGAGCAAAGCCTTCGCCATACTAGGAGGACCTATGAGGACAGGCGAGGCACAATAAGACGCTAGTGAAGCTCCCGTTTAAAAACCCAATCCTCATATTAATCATTACGACCACAGCCGCTTATCTGGCGATTTACGCACATCAGCTCTGAGCCATTAAACGACAAAACGAAATGGCTTTATGACCAATAATTTAATATACTCATTACAGTCAACAAGTATGTCGCCATCTAGAGGAGGATTTTATACTTGAGAAAAACTTTTCATTAAAAAAAGACAAGGTAATAATTAAACATAAATATAACGAAAAAGTCAATTAATTAAAGAAAAAATCTGAATAATATAAAAAATTGAATAATAAAGTAATATTTTATATTTATTAAAGTTTTTAAATGGTACTGAAGGGATTGTTTTAAAGAAATGTAAAAATAATTTGAAATACTACATAAATAATAATACATTTGATAAAATTATTAAATTAGGTAAATAAATCCAGAAAAATCCAGAAAATACTGAAAAAAATCATTTACAATCTAAGGAGAAAAATGTAATAATAGAAACCAAGACAATCTCACAGAAAAAAAGTGGTTCATTATTTTAAAAAAACCTCCAGGAAATCAAATTAATAAAAAAATATGTTTCCTTTTTATTTCATGGCAAGTCAGAACATAAACAGACAAAAAATGCACTTGTAGAAAAAATAAACAACTCTCATGCACGTTTTCTGCTCTTCTGTGATGACTGACAATAATTTATCCCTTTCTAACTGACTTTCTGATTAGAGGCACTGGCTGAATACGAATACGCTTTCCCCAAAACTATTCTGTCTCTGAGCAGCTTGAAAAAGGCATAATAATTACTGAATAATATTAGAGCTAATGATATCGTTTGATGCCATTTCTCTGAACACATCAGTGAATAAAGCTGGTAAAATATCATTGCACCTTCCAGGATTATGAGAATGTTCAATATTCGAAGAGGTTTGTTGAAGAAAAACTGTTTCGGAGAGAGAAAAAAAAAAACAGAGGAGAAGTGGTTATTGCAATATTATTCACATGAATGCATTCAGAAAACACTTAGATTCATACTGATGAGTGAACTAACTTGTTCTGCAAAACAAAGCACTTTCGGTTTCAGAGTTCGACTGAAGTTTATACTTACATAGAAGCGATAATGTGAGACATCTGAGGGAACTGCCACGTTATAATGACCCATGGCCTTATAAACATTTTTACTGTGTTTGACTAAAACTCCCTGCGGCCACATGTACTCTTCTGTCCATCTGTAGAAAATAAACAAAGAAAAAAAAGGATTACATTTTACAAAAGTAAATTACATATCCATCTTTCCATCCATCTATCTATCCATCCATCCATCCATCCATCCATCCATCTTACAATAAGTACAATTTAGATAAAAACATATTACATAAAAGAAAAAACTGTTTAATTCAACGAGATGGCAAAACAATTTGGTAAAACTATGGTAAAATGAAGTCTTTAATAAAGTCTTAATTTAATTTGTGTAATTATTTTATTTCTGAGATGTATAAAATATTGATGGTATTTATCATGATTAAAAACATCAGGGTTTTTCCACCAAAAATAGATTTTTTGAAAAAAAAAAATAGACACACTTTTTTTTTTTTTGCATCTGAAGTTAAAACATTGGTACTACATTCACTCATTCATATTTTTGTCGGCTTAGTCCCTTTATTAATCCGGGGTCGCCACAGCGGAATGAACCGCCAACTTATCCAGCAAGTTTTTACGCAGCGGATGCCCTTCCAGCAACAACCCATCTCTGGGAAACATCCACACACACATTCACACACACACACTACTGACAATTTAGCCTACCCAATTCACCTGTACCGCATGTCTTTGGACTGTGGGGGAAACCCGAGCACCTGGAGGAAACCCACGCGAAGGCAGGGAGAACATGCAAACTCCACAAAGAAACACCAACTGAGCCGAAGTTCAAACCAGCAACCCAGCGCTCTTCTTACTGTGAGGCGACAGCACTACCTACTGCGCCACTGCCTCCCACATTGGTATTACAGTAAGTGATAAAAAAAAAAGCATAGCTGAAAACACTGTCTTATTTTTTTAACCAATGAGGTATAAGCACACAGACTTTTAATTTCAATCAGCCGGCCCCAGGGCTTCAATTTTCATCCCATACAAAATCGCAGCGTTTAAGATTCGATTTCTTTGAAAAAAAGTGATCTTCACTGCCTGACTGAGATACGATATAAAGTGGCCATCAGACCACACAATAAGCACTGCATTAAATTTTTTTTTTTCTGCACCATGTCTTGTCATGTTTTACGTTTTAACAAACAAATGAATGCTAAAGTCTATTTAACTGATTATTAGAATTACATTACAACATCGATGCTGTAAAAGGAACCGTATGAAAGTCAAAATAGTCACATAAACCTTTCACTGCAAGTTCATCGTTGGCTGAAACACACTAGCCGTGCATATAGCCCATTGTCATTTTATGCAAAAACATGCTCTAAATGGCAACATTTTTACCTTAAACCTAATGAAGAAATGCCATTATTAGTTTAGACAATAAAACAAACCATAATGTTTTACTCAAACACAAAACTATAAATCACAAATCTGTCAGAAATGAATCCAAGTGGCCTGTTAATTTTTCAATCGCTATTAAAACAAAACAACAAAAGTTTCTTTGAATATCAATTCAATATCAATCTGATCTCAAAGTGTTTTCAAAATTTATTGCAGCCAAAATAAAGTCATGCTTAAAACAGCTTGGTTTTCAAACTAATTTAAGATGCCATAAATAAATCTAGTGTTGATAGCAACACTAGAGAACAAATTAACATGATAAAACATGCAACACGATGCAGGTGCAGGGCCTTTAATTTGCACATCAAACCATGAACAAAAACTGAGCAGTTCACTAAAATGAGCCTCTTTCTATTAATGCATTTAATCATTTTGTCATTTCATTATTTATATATGCATTCAATGGTCACTTTATTAGGTACACCTTACTAGTACCGGGTTGGACTCCCTTTTGCTTTCAGAACTGCCTTAATTCTTTATGACATAGATTCAACAAGGTACTGGAAATATTCCTCAGAGATTTTGGTCCATATTGACATGATAGCATCACGCAGTTGCTGCAGATTTGTTGGCTGCACATCCATGATGTGAATCTCCTGTTCCACCACATCAAAAAGGTACTCTATTGGATTGAGTTCTGGTGACTGTGGAGGCCATTTGAGTACACTGAGCTCGTTGTCATGTTCAAGAGAACAGTCTGAGATAATTTGCGCTTTATAACATGGTGTGTTATCCTGCTGGAAGTAGCTATCAGAAGATGGGTACACTGTGGTCTTAAAGGGATGGACATGGTCAGCAACAAAACTCAGGAAGGCTGAGGCATTGACACGATGCTCAGTTGGTACTAATGGGCCCAAAGTGTGCCAAGCAAATATCCCCCACACCATTACACCAACACCACCAGCCTGAACCATTGATACAAGGCGAATGAATCCATGCTTTGATGTTGTTAATGCCCAATCCCGACCCTACCATTTGATTGTCACATAAGAAATCGAGACTCATCAGACCAGGCAACGCTTTTCCAATCTTCTATTGTCTAATTTTGGTGAGCCTGTGCGAATAAAGCACAACACAACCACCTCAAGGTTGGATGTGTTGTGCGTTCAGAGATGCTCTTCTGCATACCTCGGTTGTAACGAGTGGTTATTTGAGTTACTGTTGCTTTTCTATCAGCTCAAACCACTCTGGGCATTCTCCTCTGGCCTCTGGCATCAACAAGGCTATTGCGCCCACAGAACTCACGCTCACTGGATATTTCCACTTTGTCAGACCATTCTCTGTAAACCCTACAGATGGTTGTGCAAGAAAATCCCAGTAGATCAGGTGTTACTGAAACACTCAGACCAGCCCATTTAGAACCAACAACCATGCCACGTGCAAAGTCACTTAAATCACCTTTCTTACCCATTCTGATGCTCTGTTTGAACTGCAGCAGATCATCTTGATCAAGTCTACATGCCTAAACGCACTGAGTTGCTGTCATGTGTTTGGCTAATTAGAAATGTGCAAAAGCAGCAGTTGGACAGGTGTACCTAATAAAGTGGCCAGTGAGTGTGTATATATCCAGAAACACAAAATCTATCAACGACACACACACAAAAACAGTACACTAATGGGAAATTATGTGACGTACATGTGCTGGAGAACGTTTGAGCACAGCGACGGGTCCACTTTCTGCCAGCAGCCCAGATGAGCTGCAGCTTTATGAAGCAGGTCACAGTATCGCGGAGGTAGGAGGTGCCGCATCAGAATGACTGAAGTACTGACGGACACCAGGATGAACAGCTCACACGACCAGCGTTTATCTACATACTGTGTGCTCTATATAGACAGCAAAATACAAAGAAATTGTCATATATGCAAATGTATGTATGTGAATATACAGTTGAAGTCAGAATTATTAGCCCCCCCTTGTATATTTTTTCCAAAATTTCTATTTAACAGAGAGAAGATTTTTTTTCAACACATTTATAAACAATAGTTTTAAGAACTCATTTCTAATAACTTTTTTTTTTTATCTTTGCCATGATGACAGTAAATAATACTTTACTAGAAGACACTTCTATACAGCTCAAAGTGACATTTAAAGGCTTAAATAGGTTAATTAGGTTAAGTAGGCAGGTTAGGGTAATTAGGCAAGTTGTTGTATAACGATGGTTTGTTCTGTTTTTGACTATCAAAAAAATATAGCTTAATAGGGCTAATAATTTTGACCTTAAAATGGCTTTAAAATTTTTTAACTTTTATTGTTTTTTATTGTAGCCAAAATAAAACAAATAAGAATTCTCCAGAAGAAAAAAATATTATCAGACATACTGTGAAAATTTCCTTACTCTTTTAAACATAATTTAGGAAATATTTTAAAAAAGAAAAAAAATTAAAGAGGGCTAATAATTCTGACTTCAACTGAACTGTATATATATCTTCTTTTAAACATGCCTTTCAGTGACATAATTCGTATTTTTGATACATACACATTACTGCAATGGTTTGGAGTTTTGGTATAAATTAAATAAACGGCTATATTTTGTTTAGCAACCATACCAAATGCTTAAAAGTTACAGTAAAATTGTTATATTAACATTTAAATGCTGCTCTTTTGAATTTAAACAAATTTTAGTTCATGTAAATTCATTTAAAAAAAAACTACTTTTTCCAACATTGCTAGCAGCTTACATAGGAAAACACACTTTCGACTTACACTTTTCAATCATCAAATGACATTTTGCCAGAAGGTCATATGAACTTAATGAAAAGGTGTTTCAACAGAACCCATGATGCTCAAACCAAAGTTTTGCATTGTGGGCAGATTGAAAAGCCATCAATATGATATCTGGAAAAACTATTTGCATGAGTTGGTATAAATACCAAGGATGATTTTCGCCTCGTCTCAATCTGATCTGAATTTCTAAGCCACCTGCAATCCTCATCAAACAAACCTGTTCTCTCAGTCCATTGCTTGCATGTGTTTACATGTGTGTTTGTGTACAAATGACGCCCTGTCAATGTACTTACCTTGACAAACCAAACAGGTACGAACGCAACATAGTAGGCACTGAGCATGGAGCTAACCAGAACCTCCTTCATCCTCCAGTTGAAGTCCATCTTTAGGTACTCCACCTCTTTGCGGATGAGGTCAGGGGAGAGACAGCAGGCGTGGGTGGGCATGGGCTGGGCACTGTACAGCTGACTGGTGTGCTGTTTCCATGTCTCCTTCAGGACAGACAAATAGTCCCGCCCCCCTCGGCCCAAAGCAGCCGCACCCACATCTTTAGAACCAATGCCACTTAATGGAGACATAGATCCAGCTCTGCGGAAATCACAGCTGAGGCGGAAGAACGGGATGTACATTCCAAACCTGAGGGAGGAGGACATATAAACTGAAGTGTTAATACATACAGGTCTGTGTGTATGTCATTCACCATTAAATAATTGCATATTTATGGCAACTTATGTACATATAATGTATTAATAAAGCGATAAAGTTGCTACCTAGCTTAGTAAATGGCCTACATGTTAACAACCTATCAGTACTCAGTAACCAGTCAATGTAACCTGGCAACTACCTCAAACACAATACCTATTGTTAAATAAAAGGAAGACATAACCATCAACTACAACCAGTCAGAACACCGGCCAGAAAACCTTAACAACACCAAGCAAAATGCCAAACAACCCTAGCAACCACCAAGAAAACCCTAGTTAAGAGTCCAAATTTTAAAGTAAACAGCAAAAAACAACCAAACAGAGCTCAGGCTATCTATCAATTCATCCATCTATCTTTCTGTCTATCCATTCACATGACCATCAATCCATCTCTGCATCTATTTATTCATTTATCTGTCCATATCCATTATCTATTCTTTCTGTTCACTCATCCACCAATGCGTCTCTCGATCCAACCATCTATCCATCTCCCCAATCATCAATATGTCTTTCACTTTTAATGACATGGCTGTAACGGATCACAACCCAACGTTCGTAACACACATGACCTGACGCGGATTACTTTTTTTTAACTTGTAGATTAATCCAAATATTGTAACAATCGCAGAGAGATCGCCTCTCACATTCAGAAGATGAAGTTGTGTGGGTTTCTTATGAAATTAAAGGTTTTTTCTGTCACTACTCATTTAGCCTGCATTAATGCATTCAGTGTAAGCTGCACGATTAATCATTAGTATCGGGATCTCAACACCCAAGCAACATAAATTATAAATGATAGTGATTTGCATGTTTATTAATCCTTCCAATCGCTGCATTCAAATCTGTGTTTGAAAAACCCTAAAATCATAAAAAGGGATTGAGTCTTTAGTCTTTTAAATTAGTTATGAAGTTACAAACAGTCAAATAAGACAGAAGTACTGCGATAACAGTTTATAGTTTAGATCTTTTCAGGTAAAACCACTAATGATTATGGTAAAGATTAAAATCACTGTCATATGCATTTAACTTGACACTCAAAAATGAAAGTTGTAGGCAGCAATTACATTATTTAACCAAACAACCAGCCATCAAAAATATGCCACTGAATAATTCTTCAAAAATGAGCTTCAAAAAAGTTTTGAGTGAATAATTGAATCATTTATTGAAAATGAGACTAAAACAAATATGGATTGTACAAATTATAATGTTAGATTTATATACTTAGTGTTATCAGCAATAGTATTATGAATATTTTACAATTATTTGTATTTTATTTAGCTAATTATTTTTTATATATATATATATATATATATATATATATATATCCCTTTTTAAAAAGAGTTTAGAACAAAACAAACAAAACAGCAATAAAATAAATAAATAAAAAAACAGACATTTTTAAAGGAATATGGAAACAAAAAAGAAAAACAAGTGTAAAGGTCACTGAATACAATCTTATTTACATTCGTATTTATCGTTGATTAAATGTTGTTATATAAAATTTGTCAAAGATCAACAAGCTCCAAACATATATATCTTCAATTCATTTTTAATAAAATTACAGGTTCTAAGTTCTGTTATTTAGTTTTTTTAATAATAATTTTTTAGGGGTATTCATCTTCACTGATAGGACAGTAGAGATGTACAGGCAGAAAAGTGTGGAGAGCAGAGAAAGGGGAAATGATCAGCAAAGGACCTCGAGCCAAGAATCGATCTCGGGTTGCCGCGAACACCTCTGTGCTATATGTCGACACACTAACCCCTAGGCTATTGGCGCAGACTACGTTCTGTTTGTTAAAATCAAAAGTGTCTTGCAGTACTGCTTTTGAAATAAATGGAAAGCAAATGACGTTTGTCTCTTCCCCTTTTTGGCTGATTCGAAAAATGGTCTGATGGTCTAAAAAACCCTAATGTGATCCGAGCCACAAGATTTGTGATCCGTTACACCACTACCGATGACAATAGCTTATTATATATTAATAAAAACATGAAATAAATTAGACGTAACTCAAAGTAAATTTTGTATGCTATAAGTTAGTTGTATATTATTTAACTCAATTTAATTTTACAACATAACTGTATTACAATTTAACTTATTATTTTTAATGTTGTTTTATTTGGATATTACTTTAAGTGCACAGTAATACAATTATTCATTTTTCTATTCTATCAGAAACATATTACCAATGGGAAATGAGAGTCTGTATTACTTACCATTAGGGAAATAAAAACTTAACGGCACCTTAGCCAATCAAATAAAGGGATCTCGTCTTCTTCCCTGCATTCCACCAAAGTAGCACCATTTTTTTTTTTGGCTAAAGTGCTTCCCGCAGGCTTTGATTAAATTCAGTGGCTCAAATAACATTCAGCGTGAGCATCAAATCAAATATCCTCAGATGCTCTTTTATAAACCAGGCTGAAAACAATTCGTGCATCGCTGCATATATAATATCCATAGGTCTGTTTATCCATCCATTCATCCTTTGACCCATCATTCTAAGGATATTTCCCTCTGGCAGTCTTATTGAAGAGCTTAAAAGTCCTGCAAACTTACAGCTTAAAAATCATTTCAAATTTTTAGACAAAGCAAGATTAAAATTTGGCTTGACGAATAGCATGAATTCTTGATAAGACTGGATTTCACCTGAGAAATATGGCTAAATTAAGCATGCAATTGTGACAGCATCTTAACACATCAGAATTACAACCAGCAGATGTGTGGATTATTACTTACGGATAGCAGAGGAAGAGCAGGCTGAGCACAGAATACGTCTTGAAGAGATAAATAAGTGAACGACACAGACTCCATCCTGCAAGAGTCAGCACGGCAAAACGAGCCGTCACCAGGAAGACAGAGTGCGGGAAGGACAACTTCCCACTTTGTGATGCCTTCGGAACAAAGAAAAAGAAATGTTGCACCACTCAATCCTTTTTAAAAGCATTCAGAGAAAAGCAGATGATGTACACTACCTCTTTTACAATGGCAGCAATTAGCCTGCGTGCCAGCACTATGACGGTGAACACCAGCATATTATAATCAATGAGGTGAAAGTTCTGCAGAGACAAAATTTTTTTATTATTAACAAAAATGAAGATCAAATACATTCATGGAGTTAAACTGTTAGACATGCATCTCACCAGAGAGGTGTGTGAAGGTGGGTGTGAGGGAGGGTACCACCACACGGTTTTGTAGATGTTGACATAATGCACAAACAGAGCTATAAGATGGCACGCAAACAGGTGGAGCTCAAACAGGACGTTCTTGTCCATGGAGAGTTCTGGAATCTTGCAGTGCTTCAGTGGCACGACTGTCTGAGTGGCCAACGGTGGACTGGACATGCCCGTTCCAGATCCATTTCTGATGAGCACACAGATTTGAAATCAGCAGGAGACATTAGCTTTGATTTCATCCAAAGATGCGAATTAAACTTATGCGCAAAACTGGAATATTGCATACAACATTCGTGAATAAAGAACGGTTTACATCCAATGACTAGGCCCACACGGAATCTGCGCGCGCAGAATTCAGCAGATTTTTAGCCCATCGTTGTTTCTGTTCATTTACTTGAGCAAATGTGTGTACATTTATAGTTATTCAGTTTTTAAATTAATTTGAGTAAAATTATTGACTAAAATTTAAATATTTATAAGATTCATTAACAATACAATTGGTAAAGTAATATTTAATGTCTTTTAGTAGATATATTATATAAAAGTTTGCTTTACCAAATTAGGTGGATCTAATAGGATTTGAATTGTAAACATAAAAGATAACAAGGTATTATTTTTTATTTAATATATTAAGTTTAGTTATGAAACTCTTAAAATCATACCGCATATATTCGCAGATTTTTAACAAAATTCTCAGCAGAAATAGCAAAAAATGTCCGCAGATTCTGTCAGGCCCTACCAATGACTTAAGGAGGACAAATTCGTCACTTCCTTATTACTGACTCAAAATATCAAAAAGAAAAATAGTAATAATAATAATTTGCTGTGGGCCTTTGTTCTAATATAATGAACTACTTTTGCATCATAAGATAATATGCAATGAAGGTGTGGTGGCTTTTAGAGGTTGCAGACTGCTCTTTAAGAATGCAGCCACTCAAGAGTGTTTTGGAGGTAATAATACTGAATAACTTGATTTTACAATTAATCAAAACAGCGTTTCAGATATTGTGTAATGTGGTCAGTTCATTGGTTTGTACATTAATGCTGTCGCATCACACAATATTTAATAAAATAAATAAATAAATCACATCACTTTTTTAAAATGTATTCTGTAAATGTGTTTCCATCATTCCATCTTAAACAGTTATGCACATAAATGTCTGTGCATTTTCAAAATGTATGCACATCTAGTCGTTCCCTTTAAGCATTATTCATGCAATATCCCAACATGCACATAAATAGGTGGATGGAAACATAGCTACTAGTACATTAAGAAATGATGGCATCATAGCAACAGAACATTCCTTTATCATTTGTATATTATTAACCTCAAATATGCCCTCACCTGGTGCGTGACCTCACACCTGTCACAGGTGAGCTAGTGGAATGGTTTCCATTGCCAACGGAGCCTGTATCGTTGCTCAGAGGAGAGCGACAATATGTCGTTCTATTCGCTCCTCTTCTTCCTCCGGCCATTCCAGATCCGCTCTTTCCTCCACTCAATTTTTTGCACTTTTTAGTTGGTCACACTCCAGACACCTGCAGGAAGACAAATCACAATTGCATGACCAAGTGGCAAGGAAAGATATGCACAAAATTAGTTTATGGACGTATTGTTTTATGCTTGAGAAAGGTGTTTTGTTTCTCTAATGCCGAATTCAGACTACATGATTGATGACTGTAAGTTATCGTGTCACGAATGTTTTCACACTGCATGACTATCGGGGCTAGAGTTTTGTCGATGCTCTATTTACACTGCAGGATGGATCGGTGACAGGGGGTTTCACACTGCATGACTTTACAATAGGAAGAATCGCCGACAACTTCGTTTAAACTAGGTCTCACAACCAAACACACGTAGTATATCTTTACTACATAACGAGAAAGAAGCTGTTAATGGGGTAGAAAATGTACATATTTGCTCACCTGGGTTTGAAGGGAATTAGCAATTTCTCCTCAACTTTTTTCTTTTTTGACCCTGTTGTGATATTGCTCACGACACGTCAAGCAGACACAGGTGCTCCTGCCAAATTTACACTAGTTTTTCCTCCATTTCTGGGGTCTAAATAAACTGAAAAGGAGCGCTTTTAACTTCTCCCTCAAGCTCCCGCTGGCCTGCAGATACCCACAGTAGTGAATGCTGCTCTCTCATTGGCTGTAGGTGATCGACGATGTTATTTTCAGTCAAAAATAATTTCACACAACATGATTTGAATCGCCGACAGCTCCAGATATTTAGCATCGGCGATTCTCTCAGATCGCATCTTTGATAGTTCACATTGTCTGATTGTTACTGATGTGAACGAGCACCAATTTGCCGGTGATTTTAGGAATTTGTCTGCGATTTCTCAAAACCTGTCGGCGAGTCAAAATTAGGGCTAAAATAATGCAGTCTGAGCTCAGCATAAGGCTGCATTTAAGTGATCAAAAACACAATAAAGATTAAATACCCAAAATATTATTACTTTTTAAAATAAATGCTTTTAATTCCATTTTAAAATGTAACTTAATCTTTAATTTGCTTATCCTTTAACATGCTGCAATAGTGCTGAAGAAACTTTTTTTATTGAAAACAATTGTGCTGCTTTATATTTTTGTGGATATTTTAAGATTCCTTGATGAACAGAAAATGAAAAAGAACTGTGTTTATTCTAAATGAAAGTCTGTGTGTCACTGTGACTGCTAAACATAACAGCTTTTGAACAGAAGTGTATTTTATATTGTTCAAGATATTTTTAAGATATGCTTCTGTCAGAAAAGTCAGAGTGAAAGCTCCAGGATTTTGATTACTAAATGACAATCTTGTTTAATTACACAAAATTAAAGTTCGACCTTCTAACATGTGCTTTTTGTCCTCTTTATTAATGCTTATAACATCTTTGTTTTTATTACAGGTTCTTCAGAAGCTCAGAATGTTTACTGTATCTGCACTATTCAGTAGGAATGCTGTCTGTGCACAATTTGCAACTTGTGCACAGACAGCACGCAAACTTTATTTGTGGATGAAAGATTTGAAGATGACTGACTACATTTGCTATTTTTTGTAAGCAAGCTTTTGTTTTGCTTAAATGTGAGGTATCAAACACCTGCATCTCAACTATTTTTGTTTATAAATATGTTAGTAATTAGATGGTTAGAAAACTGGTCTTTCACTCAGTCGAAAGAGTCACGTCTGATTCTTCCAGCCATGTGTCATATAATATTGTAACTGGAAGTTGCTTTCACATGAAGCATTGGAACATTTTAGATGCACTGTACAACCTTTTATGGCAGCAATTGTCAAAGTGAGAAGAAGTTGTGAAGACTCGGATACGTTTTACTGTACATGGACTTCTGCACTTTTAGCTTTGATGCAAGATGTCTCTTGTGCAATTTACTTCTGACTGCCTGTACATTATGGTCATTGCATCAGCAGATTTATACCCATGCAATCATAGAAGACAGCTCCATCCCACTGGTCTGCACAGTAACGTTTCACTCACTGACAAAAGACTTACATGCATGCAGCACTATTGCCTTGCCAATGCACGTGCCACAGTGGGATCTCACTTTTGCCAACCAAAACAATGAATTTGTGTTATGGTACGTGTTTAAAGGGTTTTTTATTACGTTTAAACGACAAAACAATATTTCCTGATGCCTGTGGTGTTTTGCAGCCCTGCCTTTATTGATTAGCAACTTTTGCGGAAGCATTACTCTTAACATGTAGGTCGAAAGACATTACGCGTTTTTGCCTACAAAAGCAAAACTGCATTACAATGCAACAAACACTGCTCACATCTGGGTGAGTTTTAACGCTCACACCACTATATGCATGCTCGAATACATTACTGCGGCCTAGCACTGTTGCATTTGCACACAAGCTATTTTCAAGAAATCGCATAAAAATGACTCTTACCGCTTTAATCCACGGAGTTTTGTCCAGATAAGGCGACTGTATGATATAGGTTGAAACACATCCAATACTTGAACAGAGAATTAATTAATTACTTGGGATCGTAAAAGGTTTGTTTAATTTCTGACAGTAAACGAGGAGGGTTCATTCTGTTGATGTTGTACCGTACGCGCGCACGCACGCGCGTGGGGAGGAGTCAAGCGTGCGTGCTTGCGCGTTCACTGTATGAGATCAAAGCGCATTATGTGTCTGCGCCTCGGGCACATACATTACATTTCACAGAACCGGTTTGGATTGGTTTATGCATGCATTGTTTATGCAAACGTATTGTACTTACCTTACGGGAAAAAAAACAGAATGGCAACTGAGCATTGCCAAATATAGTCATGATTTCTTTACAACAGTGTGATAATATTTTTTTGCAGTGCACCTTACTTCTCTTACCACTTATTGCAATAAAACTAAACTTTATTGCCATATTCTTCTTTATCTATTTGCACCATATTATTCATTCAGATATTCATTAATATATACACACACACACACACACACACACACACACACACACACACACACACACACACACACACACACACACACATACATACATATATACATACATATATATATATATATATATATATATATATATATGTGTGTGTGTCTGTGTGTGTGTGTGTGTGTGTCATTGCACAGTTGCAAAACAGCTACTCGCCTTGTGTGTGTTTTTAAGGAGGTTTGTCAGTCACTATATTCTTAAATAGTATTATAAGTGTAGCTCAATTAAAGGCTCAATCAAAAAGCATACTTTTATCTAGCAAAAAGTGCATTAAAAACAGAAAAATAAAATGAGTATAACTGATTGACTGAAATAACTGATTTCAATGCAATTAATCTTTGTTTCTATAGCACTTTTTACATTGTAGATTTTCAAATCAGCTTAACATAGACGAAGAAAAGACATTAAAACATGTATAACGTTAAAGCAATATTAAATATTCATATATATATATATATATATATATATATATATATATATATATATATATATATATATATATATATATAATATTGCATTAATGTTTTACTGTGATTAAATGAACCTGAGAGAGCATAAGAGTGGTTAAAAACAATTTGTTCTCTTCAATTTTACCCTCGTCCAAGAGGGCGGTTGTTGTTTGTGTGAGTGATGGCTCGGCTGTCCAATAAGAGCAAAGATATCGATGTGCACGGGTGTGCGCCGGAAGAGCAGCGCCGCAGTAGCAGCACACGGGACCGAAATGGCGTAACGCGCAGTCGAGCACCGCAGCAGCGCAGAGGGGCCAGGCTCAGCGAACACCACAGAGCCTGGCCCGAACAACTTCAACCAGCAAATTTGTTGAAAATTACTCTTCACTCCAGTCCACATGTTTCCAAACCAGCACGAGATCACCGCTGACGGTAAGTGCGGGATGAGTGTTGACGTGCACTACAGGAGCTTGTCTTTGTCTAATCTTTGTGTTGCAGTTTCGCATTCCAGCACTTGCGTCACTCGGTAGATGGTCAGGCATTGTGCGGGAGTAGAGATGTACAATTGCTCATGCACTGATATTGATTTGTATTATCTTTTAAGTTACTTTGTGATTTTTACTCCGTAAATGTTCTGTGTAAATAATGGATGCGTTATTAAACAACAATGCAAAATTCATTGAACCTGCTTTGTCTTGTTAAAACAGTGCCCCTCATTTGTCATATCAAGAAGAGAAAAGAACAGTCCTGAAGGGAACACACGACCAGGTAGGTCATCAAAAACAGCACAACATACTTGTTTGGCTGATTATTGACAGATTTAGCAGATTTTAGATTCACAAACTCAGATTTCAGCTTCTAATAGTTTGTATCAGATACATCACAATTTTTGTAACATCCCTCTCAACTAATACTTTAAACTATATGAGGAAGCCTGTTAGTTGGTTTATTAATATTAGAGATTATTAACATAATACATGTAAACTATAAACTTTGGTTTAGAAACAACATTAAAGTCTCAAATGAAGTTTAGACTGTTGTTTTCATTACAGATTAATTCAAACATATCAAAGAGAATGTGTATTGACAGGTTTTAAAATTCTACTTGATTTGGATTCATAAGCTCTTTACATGATTCAATTAGATTTAATGCTGTAAACTACACAAAGAACCATTTTAGTTGGTACATTTATTGTGAGAAGTCATAATTATCTTGTCCAAACTAGGGCTGTGCGATTGATCGAAATCGAATCGCAATTTTAAACGTTGCGATTAGTTAATCGTAAAAGGCTATATTTATTATTTAATTTCCCCAGCATATAGCAAATGCGTGACTGTGTCGGCTGTGTGTGGCAGTCTTACTAGCCAATTGAGTGAGCACACTTTTGTTCTGTCCAATTAGAATTGCTCAACAGAATTATGCCCACAATTAAAAAAAAAAAAAAAAAAGAGAATAAAACAGGAAAGCGCTGACAAATTAAATTATGGCATCTGCCGCTTCAGAAGCATTAGTTAAGACAAATTAACATCAAAGAAAAACAGCATTTGTAATTTTGAAAATTTTGGTTTCAAAGTCACAGACACCGGACAAAATAGGTAAGTTTTAAGAGCTCTCACAATGGTTGCCACGGCTTACAGATTATTATGCTGAAGCTTGACTACAAAATTGACTACGTAAATCAAATCGCAATATCTGTCAAAACAATTGCAATTAGATATTTTCCCCAAATCGCACAGCCCTAGTCCAACTTTTAAAAACGTCTGTTTTGGATAATTTCAACGAAGTGCTCTGGTAGAACATTTGTCTAGATATTTAATGGGTTATGAGTCGGGCCATACACAATCTGAGGACATTTTTTGCCATTTTTGCACAAAAATTTGAAAAAATAAAAATCTGGAGATTTTTACAAAAAGTAAATAGACTCAGTGATCAACTAAAAATCTGCAGATTTCTGTGCGCGCAGATTCCGTGTGGGACTAGTTGTTGGCAATGAATAGCTTTTATGTGGTAAATGTAACTTTATACTTCCTCAGCTGAAACACTAATTCAGCAATTGCCTGGGACTTGGTAGTTTTAAGATTTCTGTCAACAATATTTATAGTTAAATATGTGGTGTAGTTTACAGAGTTTGAAAGCTCAGACTGTTCTGGTTATCAAAAGCAACAAAGTACGATGTCATTAACATTACAAATCCTGTTTAGTGAAATTGTACATGTGCATCAGCAGAAAACAGCATAGACTGAAAGATTTAAATGAGCTTAAATGACGTAATCAGCATGTTGTCAGCCAAGCTCCTCTTTCTTGCCTTATCTGACCTGTTTCAAATGTCCATTCTGTGCAGATGAGACCATCTTGTCTTTGTTCTTCAAACCGCCCTTCATCCTGATAAGTTGACCTTCCTCCAGCGTTATTTCAGGGAAGTGTTTGTTCAGCATACCAAGCCAAGTGTTACTGGTCTATGAACATATCATCTCTGCACTTTGGAGAAGACAACTGAAGTTTTTTTTAATTCACATAAACTCCCCCACAAACTCTTCTTGTGTTCAAAAAAGCTAAATGACAACACAATTGTGCCACAACATGGTGCCATCGACTGGTCATATTGTTCAGAATAAATCAAATATGGTTGCAGTTTTTGTTAAATGAAGATAAAAATGCAGAAAAAAATGCACATTTAAAATCTAAATCATGCAAGCAAGAAGACAGAGCTACATCCAACAGTTTTATTATCTGCAGATTAAGTGCCTAGACGAGTCTCTTTTTAATAGCTCCTGCCTCAATTTCCATGGCTTCGCTCTAAAGTAAAGCACTTCTTTGGACATTTTAGTCTTTCAAATGGCTGAAAATGTAGTTTCTGAGACGACAAACTGTAGACAGCTAGCTGTTCTCTTAATTCACAACTCATATTGGTGCTTTAGCAAAACCATGACCCATGCTTTCATGTTTTCTACAGTATATACTTGTACTGACAAACCAAGACAGGCAGTGGCATAACAACCCAAAAAAAACATAAGCTTTATAAATCCCACAGTTAAACCTTTCTAGCGGGGTGCTATTGAGTTGCAGGATGTTATGAAAAATAGTTATTTTACTACCTCAGAAGTTACCACAGCTCAGAGCCACACTTGGATCAAACTATAAGAGCATGCTTGTCTTTTTTGTTTGCAGTAAAATAAATATAGTCGTTATAGTCTGTCTAATGGCTTGGTAATCTGATGAGAAGAGGAATTAATTTTTCTTTTGTATGTGTGAAATATCGTATTGAGACTGTATGTTCTCCAGAATAAGATAAACATCATGTTCATCCATTAACGTTATGCCTGAAGAAAGGCAGTAAAATGGTTAAATGATCATAACATCTTTAAATAGTTGCTAATAGTCTAATATGTTGGACAGTAAGACTGGTTTCTAGTTATCTGCTATAGAGCACTGTGAAAATAGGAATTTCTCTTCATCTGTTGTGACACTACATCTTTTTTGTTGTTGTTGGTATAGTAGTTCCTATCATACGGATGGTAGATATTCAAGTGTTCTGAGTTTTCATGAGAGGAAGAGTAGCGAGGCCTCAGTGTGGGAAATGTGCAATATTTGTTTCTTTGTCTTGTTTTGAGATGAATATGTATATTGTACAAACAAGTGACAAGTTGTTCGCAAAAACAACAAAATCACCAATGTCTTCCATTAAATGATGTATAGTTTCATCTGCTTGCTTTAGGGTGGCGGGATTTGTAGTGCCAGCGTAGACATGGACATGCATGTACGGTAGCGATGCTTGCTGAGTTTAATAGTCGTAGTGACATTCAGTATAGGCTATAATAAAGTCAGTTAGTACATAAATATAGGCAAAGATTTAGTTAGTAAACACCATAGATGCAGTATCCACACCTTGGTTAATTTGATTAAGAAGCGAGTAGTAGGGCTGCACGATTCTGGCTAAAATGAAAATCACGTTTTTTTGTTGTTGTTTTTTTTTTAATCAAGATCGCGATTTTCTCACAATTCTATAGATGTAGAATAAAGGTTTATATGAGAAGGCTATTATTATTATTGTTAATTTTCAAATATATGGTAAAACAACATTAGCATTAGGCCTGTGTCATTCTAACGTTTTGTATAGGCTTGGAATGGTGGACTGGTTCATGTCTTTAACAACATTATTAGAAAATTTTTTTCACTGGTAAAATTAAACCAGTAGTATCGTCATTAATGGTCTATCTACAATAGATAATGTTACATGTGGAAAATTAACTAAAATGCTCACATTCACATGTTTGTGCAATAATAGACCTTTTGATTTGAATAGTTTTGTGGAGCCCTTTGTGTTGAATTCATGCCTTTTATGGTAACCTGTTGCATGTTTTCTGACGCTTTAGTTCGAGTGCATATCTGAATCAGTTCATTTTTGTTCCTGTCAATATAATTTAGTAGCTATAACAACCACAACGATCTCTTTAAAAGAAAATAACAATAGTTTAAAAAATGAGCAACAGGAAACATTAAAACAATTTTATATACATCAAATAGCCAAATTTTGCTGGAAAAATGCTCTTTTGGTAACATATTTCATTCGGTATAATTTGTATCTTTATTTTAAAGTATTTTTGTTGGTCAGTTTTCTACAAAATAAACGAAAAGAACGAATGCATTTTAGCTGAAGTGATGTGCAAATACTTCTTCAATAATAAGGGAATTATGAATTAAATTCAAGTAAACCTATTATAACATAAAATATAGTATTTCTAATAATTTTATTTATTTAATAGATTTGAGTTTGAATTACAGTATCACAATACTATTTGATTCCACAATACTTCAACTGGTATAGTATCTTAACGTAAATTAATAGTATCGCGACAACCCTAATAAATATAGTATGGGACACGTAACAGCATTTGGAGGTGTCCACATTGCTGAGCAACTTGCCTAAAACAATGTGAAGACTTGTGCGACTGCCCTTACGCTTCTCTCCTGACTTAATATACGTAGGTGAATCGTACAACAGCTGGATTAAGATCATGTGTAGGGTCGAATCAAGATCACGTTCTTTTATCGATTAATCGTGCAGCCCTAGCAAGTAAGCATTTACTCTTGGTTTTAGTTTTTAAGTGACATACGCTGTAGTTTATTCACTGGTAATCACTATTAGTTGATGATAACGTCATAGCATGCTGAGGATTAGTAAAATGGCGGTTGGTATTGATGTGCGACTAGCCATGCTGAAATGCATATATATGTTTCATAAGCACTGTGTCAGTTTGTCCTAGTTTGTACTGTGCAAAATGAAGTTCTGGGCTCAAAATAGTCGACTCAGATCAAAACGTCTGTCCCAAATAGGCCAAAATTTGGCTCAGTAGCTTAGAATACGCAGGTGTTGAAGAACTTCATTCAGTACCTGTTTCAAGGTTGCTAAAACTGTACTGGACAGAAAGAATAGACTTCTCTCTTCCTAAATAGAACTGTGTTTGTTTTCATACCTCTAATATTGCATTCTCCATCAGGTAATGTTGTCTCAAACTAGAGCTGTGGGTAGATTATTCCTAGTAGCAGAACATGTAGATTTTAACTCAACGTGTAGAAAATTAAGTGGCATAAAGCAATTATCAAAGCATTGTAATGTAGATAAATACCTCAATGACTGGAATGCAAACTATATATTTTTGAATATACTCGAAAAAATATGCAAGCCATGATGTGTATTAAGTTCATCTTTTAGAAGCAATAATCAGTTTATGCATGAGTTAAAGTACCGGAACAGTTTAGTGGTGTTTGTAATATCTGTAGCATATCTGTGACAGTGACAAGTGTTTGATCCTGAATATCTCATTGCTCATAATTAAAAGTTTTCCATTCCTCCATTTTTCATGGACACCAAATAAATATGTTAAGGTAGCACTGGGGGTCTGACTAATAAAGAGGATTTTTTGGGTGGGTTGACGAAAGTTAGAAGAATCATCTACATATGCAGGGCTTTTGCTCTTATTAAATTTGCATGTTTACCTAATCATTGTGGAAAGCACATAAGCTGTATGTTTATTGACAGCTTATTATCATTAACAGCAATATGAGCAGTGTTCTGGGTAGCAATTTGTAATACTGATGACTCATTATCCTCATGAAGCCTGGACAAACATTTTACCACTTTACATTTACAAACCCCATTTGGAGTAAAGTATTTTTTAAAGAGTGCAAAAAAAACCTGATGCATGGTAGAAATGGATAAGAAATGTTTTGTGCTGCATGCAATAATTGAGCTTTGCTTGAAAATGTTTATGCAGAAATGTGATGACACTAAATCTATGAGTGGACCAGTGTTGTGACTTTCTTTTTAAATGCATGGAATCCCAAAGTTGATCTCTACTGTAAATTATTCACAGACGTGTTCATTGAGAAATGTTTGATTACTGTATGATGGAATTGTAACAAGTTTGTTCTTCAAGAGGCAAAGTCAGATGCAGTGTTTTAGCAAAGTCTTAACAATTGTGAGTTGAAACGGGAAAAACTATTTGTGTTATGTTCAATGCAAATAATATTGCAGAATATAAGTTAATATGCTTTGCAGACCTGATTTGCGTTGCTGATTTTGCCTCTGAATGTGAAACTCTATGCTTAGTCTGATCTATGCACTACAGAAGCGTCCCGCATGGTTTTGTACAAAATATTAAATTTTAGCAATAAAAAAAAGCAGCATGGTGCCAATCATAACATGTGTCTTTTTTCTTCAATGTTAAGATCCAACCTTTCATCAAAAATGTCCTAAAACTATTGAAAAACACCCAATCTTGTCTTAACCTTTTACCTGCCCCACCAAGAAAACATTTTTTGGATTGCATTTCTTAACTTTCTAATGTCGCTAGTTAACACACTCAATGCATTTTCTTTCAACACATCCCATAATTACTAAAATATCAGCCTTTACCAAATTGTTGATATGTCTGTTTATGGCAAAGTACCAGAATTAATTAAATAATTCTATGAAAATCTTTTTTTTTTTTTTATAAGTATGCCATAAAATATTTCAAATTCTCATTTAACATGTTTTCTTGCCTTTTTTTTCTTTTTTCCAATAAAACCAAAATCAAGTGTAGTAGTGCAACAGAATTATGTTTGTTTTAAACCAACAATGTGTAGTGTAAACCATTCTATGGTCCTTTTCACACCACACCGATTGCTTTGGTCCAAGCCAGTTAAAAAAAAAAGAACCAAAATTCAGTCCTGTGACAAAATCCACATCACTCATTGGCCAGATGTTCATTTACTCATTCATTCATTCATTTTCTTTTCGGCTTAGTCCCTTTATTAATCTGGGGTCGCCACAAAGGAATGAACCGCCAATTTATACAGCATATGTTTTATGCAGTGGATGCTCTTCCAGCTGCAACCCATCTCTGGGAAACATCCATACACACTCATACACTACGGATATTTTAGCCCACCCAGTTCACCTGTACCACATGTCTTTGGACTGTGCGGGAAACCGGAGCACCCGGAGGAAACCCATGCGAATGCGGGGAGAACATGCAAACTCCACAGAGAAACGCCAACTGACCCAGACGAGGCTTGAACCAGCAACCTTCTTTTCCTTCTGAATTAATTTAGCTAAACTGCTACATGGTCATCTTCTGGAAATATTACCAATGATCCATCAGGTAATGTTTTTCCCTCTCTCTCTCTCTCTCTGTTTGAAATTGTTGGTAAAGCGCTGTCAACAAATATTTTTCCTCCACATACTATAAGATGGGACAGCACGTCACACCTGCCCAAACGAACTGCAGAAAGAAGGAAAACGAACTCTAGTGGGATTCAACCAAACTAAGTAAGGCAGGTGTGAAAACACCCTAATAGTCATTATTCAAAAAAGTCCAAATATGGTCAACTATTTAGTAGAGTAGGCAGTTAAAGGGTTAGGGCAGTTTTGATAAAATTGAAGTGTTGACTACTGCATTTTATTTTGTTTTTCCTGAACCTTATGTGGAACAATTGAACTGTAATGTGGTAGTTAATATAAAAGCATATAAAAAATAATTCCTAATAAATACAATACAAAAATATTAATTTTATTTAAAGTTTTAACAAAAAAGTTATCCAATAAAAATATTTACATCTTCCAAGTCTGCAATTTTAGTTCACGTCATGTGTGCACATTTTTTCCATCATTTGCTCCAGAATGTCTACCTGCTTCAGTTTAGTTTCTAAGTACTCCTTCAGCTGAAAAGAGAAGAACAATCTTCAATCCATTTCCACTGTAAAAGTAACCTAAAATATTTTAAAAATGCATCTGTAAAATAAGTAATGACGGCATTATTACCTTTTTGATATTTTTGTCCATGAGTCTGTGTTTGAAGTTGATTTTGGAGGCTTTAACACATGTGCCGCTTCTTAGAATGTAGCTGGAATGTAAAAATGTCCATTAAATCTGGTATGTTTAAATAGTGCTTCACCTAAAAATATAAACTGCTGTTAATTTACTCCCTCTCAAGCCATTCAATATGCAAGATTTATTAAAACTGTGGTCCACTGGCATTTGTGACCTGCAATTTAACGGGTGCCAGCACTTTGAGACTTAAAAAGAAACATCTAGAGGAAAACAAAATGATTACAGTGGCTCCTGAGTATTCACTGAGCTCTTATCAAGATAAATCAGCCTGGCAAAAAGCTGACATGATTTTCTAAATAAATTGCCTTAATCCACAGCTTTGTTATGCACTCATTACAGTCTGGGGTGTGAGTTTCCAGTCACATGAGTCCAAACTTAACCAGCCACAGGTATTATTATTTTGCCTTTATGTCTTTTTGACTGCTGCTGATTTGCACTTTATCATTCCCAAGAAGAGAAAAAGTAACCTACATCTTGGATGGCCCATGGGTAATTAACAGATTTGTACATTTTTGGCTCAATTAAATATCTATTACAAAGCAACTCCTACCAGTTTATCAGCTCTTTTCGTAAAAGGAAGAGATTTCGTAAAGCAGACAGGTGCTTCGGGGTGGAATGAAGAACCAAGCCAACAGCATCATGACAGCCAGTGCAGAGAAGGGTTTGGTAGGTGCTACAGATGGAGACAACACGAAACAAGATCATCAAACATCCAACAATGCATGACATGAGCTGAAAAGGCTGAGATCGACAGACTTACGAGGAAGCCAGCTGACCGCTCGAACACATCTCGTGCTTTTCATTCACCATCACATCCTCAGTAACTTCTTCAATGGGAAAGATTGAAATGTGTCAAAGTTATGAACAGCACAAATCAGTCCAAGGAACTTGAAAAATGTGGGAAAAAAATATTGAAAAGCCTTTATTGACATGGCTATTTCTTAATTTTTTTTTTGTCAGTTTTGGGGGATAGCCAAGTCAATAAAAGCTTTTCAATATTTTTCCACATTTTTCAAGTGTCTTGGACTACTAATTTTTGCTGTTTATTCTGATGAATCCCTTAACCAACAAGCACCGCCACATTATTTAAGCTACCCCTGAGCATTTTTTTGTTTGATTGTGGTCTTAAAGGGATAGTTTACCAAAAATGTACATTTACTCACCCTCAAGTGGTTCCAAATCTTTGAGTTTCTTTATTGAAGCTTGTGTATTGTTTAAATTGACTATACTTTTGTTATGTTGGTGGCAGTTTTTGCCCCATTGACTATTATTATAACAACTTTTTTTGATTGTGAAGCACAACATAAGCATGCATTCTTGATAGTTGGTAGTTTCCACTGTCATTTTCTACTGTTGATTATTAGTGGGTACCATTAACCCTTTAGATAGGCCTTTGCAAACAAGATTCTGGCTTTTAGTCATTTTATATCGAGTTCTGCAAACAGCAAATTATACTGTGCGTGCATAAATATACTTGCTGTTTTAAGTGCTGAGGTGCTTAATTTGATTTTCTTAGAAATATAAAGGTAAGTGCAAAGGTATCTTATACACACACTATACTTTATATAAGAGTCAAAAAATAAGCCTTTTTTCCACTGTAACTAATGATCAACAGAAAAATAAATATAATGTAACCTATTCCTAACAGGGGAAAAAAAAAACAACAATCAAGAATACATAATATTATGGTATCATGGTTTTGCGATCAAAGCAAAAATGTTATAATGTAAGCCAATGGGCAAAAAGAGCCCTTAACATAACAAAAGGGTAATGCATTTGCCCAGAGTGTATTGTTGAGTTTGACACATTTTCCCCCCAAAAATTGTCAAAATAAGATGTCACCAAAAGTCATTTCATTTTCTAAAAACACAGGTGGTGGCCAAATTACACATCAAATGTCACATTTGAGTGGATGAAAACATCCCTAACAACAGCACACAAGAGATAAGTTGAAGTCAAAAGAAGATAATGTGAAGAAATATTTGTAACAATTGACTTCCATTGTAGGAATAAAATACTATGGAAGTCAATGGTTAACGTTACAGCTTTAAAATATCTTCTTTTGTGCTTAACAGAAGAAAGAAACTCATAAAGGTTTGAAACTAACAAAAGATGAGTAAATAAATGACGGAGTTTGCATTTTTGGGGTGACCTATCCCTTTAAACAAAAATGTCTCTGCAGTAACTTGGTCATAACAGGCAGCACATCGCCCCCCGCGTGTTTAGTGTATTTCACAAAACCTTTTAAGACGTAATGAGGTAAGTTTCGAGTTTAAAATGAGGTAAAATATAACTTACTCAAACAAATGACACTTTGGCTGCTCTCCACTTCCCCGCAGACGCCGAGAGAGTCTCCAAGCACAGTGTTGCATGTTATGCATTGGAAAACGATGCAATTCCTAAAGTCTACCATGCAGATTTCTTTATCCTTCACCGCTTGAAGCTGTTCTACAATTGAACTTGACTGTGTCGAGTCACATGGACCGATATCATAAGAGCTTTCGAGTAAACTCCGAGTGCTGTTCGCCATTATCGCATAGAGATTTGTTTCTACTGTGGATGTTGCTGTGGACAGCTCACACACAAGTTCAAAAGACGCTTCGTTTATTGTTTTGAACGTAAGGTGGCGCTCTAAACTGCTCAATCAAAACCCGCCTTAGCCGTTGACTTTAAGCCAATCAACGTCAACCAGATGATAAATCTATTTCTTATTGGATATAATACAACGACGTCATACACTCTTTAACCAATCATCTCCATGAAATCTGTTTTTGAAACACGGTATTTTTTCAAACGACAATCACAAACCCAAACTAACCGATCCGACATCAGAGAGCAGTCGATTACTGTATTATACTTGTGCCTCTTCAACTTACGTCGATTTTATAGGCAATAACATGGATTTAGACTCGCTAAAATATGCGGAATTGCAGCGCCTCGCCAAAGAAGTGGGACTTAAAGCGAATATGAAGGTAAGTTTTGTTGTATAAGATAAAGTGGTGCAGTTCGTTACTGTTTACATGCAACCAGACATGTGATGTAAATCCAGCATGGTTTTAAACCCACCACATTTAGTTTATAGACATTAAAGTATTATAGCATGTTGCTACATTTAAACTTAACGTTACCTTATCTTGTTCAGTAACTTTACGCATTGCTGTTTTAACTTATTCAGCACTTTGATTTGATAGGCTGAAAGGCTGTTGAAGGCTTTAAAAGAACACTTTTCACAACAGCAGCTTTCTGAGAACGTGAGTAATGTCTTTGGGATTTAACAACTATAAGAAATTTTAAATCTGACTATTAGCTTAAACGCCGTGGCCGTTGTTTGCAGGGCAATGACGCTGCCGCTTCGGACGCGCACGATTCTGTTCCTCCTGTGGACGCGCACGCTGCAACATATGTGACCGAGCGCAGAGGAAAGGGCCGCACCGCCAAGAGGAAGCTCAGTGAACCAACACCGATCATTTCTCCGGTACACAAATCACATTTACTGACTACTTTATCTTTCATTTGTATGTATTGGAGTGAAATATGTATTTTTGTTTTTAATGCATATTCTTTAGACTGAAGAAAAAACACCACAAGATGAGGGTCGAAGGGGCTCCAAGAGAAGAAAGGTGTCTTCAGCCAAGGATACACAGACTCCAGTTCCAGCTGAAGCTTTCGCTAAAGAGAATACTATGGAGAAAGAATCTGGAGATCTAAATCCAGATTCTGAAAGTGGTCCAACAGAAACGGGTGTGAAAGGTAATGATTGTTTTAATGAATTGTGCTCATTATTAGGAGTGATTTTTTTAACTCACTGAATCACTTGTGCTTGTACAGTGTATGTAGTGATGACTAGTAATATGAATTACAATATTGGTGATGCAGGGAGAAGAACAGTTGGTAAAATTCCCCGCCATAAAGGTCTGATGAAGAGAAAACCTGCAATGCGGCCGACAACTCCTAGTAATATAATATATTCAGTTTTATACAGGACAACAAAATATATATTTTACATTCTCTAATAATAAAAAAAAACAGTGTCTTTAATTGATCGTTTCATCTCTTATTAATTTTAAGCTCTTCTCTTTAATAATGCATTTTCAATTACTGTTCCCCAGACTTCAAGAAACTCCACGAGGCTCACTTCAAAAAGATGGAGTCCATCGATTCGTACGTCCAAAGAAAGAACAAACAAATGGAAGTGCTCAGGAATTCAGTTAAAGAGCTGAAGGTAACAGAGAAATAACATTAGAAACTTTAACCTAAATAAAAATTAGAAATGTTGTCTTGGAAATCAACTTTAACAATATTTTTAATTTTATTGTTGTCATCATTGTTAATATTAATATTATAATTAGTATTTTATATCACTTCAAAATATGTAAGTAAAAAAGGATACTACAAAACAAAATAAAAAGGTCAAAATACACTACAAAATAAAAAGGATAGTTCCTTGGTGATTCGTATAAATGGCAGTCAATGGTTCTTGTTATTTTAGAACAGTAGTTCCCAAACTTTTTGCTGTGTGCACCCCTTTTTAATATTTGAGACCTGTTAAGCACTCCTTTCTCCGATTAAACTCCATGTTTTTAACTACAATAACTAAATACTTATTTTTCTGTGTACGTTATTAAAATAAAATACGTAAATTTAAAGGATGAGCTTTTATGAATTTGACAATTTTCACAGCGTCATGCATAGGTTGTAAATAACAATTTGTTATGTGATTTTTTTTTTCGTTGTAATATTTGTAATATGACATGTGAAGTTTACCAAAGATAAATGCATAAAAATAATAAAAGATAAAAAAATTTCCATTACAAACATTCTCTAGCGCACCCCTGGTGGTCAGACTGCACACCCCTTGGTGCACGCACCTCAGTTTGGGGACCACTGCTTCAGATAAAAACAAATGCATACAAAAATATCCTGGTGGCACACTGATGTGTTGTAAAAAGAACCGATCAGTCTGTGTAGGAAATGTAACATTATTTAAAATACTATTAGCTTTAATTCACAGCCTGGGCAAACAATTCTTGGTCTATGCACGAGTGTGTTGAATGCAAGTATATTTTTAATTAAAAAAAAAAACAGTAACCATTGACTGCCATTATATAAATCATTAAGGAGCTATCACTTTTAACATATATTTAGTAATATAAAAATAACTTAAATTAATATATATATATATTTTTTAAAAAGGTTGCACAAAATATTTCAAAGATCTATAATGTAGTTAAAACAGAAATAGATTGAACATTTTCTTCAGGTATCTGAAGTTTAGTTTACACTTACTATTATTTACTTTTATCATTTCAGACCCTGTCAGAAAAGACACTGAAGAAACCCGAGGCAAAGGCTCAAACTGTAAGTCACTATAGGTTCAGATATCAATTGATCAATCTTTTATGATTCTGTTTGAATTGCCATGTACCCTGATCAGTTCTTGTGAAATGTTGTGTTAAAAATGGCATAGTGTCATCTTTCTAAAACTGTGGGGAGGGTATCTTCAAATATGTTTGAAAAAAAAGTTATGTTTTTGAACGTTGAATTGTTTAAATTCAGCAAGGTTTTTCTTTCTGAAAGTGTTTTACCTGAATATTAAGCAAACTTTTGTATTGTGTCCTATTAGAAAGTGCCTTCTAGCCGAGCATCTCTCTTCAGTCCTGCAGTGCAGAAGACAGCAGTGCCAGAAAGACGCAGACTCACTCAGCAGCCGGTCAGCAAGTCCGCTTTAAAGGACACCGCCACCTTCAGGCCAACTGTCCTCACCACCAATAAAATCAATGTCCGGTAAATGCATAATGTGCTTTGTCACATTTTTAATGCTTTTAGTTTTATGATCAAAGTGTTTTAGTTTGATTAAAGTGATTTATATTACCTCTTGAGGCCATACAAGATGTTCTACTGAAGAACGAAAGTCAATTACATCAAAAAATGTTTAGCCTTTATAAAATGAACTTTGAGAGTCAAAAAGACATAATTAATTGCCCTTTTCTCCTCATCACACATTTAGATCAGTTTGGTGAAGTTATGTATTAATAATGTTAGATATTAATAATTTTCAGTCTCTTTCTTAGATCATTTGTTTGGGTTCATAAGAGCTCAGTGTGTCATCAGGAGCCACAGGTGTTCATTTTATTTTGCCTGTGCGTCTTTGACTCGTGGAAAGTGCCAGTAGCTTTTGACTTTGCATTTAATAAATCACCAAGGATATAAATTTCAGCTAAAAGATTTCAACTGAAAACAAAAGTTATTACGGCTGAGCTTGACTTTTTCACGAAACTGCTGCTTTTCTGTGTAGGTTTTCTCAAGCCACTCAAGATAATGAATACAAGCGTTCGCTGGTGAAGACTCCAGCTCGTATGTCTCCTCACATGCCTCTCACCTCCACTCCAGGGAGAAAATCTGATGTTCGTTCCAAAGCTGAACTAAACAGAAGTGCTAGCACCATCACTAAAACACCCGGTATGGATGCCATTATTGTGTGTTACTTTATTTTTACAACTGAAGTGAAGTGAGCCGTTGTATTGTTCATTTCATACTGTAAATTTGTCCTCTGCTTTTAACACATCCAAGTACACACAAACATTTTGAGTGAGAAGTGAAAGCACAAACATGCACAGTAAAGGATTGGATTTATCTTATTTGGTTGTCTTCGTTTGCTTTCTTTTAAAGGGGCTACGCCATTTGTTTTTAATGGCAACAACAGCATTTCCACCACGCCTGGCACCACCAAGAAAAACACATTTGACCTGAAGGCCAGTCTCTCTCGTCCACTGACCTACAAACCCCACAAAGGTATTTCCCATGTTTCATAAAGAAATGAGAATGCAATGCTAACATCTTAGGTAGTGTTTGAGTCTAACTGATCCTATGTGCCTGCCATTATCTGTACAGGAAAACTGAAGCCTTTTGGAGATGCACAGGAGAACACGGCACTTAACAAATCCCAGACTGTCCCTTCACATCAGAAAAACTACAAACAGCACCAGGTTCAAACCCGGTAAGATGCTTGCTTTAGTTGTGCAAAACATTTCAACTTTCTGTACCAACTTGGCGTGGATTTCTGAAGGATTGTCATTAAAGATTGGAGTTTTGCCAAAATAAGAATGTTATTTAAAATATATGAATAAAGACAAGGGATTTGATCGTTTATTACTTTTTCTTTTTTTTATGTCAGAGAGGAACGACGTGTCAAGCACACAGAAGATCGAAAGCAGAAGAAAGAGAAGATGTTGGGTGCCAGACGAGGTTTAGTTATGGCCTAACTTGCAGTGTTTTTACTACTTTTACTTTGACACTCACTGTACATGTTTAGCTTTCGTCTCGTTTGTCTGTTTTTTTTCCAAACTATTGTACATTTTTGCTCTTTTCTAAACACTTGTTCTTTGCTGACTCTTGTTGTCATTCTACTAAAGTCTTTTAGCATTTCTAGACGAGGTTTTTTGATACTTTGTTTTTTATGTGAAGAAAAACTATTCTGACCAATATTATTTGGTATGAATGGTTGAAATGTATTTGCTTCAGTGTATTGTAAAAACAAGAAAAGATCAAAACAAAACATTGGCCATACAAAAAGTTTGTTTGAAACTTGAGTGATAAATTATCATTTTGTACTTTTTCATGGGGTCATATTTTATGTATATTTGTCTGTATGAACGATGATGTCTCTTTAAAAAAACAAACAAACGTCCAAGTACTTTTTTCCCGAAAAGTTTTTAATTAAAGAATTTGTTAATCCATACCTAATTGTTGAATCCTATTTAATACAACCAGAACTATGGGTTTTTCTTGTAAAGCTCATATGCAAACTCCTCAGTGTGGGCACAGTCATTATTCAGACCAATGAAATCAATCTCCAGCTGAAATGGACCATCTGCTTTGTCCCCCAATGTAAAACCAATAGTATTTATCTGGGAAAAAAAGCACAAAAAACAAACTTATGATAACTGACTGTTCTTTTAATGTGTCCTCAGAGAAAATAAAGATAAAATGCTAATTTCAGTTCACTGGATAAACTCCAAGTACATACTGACCTTGTCCAGCCAGAGAGGATGCTGACTATCCTGGATTCTTCCCCGACTGGAAAGGAAAAACTTGGAGAATGGAATCTGTAAAAGAGATTTACAATTATCAAGCAAGAATCTGGAGCCAAATATTATTACCACATAAAGGTCAGAATTTAAGGTTTCTGCCAGGCTCATTTATTGACGTTTAAGATATTTATAATATTACAGCTTAGAGACAGTTATTTTAAAATGCAATTTTTGTAATTTATAAAAGCATCTTTTCTGACCCCCAAATCTTTAAACATGTTAAACCGATGCAATGGAATCAATGCACTGTCAAATCCATGATATTTTTCTTTTCTTTAAATGAAGCACATGCCTTGACATCCTGCCAGTAGGGTCCCCCTCTCGTGTAAAGGAAGTAACTGTAGATGTCATCTCTCTGGTGAGAAAAGTAGGTTTCAGCGGACACGTTTATCATCCACGGTCTTCCATCGCCTCGTATCCGCAAATGTAACGTGTTGAAACTTGACCAGTCATAGTGCTTTTTCCTGTCAAATGAGGCCTGCAGCAGAAAAGTACGTTTTAAAGGCAAATTTACAAGTTATTGCCCATTTACTCCTATATTTAAATTAATGCAAAAATCTGTTGCTCATTAGCCATGTACACACTGTAGATAAGTTTGGATAGACACACAGTTCCTTAAATTACGCAAATGATAACCACACATAACAACAGTGACTGAACTAGGGCTGCTTGATAATGAAAAAACATGGCAATATTTTATTTTGTTGCGAAATATTTTGCAATATGAATATAATTTCACCAGATGATTTGGATAGCTCTTTGAAAAGAGATTTTATTCATTTAGATTGACTGGGATAATGAAATCTTCTATGCGGTACATCTGCATAAAATATAATAAATTTAAAAGCATATTAACATGACAGCAAAAATAAATTACATGGTTTTCTAGGGAGTCAAACCGAATTTAAGTACAGAAATTTAACAATCAAATGTAAAATAATGTGGTTATTAATATTGCATAGATTAATTAGAATATTTAATAATATCTTCATCTTTTAATCTTCAATAAATCTAATCCTGCGATGTAAATATTGCAGATACACACACACTGCAATATCGAAGCTCAAACAATATATTGTTCAGCAATAGACTGAACAAGAATGTAGGTGATTCATTTTCATATTTAAAAAAGGCTATGTATTTGGTTGAAATAAAATTTGTCATTTAGAATTTTGCTTTAATTTTTAGATTTTCAAATATTGTTCTTTTGTTTTCTTTTCATTCATGAAAGATTTCTGTTTCTAAAAAACAACTTTTCAATCAAAAACATTTTTTAAATTTTAAAACATGTATATTAAATATAAAACATCTTTTTTTTTACAATGCAAAAAAATTATTTCTGTGTTTTCAGCCAAATAAGGGCAGGCTTAGACAGACAATTTCTTTCAAAATCAATCAAGAAATAAAAATAAAAAATTGTACCAACCCCTAACTTTTCAACTGTAGGTATGTTGTATACATACAAAATTATTGCATGCAATTTTAGCAGATCAGATTAAGGTTTTTACACAAAAGATAAATTAGTTAAAAAATAATAACTTCTATTATAATTAAAGGTGCAGTAGGTGATTGTCTTCAGAAACATTTGTTGTTGTGCTGGTTGAAAGTCTCTTCACAGTACAATAGTAATGATTAAAGTAAATGATCTAAATGTATTTACATGTATTTTTTTTATTTTGGTAAGGCATAAAACTAAAAAATGTTCATCCAATTAAATAGAGTCGGGCCGACATCTCTCATAATTCCGATAAGTAGACCAAACTGTCTGTCAGCAAATGCAGATTTGAACAACTGCGCAGCCGTTTGTATGCAGCTCCGCTGACCGCTGTTTGTGCGTAGATCTGCTGCGCGTTCATGAGACAGAGCACGAGCGCGTGCACGATCAGCAAAAACATGCTGAATTAAAACTTTTTAAAAACCTCAATCAATATTGCAGTTACCTTTGCATGCTGGAGAAAGGATGACACCATGGCTGAAGGATTTCTCATAGACCGGTTATGTTCTGTTTTAAAACTGTTTTAGCTTCACGCAAAGCTGATGAAACATTAGATGTTGTTGTTGCAGATGGGTTATATCTTCACAGAAGTGTTGTTCAGCCACTAAAATCTTCCAGTGAAAGATTAAAAAGACTATTTTCAGTTTCACAAGGGACCTTTTACAGCATCGATAATGTCGATTTTAATGTATTTAACAACAAAACACAAGTAAATACCGCTATTCAGCCTAGTCTCTTCCTATATTGTTTACCATGCAACTCTAAATATTCGCTCTGAAATAGCATGTCAGTTTGGCTTAGTAATGTGTAATTCCTGCATGCCGCCGGACAAGCACTAGTCGCTTTTTATACGAGAGAGGGTTGTTTTGCTGTCATCTTTAAGGTGCACGTGCTCCTGTTTCAGGAGGCGTGGCTCTGGACGGCAGGGGAGGGACTGTGATTCAGAGATTTATGCTAAGCTGTTAGCATTGTGAAAGATCACCTACTGCACTTTTAAAAGAATCTGGCAATGTATTATGTCCCATTTCTTTAAATACCTGCTGTACAAATGCATTGATTGAATAACGTTTGCAGAATGTAAAAAATCTTAAGTAAATGCATTAAATGTTGGTAAAAATAATAAAGAGACACAGATGTGGGATCTCAGCACTGACCTTTGGGGGTTTGGAGCGCATAGAGCAGTATCCACTGTATCGAGTCTCTCCATCACGTGGAGGGGTGGAGCTCAAGGTCCCATACAGCAAACACGTGGTGTTGTTTTTGCCCAGACTGACATAAGCCACACTGCGGCCCCCAATCTCCTGATCAGATGACACAATCCACTCATTTAGACTCTCAGGACCCCGAAACTCCCACACGACACGGGTCTGTTCCAGCATGTGCTCTATTATTGGCTTTCCTTCCGGTCCAATCCAGCGCTGGAAAAACTCATCCTTTAACAAGCCAAAGTGCTTCCTGACACTCTCCACACCTTTGGAGAAATCAAAGTTTATCATCTGCCAAGGCCAGCGTGTGTCTGGAGGCTGACCGGGTCTCTGGTAATCTCGCTCAAACTTGCTCCTGGTGATCTGTATAGATGCACATTTGAGTGAGGAAGGGAACAACAGAGGCTGTCTGTAAACCACTCCACAAACTCCATACAGGGACTTGAGTGTTGTTCTCGATACAGCCATTTAGTCTGGGTAGCTCTTGGGATCAGATTAGACATCCAGAAGACTGCTGAAAAAATTAAAAACATTTATAACAAACAGTAAAATCGTATATGCATCATTTAGAGCCATTATTTTCATTTATTTATTTTCATTCCAGCTTAGTTTCTTTATTTGTCAGGGGTTGTCACAGTGGAATGAACCGCCAACTTATACAGCATATGTTTTACACAGCGCAACCCAGTACTGAAAAACATCCATACACACTCACTCAGACGCACACACAACAGACAATTTACCTTATTCAATTCACCTATAGCACATGTCTTTGGACTATGGGGGAAACCAGAGTACCCAAAGGAAACCCACACCAACACGTGGAGCACATGCAAACTCCACACAGAAATGCCAACTGACCCAGTCAGGACTTGAACCAGTGACCTTGCTGTGAGGCGACAAGCCACCGAGTCACCCATACTTTATTTTATAAATGTAATACTTCCTGTTCTGATTTAAAGGAATAGTTCACACAAATTTTAAATTTACGACCCTTTTACTCAATGGTTACTTTATGGGTTTCTTTCTTCTACACAAGAAAAGATACTTTGAAGAATGGTAAAAATCTGTAACCACTTACCAAATTCCATGTAACAATGATTGCAGGTTTAAGAATTCTTCAGAATATACTTTGTGTGTGTAACAGAAGAATGAAACTAATTAAAGGTTGAAACAAGTAAAGGGTAAGTAAATGAGAACAATATTTTAATTTTGAGGTGACCTACCCCTTTGAAGGTTTTAAACTGTAGAAAAAATTATTGAGTCAATTATCACTGAACAGGAACTAGGGCTGCACAATATATAGTTTCAGCATCGATATCGCAATGTGCACATCTGCAATAGTCATTGCAAAGACATGCAATGTTAAGTCTGGATTATAGTTGACCAAAAGCGTTAGAATTGTATTCATTAATGTTTTAATACAAAATTAATGTACATTCGTTTAAGTTTTTTGTCATTCTAGTCTAAACATCTACATTTCAAAGTGAAAACAGGATTATTTAACTTACCCCACTAGCATAAGTTTTTGCTTGTTTTAAGGAGAAAACTCTCAACTTCGCCTCATTTCATCTGAATTTTAAAACACAGCAATAGTTTTCCCTGATTAAGATTTTTTTTAGATATTTGGACTAGAAAAGAGATAAAGCAAAGTAAGAAAAAACATTTTTTTTTTTGCATTGTGATTATTAAATTAATGTACCTGAAAATGGTGCTGATCTCTTGAATTCGAGTTTTTTCAAGGAGGTGCAAGAGGGTCTATGGAAAGGTTTAGAGAAAAACAGTGGACATAATATATAAATGCGTAATTACTATTATGATTTAGATTAAGTGAATAATCATGGATTCAGATGAGAATATAATAAAATGTACATTTAAATAACTGCTATCGTAGAAGCTCACCAAATGGAAATTATTTACAAATACAATTACACAACAGTATATACCTATTAAGGCAATTTAAGTTTGTATAAATCTGCCAGTTTTTATACATGAAGATGTAATTTTCAGGGAATTCCTCTTGCATGTGGATTATCATATTTGGCTTCCATAGCAACAAGGTTATAAATTAATCTAGAGAGGGTCAGCGGTACAATAACACGTGTTAAAATCCCCACACTTCATGATTTGAAGATTAAGTTTAATTGTTACAGCAAAGCTAACGTACAAACACTGACGGTGACCACATTTATCAACAACATATCAATAAATAAATTAAAAATATTTAAGCAATACTTACACAAAAGTCAAATGCGCCTTCGCGGCCCGTCATTTAATTTGCCCTTACTTGAAACAAGGACATCCGCTTATGGTCCTACCGACAACGAACATTCCTCGCAGTTCACCCCCTACCAACCCCACATTTAGTGGTTAACAAATGTTATCATAATTGTGGTTAATGTACTTTACATTATATTTGACATTATCAGAAACAGCACGTAAGTGGTACTGTAAACTTGTCGATGTATTTGTGGTGGCGTGTGCGCATGCGCGGTGTAGCTCTAGCGCCTTTGTGTGGAGGAGTGCGGCGCTGCTGTTTAAACACACACACAGGGGAGCCAGGCAGCTAACCATGGTGAATGTAAAGAAACGGAAAGGTCGGGTCGTGATTGACTCCGACTCGGAGGATAGTGCGAGCGATGATAATTTGGATCAGGTAGGAACCTCATTGACGCGAATGTGATCCAAAAACATCGCTGTTTGCCGATTTCTAGGGCACAAATGTGTCAGGACTGTATGTGTGTGTTGGAGTCCCATGCTAAGTGATGTGGGAAAGCTAGCTGGTTAGCAGGGGCCTGTATGGTGGCGTCGTGCTGCTATTGAGGCAGTTACACCTGAATTCGGGATGCTTGGAGTGCTTTTTATTGTGGCCTGCAGTGCGCGCGCATTTCGGCTTTAGTAAAGAAAGCAGTCGCGTGCGTTTAGAACCTTTACTGTTTTATGACGTCACAGCGCCGCGGCTAAACTTCTATTTCGGTTGCAGAAATAAGACGAAACACTAGAGCGGACAGACGCTCATCAAACACTTCCCAGAAACATGCTCTCTGATTGGGTAGAAAGTCACATGATTCATTGATATAAGAGCATGGAGAAATATTCATGTAATAAAGTTGACTGTTTTGTCCATAAATAACAAACCCACCGTGATATATGATAAAACTGCTAATGACCATTAAAAAGCTCTTTTAGACAATTAATAAGATAAATAATTAGTTAGGGTAGTTATTAGAAGAATGGGTATCACTTTATTTAGTACTTCATGGTCCATTTAACTCATTGGTTGAATTTAAGTTACATTGCATCCACATGCCAACTAATTCTCATTAGATTATAAGTAGACTGTAAGATTGGGGTAAGGGTTAGTGTAAGGTAACATGTACTTGCAAAGTTTCTTATAGTCAGTTCAATGTTGAAAGAGCAATATCAACAGATATTAAGCAGACAGACTACTAATACTCTAATGAGAATTAATTGGCATGTAGTTGCAATGCAACTTTTAGCCAACAAAATGTGAAATAGGGACCATCAAATAAAATCTTACCGAAGAAAGTCATAACAATGTATTGTATAAGGCAAATTAATAATGATATCTCTACAAGTATTCAATTTGATTAAAGTTTGGCTGTGTAAACATTTAACGTGTTTGTTAACTCACGGGATGGTAACACATGCAATCACATGTGCTTACAGACATATTTTGCCAAAACAAGCAAAATAACAGAAGAATATTGCAGTGTGACAGACGAGTTCAGGATTCATACGGTCATGCAAAACCTGGAAAAGTCATGGAATTTTGACATGACATTTTCCAGGCCTGGAAAAATTTTGGAAAAACAGAAAAGGTTTTGGAAAAGTCATGGAAAACTGGATCTGTATACTTGAATATAGGTTAATTACTTCTTTTCTGTTCTTGGCCAAACACATGCTCTCACATTATTAGTGCGGTGAAAGCATTATCTGAATAAAAATTTACATAGACATAAATTGAAACAAAGTATATTGTTGCATTTTTTTACGATATGCTGTAATAAATTTTGCCATGCATATGTAGACATTGCATCAAACATTTCAACAATCAGGCAACAATTTGAAGCATCAGGGTTTTCTCTCCATCAGTGCGGGCTTCGGCACCACTCGTAATGCAGCTTGTTTCATGGATTCAAAATGTGATCATCTTCATTTGAGGGTCTACTTGTTCTAAAATATCAAAGATATCTAGTTTAATATTTTTCAAGCTAGATTATTAAAAGTAATATTTATCAAATGATGACTGTTATTTTAAATTTTATTTATAAAACCAGAAAGCACTATTTTTGTATTTATTATTGCTGGTCATTTATTATAGTTTATGCAGAAGTACTGCATAGAAAAAGACTTGTTCACTACTGGTCAGTCTAAAGTAATAAAATCTTTCCAAAAGAGATATTCAGATCATCAGGTGGAGTTATATTCATATCGCAATATTTATTGCAGCAAAACTAAATATTGCAGTTTCAGATTTTTCCAGTATCGTGCAGCCGTACTTCTTATTATGTACTTGCCATAATACTGCTTAGTTAAATATTTTTGAAATACAAACATTTTAAATACCCTGTTAGAAGTTCTGTTTATGTATTTGTTCTAGCTATGGTTATTAACTTTCATTAACATTTTCAAAGACTCACTAGTGTAAAGCAGTTGCTACTGGATATTGACTTTATTATTTTAAACAGCTTTTTCAGGGTGTAGATAGAAATCAAACTTTAAATATCAGTCTTCATGCATTCAGCTTTTTCTAAGCCATGTTAACCCCAGTTCTTTAAAAAGACTCTAAATGTTTTTGGATTATTTAATACCTTTTTTTCTATCTTTTTAGTTAAAATCATCATAAGTTATCTTAAGGCTTTCTTGGGAGTTTCCTCGGTTCCTTAAGTGGGCCCCAGCCACTACCTAACTTTTCCTTGTGGTGTCTCGAACCTCAGTTTTGAAAACCCCTCTGCTCTGTACTGAACATATTAACTTGAACCATGTCATGCCCCCTATAGGTAGCACATCCAAGTGCACTTCTCAAACATCCTGTGCACTTGTTTTCATTCCATCAGTGTTGACAAATTACAGCGCTAGCCATGTAGCAGCCAAAAAAAAGGACTCAACAAACACCAACAGCAGTCTGATTACTAAAAAACAAGCACTTCCTAAGCTACTTGTATATAGAATTGCATGCACAATATGATATGCTGAGAAGTTTAAAAGCAAATAATCTGCAGTATTATAAATAATAGCAAAATAAATAAGTAAATTGAACGTAATCACACTGAATCACATATAATAACCTAAAGAAATTGAGTTTGGTGTCTGTCTGTATGGTTATAAGAACATGCAGTTTTTTAGTTTGTTTTTTTGCATTTAGTCAATGCTAAATTTTTCTGTGTTGTGTGTTTTGGTATTCTTAGATAAAATTAGCACATTAGCAGACACATGCTGACAGTAACACTCACAGAACACTATTGGCTTCATTTAAAGATGTGCGAAAATAGATTTATTTTTCATATTGGTTAGACACTCTTATTTCTGCTGCCACTCTTACCCTACAGGCTCTATGCAGAAGAAAGCAGAATTTAGTGGAAGAGGTGTCATTGTGATGGCATGTGTGTTTTCCTTTGTTTTTAAATGAACAACAAAGTGAGACGCTCCTCCATTTTTGTGCAAGTGGAAGGAATTTCACCCAATGTTTGGAAAAACACGAATGAACAAAAATATATGTTTGTTTGTTTGTTTTTTGCAGGAGCTGCTGTCTCTTGCCAAAAGAAAGCGTGTGGATTCTGATGAACAGGAAGAGCCTGTTAGTAAACCTGCCGCCTCCACTGACTCTGAGACATCAGACAGCGATGATGAGGTATGGATAATTATTAAAGGCTGGTGTTTTGGATATTCCGTACAATTTCTTGTCTAGAAGTAGTATTCAGAAAGCTGGAGCCTGGAGTGGATAACACTAAATGGGTCTCATCAGGGTTTCTTCATCTGATGTAGTCTTATCATCGCATTAAAATAGCTCTCAGGTAGGCATGAGACTATAACTGTATTCAAGGTATACAGCAGTTTGGATAAGTCAAGGTTTTAAAACCGACAATTTTCTGTCATACCGTTCCTAAGGTTTAAGTAAGATATTTTTATTTACGTTTTTTTTGTTGTTGTTGTTTTTTTTGTTTTTTTTTAGGACAACAGTATCTCCAGCAGAAAAGATATCCAAAGATGCTGTTTAAATTGTAAAGAAATCTGTGTTTTTGAAACAGATGAAGACAGCAGAAGTCAATGATTCACTAGAATTATTTTGCCTGACATGTTTGCCCTTTACAAAATATCAAATTTTAAATGGAAACTTCAAATAGAAACATTTTTACCCAGATATTTAAACATATTTTAGAGTAGTAATCACAATACCGTGGTACTGTGAAACCATAATATTTTTATCCAAGGTTATCATACCATGAGAATCTTATGTCTGCCCATGCCTGCTCTTAGGCGATAAGCCTAAATTACCACCTGTTTTTTATTGCATTTATTTATTACAGTTACTGTAAACAATTGTTGCATGGTTGTTTCAGTTCTTGTAGGCCTTGTTCACTTATTTTTCACATTACCATTCTTAAGACCAAACCTAAAGATACAAATTGAAATAAATTGCTTTACTGGCATTTTGCAGCAGAACTTAAACATCCTACGGGCTGTTTTTTCTGCGAGTGATAGTACAGGTATGGATACATCTGTACCAGCTCTGCTACTCCACCTTCCAGTTCGTTCATGTGCCTATATTGGTGTTGTTGTGCTGAATATTTTTCTCTTGCCTCATTCTGAAGTCTGTGAATAGGAAGCACAGCTAAGGGCTGATTTATACTTCTGCGTCAAGTCAAATCAAATCACTTTTATTGTCACATCATCAGCAGCACGTGTGCTATCATGAGTGAAAAGCTTAGGTCCTGGCTCCAGACAGTACAAAATACAGTTAGTGCAAATAAAATGACAACAGCATGCTCCCAAAAAAACAGGACAATGTAAAATTGACAGCGATTTGTACAATGAATGGGTGTCCACATAGTTGTAGGCAGTATTGTTTTAAGTGTGGATTGGTTAAAGTGCAGTGCATGCTACATATTGATGGTGTGCAGTGAGGGGTATGGAAGAGTCTGTGTGGGGTGTGTTAAATGTTCATCAGCCTGATAGTCTGAGGGAAGGAGCTTTCCTTCAGCCGGCTGGTGCATGACCGGATGCTGCGGAACCGTCTGCCTGAGGGTAGCAGAGAGAAAAGCCTATGGCTTGGGTGGCTGGAGTGATTGATAATTCGGTCCCACTTTATATTAAGTGTCCTTACCTACTATGTACTTACATCAAAAAATAAATACAATGTACTTACTGTGTTTATAATGTATTTGAGAACACTTGTGGTGCTTTTGAGTTGGGATAGAGGTTGGGTTATGGACAGGTTTTGTGGTATGGGTAGGTTTAAGGGTGGGTTAAGGTGTAAGGGATGGTCAACAGTGTATTTACAAATGTAGTTACAGAAGTTAGTTACAAATGTAACTACATACATGTATTTAATCAAGCATAAGTACACAGTAAATACATGTATTTACACAATAAGTACATTGTAACAAACTATTAATTCCTGTTTAAGTACATATTAGTTAAGGCCACCTAATATAAAGTGGGACCGATAATTCTCTTGGCTTTCCTCATGCACCCCCTGGTGTAGATGTCCTGGAGGGAGGGAAGCTCACCTCCTACTACGCGTCCAGCAGTTCGCACAATCCTATGTAGGTCTTTGCAATTGCTGCTGGTGCTATTTCCATACCAGGTGGTGATACAGCCAGACAGGCTGCTCTCCACAGTGCAGGTGTAGATTGAGTGGAGGATGTGGGGGCTCATTCCAAACCTCCTGAGACGCCTGAGGAAGAAGAGGCATTGTTGTGCCTTAGCACTGCGTCTGTGTGAGCAGTCCATGTCAAATCCTCAGCGATGTGTTCTCCAAGAAACTTGAAAGTGCTGACTCTCTCCACTGGTGTCCCATTGATGGTAATGGGAGTGTGTTCTCTTTTCTCTCTCCTGAAAACCACCACCAGCTCATTGGTTTTGCTGATGTTAAGTGAGAGTTGGTTTTCCTCATACCACTGCGTCAGAGTGTGCACACGTATGCTCCGGTGCAGCCTTCACGCGGTCGCATTGCCTTTGCCGTGGTTGATGCTGACGCACACCTCTCAAAAAATGTAACTACATGTTGCAACGATGACTAGTGTGTGCGGGACAGAGAGCTGTGCAAAGCTGTTGTTTACAAGTGTCGTGTCCCGTGAAATAGCTCTAGATGGAAACTGTTGTTTTGTGTTTATTGTTGTTGCACGTCCACCGGTTCCGCTTTGAAATGAGTGAGTTTTAACTGCTGAAGTTCAAAGGTGCTAAGGACCAAAACAAACTCCCCTAAAAAGTTTGTGGGCTGTTTCGAACTGCCAAATTAAATGCATAAAGAACTTAGTTTTGGCGGGATTTTGTTTGACGTTTTTTTCAGTTTTTTTTTTATTTTTATTTTATTTTGTCTAAAGTATACCAGTGCCTTTAGTAGTGCCATGAGTTTTTCGATTATGAGCACAAATGAAGATCTGCATAAAGGTCTCAGCAAGCATTTTATCCCTTTAAAATACTACTTTAATAGACATTCTAATACACAACTATCTAACAAAAGTGATAACTTTTTAGTTGTTTGTCTAGTTTGTAGTTTGGAGGTTTACCAAGACTGTCTTTTCAGTGGTCTTGGTCCACTTTTCTTTGGATTGCACTGGAAGAGACAGCATTTACATTTATTCAGATGAACATATTACTCTACCAGTAGTTTGCCTCATGATAGTTTCATCACAATATCTGCATAATCATAGAATATGTATTATCTAGTGTGACAATCTCATCTTTTTTGCATATTTGTTATTTTTAGAAGTAGTTTTGTCCACATCATTTTCACATACCTGTGTTAACCTTGCTAGTGAGTTTGAGGACAATGATTGAACAAATGGGTTCTTCTTATTAGGAATTATTCTTAATAAGAATTCTCTAAACTAGCAGTAGCCAATGTCTTCTATTTTATTTTTTTATTTACTTACTGTTAAATTCTTGAAATGACTAGTCCCTTTACTAACAAAGCAGCTGTCACGAAAGATGCAGTTGTAATTTTAGCTCTTTCTCATTTTTGTAGTCAAATATACAGTGACATCCACCATGCTGAATTATTCCTGATCCAGTGGTGGTTTATGTCTGGCTGTATGAGTGCAGTGTGTGGTTCTGGAAAATCCCCAAAACCCATATACAACTTTGTCTTATCGATGTGTTCTGTTGATTTGTTAGTGGACTGTTGGAGGCACTAAAACCAAAAAGAAGGGGAAACCGAGCAAAGGGCCTGAAAAGAAGAACACAGTCAAGAAAAGAAAGGGCAAAGCAGCTTCATCTGGCAGCTCAAATGGAGACAGTTCAGGAGAGAGTTCAGCTCCAGAGGAAGGTAAGGCATCGGTTTGGAGTCTGTACCAAACGAGTACATTGATAGAACTGGAAAAAATCAACAAAAGATGAAGTGACTTCAATTAGTTTCTCCCCTATTTACTTTATTTAAGGTGAAGTGTCAGACTCTGACAGTAACAGCTCATCCTCCAGCTCGGATTCTGACTCTTCATCTGAGGATGAGGTTTTCCGGGACGGTTATGGAGATGATCTAATGGGGGATGAGGAGGACCGGGCACGTTTGGAGCAGATGACAGAAAAGGAAAGAGAACAGGAGCTGTTCAACCGTATAGAGAAGAGAGAAGTCCTCAAGAGGAGGTAAAAGGAGTTTCAAAGTTCATCTCTGAATAAAAGTTTGAATTTTGATTGTTTTCATACATGTAAGAGAAGGTAAAACTGTGAAATGAACCTAAATCACATGTAACTACAAAAATTATAATATATTTAATTTAGAATACTTTTATCTAATGTGTTTGATGTTAGAGACCAAAAATAAATTGTAATAGTTTTATACTACTTGTACTGTGCAGAAATTCAGAATAGCTAAACATGAAGGCAAAAGAAAAGCACAAAGAAATTGTGCTTAATAAACATGCATTTCTCTGTAAAAGATTTGAAATTAAGCAAAAATTGAAGACGGCAAAGAAGAAGGAAAAGGAAGAGAAGAAGAAGAAACAAGAGGAGGAGCAGGAAAAGAGAAAACAGTCTCAGGTCCCAGACACTCAGGTGGTAAGTGAATCACAGACAAAATCACCTTCCTTATAGAAACACAAACAGGGTCTCACACTCGTGTTTTCTCTCTGTGTGCATGCAGGTGATGTCCCATAACAAAGAGAGACGGATAAAAAGAGATGAGAAGCTGGACAAGAAATCACAGGCCATGGAAGAGCTGAAAGCAGAAAGAGAAAAGAGGAAAAACAGAACTGGTAGCTTTTTTTGCTTTTTCTTGACATTATACAATTTTGAGGAATAAATTATTTAATATGCAAAATAACCACATTTACTTACTTATAACTGGACATACTTTTTGTAGCTAGTGCTGCCAGTATCTGATCTATAATCTTTGACATTTCAGCTGAGCTCCTTGCAAAAAGGCAGCCACTTAAGACAAGCGAGGTCTACTCCGATGATGAAGAGGAGGAGGAAGATGACGATGACAAGTCTTCAGTAAAGAGTGACCGCAGCTCAAGGTCTTCATCGTTTGATGAAGAGGAGGAGTGAGTATTAGACCATCCACTATCTTTGTTAATGAAGTAGAGATGCACAGAACCACTGAAAACTTTTGGATTGGTGGGATTTTTAAAAATGTATCACCAACACTGCGGTTAAGCAATACTGAAAATTCAGTAATTCTGTGAAATCTGTTTTCTGTTTTGACATTTTAGAATGTGGCTCATTCCTGTGATGACAGAACAGAATTCTTAGCATATTATCAATATAGAAAACAGTTATACTGCTTATTTCTAACTAATATTTTTAAAAATAATAATATGAAAGCTATTTAAAAGCACTACACATGTCTGTAAAGCACTACACATGTCTGTAAAGCACTACACATGTCTGTTAAGCACTACACATGTCTGTAAAGCACTACACATGTCTGTAAAGCACTACACATGTCTGTAAAGCACTACACATGTCTGTAAAGCACTACACATGTCTGTAAAGCACTACACATGTCTGTAAAGCACTACACATGTCTGTAAAGCACTACACATGTCTGTAAAGCACTACACATATCTGTAAAACACTATACATGTCTCTTGGTTAATTTAACGCATACTTCCTGAACACAGCATATATTCAGTGCAGCAGTTAAATGTTTTTAACATAATATTTTATGAATCTGTAAACATAAACAAAAATATATAGATTTTTTTTGTCCATCTGTAGTAAGCTTGCTTAACCATCCATCTGTATTTCAGAAAAGAGGAAGCTCCACCCAAATCCCAGCCTGTCTCATTACCAGACGAGCTGAATCGGATCCGGTTGTCTCGGCACAAGCTTGAGCGCTGGTGTCACATGCCATTCTTTGCCAAAACAGTCACTGGCTGTTTTGTTCGAATTGGCATTGGAAACAGCAGCAACAAGCCCGTTTATCGGGTCAGTAAATATCACTCATCACATTAGAAACATCAATACCTCTAAAAACAGCAACATGAAATTAAATGGCGAGATATATATAACATGCAAAATACACAGATAAACCAAAATGATTTTAATTCAACAGGTGGCTGAAATCATTGACGTAGTGGAGACCGCTAAAATCTATCAGCTAGGATCCACACGAACAAACAAAGGCCTTCAGCTCCGGTGTGTATGCACAGTTGAACTGATTTTATCTGCATCTTTTTGTCGTTGCCAATTTGTGTAATAGATTTTTGCATGTTTGCAGACATGGAAATGACACACGGGTCTTCAGACTTGAGTTTGTGTCCAATCAGGAGTTTACTGAAAGCGAATTTATGAAATGGAAAGAGGCGGTAAGTTTTGTTATGTAGTTGTGTACATTTTCTTTTCATTTGTGCTTGTTCACTATATTCTTTTGTCAACTAAATTTGAATTGGGGTTGAATTGTTAGGTTAATTGCAGTATTATGCAGTATTATACACTGTTGCATTATGGAATATGCATATCCAATAATAACCTTGTTGCTGGCCCTTAGATGATGATCGCAGGAATGCAGCTTCCTACTCTGGATGAGATCAACAAAAAAGAGCAGTCCATCAAGGAGGCCGTCAACTACAAATTCAATGACAAAGATATTGAGGATGTACGTTTATTCCCATTCCTAAATACAAGATATTGTGATGGTTGATTTCTTTATCCAATGAGAATTATTAACTGTAAGAATTTTTTTAATAGATTGTCAAAGAGAAAGACAGATTCAGAAAGGCGCCACCAAACTACGCCATGAAGAAAACGCAGCTTCTTAAAGAGAAGGTTTGTGATGTTTCTGATGTATCACAAGTAAATATGGCCTTTTTTGTTTGTGTTCTCATGCTGATCACCTTTTGTGTGCAGGCCATGGCTGAGGAGAGCGGAGATGGAGACAAAGCGAAAACACTTCAAGATCAGTTGAATGAGCTGGAGGAGAGAGCAGAAGCACTTGACAGACAGAGAACCAAAAACATCTCTGCCATCAGGTCAGAAATTCTTCTTATTATAAGGGTTAAATTTAAGGGCTGCTTAGTATGCATTTGCAGGGTCTTAAAGTCTTAAAATGTTTTACATTTCAAAAACAAAAGCTTTGGCCTTAAAGTGTTAAACTCACTGAAGGAATGCGATGCATTAAATCATTTTAAACGGGTCTTAATTTTCCTATGTTCATGTAAAGCTACCCAATAGGGTCAACTCCACCCAACAGTCCATCCCAGTAAAACTCTTATTTTTATTCATAGTAAAACTTTTAAGTATTTTTAACTCTATTTACCAATTTTTATTATTATTTTCTTACATCCTTGCAAAAATATTTGTTTAAGTTCTACCTGGTAAGGGCATTGACCTGGACCGACTGTTGTGCAATTAGTTTATTGTGGGTTTTAAAATTTTGTTTTTATGCTGAATTCATGAATTTATAAAAATATTTGTGTTGAAAAAAATATATGTAAATAACTAGAGTTTGCCTGTTTTATTTTTATTGATTAATGCACTTACTTGACTTATTTTATTTATTAATTTTCCTTCTGCTGTTTCTCTGGTTCATCGCAGTGGAATGAACCGCCACTTACTTGACAGATTTATATATTTTTAATTTCAGGTGGTTTGTGTAAAGTGTTTTATGCAAGGTAAAATAATTTCTACTTGCATCTTTAGTGATTTTTCAACTAATTACAAGTCCTGTCCTGATAGGTGGATGTAGCTGGTTTTGACGCAAAATAAATTTTACCTTGTTAAAAACTAAAGAACTGTCTAAAGTGACATTTTTGTAAAAAGTTATTTTACTTACCAGCTAATAACCTTATCATTAACTATAAAATGAAACTTCTGAACCTAATCAGAGGAGACTGATAGAAAATGCTCATTTACAAAAAATGAGGTCTGATGGATTTAGAGGGATTTGCATCTAAAATCTTTATATATAGATATAGAATTATAGATGTAGTGTGTATAAATGTCACTTTTGATCAAATAAATGCATGTTTACTGAGTAAAAGTGTAATTTCCTTTAAGTTATTGTCCTACACAGTCCAGGATTTTTAAATTTAGTGACTCTTTTTATCATATAAATCTTTTTATTTATATTTTTTTAGCTATATCAACCAGAGGAATCGGAGCTGGAACATTGTAGAGTCTGAGAAGGCCTTGGTGGTAGGTTTTCTTGATGTTTTATAAGTTATAAGTATAACTGTCCAAAAACAACATTCTGCAATCTAAATATCTTGGTTGTGTTTCAGGCCGAAGGTCAGAACTCAAAGAACCAGCAGATGGACCCCTTCACCAGACGGCAGTGTAAACCAACTATGGTGTCTAATGTGAGGCATCTCTCTGTCAGCAGGTTGTTTTTATGTACGTCCTTTTATTCGGTTGTTTAAAAAAATGTTTTGGCTTTTCTTTCTCAGGCAAGAGATCCCTCAGTCCATGCCGCTATTTTAGCTCATCTAAACCAGAAATACGGTTCAGGCTCGGGCGCGGGCCAAGACAACAGCCAGCAGGCCAATAAACAGGTAACGCATACAAAAAAAAAACAAGCTCACAGCAAAATGTTTGTCCCATAATTCACTTGTTTATCTTGTATTCAGTTGGGCCAGGCTAGCCAGAAAGACAAAGACGTTACAAAACCGACCAGCGACCTCTCAGAGGACCTTTTCAAAGTTCATGACTTTGATGTCAAGATTGACTTACAGGTTCCTAATGCTGGTAAGTGTTTCTTAAGTCTAATAATTGTATTACTACTTTGATCCAGCAGGAAAGCACAGTAAAGCAATGCTGGTGATCGTATAGTCATTCATATTGACCAAAAATTGATCAAATGTCTCAAGTACGTACATTTAAAGGATTCGTTCATTCAAAAATAAAAATTATGTTATTAATTACTTGCCTTCATGTTGTTCAAATCCCATGAGAGCTTTGTTTATTTTCTGTAAACAATTTAAAGGTGCTGTATGTAAGTTTTTGACTCTTCTAAAGCATAAAAATGCCATAATATGTTTGCAGATAATTAAAGTGGTGGTTCACTACGATATCATATTTTAAACTTTAGTTAGTGTGCAGTAAAGCTATGTGATCATAAACAACATCTCTGAATGTAAAAAGCTAAAAGTTCAATGCAAAGGGAGACCTTGGTTTTTTACAGAGTTAGCTTAGCAAAGCCTTCATTGAACGAGTTTGGGAGGCTACAAAAAAATACTTCCGGGCCTTGAGAGATCACAAACGTACTTTTACCACGCGCACACACTGCGCAGCAAAGGGGCAACGACCTGTAAGGGTTTTTATTTGTTAAAATTTATTTTGACATGTAGGCCTACAGTGTCTAGCCTTAATGGTATGTTGTAGCAAAGATGTAGACAACGGGAAATGCTGTTCGCCACCGCTAATGATTTAGCTACAAATTCTTATTTGTCAGTCAAACTGTTGTAAACACACAGAAACACACACACACACACTTCACCAGCACAATAACTTAATCATTAGAGATAAATAAAAATAAGCATAAGCATCGGAGAAAAATAAAAATAAGCATCGCTCCCGCGCACATGTGCTTCTCGTGTTACAGATGCATTCAGTTCATAGTATACACACACACACACATAAACACACACACACACACACACAATAACAAATTCTCTTAAAGGAGCTGCACCCCATTTTCACTCGTTACAGACACTTGTCAGATTTTATTTTAGAGAGCAGTCATGAGGTTGACTGACTGTTTACACAAAATGCGCATGCTTGTATCCGCGAATCACAGCACATTATGACACGAGACCAATCAGAGTCACATAAGAGCAGGCCTTATAGAGGAACTAGGAAATATATCAGTCATTTTCATGTTAGCTGAGTAGCTGTATATAATCAAAGTGAGATTTATGAAAAATTTTGGCAATTTCCTTCAAGTGATACAAGAGCACACATTGCTTTGCATCTTAATAACACAACCAAGCCTTAATTACATTCCGGACCACCCCTTTAAGAAACATGCTAAGTGAACATCCTTTTTTTTTTATCTGAAAAACAATGCTGACGTCAGATATTCTGATTTGAAAATGTGAGTTATGTGCGGGAACACTGTTTTTGTTTTGGTTCTTTTAACCCGCCCAATGCCAGTTCAGCCAATTATATTTCAGCACGCCGGGTTGCCTTGATGGAAAACCAGGTATTTCATTCATTTAGTCAGAAAGGCTCTCAAAGCATGCGCCCGTGACCGAAATGCGACCTCCAATGGACAGTATCAGACTCTGAAATGAGACGTGGATTCAGAGTTCCATATGAGGTTATTAATTAGCAAATAATATAAATATTGCAAATGTAAACATTAGGTGAGCAGTTTTACATTGTAACTCTGTGTCCTAACAACAGACTATGTGACAAGATTTGCAGTGATAAGCAATTTAAATACAACCATTCAGAAGTACAGAATATGCCCTCAATTGTGAAATGGTAAGGTTTATAATCTAATTATTACATATTAAACCTCTTTAACATTATTAAATGTACATGCTAAATCACTCATATGGGTTAGTTTTAAGTCACAGTTCTAAAGTTCAATTTCAAATGGGTTGAGTTGAACTATCTGCTGCTGCTTTCAGGAGTACGACAATAAATGTCATGTAAAATGGTATTAAAACTGGCGTTATTAGCATTTAACACTGAATAAAGCACTTGAACTGTACCTGAGGTGATCGTAAGATCAAAAATAATATAGAAAAATAGTAGCCACTTCTAAAATTAGATTTCAGGTGTTGGTTAGGACAAAATCTCTAGGACAAAAATATTTCTTCTATCAGGTGCCGTTGCTTTGGACATGTCAGATGAGGTGCCTGTGTTTTGATCCAGGGGTGCAATATCTAATTCAACCACTGGGTGTCTAACTGGGTGCACCTTTAAGATGTTTTGGATTAAATCTGAGAGCTCTCTCATCCTCCAGAGAACGTCAGATAGTGGACAGTCCTGAGATGTTTAAAGTCTGAAAAAAAATTAAATCATCAAATCATTCTGTGTGACTTTTTTTTTATATCATATAAAACTCCAAGAGCACTTGTGCAGCAAAAAACTAAACTATAAAAAATGGATGTTTGGCGATGTCTCCGGCATTATGTCAGAGAGATTACTATGAGCAATGCGATGCTTGTAGTCATACTGCATGTAGTAAACGCACCCTGACAACCTAGTTACATTTTCAGTTTGTTTGTTTTTTGCTTCATGGGTTTTTGAAGCTTCGTATGATTACAATTTACATGGACTGTGAACATCTCAGCTCTGTTTCTATTTGGGATGATAGAGCTTTCAGATTTCCTCTAAAATATCTCAACACTTGCCCTGCCATTGAGGAGATTTTGTGTGCACGTACACACACACACTTGTATCATATACTATTGTATTATATACTATATATCTTAAAAATGTCCTACTTTTAGAAATTGCATATTTCCCTGCATTTTTGTCAAATTTGTGGCGTTTTTGATGAAACCCACCAGCTTTCAAGTGGGGATAAAACATGAGCACATTTTTTTTTTTTTTGAAAGGAGAGTTCTGTTTATGTTCTTTGTTATACACTATATTCATCTATTCCTAGCAGGAAATTTTCAGAGGGCTGTCAAATTGAGACGAAAATCATCAAATATGCTGGTTGGCATCTTTAGTTTAAAAAAAAAAAAAAACACTGGCAGGTAAAGAGTTATTTTGTGTTAATGAAGGTCTCGGAAGTTCCGGGAGTCTCCCGTATATTAATAGTGGCTCCCTGATGCCCGCGAATAGAATAAAATATGCTGGAATCTTGACCAAGGTAGCAAAAGTGTGCATGTGAGATATAAATGTCTGCATCGTAAGTATTTATACTGCGCATACCAGAACGCGTGCACATGATGGAGTGAACGAGAGAGTGAGATGAGACCATACATGCTTATGGAACTTTTCATGTGTGCTTGCTTTGGAGCGACAGATAATCCTAAATGGTTTACTCGGCAAATTAAACCAATCAGCTTTCAGTGTGGGAGGACTTATTTATTTCATTGGGGACCTAAACTAAGTTAAGTGCAGCCTACGAAATCATCATGGTGGTGAATCTTTTATTGCAGGTGTATTATTGTGAAAAGAAACATAGAAACGACATGAAAGCAGGCTTTTGTTTCAGCTACATCCAATAATCATGTGAATAACTGTATTCTATTCATGCAGAATTCATGTGTTCATGTGAAATTCTTTCTAAATAGTTTATAAAAAATTTCCCTGGACACGACATCTCCCTCAAATGAGTTTGTCGCAGGTTGGGATGTCTGTTTAGGTGGTATAATTAATAACATAATTTTCATTTTTGGGTGAACTAATCCTATAAAAATGCTCTGATACCTTGTTTTCTAGAGTGAGATTCTATGATGTGATCATGTTACATTTGACTTTTTTTCCCCTCCTTCAATCATCTACAGAAGCAAAATCTCTCTCAGTGAGTTCAAATGCATTGCCTGTTAAAGATGGAGCACCACGCCGATCTCTCAACCTGGAGGACTACAAGAAGAGACGAGGACTCATCTGACCGATGTTTCTATCCTCCCTTGCATGAGTGGACACCTGTGCTGAGAGTGTGAAGCTGTGGCCACCCCTGTGTGTGTGTGTGTGGGCGTGGGCGTGGGCGTGGGCGTGGGCGTGGGCGTGTGTGTGTGTGTGTGTGTGTGTGTGTGTGTGTGTGTGTGTGTGTGGGAGAGAGAGAGAGAGAGAAAGAAAGAGAGAGAGTGTGTATGATAAAGAGAGAGTAAGTGCTCACCTTTAAGACTGAGAGACTGTGTAAGTGTGTACGTTTCACCTGTTTGTAAGAGGAAATACTCATAAATAATGACAACTTTCAGGTCTTTTCCTGCAAAGGGTCACCTTTTTTTGAGAGCTGAAAAGTCCTCTGCGTTATTTACAGCGTGTGCTGTCTCGAGAACAGAAATGCATTACCTCTGATTCTCCGTTTCATACCAATGTATGCAGCATATTTTCCTCCCTCTCAGACCCTCACAGAAACCACCCTTTTATATCCAAGCTTGTGAATGACTATCTCAAAGGACACTATCAAAACAAAAAAGAGGACACAAATCTTGGGTTATTTTTTTCTGGAAAGTTATTAGTTGTCGATATTGATGATTGGGTCTGCCTCGCTTTCTCGTTCCTCTTCAAGAAGCTCTGAGTTTTTCAAAAGAAATGAAAATCCTTTTTTCTCTCCCACACCCGCGTGTAACTCTGCTTGCCGGTTTAGAGGCCAAGGGCTCGACCAATCAAAGGGGGAGTCTGACAATGACATCACACTCCCTAAAGATAAACGTTTGTTTTCACGTGAGACAATGATTGACTAAACGTGGCTGCCATGTTCAAGAAAACAATGAGAATCGATGTATGTTTTTGTTTTTACTGCTCTTTTTCTTCCATATCCCTCTGTCTCACTCGGAGCTGATGTAAGTGTTATTGATCATTAATTATTGATGAAGTCTTTTAGTCAGTTCTGTATCGTGGCATGCATTGTAAATAAGCGATCTTGAGTGAGTGCGGCTGAATAAAGGAGGAACTTTTCGTAATCGCTGTGTTTGCGTGGTCACTATTCTGAAAGCTGTTTTGTTGTACGCAAGAACATTTACATGTGCATTTTATTACATTTTTTGGATTATTTCTGTTTTTTGAAGTACCTTTTGAGCTTACACCTTTTTATTAAATATATCATGATGTACTACTTTTTGGAAAAGTTCTCACATTTGTACTGTTGTCCATTAAGAGTTCTCACATTTGTACTGTTGTCCATTAAGTGCCACTTAATAATATTATTAAGTGTTTCGAGGATTTTCTGAATGTTCTGTTTTGGTTGTGGGAACAGGGATTTCAAATGTGACTAGTTTGCTTAATGTTATTAGGACATTAATTTTATTTTAATTATCCTGCAGCATTCCCTTCACCTGTATTTCATTACAGATTCGATATTTTGGAGATTTAAAATATCCCAATTTTTTTTTTTTCCCCAAATGATGTTTAACAGAGGAAGGAAATTTTCACAGTTAGTCTGATCATATTTTTTCTTCTAAAAAAAGTCTTATTTGTTTTATTTCGGCTAGAATAAAAACAGTTTGAATTTTTTAAAAACCATTTTAAGGTGAATATTATTAGCCACTTTAAGCTATATTTTTTTCGATAGTCTACAGAACAAACCATCGTTATACAATAACTTGCCTAATTACCCTAAACTGCCTAGTTAATCTAATAAACCTAGTTAAGCCTTTAAATGTCACTTTAAGCTGTATAGAGGGGTCTTGAAAAATATCTGGTAAAATATTATTTACTGTCATCATGGCAAAGATAAAATAAATCAGTTATGAGAAATGAGTTATGAAAACTTTTATGTTTAGAAATGTGTTTAGAAAAAATCTTCTCTCCGTTAAACAGAAATTGTGGAAAAAATAAACAGGGGGGCTAATACTTCATGGGGTTAATAATTCTTGACTTCAACTGTATTCTTTCCACCTCATATTTATAACCAAAACAATATTGTAAGCATGCTTTCCATTTAAAATGTTTGCTTTCTTTAGGGCAAAGAGGCCCAAACTAGCGCCTGCAAGAAAAAAGGTGGCCCATGGTAACCTTTGATTTTGCCGGCCGTCCTATCTGAGAAGAGGATAGGAAATAATGGGAAAGGTTGGGGCGATTGCATTTAACAGAGATGGTCAGTTCTAATTTACATAACCGTTTGTTTGTTTAATTGTTAAGCTATAAACTGAAATTAAATGTTTCTTTAAATGAATCAGATTTTGTAAACATTTTAAAATTCAGGCTGGGCAATATGGCAAAGATGCAATCTCAATAATCATTTTCCATATTGAATGATAACGTATGTACTCTAATATATGTTATTAATGCTTCCAGATTAAAAGCCCCCAACAATGACTGAAGCCACCAAACTTAGAGGGTCCATTAAATGGCATACCATATTTTTGGCCTATAAATGTTCGGTAGCTGAAAATTTGATACATCTCTGATGTATCGAATTTGATACATTGCAAAAATTCGATACATCTCGAATCTCTACATCTCGATAGCTAAAAATTCGATATCAGCACACTTTTAGATTCCCATTGTTGCACATTTCTGCTTTGTGATTGGCTCTTAGATCAATATAGAGTAAAAAAAAAAAGTCTAGAGCTTGTTGTTAATGACAAATTTTATCGCTATTCGATATAATATCATTTATCGACCCAGTCCTGTAGTAAAATGTAAATACTGTTACTTGATGGATAGAAGACAATGCATTGAACTCTATTGTGGTATAAATGTGATTGTTTTTTATTATTATTGTGGGAAGTTTATTATAAAACGTTAAAAAAATTGTATATATATATATATATATATATACACACACACACACACACACACACACACACACAACTAAGCCGAAAAAAATGAATTAATAAATATTATAGTATATTGTATTATATTATATTATATTTCATAGATATTTACCTATGCTAGGAAGGACTACTAGGACTTCAGAAAAGGCACTATTACAATCAGGCAATGCTACGACATTCAGCGTCTTCCACATATTTTCCAATCAGGCAATGTGCAGGGCGCACTGTTGTTATGGGTCCTTTATGTAGTTCCTGGTCCACGTCGGTCTGGATCAGAATGAGAAACGGGATAAACAGTCACCGATAATTGATCAAGATTCCCGTAGACACAGTTTCACCTGATATTCTCCCAAAAAATGCATATGGAAGATTTATTTAACGCATTCTGAGAGATCGGAGCCCCATACAGGTAAAATAATTTAGCCAAAGACGTGGATCTGGCCATTTAAAGCTCAACACTGTGTTGTTATCGTGTTCTGGAGATTTAATATGCAAAAAAATAGCTGAAATTTACTCCAACGCCAAAGGAAATGTAATGGATTGGGTTTTAAAGCTGACAGCTGTCAATGTTAACTGAACGCGAAATGTAAACAAATGTTAGTTTCACGGAACATTAGGAAAACTGAAAGGAAATGTAAAACTACAGTTGGACAATTGATTGAATGCTCTCTTTTGGATAATTTGATGGCTGTCGTGATCAATAATAAGCTCGTTTTAGAATGATAGAAGCTGATATTGATTTAAATGAGAGGAGATTAAAAGCTCTGGATGTGGATTCAGAGGGTTAGGGATTTTTCCTGCTCCTGTTTACGCTGTACAAGTCAAACATTGTATTGCTCTGTATATTTTAAGCACATAGTGTTGTTGAATGCAGGAAAGTAGGATGTTATAAACGATACTGAGGTGAAGTTGGTTTTAATATTTGCACATTAGTTCATTTTAACAGTCCCTATTCTGTTTACCACGCTAATTTGAATATTTGGTCTGAAATCACATTTAATTATGACTTCCAAACAAAGTTAGCACTATTTAATTGACCGTGAACAATGTTGCACTTTGATAGCTGCTGTTAGTATTTCTCTGTTTATAATTTGCAAATAATACTTTTCTGAAATTATATATCATAAAAAAGAACCGTCTGAAACCAACTTTACCTCAATATAAATTGCTCAGCATAATTGAGTACACCCCATTTTAAAAATAAATATTTTTATCCATTTCTCAGTAAAACAGATTTGAAGAGTTCAGATGCAAAAGCCTTTTAGTGCCATCTGAAATTTCCATTGAAAATTAACATTTTTCTCAGCCTGTTTTGTTTATGTTGTTTGTTTTTTTCCTTCAAAGATCTAAACAAGGGAATTACTCTTTGCCATACAAGTAATGTTACTGATTCTACATTCATGAGCCTGATAAAATGCTCATTTTAGAAGAAAATTTTAGACAGCATTTAGAGGTTTTTGCATCTAAACTCTTTGTTTATTAAACATATATACTTATTAAAATAATATTTTAGCCACCAAACATATTTAGAAATTGAAAGAAAATACAATTAAATTCAAGCAAAAATTGCTAAATAAAAAAATACAACCAACAAATTTTCAACAAAATTTTATTTTAAATTTTTTTGCTTCTCTTGATTTTTCCTTCTTTTTAAAATTTGTATTTAATATTTTACTATAACATAAATTTGGGTGTACTAGTTTTTGAACTGTTAACTTAAGTTATTATGTTAGATAAGCTCCAGATTTGGCTTCAGTACTGACTAATATAATATATAAGCACAAATACTGTATAGCTTCCTATTAAAGATATGAATTCATACAATAGATTTGTGAGCGGTGTACTTGTATATGCTGAGCACTGTAAACATAATTGTTGGCACATAATCACTTTAACTCCTTAACTTTCACTGTAACACTTTTATCCCAGTTTCTTTGGTTAAATTATGCTTCTGACGTAATTTTAAGCTAATTTTGTGGTTTTGTTTTTTGATAACCTATGTACAAATTGTCAACAAGGCAGTTAAGTTGCCTGTTAAAGGGCTAGCACTCCTAAAAATTAAAATTAGCTAAATTCACCAACCCTCAGGCCTTTCAGGATGTACTGTTTTGGATGTATGTTACTGAAACTGTGGTTATTGGTGATTTCTATAATGTCCGTTTGAGAGTCAAAAAACATGCATGAAGAGGAATACTTGTGGTTCCTGATAATATCTTGAGGCCTTATCAAGTGAAACTACCTGTCTGTGCGAGAAGCTGAACATTATTTACAACATTACTGTTATGAAGACTGTTTGCTAGTACATCAATCATTCAGCTTAATTATACTTCAGTGTATTGTCAGAAGCCACTGTCTCAATTCTGTTTTCCACATATTTTTATCATCGAGATCTCTTAAACATCTCATCATGCATGATTTCCATTCCAGAGGATCTCAGGATGTCTTGGTTTGTTGATCTTGCCGGGAAGGCAGAGGACTTCCTGAATAAAGTGGACCAGGGTGCAGCCACTGCTTTGACAAAACCCAATCAGAAGTCCTCTCTGTCCTACAATAGCCCAGATGCTACCGATTCAACCCAGTATAATGCTGCAGCTTACAGCTCCACCCAGCAGCACCGAGACTCCATCTCTGCCTCGTCCCAAGGAACTTCCACATTCATCTCCGCAGCTGCTGGGAACATAAAGAAATCCAAAGCTACGGTTTTGGCTGGAACAGCAAACGTTTCCAGCACCACACCTTTGGGTTCCAGCAGCAAGGCGTCATCCAATTTTGTGAGGCCTAGAAAGAGTGAAGTGAACGACGATTTGCTTTTTGACTTCTTAAACAGTTCAGATCCACCACAGAGCGAGAAAAAGGAAGTCAGGAGAGAAACCGTGTCGAAAGCTTTTCGCCCTACAGGGGTGTCAGCACAGAGCCAGATGCCCACTGTCTCTTTGGCCAGTGATCTGCACACAGGCCCATCGGTCACTCCGACCCCGTCGTCCACACAGGGTCTGTCCAGAAACTCTAGCCTCGGCTCTCTCTCCAACAGCTCGCACAGCGTTAAAACCGAGGACAGCTCCACTCGCGACCAAAGCCAAGGTACAAAGATACATCATGTCCTTTGAGTTTTTGGTTAATCATTTGTTATGATGGTCACAATTTTTGTTGTACGCTCCTCTTTGGCTGTTACAGAGAGGCAATGTGGCGACAAGTTTAACAGAAAAATTTAGATTTTGTATTATTCCTCTCAAGATATTAAATGAATGAATTATATGCAACGTGCTGTGTTTTTATGAGGAACAAGGTGCTGTAGATCACAAATGTCTAACTCATATCCTGGAGGGCCAGAGCTCTGCACAGTTTAGTTCCAACACTAATTAAACACACCTGATCAAAATAATTGAGTCCTTCAGGCTTGTTTAAAACCTTCTGGTAAGTGTGTTGAAGCAGGATTGGAACTAAACTGTGCAGAGCTGCGGCCCTCCAGGATCTGAGTTTGATACCCCTGCTGTAGATGCTTCGCATGTAGTAATGGTTGCTAATTTTAAAATTAGGGGTGTATAAAAGTACAATAACCGTGGGATAAATACAGTGTAAATAGCAAGGGATTTGAACTATTTTGTAGAAATATGTAATAGGTCGTGTGAAGTGCTTTAATGTCATCTTAACTGAGACATGAAGAAAGGGCAGCTCCTTCTCTTTTAAACAAACAGCCAATAGCATTTAGTTTTTATCTCGGCTCTGCCAGTGAGAGTAGTCGAGCTCAAGCGCAAATGAGAAGCGTCTTGAAGGGGGTGGGGCATATCAAATACTAGAGATCATTTCATTGGTCAGGATTTGATAAGAAATGAAGTATGAAGTGACATGAAAATAATTGTTGATCCATTTCGGTCACAGGTGTCAAAGCCAGTTCCTGGAGGACTGCAGCTCTGCACAGTTTAGTTCCAACCCTAATTAAACACACCTGATCAAACTAATTGAGTACTTTAGGCTTGTTTGATACCTACAGATAGCTGTGTTGAAGCAGGGCTGGAGCTAACCTTTGCAGGGCCCTCCAGGAATTGATTTTGACACCACTGATTTAGGTGGATGTGACCAGTGGTGGAGAGAGTACTGAAAAATCCTACTCTAGTACTATTACTTAAAAGTATCTCTTGTAAATATTACTCAAAGTAAAAAGTAGACCTTTCAAAAGTACTCGGGTAGTGAGTATTACTCTATAAAAAGCTGATGCATAACACCCACCCAACGTCAAGTTATAACATCATTAGATATTGATTTTTGGTTGATTTTAGGTTACACATTGGACATTGACGTTGGCTTGACGTTGAGTTCTGACGTCAACCAGATTTTCATTTCCAAACAAAATGCATTGTCCCCATGATGTTGGGGTACAATGTCAATCTCAAGTCATGTTGATGTTTTTTTCCTGCTGGGTGTTTAAGGCTATGCATCTAAACAGGCTTTGGGTCAATGCGCGTAAAGATTTTGGAAATCTTCCTTGACACTTTTAATGTTTCCAAACAGTTTTTTGCAATTCTAAATCGTATAATAATAATATTTCATTTTGATGTGATTTACCTTTATGTGTGACAGGACAGGACTGAATCGCAGGACTGATTTTTCTAATCCTCAAAGACAAGAAAAAATAAAGTAGTGGCTGCAGGTTGAAGGAAATCAGTGGAGTAAAAGTACAGATACAGCGCTAAAAATTACAGTAGTTTGAATATTTGTAATTTGTTATTTTACACCACTGAAAGTGACACTTCAATCTTTGGATGTTTATATCTTCTAAATGCAAATTTTGTCATTTGGAGCACACTGGCTTATAATATTTTAGGCTAAAAAAAGTTTAATACTGATATATGAGATTGTTAGATTGTGACTGTTATAGGCTTATAGAGTTGATATTCGTAAAACTAGCATACTGATTCTGACTTCTAAAAAATGTGTTTTACTTTAACAGGACCTTTAAAATGAAAACACACACAAAAAATTAAGTACAAAGTGGATTTTTAAATCTTTTACAGATAATAATGTAGTGTAATTAAATGTAGACCTGGATCTTGTGGAGTTCTTCCTCTTTGAACTCTCTCACTCTTTATCTTTTTTCCAGCTGATGTTCCAGAGAGTTTGACTGCAGGACTGGATGATCTCGCAGATCCTCAGCCAGTGCTGGAAATTCAATCTCAAGATCTTCAACAGCAGCAGCAGCAGCAAGGCCAAGAGCATGTGATCTCCAACCTTCGTCTCGAAAACCAGCTTCTGCGTAATGAAGTCTCCTCTCTCAACCAGGAGATGGCCTCGCTAATCCAAAGAGCCAAAGACATGCAGGAAGGTGGGCCAGAGTGGTTTTTGACATGTATGCTGTGAAGTAGTAACCCTGTTTCCACCTAGTATTAACACACTTTCTTTGTGATCCCATCACCCATCGCCATTTCCATCTTAAAGGTATAGTTCACCCAAAAATAAAAAGTTATTCATTTATTCATTTGTTTCAAACCTGTTTGAAAGTTTTTTTTTTCTTGTGTTGACTTTCGTAGTATTTTTTGTTCCTACTATGGATGTCACTGGCTGCGTTTTTTCCAACATCCTTCAGATTATCTTGTTTTTTGTTCAACAGAAGAAAGAAATTCATGTAAATTTAGTACCATGTGAGGAAATTTGATTTAATTTTTGGTGAACTCTCCCTTTAAATAGAAACACTAAGTGGGACACACCAGTACTATTGAATCATCAAATCCATTATTTTATGTAGCTCTTTTTTGGAGTGTGTTCTCATGTCTCATACTGATAACATGTTAGGTCAATTGTCAGAAATTTTCTGTGGGGGAAGGGGGGTGTCGGTTGGGGGCGGTTCCCTTACTCTCTGAACCATATTCAGATAAAAATAAAGTAAACAACAACAACAACAACAAAAAAAGAAAACGAACAAATCAAACAATAACAAAAAAACACACATACACATATAATAATAATAATAATAAATTAACAAATGACACCCAAGTAAGTCATTACCGTTAAATGTTAGATATCAGACAATTTCTTTTCCTAACACACTCTTAGAGAGTTTGTATCATTCAAAAATCCAAAGCAAGAAGAAAAAAGGAGGAAAAAAAAAACAGATACAGACAGGGTTATATGCAAGACGGCATATATATAAAGATTTTTTTTTTTTAAATACAACAGAAAAGGTTGCCAAGCAGTATAGAAATCCTCTGTTTTACTATTAATTGTATATCTAATTTTCTCTATATTAATGAACGGCAACAGGTCATACATCGAATGAAAGTAGTTGGGCGGAGACGGGTTTTTCCAGTTCAATAATATAATTCTTTTAGCAATAATTAAGTAAAAGGCTAAAACATTTGACTGCAAAGATGACTGCGATACACTTGTAGGATTGAGTCCAAACAGTGCCACTGCTTAATTTTTAGAAGAAAAATATCAGAGATTGATTTAAAGATTGATGTCTAAACTCTGGACAAAGCCAAAAGGTATGGTAAAGGTATTCATTTCAACTTCGACTTGTTTCCAATGAGTGCTAAGATTAAGTACTGTTCTGTTTCCACTGTCAGCAGTAGCAGAATAGCTAAACAGTAGGGTACTAAAAGGTGGAGCTAGACTCACTGCTGAATGCTATTGGTTTACAGAGAACTGTCACTTTTGCGTGCAAACAAGATATGAGAAACGGCAACACAGGAAGCACTATTTTCAAATACAGAGCTAAAATATGACTCTGTTATGCAAAGATGGCTCACAGCAATGAACCATGATCAAAAATCTTGTCCTCTTATGACAAACAGCCACATGTCAAGAAGCAAGAACTTAGGTGTGCAAAAGACTCCAGCTATGTAAACAACAGGGTACTATTGTCAGTGGAAACACAAGCCTGATTAGAGTGACCCATGCTGAACCATACTACAGGATGCCAGGGTTAAACCACTTCTCTTTTCGAAGGACGTCCGGGATTTTAAACAACCACAGACTCAGGATCTCAGTTTAACATCTCATCCAAAAGTCGGCCCTCACTGAGGAATATATAGAGTCCCCTTTACTATACTGGTGCGTTAGGACCCACACAGACCACAGGTTGAGCCTCACTAACACCACTTCCAGCAGCAACCAAGCTCTTCCATGTGGTCTACCATCCAGGTACTGCTTAGCTTCAGTGGGCGACCATGTAAGAGTTGCAGAGAGCTAGCTGCTGGCAATTTCAGTTAATGACAGCTATTTTAATTGTTCTAGTTTTCATTACCAACAACACTCCAATTAATACATCATTGCTTCTCCTTTTTAGAGGTGAATCTCGGCAGAGCTCGTGCTGACAAGTGGAATTCGGACCAGTCTCGGGTTGATCGCACGGTTCGAGAACTTAGCTCACAGGTCGATGACCTCACAGAAGCCTTGTCAGCAAAAGACGGTCAGTTGGCGGTCTTGAAAGTGCGACTGGACGAAGCAGATCAGTTACTGAAGGCCCGAAGTTCTGCTCTTGAAGAAGCACAGAACGAGAGAGTCAGGTGGGTCTTTTTGACATCTCAAGAGCAGAAAGGCAATCCAGCTTTAGTTGACCTTCTAAAATTAATCAATATTATCTATGAATGAAAATTGTGTGTTTTAGGATTCTTCAGGACCACAGTGAGGGCAGCAGTCTTCACTCGCAGGCTGTACAGACACTACAGGATAGGTTAAGAGACGCAGAGGCTGCAGTGAAGAGAGAACAGGAGAGCTACAGACAGATACAGGTGACTAATTAGGGCCATAGACTCTCAGGATGCTTTCACACCTACAGATCGATTGTTTTGTTCCGAAATGGGGATTAAAATAGGGTATATGCCGAAGCATGTTAATAGGACTTTTAATTTGCCAGTAACCTGGGTTAATCGTTTCCGGCGAATTGTATGTCAATGCAAAATCGGCGCGTTTAAGGTCTGTTTTCTTTAAAAGTCAGCGATCTCCACTGGCTGAGTGATATCCGATATAAAGTGGGTCTCAGATTGTACAAGAAGCACTGCATTAAATTACATGTTCCCCTCCATGTCTTTATAATATGAGCATTTATTTTACCCCAGTATATTCAATGGAGCTTCTGCGCTCACCTACCGATTCTGACGAGCGCGTGCAAGCAAACGTCTTTTTGTCTGGTTTTAAGCTCGAGCAACTAAATGAATGCCAAAGTCTGTTTAACTGATTGTATTTAAATACATTACAACATCGATGCTGTAAAAGGAACCTTATAAAATGGAAAAAATTCACAATAACAGGTCACCGGAAGTGTATTAGTATGGGAAACACATTAGCTCGGCATATACCCCATTATTACAATGTTGCTTTTTATACATGGTGCCTTTCGCTTTTACACTGCGAAGTTTCTAAACAGACTAAAAGTGTTAAAACAAGTCCCGTCCCAATATCTGAACTCTCCTCACATTGGTCAGAGTTTGGTTTATTTTCCCGGAATTCCCTGTCATACGTTGTTATTTAAATTTATTCATGAGTAATGAGACATAAGCGAAAAGGTGCACTTTTAATTTTGAATGGTGACACCCACAGAGATAGTCATTAAGAAATATAAACCACAGGTAAGAATTTCTTTAGCATAGCCTCATTTCAGTTATCTAGGGTTGTAAAATATATATCGATTCTATATCAGAAGTCAAGTTAACCAAAATGTTATTGATATTATATATTAGACGGGTTGCTTTCACTTTCATATTCGACATAAAACACACTTTTACCGGTAGGAATGATATCTCTACTCGTCATTCTCTCTTTTTATAGCCATATATATGCCTATTACGTATCCAAAATACAATATTTCCCAACCTTGTTCCTGAAGGCACACCAACAGTACACATTTTTAACCTCTCTCTTATCAAACACCTAAATCAACTCATCAGAACATTAGAAGAGACTCCAAAACCTGAAGTTAACGGGTCAGATAAAGGAGACATCCAAAATATGTACTGTTGGTGTGCCTCCAAGGACAGGGCTGGGAAACAATGTCATAATACACTGTGATGTAGTCTGGTTGGTTAGTTCATTGGATCAGATTGCTTTCTTACTACAACTGAACAGCTGTAGAGTTTGTTTCAATCAAGCCAAGATCATCTGAATGAGATTGTTTGGGCACGGATCCCAGCAGGATTGAGGTTTTCACATAAACCCAAACAAACTGAGCTAAGGGGGCTTAAGGGGGATTATGTTTCGACATCAAATATCTTTCGAATAAAGAGATAACAATTTTGAATCTTAGTGACTTGACATGTTCTTACAGAGTGAGTTTGCGGCACGACTTGCGAAAGTGGAGGCCGAGCGTCAGACGCTGGCAGAGTCTTTAACAAATGCCGAGCGCCGGTTAACTGAAGAGAAACAGAGAGCTGAGGATCTTCAGCAACAGGCCAAAAGCTCCCGATCTGCTGCAGAGTACACCAGACAAGAGCTCCAGGACTACAAAAACAAAGCCTCGCGCATATTACAGGTGTCGTTCTCTTTATCTTTACTCTATGTAACCTATTTTCCACCCCAAGTAATCGAAGGCTCATGGGTTTTGTGGGTTTTCTGCAGTCTAAGGAGAAGCTGATCAACAGTTTGAAGGAGGGCTCAGGTCTAGAGGTGCTGGAGGGAGCTGGCGCTGGGGTTGAACTTGAAGAGCTGCGTCATGAAAAAGAGCTACAAAGAGAAGAGATTCAGAAGCTACAGGCACAAATACAGAGCTTGCGGACAGAGATACAGGTACAAACTGATGCAGACGTTTATATTAAAAAATCCTAAATACACAACTCTCTCAGCCTTTTGATTATATTCAATACGTATCTTTGTTTTTTTTGTGTTCACCTAAATTTACTGAAATTTACTTAATTTCTTGAACACAAAACAAGATTTTGAAGAATGTTGAAAACCAGCAGCCATTGACATCATCTATAGTAGAAAACAAAATTCTATGGAAGTCAATGGCTTGTTTTCCCTCTACATTGTATCTTCCTTTGTGTTCAAAAGAGGAAAGTAGCTCAAGCAGGTTTCAAACAAGTGGAGGATAAGTAAATGAGGACCGAAGTGGGTAACACTTATATACTTATAATAACTACACTACAATAACTAATAACTACAATAACTATATACTATAATAACTATACACTTATAATAACTACACACTAAACATTAGCAAATGGCATATTCATAATTTGTTAAATATTAACTCTACATTAAAAACGTAAGCAGTTATTAACTGCTGCTACAAATGCTGTATTCTTGATTTATAAGCACATTTATAATGTGCTTAATAATACTCTGTGAGTAATTTATTTTTTTAATACTAAACTAAGTATTACATTATTTACAAACCATTTATAAATTTAATTCAATTCAGCTTTATTTGTATAGCGATTTTACAATGTAGATTGTGTCAAAGCAGCTTCACATAAATGGTCATAGTAACTGGATCAGGGTAGTTCAGTTTTTAGTGATTAAGTTCAGTTTAGTTTAGCTCAGTTCAGTGTGGTTTGAAATCATTAAATGTTCATTTAAATAGTTTATTAGTCATTTACTTGATCTTTGAAAACCACCAACTATTTTTAAATAACTGATTTGTAAATAATGCAATATTCAGTATAGTAATGAAAAATAAATCATTTACAAAGTATGAACATACGATTATTAAGCACATTATAAATTTGGTTGTTAGTCAAGAATACAGCATTTGTAACTGCAGTTATAAACTGCTTACTAACGTTTATTAATGTAGAGTTAATGCTTAACAGATCAGGAATTCAGTATTTGCCAATGCTTAATAGTTGATTCTTAGTGTGTAGTTATTATAAAGTGTTATTTTATATATAAAAGGTTTATTTTTCGGGTGAACTATCTTTTTTTAAATGTCTTCATGGTCTGTTGCTTTGAGGAAAAACATAAAACAGCAAAAATGTAGTTAGAAAACATGCATTAGGTCATCTAATAAAATAAATAGCAAAACTAAACATTTGTGATACATTTTGTTTAATGTAAAAAAATCCTCAGATTAAAATCCTCCATTTTATTTACTTATGTTTTAATAATCAATAATGGTCATTATAAAGGTATAGATTACAATAATTTATACATTATAGAAATGTATGCTTTAGTTAATCTAATGTAAATTAGCACAACTAAACATTTGTGATGCATTTGTTTAATGTAAAAAAATCCTCAGATTAAAATCCTCCATTTTATTTACTTCAATTGCAAATTTGGATTTTAGGATCTGGAAACCCAAGCGCTCACTGAGAACGAGAGCTGGAGAGAACAGCTGGCAGAGGTACAGGAACAACACGCACAGCAGATCAGAGCCAAACAGGAAATAGAGGCAGAACTGGAGAGATCCAAACAGGTACGTCATTGCGAGAGAGATGAAAGCACACAGGTTTTCAGAGACGGACAGTATAATGTGCATTGCTACATTTCAGTTTTTAATAAAAACTGATTGTTGATAAATGTTGAGATGCAAGATGTAAGAACATTCAAGGTACCTTTTCTTTCAAAGAGCAAGCAGTAGGTGGCTTACTTGCCAGTTGCCTGCAAATGTCTGACTAAAGTTTGTTTTAGGTTCGCACATTAAGACGTTCTCCTTAATATTATAATTTCAAAAAAGGCTTCTCTGCAAATTCTAAATCAGGAAATTATATTAGCAGCCAAAGACTATCAAAGTACAACATTGTTCACAGTCAATTAACCAGTACTAATGTTGTTTTGAAGTCATACTTGTCTTGCATGCTATTTCTGACCGAATATTCATAGTAAGTTTTGTTATGGTTACGCCTTCTGTCCACACTAAGCCAGAGTTTTCGATCGCCGAAAACTGAGCATTTTGAAAACGCTGAATATGTCGTTTTCATTTTAAATCGCTGCTGCTCCATCTCAGTTTGTATGGGAGGGAAAACAGAGACATCTGAAAAAGAAGGGGCGGCTGCAGACGTTCGCCCATCTGATTGGGGCTTTTCCCCTTAATATTAAGTAGCATACCCAAAGTTTAGTCTTGCATCCTTTTCTTCTAATTTCAGACTTCACAACATTGATATGGAAAACAAACTCACGAGGACAGGTTGGGTAAATCTTCAAAGGGAACAGTGTAGGCTACTTTATTTCACATTACCCTGGCTACATTGTTTCACTTTCTTAACAATAAAATTAAAACATGATATAAGGAACTGTCAATTTTCATTTTAATATTAAGACGCCAGTGTGGATGTGGATCGTTTTCATTCTAAAATGCAGTTTTAAAACTAAAACGTATTAGTGTAAACAAGGCCTAAGAATCAAGCTGGCAAGCCCAAGTAGCGCAGACATGTAAATTCTCATGACTCATGTAAACTCATAACTAATAACAACAAATGGGCCACTATGGAAAAAATAACTGAACGTATAGCATGTCTGAAATAATTTAATATCTAAATGTTTTCATAGTCAATAAATGTGATCAGTTTTAATCATAAACACGCTCTAAATTTAAAGATCACTTGAAATTGGGGTTAGATTCAATTTTGGCACAAGAACAAACCTAGAAACAGACTAAAACAAAACAAAAAAAAAATGTATACAGAAGTCTAAGAAAAGACTAAATGCTTTGAATTCTCCAGGAACTGCAGTACATTGAGGAAGAGCATCACCGCACTAAAATTACCCTTCAGGGTCGCGTCAAAGACAGAGAAGATGAGATCCAGAAGCTTAGAAATCAGGTACGCAAACAACCACATACATGAGTGTGCACCTACTCCAAATTTTCTGAAGATTTATAATCATTTTACACTTCCTCTGATAGCTGACCAATAAGGCTCTGAGCAACAGCAGTCAGGCGGAGCTGGAGGGTCGTCTGCACCAGCTGACGGAGACTCTGATTCAGAAGCAGACCATGTTGGAGGCTCTGGGCACGGAGAAAAACTCACTGGTTTTTCAGCTGGAGAGGCTAGAGCAGCAGCTGAAGAGCCTGCAGGGTGGACAGAACAGCGCGTCGCACATTAACATGGCGGCCATGGAGGGACCAGGTCTGTGCACTGCATGATGGGATTTATCTTTTTAAACCAATGCTGTGTCTCAACTCAAGCTTGATTGAATTGAATAATAAAGATTTGGTGGCCAAATATGATTGATTGACTGTTTTTATGTACAGGTGCTAGGCAGAGGAACACACCAATATTGTTTAGTGATGGGGATGGCCCGGTTACAGGGGTGTATGGGAAGGTTCGCAAGGCAGCCAGCACCATCGACCGCTTCAGGTAACCAACGTCCAAGATGCTTAAAATGTATTAATTTTTGTGCCGATTTAAATAGCAAGTTGTTAGTGGCATGAAAAATAAAATAATAAATGGCAAGCAATTACGAGAAAAGTGGTATGAGCTTCAATGAATTTGCTTGAGGAAAAAACAGCAGTGAATAAGAACAAGCTCATAATAATCTTGGGTAAATCACTACCTGCACACCAGAGATGGCAATACTTGAGTAGATTTTTCTGGCATCAGTACTTTACTCCACTATTGATTTTTTTTTTACTTTTAATTTTTACTCCTTACATTTTTACACAAATATCTGTACTTTTTACTTATTACATTTTTAAATCCGACTCATTACTTTCGTTTCCATGTGTTTGATGGTGCGATCTATATTATTTCTTGTCTGCGCAATTTGAGCGCCATTTTGATGCAGTCAGTCTATTTTCGTCATTGCTTTGCTTTGCATGGCTTTTTCAACCAAGGCTATAACGCACCCTATGTAGGCTAGCTTATGAAGATTACTATGAGAAAGGCAAGGATGACTACGCAGATGAGACAGAGGGAGAAGACGGATTTAACATAATGCTGCTCAGTTTACACAGTACTAAGACACATTTTGCTCAATCAGATCACAGATAATCAAGAGAGACACGTTCCAGCTCAAAAATATGCCATGCAAGTGCTTAAGGTTAACAGTCTTTTGTCCACTTCTTCATACTGCAAAGAATTCCTCTGCTCTTACAATTTATTTCCCTGAAAAAAAGTGCTTTTTGTAAAGATTTGTACATTTAGAATTAAAACAATCAAATACTTTATAAGAACTTTATGCATTGAGATTTATTTCCATTATTTCCAATGAGTTCATATCTCCTAATATTTATGCTGTTTTATAGTGTTTTTTAAATAGATTTTTTAACAAATATTTTACAACAACAAAAATAACTATACTGGGCGATTCATGAATAAAAATATAATGCAAAAGATCCTGAATTTATCATGTGAAAAAAAGAGATAATTTTTGAGGCCGTACTTCTTTACTTTTACTTGAGTACAAAAGTGTAATCAGTACTTCACCTTTTACCAGAGTCCTTTTAAACATGTACTTCCATTCGAGTAAAGGATTTGTGTATTTTCACCATCTCTGCTGCACACTCTAATAACTCCAATAAACTTGATTGATTTATGAGTAAACCTAAATAGCAACCTGAAATAAATAAACAATATGTATTATTATGCCACTGTTCAAAATATGCAGTTTTTTAAATGTGTCTTATGGTTACTGGGGCTGCATTTATTTGACCAAAATAGAATAAAAATAATGGAAAAAAATAATTAATGCAAAACTTTTTTTTTTAAATGAACATAATAATATATGTTAAAAAAATTTAGGGTCAGTGTTTTTTTTTTTTTTTTTTTTCATTTTTTTCCATTCTGTTCATTAAGGCGGCAAAAAATGTTAAATTGTTAAATATTTATTAACATTTTAAATAAATGCTTTTCTTATTGTATGTAGTTTCAAATGAGATTATTACTCCAGTCTTTATTGCTTTTATTACTATTACCATTAATAATAATAATAATAATAATAACAACAACAACAATAATAATAATAATAATAAATATTAGAGTGATTTCTGAAGGATCATGTGAAGACTGGAGTAATAAAGCTGAAAATTCATATTTAAAATCACTGGAATAAATAATTAAATTAAATTATAAACTACTTTTGAACAGTTATCTTATAGCACAATAACGTTTCACAATTTTACAATTGGTGATGAAATAAATGCAGCCTTGGTGAGCAGGAGAAGCTTATTTTAAAACATTTAAAAATCGTACGAACCCCAAACTTTTGACCGGTGGTGTACATTACACTGGTCTGCAATGTCACATGATCCTTATGAAGATATTCTAATATGTAGTTTAGTGTTCAATAAATATTTTTTATTACTAGCAATGTTAAAAGCAGCTGTGGTGCTTAATATTTTGTAAAAACATTCTTTAATGAAGAGAAAGTTCAGAAAGTCAGTATGTATTTTATTTTTAACGTTAATCTGACAGATGAAAATTTGTGGCACTGAAAGCAATAATATATTATTCCCTACCTGCACACTCTAATAACTTCAATAAACTTGATTGATTTATGAGTAAAACCTAAATGGCAACCTGAAGGATGATTATAAGTGGACATGGCAACACAGAGAACAAACTGTGATAGTTTTTTTTTTTATTCTTTTTTTTTTATTGAACATTTTGACTTTGAACCAAGTCCGAAATCCACCCAACAAAAAGTGTCAAATAAAATAAAGAGTAATATTGTAATAATAAGTACAAAATCAGGATTGAAACAGAACTGATACAGCCTCTCTCATATTTAACCATAGTTGTACAGTTTTTTATTTATTTTTTTATTTTTTTATTTTTTATTTTTTATTTTTTTTTACTGGCACTGTTTATTTTGGCTGTGGTATATTCCGAACTAATAATGTCCAGTAGATAGAGCCCCCAGGAAAACTGAGATTGTTTTTGACTGAATTACATGCAGCACAGACCAAAACATTATATAAATACACACAAGTTGCTTTAGATAGTAAGTCACTGCATGTTTTGGAGGATAAAAACAGTGACTTTATTTCTAGATGTATTTTACAGCATCACAATTGTAATTAAAATCTTCCTTTCTCTTTTGCCTCCAGTATACGTCTAGGAATCTTTCTAAGACGTTACCCCATGGCCAGGGTATTTGTTATTATTTATATGGTGAGTTTACAACACAGGAATACTTGACAGTTAATATTTAAGTAAGATGTCACGTTCTTCCATTTGTTTGTATTCATCTATCGAGCGTGTGCTCTTCTTTTCAGGCACTTCTACACCTTTGGGTGATGATTGTCCTTTTGACGTACACACCAGAGATGCACCACAGTCATCCTGATGGAAGATGAAGGACTTCCAATCTGTATTAACAACTAAGAACCTGTTGTGATCAGTAAAAGTTAATAAAGGTGATACTTCAGGCTGCTGTACAGTGGCTCAATATGCATTCATCTACAATTTGCACAGACATGCTGCTGGGTGGTTTTCTCCTTTTCTCTCTCATTTGTTACGCTGTTTCTCATGCGTTTCTTCTTAATCCACTGCATCTTTGTCTGTCTTGGCTCGTATGTGTCTGAAAGCTAAAAGTTTATTGCGAGTGAAGAGAGTGACATGAAGAGAAATATTTAAGGTGTAATTTAAAGGTGTGGTTTTAATCGGTTTAAGAGTTCTCCTTTTCTTTTATTCATCTCCATTTCATGCGGATGTAATCATGATTATTTTTGTTACAGCAAATAACAGATTGTATTCCTTACACTGAAAAGCGGATTTATCTGAATAAATATTAACACAGACATAATTTTCATTCTCTCTGCTGGTTTTTGTGACGTTTTGTAGGACACCAGATGAGGTATATAATGGGTAAAATAGAAAGTGTTCAAATAAATAACAAATTTGAAATATTTAAAAGTGACACCTATCAAAATTAAATGTTTAAAAATGACACAAAAATGTATATATTTGTATGTATCAATATAATACTGTTCAAATGATGTGGGTTTTTAAATGTCTCGTGCTTACTGAGGATGCATTTATTTGACCAGTGTCACATGATCCCGCTGAAATGATTCTCTAACATGTTAATTTGCTGTTTAAGAAATATATTTTATTACTATCAATGTTAAAAACAACTGTGGTGCATAATATTTTGCTGAAATATTCTTTAACGAAGAGAAAGGTTTGAAGGTTGGTATGTAGTTAATTTATTTTTATTTTTAGTGTCACTTCTAATGCATTCTTAAAGGGAGAGTTCATCCAAATTGTAAAGTTCTGCTATTATTTACTCATGCTTAACTTACCTGTTTAAGTTTCTTTCTGCTGTTGAAGACAAAAGATATATTGAAGAAGGTGGAAACCTGTGAATCGACTACCATAATTTTTGTTTTTGTGGATGTCAGTAGTGACCGGTTTTCAGCTTTCTTTAAAATATCTACTTTCGTTAAACAGAAGAAAGAAACTCTTAAAGGTTTGGAACACTTGAGGGTAAGTAAATACTGGGTAAATTGTAATTTTTGGTTGAACAATTTCTTTATTTTTTAGGGGTTTTTCACCTTTATTAGATAGGACAGTGGAGGAAAGATAGGAAAGCATTGGGAGCAGAGAGAGGGGAAGGATCGGCACGGAAGCTAGAGCTGGGAATCGTACTTGTGTTGCCGTATGCACCATTGTGCCATATGTCGCCACACTTAACCACTAGGCTATTGGCGCAGACAAACGATTTCTTTATTTTAAAGTATTTATTTATTTTTAAATAATATATCTGGCCTTTTGACTTTTACATTGCATTGAATGTAATGTGTGTCTCATAATTTGATAAATATATTATTTTACCATAATTTAATATTCTATGAATAAATATGAACACTGACAAAATCTTTATTTTTGCTGCTGTTTTTTGTGAATTTTGTAGAGATTAAAGAAAATATCTATTAAATTATTAAACTACTGTTTAAAATATGTGGGTACTTTAATGCCTACTGAGGGTGCATTTATTTGATCAAAAATACAAAAAAAAAACTTTATTGTAATTTTTTTTTAAAAAGAACATTAATATTCAACATACAATACTCTGATTTGCAGTGTCACATGAACCTTCTGAAATGATTCTCTAAAATGTTTTTTTGGTGTTCAAGAAATATTTTTAGTTACTATCAATGTTAAAAACAGCTGTGGTGCTTAATATTTTGTTAACTTTCTTTAATGAAGGGAAAGTTCAGAAAGTCCATATGTATTTAATTTTTAACGTTACTTCTATTGCATTTTTCAAAGGGAGAGTTAATCTAAAATGTAAAGTTCTGCCATTATTTACTCATGCTTATCTTACCTCTGAGTTTCTTTCTTCTGTTGAACTCAAAAGAGTTCAAAAGAGAGAATTTTGAAGAAAGCTAAAAAAAACCTGTAACTATCGACTTTCATAGGTTTTGTTTAGGGAAGTAGATGGTTAGTAGTTTTCCGCTTTCTTCAAAGTCTTTTGTGTTCTTCTGAAAAAAGAAACTAATTTGAGGGTGAGAAAATAAATAGTGAGTTAATTTGCCTTTATTGGGTGACCTGTTCCTTTATTTAAATGTATTTATTCATTTAAAAACAATATATCTGGCATTTTGACTTTTTGAATGCAATGTATGTTACCTAATTTGATAAATATATTAATTTGTCATATTTTAATATTGCCGCATTTGACACTCCGCCATATATGGAGTCTCAGAAATAATGTCTATGGCAGGGGTGCACAAACTTTTTCTTATGAAGTGTCAAAAGCCAAATATCATTGAGAGCCGTGGACTGAAGGTAAACACAATGTGAAAAACAAAAGTTGACTCAGCTTAAGATTTTAAGGCAACAAACTTCGGGACATTTTTGAGTTTACTCAAATTGAGACAAGTGCAGTAATTGGCCTGAAAGTTGAGTCAACTCAACAAATGTCCTGAAGTTTGATGCCTTAACTTTTAAAGTTGATTTTTCAAGTTTTTTTTAAGTACATACTGTATTACTTTAAACTTCATTGGTAATTTCCTTAGTTATTTCAAAATAATAATAATAATAAAAATCATTACAATAATAAATTATGATATGTTACAATAAAAATAATATTTGGTACATAATGTAAAACAGGGGTGCCCAAACTTTTTCTTATAAAGGGCCAAAAACCAAACTTAATTGAGAGCTGTGGGTTGAAGTTAAATATGACAAATCGGTTTACATTAAATTTTGCATGGATAATTTTTCATTTATTACCGTATTATTTAAAAATAACTTAAAAATGTTGCTTGAAATCATAAATAATGATGCAGTATATATTTTTTACGTTTTATAATGAACTTATTTTAGTAAAAACAAACAATCCCACTTATAACACAATGGAGATCAATGCTGAATACACTAGTCCAGCTACTCCTGCCTTTGCTTTAATTTGCTCGCTGATGTTTTGTGCATCTGTCAAGTGGCAGTATTTACATTTTAAAAGTCGGATTCGTTTACAACATTTAAATACAACGTTTACATTTAGTTGGCTTTTTTGTAGCTCCTCGATTAAACCATGAAACAAAAGGTTATTAAATTCGAAACTCCCCGTAATTTTCTCCTCATTTCAGATGGGATGGCAGGCAAAACCAAAGGTTACCATAGGTCAACTTTAGCCCGCAGGCCCTACTTGGGCCTACTTTGGGCACCTCTGATTTAGAACATTTCATTGAAACATTTGCTTTGAGTTCGCTTTTTGTAGCTTATCAATAAAAACAAACAAACTAAATTTTACATTAAATTAGAAATGACCGTCTCTACCTCATCCCCATCATTCTCCGCCTTCTCCTCTTTTGTGTATAATACAGTGTATGACCATATTATATACAAAAGTTGGCCTGAAAATAGTTGGAGAGTGTTTTGTTTTATCACATGACTGCAGTGTTCATTCTTTCCAGTGGCGTCGCTGTGGAAGCGCGAGAATCGTGCGCAGGATTATGTTGGTCCTCCACCGTCCCACAATCCCTCTGTGCTGTCCACGTCCCCTCTGACGGATGATCAGTCCGGCTGTGATGGCCGCGGTCGAGTTGGCACTTTAACCACCTGAAAAACACTGCGACCCTAAACAAACCCGCATCACGAACTTGCCCGAGCATATGTGGATATAACCCGGCGACCAGCTCGACGTTTCTCGCTTGGATTTAACGCGTTTAGTCCGGTGTTTTGTCTTTGTTTATGTCATGAAGTTTTGAACCAGCTGGAATCCTGATCCGCCGCTGATAAATGACTGTCACGTATGTTAAAAACAAACCAACGTGAACGCTATTTATTATACGTTAGCTTTAATACATGAGGATCTGTGCTGCCAATGGATTATATGTGTTTCTGAAAGGCCCTGGTCGGTGATTTAGGGTTAGATCCGGTTTGTCATGTCGTCCTGGCTGGGAGGGCTGGGCTCTGGCCTGGGTCAGAGTTTGGGTCAGGTCGGGGGAAGCTTGTCTTCATTTACTGGACAGATCTCTAATTTTACCAAAGATATTCTGCTGGAAAGCGCCGAGGAAGTGGGAGGTGAGTTGACAAATCACATGTCCTCTCATATGGTCTTTTAAATCTTTTTGTAAGGTCATTTGTTCTGTTTATTAAGTGTCATTAAAAACAAAACAAAAAAAATATGTTTGACTATATATTTCTTATCTCTGTATATAGTGAGCTAGAGTACTGAATGTGAGAGATGTGTGTTGGAGTTGATTAGTTTATGAGTACTGTCAGTGCAGTGATGCTAGATAGCTAATCTCACAGTGAGTCCGGTCATTGTTTTTGTGTGACTGTTAAGATATCTTGGTGCTTGAATATTGGATTTTGTTTACTTTGGAATCTTGTCAACAACAAAAACAAAAAAAGCAGGAACATGCACACCCAGAAATGAAAAAGGATCATTGTTTACATCTTAACACTTATTTAAATTTATACCTGAATGACTGCATTTCTTCTTATGAGCACAAAAGGGGACGTTCAAGGGATTGTTCATCACAAAAAAGTCTGTTAAAGATGGTTCACCCAAAACTTAATATTCTGGTATTAATTACTCACTGTCATGTTATTTCAATATCCCTGAGATCTTCGTTCATCTTCAGAGCACAAATTTAGATATTTGAGATGAAACTCGAAAGCTCTCTCATCCTCCGTAGACAGTATGGAGCCCACATTGAGTTAAAGTTGCTTTTATATTTGCACATGTTCATTTAACGGTCCCTATATTGTTTACCAAACTAGTTTGAATATTTTAAAATCGCATTTAAGTTTGACTGTAAAACAACATTAGCACTGTTTAATTGACTGTGATCCATGTTGTACTTTGATATTCAATGGCTGCTAATATAATTTTCCTATTTAGAATTAGCAAATAATTATTGTTTTTTGAAACAATATTATTAGGGAGAAGGTCCCACTATGAATATATAAACCAACTTTACCTCAATGTATCCCACAATGTTCAAGTCCAGAAAAGGAACGAAAAACATTGCAAAATATTTCATTTTCCTTCAACTGTAACCATACAAAGCTCCAGTAGGTTAGGCCATCTAGGTGAAAGTTTACCCTTTTCATTATGGGACTCCTCATATTGAAGTCACATGGAATGTTTGTGCAGTGTTTTTGGTTCCTTTTGTGGACTCTGAATGTCTTGGGAAATCTTCCTCTCTGTGAAGTATAAGGGAGCTTTCAGATTTCATCTAAAATATTTTAATTTGTGTTCTGAAGATAAACAAAAGTTTCTGGGGATTGGAACAACATCAGAGTGAGTAATTACTGAAAGATTTGTCATTTTTTGGGTGAATAAGTCCTTTAATTTGCTCACCTTTAGGCTATCCAAGATTGCTTTTTTTCTTTAGCAGTATATTAAAGAAGATTTTAGCTAAAATGTGGGCCTTTTGTGATTCATTATTCATCAAAGGTGGCAACACCGAAGCTCCAAAAATACAAATTTATTATGTTAAAAAAGCAGACACAAAGCATGTAACATTTCGAGCCACACGGCTCTTCATCAGACAGACTCTATTTTTGGAGCTTTGGTGTTGCCGCCTTTGAATATTTCATTTGCACCTTTTGCGTTTTTTGGCTGAGTACCCAGTTAAGAGGGATGTGCGTGCTTATGTACAGTTTTTCCTTTAGTGATTCATTAAAAGCAAATCAATAGTCAAAAACAAATAAATTTTGAAGATAAAAAAAATAATTATCTGAAGCAGGGTGAGCTCAAGTGTCCTATTCGCAGCAGTATGAATAAAGAAGGTATAATCTAGTCTTAAATGAACTGTAAAATGTATAACTGAAAAGTTATATATTTAGATTTTTAATCATCTCATTACTTGACTGGGTTCCTCAATTTTCATCAGAGCTTGTGTTTCAGCTTTTTAAATACATGCAGGATTGTAAGCTGAGATTTGAGTTGCAGTTACTAATAATGTTGTAAAAGATCTTCAGTTTCTTGCATCATTTCACAAGACCTCAGTGTATAAGTAGGAGCCATGGGCACTATTTTAACCTTGGTGTAATTTTGCTGGTGACAATTGGCTTACATTTTATGGATCAACAAGGTTCATTATTTCAGTTAAGAACCTTATTTAGTTTTCTTTGCTAAAGGAAACCATTTATAAGAAAGGCCTGAGATCAACAACAATAGTGAATTGAAATTTTTGGCCTCACTGTAATTGCAGTGAAAGTGAAAAATACAGCATTCAGCACTGTCTTTTTTATTATTAAATAAGCAAGTTTAATAAATTTGTAGCAAGAGGGAGTCAGAATGAGAAATGGTTTTCTTTTTTGGATGAACTGTCACATTAAGATTTCACTCTTCATTCTTTATGCAAATGCCATTTGGTGCTGCAATGTGATTATATATTAGACTGAAGTCATTGTAGTAAAACAGAGTGAGAGGTTTGGGTTTGTTTTCAAACTTTCCATTCTGACGTTGATTTTAGGTAGATGAATTTAAAGGGATATTTCACCTAAAAATGAAAAGTCTGTAACCATTTAATTACCATTCACGTTTCAAACTTTTGTAAGTTTCTTTCTTCTTTTAAACAAAAAAAAAAGATATTTTGAAGGAAGCTGAAAACCTGTAACCAGTGACTTATATAGTATTTGTTTTTCCTTCTATGTATTTGAGTGGTTACAGGTTTTCAGCTTTCTTTTGTGTTAAACAGTAGAAAGAAACTCATAAGGGTTTGCCACCACTTGAGGGTGAGTAAATAGTGATTGTATTTTCATTTTTAGGCGAAGTGTCCCTTAAATACAGAAAACGCTGAATTGATTTAAGTTGTTCCATTTGTGAATGAAGGCTTTATAATAAAGTTCTTTTTGCCTTCTTTACATTTGGATCTGTGGAAAAATAACGTTTCCCAACAATAACATTGCTAATGTCATAAGTAAATGTCTTTTTGACCGATGGAGGAGTGGACATAGACAACACACACTGAGAACTTTGATCAGCAGCTTCCAGCAAAGCAGACCGACCTTGAGTCAATATGTCATGCCTCCCGATCAACTGACCTGCCTGTTATTAGGTCTAAATAATATGGACTTACTAAAAAATTCTAAATATATTTTATCCAGATGGCAGTGTGGCACCTATATAAAATGTTATTCAACGTTAGGTCAAATGGAAGCATTAATTCAGTTTGTTTATTATTATTATTGATATAATTCATCAGTTCTACCAATTCATTAGTTGTGCTTTCTGCAACTTGTTTCATTAAGGGATAGTTCACCTAAAAATGACATTTTATTTACTCATCCTCCACGTGAGTTTTTTTGGACACAAAAGAAGATAATTTGAAGAATGTAGAAAGCCCAAGACATTAACTATAGTATATTTGAGGTTTCTGTTATGGATGTCATTATCTGCTGTGTTCCATCATTTTTTTTTTTTTTGGTAATGACATTTTTATTTTTATTTATTAATTTATTTTTTTTGGCTCTAACTAAGTTTGTCAGAAATGAAGGGGTTTCAAGCATCAGAATAATAGGTGTCATAAAATCTGAGTTTTCAAATTTAAAACAATTAAATGTGTCCTGTGTAATTAGTAAGCAAACATGTTCATCAAACTATGAAGTGCATGTCAGAATAAATATAAAGTTTTCCTTTTACATAAATGTTTTATTCACAGTGATAATTCATTATTTCATCCATATTTTTTAACATAAAATTAACTTACATTTAATATGCTAATTACAATATATATAACATCACCTTTTGTAAATTAATATTGATGCAGACACCAAAATGTTATATCTCATCTTTGGCTTTTAAATGTTTGGCTGCCTGAAAGTGGCAGATGTGACACCTGCTGTGGGTTTGTCCTGTCCCACACAACCTCAGAGACCCCCTACTTCTAATGTGTCCTTGAGCAAGAACAAACTGCTTAGGTAGAGTCACTAAGGGCTACTAATGTGACTTCTTCACCATTTATGCTGCGTTATATCAAGTATCATGCATTTTGTATGTGACCTAAAATAGTTTCTAGTTCAAACCCCATAAAATGTATACAGTCAGCCATAAGAATTGTGTTCTACATCTATGCTTAGTTCCCTGATACTTCAAGTAGGTTATCCAAATAATAAAGCAGCGTTCAACGCTAAGAATTTTTCTACTGGCCCAATCAGACCAGTGGTTCCGATTTTTACTTGTCCTGTAAATATTTTAACTGGCCCCAACAAAAAAAGAAGTTAATAGCTATTTCTTAGCCAAAAGTTTGAACAAAATGTGTCAATGTTTGTAAATATAGAATTTAAATATTTAAAAAATGTTAATAAAAGAATAATAAGCAAAATGTGTTTTTAAACAAAAGATGACTGACGTGCCAATCTGACGGCACACTGTACAAAACATCACTTCATTTTTTTTAGTCGTGGTGTACCCTCGTAAACGTCTGCTTCCAAGACGTTAGAAACAAATGTTTTTCTTTAGCATCATCATTTAATGTTGCCGCCATGTTGCTGTCTCTCTGTTGAACTGGTTGATACGGAAAAAAATAACGTGCTCACAATATCCAATCAGATAAGAGGAGCTGAGAAGGTAGCATTTGAAGGCTTGAAAACACAAACAGTTTCTCGATTTTAAGATTCTATTTGCATAAAATTGACAAATAGTCACAGACAAATTGAACTTTAGTGATAAGGCAGCAGTGGCCTGATAGGGCCAGTAACGATCCTGTCTACTGTCCCGAGCATCTCACACGCTGGCCCCGGGCCATTGGGCAGTCCTTATTGTTGAGCCCTGTAAAGGCAATTTAATATGGTCTTAGCACGTGTAGAAAGTAATGAGTTCCTCAATGTCCAAATGTATGCTGGAGTTTGGTAAGCTTTAGATTAAATTTGATGCCTGTTAAGTTAAAAAGTTACTTTAATAAGTTTGTCTTATGTGCACGCAATTGAATTAGAACAGTGGAATTGAGACCAGAGAATGCTTTGTTTTATACATTTTGGTCAGTGGGCCAGCCTGAAACAGGGTCAGAAATCAGATTTTCTAAAAGAAATTAACTTCCCAAATACCTATCCCTTCAATTGATATCCAGGGATATTGCTGCAATTACTAACAATAACAATTTCTATGTAAATAATGCCTATTTACAGCAGAACACATGATACAGAACGCATGAGGTTGCAGCATATGGATAAAGTAAAGAATTATTTTGATTATTGCCTTTGGTTATTAATGTTGAATAATAGAATACATAAATAAAATTGTGTCTAGAGACAGAATATGCCATAGTCTGGCTACACAGACAAAACATACGGGTCCTTGTTGTCTAAATAACGTTATGCAAAAACGTTGCATCTGCAAGATTAATCTCTTGATTGGATCATTTAAGCATTTTGTTGTTTATGGAAAGAAAAATTGTGAGCATGCAGAATTCAATTTAATGAGCACACAGAAAAATGCACACGGCAGAAGTGTGTTGTTTTCAGCCATGACTAAACAAAAAGCATTTGATCGACCTGCTATCATAAGCTCAACAGAAAACTTTTGTTATAAGGCTCTGTTAATTTGTCAGGCATTTCCTGTTCAGTTTGGTGGCATTTATTCGCTCAATTTCACATTGCTTTCTTTCTTTCTCTTTCTTTCTTTCTTTCTTTCTTTCTTTTTTTCTTTCTTTCTTTCTTTCTTTCTTTCTTTCTTTCTTTCTTTCTTTCTGTCTTTCTTTCTTTTTTACCTTCTTTCTTTCTTACTTTATTTTTTCTTACCTTACTTATTTCTTTCTTACCTTCTTTCTTTCTTACATTATTTTTTTCTTTCCTTCCTTCTTTCTTTCCTGACTCCCTACTTATAGAAAGTAGTGAATACACTCAGTCCGTCAGCATCAGCAATAACACAACGTTTTAAAGAAACAACTTTTTTTCCATTGTGGTCCTTGATGTCTTAATTTCTCTCTTAATTTCTTTTTAATTATTTTGTACACACTTTTTATTATTATTGCTCTTCTGGTGTTATTCTTTAGAAATCTACATCTATGTTTATTTCAAGTGATCTTGTTGGATATAAACATGTAACTCTGTGGCTGTGCAGCAGCTGTGATTTATAAAAAAAAACAAAAAAAAAAACTGAACTTGATCCTCTGGAATGTTTGTTTCTAAAGGGACAGTCACTCAACGATCGACTTCATATGTGCTGCAAAATCAGGACATTAAATGATGATTTGAAGTCTTTAAATGGATTTAATAGTGCAAATCTCCTCATTATTCACTTGACAGGAAAATTCACCTCATCTTTTGATTTATTGAGGTTTTATAATAACGAGTGTGCCATTTTTCATTTGAAATATCGGGCAGTTCAGAAAACTATAGATCTCACCATAGTCTCAATTTAATTAACTTGCTGTCTAATAGAACTACATGTACAGATCTAAACTGGCTGTTTCAGAAACCATAAATTTATTAAATGCCACCAACTCAGCATGTCTTTCCTTGCAGATGCTGCCTCTGAGCTGCAGGTGTCCAACTCTAGATTGCATGAACTGGAATCTTCATATACTGCACAAAGATCTGAGGTGATTTATTATGCATTAAAACAAGTCTAGTCTGATGCTAATTCTTGCTCGTGTTTTTGTACTCTGCAACAATGGTTCCCAATTCCAGTCTTCAGGACCCTCTACCCTTTTCATTTTGTATGTCTTTTTTTAAGTTAACACACCTGATTCAGATCATCAGTTTGTAACAGATTCATAAAGTGATCCTTGTGTATAAAATAAAAGAGAATTGCAAAATGTGCAAATTGGGAAGGGGATTGGGAACCACTGCTCTACAAATACTAATGAGAGCTAATGTTTTGTGTTTTTTAAAATGAAGACTTTTTTATATTTCTATTTTAAAATATTTTGTCAGTGCATTAATGCTTTTGTCTGTGTGTGTGGTTTAGTACGATCGCTTGCGAAGAATAAACTCAGAGCTAGAGGAGAAGCTAGAAGCGGCTGAGATTCAGGTCAAACAGCAGTCAGTGGAATACAGAACACTCCTGCAGCAGAAAGAGGTTTTCTGAACTGAATCTTTATCTTTTTATTAAATGAGAAAGGAGAACCATTTAGAATGATAGTGATGTTATTGTGTGTGTTTTGTTGCTGTGAAGGTGGAGATCAGTCACCTCAAGGCCCGTCAGAGTGGTCTGCAGGAGGAGGTGCAGAAACTCCAACAGCGGACTCAGACTGCGATCAACTCATCCTCCCATGATGCAGCTGTGCTTCCTGTCACCACTGCTGCTACTACCACTACTTCGTCTTCCTTTCTGCACCAATCCTCTGCTGTCCATCAAGGCTTTCATAGTGACGAGGTGGATCTCAGTGATGTCCTGTGGTCACAGCAGGAAATTAACCGTCTTTCCAATGAAGTGCATCGTTTAGAGGCAGATGTTTCTCATTGGAGGAGGGTTGCTCAGGTCACTTTACATGTATACCTTCAAAACAGTTTTTGAAATATGTATTGTGTGGTAACACTTTAGTTTAAGCACCAATTCTCACCATATTGGTTGTTTAATTGTACTAATAAAGTAAGTATTCTGCATGATCTTAATCTACATTCTAATCCTACCCAATACTTAAACCCATCTAATATTTTAATAACTATTAACAAGCAGCAAGTTAGGAGTTTTTTAAGCAAAACTGGTAGTTTATGGTTTGTAACTTAAAATAAAGTGTAGGCAATGGTGTTTCCGTTGAACTAGTATGAGACTTTTTATTTTAATTAATCAGGTGTCCAAGCTGCCAGGAGCTGATGGAAACGGAGACCAGGGTGAAGTTTTGAAAATGCAAAGAATTATCAAGGTAAAAAGCCTCTGAAATGTTACAAAGAGTAGTAGCTGTATATTTATTTAATTTTATATTGATTTCAGTAATGATAGTAATAATTAATATTAAAATATTTAGATCAGTTGCATAAAAGTTATGTTGCAATTTGTAAAGTAATATTTGTTCTATATTTAATGGATGTATTATATGAGACACTTACTGTAGCTTTGTTTACCAAACAAGTGGTTCTAATTGGATTTGATTTTAAACCTTAAATAAATTGTTAGGTTTTCAGCTCCAATACCATGGGTCACCAATCTCAATCCTGGAGGGTCGTTGTCCCTGCAGAGTTTAGCTCCAACTTGACTGGAATTTTCAAGTATACCTAGAAAGACCTTAGGTGCGTTCCATATTGCATATTTATGCACTATTCTATGCCATTTTGTAACATAAATAGTGTAAGTAGTGCATTCACACTTTAAATATTTGGATGATGCACTTATTCAACCAGTAAAGAGTGGAATGACGAACACTTTATGCACTCAACGGCTGCTGCTTTGCTTATTTAATGGAAGAGGCGGAGCTATCAGGCACTTACCTTGAATTACTTTTTTTATTTTGGATTGTGAAAGCTAAATTCTCCTATGAGAGAATTCCTCCTGATGGTGAATGCGGTTATACTCGTGGCAGGTATTATTTGGTAGTTTGGTCATTTATTTCACTAATTTGGCAACAGTCAAACATCGAAACGGTTTGAATTTCCGCTTTGGGATGACACTACGTACATATACTATGGTGTTAAGTGTGTAACTGCATAAGTACATGGTGTATAGTGTGCTATTTGTGATGCAGCTATTGATTAGCTTGTTCAGATGTGTTTAATTTGGCTTGCAGCTAAACTCTGCTGGACACCAGCCCTTCAGGAACAAGTTTGGTGACCCCTGTCCAATACTTTCAAAATCAATCTGCTTAAATCCACATATTTTTTTACAAAGTGTGAGCAGAATTGGAAAAAATTAACAGATTTTGTCTGCCCCATCTTGTTGATTAGTGCTTGGAATCAGTTTTTGTTTTTAACGTTGATTTTCTTACCCTATCAGGAGCTGAGAGACAAAATGGCACGGGAGGTGGATGAGCACCAGCACGAACTGGCAGCATTGCAGGATGCCCAGAGGCAGAAAATGTCTGACATCTCCAAAAGGCACAGACAGGAGCTGGCAGAGTATGAGGAGAGAATTGAAGAGCTTGAGGAGCAGCTTCAAAGTGGTGATTAATAGCATTTATGCATAATAAATTTAGAGAAATTAGCTTTCCATTTGATTTGATTTGTTTGAGTGTAACACTGTTTTTCTGACTTTTCTTCAGAAGGTGGTAATGCTGTCCAAAAATCATCCACAATGCAGGACTCCATTAAACTTCAGGAGCTGGAATCGACTATACGTTCTTTACAGGAGGAGGCGGAGCTTCAGCGCAAACAGCACAGAGAGCTATTGGCCACCTTAGAGGAGGCGGAGCATCATAAGACCAAGTTAGAGAGGGAGAAAGAGGAGGCAACAGCAGAAAATGCAGAACTGTTGCAGAATTACAGTCGGCTTCAGAAATCTGTGAATGAACTTCAGGCTCGGGTTCAGGAACAGGAGGGGAAGTCAATGTTGAAAGCCCAGCATGATAATGAAATACAAGTCCTAAAAAAAGCCCTTGCAGGTATAGTGATCTCAAGAAATGTTATATAATCATTAGAACTCCATGTTTGATATATCACATTATGTGGTACATTCATAAACTAATGTCTGATTTTAACTTTTTATAATTTTGTATTATATTTATAAGGTGCGGAGAAAGAGGTTGCTAGACTGAAGAGTTTCAGTGAGGTAAATTTACAACAAAAAAAGAGCACAAATCAGCACAGTTTAGACTTAAACATGCTTGCGATTTTAAATATAAAGCTTTCATGTAAATATGCTAAATTCAGCAACTCAATTTTTAATCTGCAATGTTCACCTCATCAAATAGATCTGACCCTACTCTTTAAATTAATAATATAGTAATATAGTAATATAGCATAAGGGTCATAATGTTGTCGTTTTTTTACACCTCATTCAGAGTGGTCCTATGGAAGAAGTAGAACATGCTGACATCCTGGAGCTTAACACCATTATTGATACCCTCAGGAAAGAGAAGGAAGAGGTGGAAAAAGAGAAGGTTTGTATATGTTAATGAAGTTTTAATATTCAACAACATGTATTTTTTAATTTGTTTTAAAAAATGCTTGTGTCAAATCAGTAGTTAATTGTTATCTTGAAAAGGGTGTAAATGTGCTTAACTGGTATACCTATCATACTGTTTGTTAAATTTTTTTCCTTAGCTTGTGTTACTTGATAGAATAGCCCTGGTTGAGGAGAGACACCGGTCTGGAGAGCCAGAGAGTGTTGGAGAGCTGTCACTGGAAGTTTCAGACCTAAAGAGCCAGCTTGACCAACGAGAGGAAGCTCTAAAGCAAGCACATCTTGATATAGAGACACTTACTGCTGAACTGGAAGAACTGGACAAACAGAACCAGGAGGCCACACAGGTACACATTTTAAGCCATGTTTACATGTTTATTAGTAATTGAATCTGTTGGATTGAAATTAGTATACTGTATGTTTACTTTGTTTTCTTTTTGTAGCATGTTATTGCAGTGAAGGACCAGCTGTCCCTGCAAAAAACCCAGACTGAGGCCGAAAAAGCTCGTCTTCAGTCAGACCTCAATTCCTTACTTGACCAGAGACAGTCTCTTCAACTGGAACTGGAAGCCCATGTAGAGAAACTAAGTCAAAGTGCCTTCTCCCTAAATGAACTGCACATGGCAAAGCAGCAGCTCGAAGCTACAGTAAAGGAGTTGAGGGAAAAGTTGTGCAAGTCCCAGGATCTGGGCAAAGAGTTGCGGCAGGAGTCCTCTGAGCTCAAGAGAGCGCTTCAGCAGAGAGAGACAGAACTTACTGCACTTCATGAGGAGTTAAGCCATACAGGGGAGCAGAGGAATGAGTTAGAAGTGCACAGGAAAATACTTGAGGCACGGGATAAAGACATCCATGACTTAAAAGCAGAGTTGGCAGAAGTGAAGGTCTCTTACGAGAGGGCCGTTTCAGAAGACTTTGAATTGAAAATTGATAATAGAAAGTTGACAGAAGAAAGGACTCGGACTTTAGAAAAGACGGACAGCTTGGAAAGGCATATCCAAGAATGTCAAGCTTCTCTAAGCAGGATGTCTCTCGAGAAAGACACCCGTATTGAGGCCTTGAAATTAGAAAAGAGCCAGCTAGAATCTGAGCTAAGTCAGACTGAGAAGCGACTGTCAGATCAGGCTAAACAATATCAACAAACTATTGATGAACTGACCAGAGCACGTTCCATGGATGCTTCTGCACTGCAGACCGAACATGAGCGAATGGTGAAACTCAATCAAGAAAAGGATCTCACAATTTCAGAGCTTAGGCGTGAAATAGAGCAGATGATCTCAGACCAAAAAGACACCAGCGAGATGTTGGACATAACAGTGGCTGGCCAAAATCAACTCACTGAGCTTCTCCAGGAGAAGGATGCTTTTGCAGAAACCCTAAAAACTCAAGCTGTGGAAACACAACAAGAGTTGGAGACCCGTATCTTGAGAGCAAGTCAAGAGTGTGACTCTCTCAGAAAGTCAGTGGAAGAGAAAGACAAACAGCTTGGAGCCATGAAGGAAGAAAACAGCCATTTGAAAGAAGAGATTGACCGTCTGAGGGACCAGCAGAGCAGACCACAGTTAATGTCAGAGCCACGGACACTGGATATCATCACAGAGCTTGAGAATGAGGTCGCCCAGCTCAAAGCTGCCAGAGATCAACTCAAAGAAGAGGTCCAAGCTCTGAGGAGACTTTCTGAAGAACAACAGACAACAGCCCTGCAGTCTCAACGCTCCCTTCAAAGTGAACTAGAGCAAGCACGGTCAAGAAACGAGCAAAGCGCACTCAATTACGAAAGACTCATCAGTGCTAAAGATGAAGAGATTGCCCGGCTTCAGTCAGAAGTAGAGGGCCTAAGCACACAAGGACGAAGTCAAATACAGTCCGTGGAAATTCTACAGGAAGATAAGACCCAGTCTCTGAATGGTGAAAACGGTAATGAGAAACATGACCTGTCAAAGGTGGAAATTGAGAAACTTGTGAAAGGCATCAAGGAGAAGGAGACTGAAATTAACCAGCTCAATGAAAAGAACCTCTGTCTAACCAAGCAGCTGGACCAACTTGTAGTATCTCAAAATGAGCTGGGAAAACTCTCACAGATGGTGCGCCAGAAGGATCTAGAAATCCAAGCGCTTCATGCTCGAGTGTCTGGAGGCCATGGTCAAGATGTGGTGTTCCTTCAGCAGCAGCTGCAGGCGTATGCGGTGGAACGGGAACAGGTGCTGGCTGTACTCAATGAGAAGACCAGAGAGAACAGTCAGCTGCGCTCAGACTACCATCGCATTATGGACATAGTTGCTGCCAAGGAGGCAGCCCTGTTAAAGCTTCAGCAAGAAAACCAGCGGCTCTCCACCATGAGCGACCCTTCAGGGAGTCAAGAGATGTTTCGAGAGACCATTCAGAACCTCTCCCGCATTATCCGTGAGAAAGACATCGAGATCGATGCCTTGACACAGAAATGCCAGACCCTGGTTTCTGTCCTCCAAACATCTGGCTGCAGTGATCCTGTGAGTGGTGGCTCTGGAGGTGTTAGCAGCAACCAGTTTGAGGAGCTCCTACAGGAACGTGACACTCTCAAACAGCAAGTTAAAAAGATGGAGGAGTGGAAGCAGCAGGTGATCACGACCGTGAGGAACATGCAGCATGAATCTGCACAGCTGCATGAGGAGCTGCTCAAGCTGCAGGGGCAGGTTTCTGCCGACAGTGACTCAAGCTCGAAGCTATCTGTGGATTATGCCAGGCTTATTCAGAGCTATGAGCAGAAAGAGAAAAAGCTTGGATTGTTGAGTCAAGAGCTGGCACAGGTGCAGCAGACCATCAGCCAGCTGACCAGTACCAAAGACGTTCTCCTCGGGAAGCTTGGCAGTGTCAAGCAATCTCCAGAATTGTCTGCCATGGTTCCTAGCCAGGCTCTTGCCCCTTCAAACCTGAGGGGGGCAGCACCTTCAGCCCAAGATGACCATATACATCAGGATATGCAGGCATTGCAGAGAACTTTAGCAGAGAAAGAGAGCATGATAAGAACTTTGCAGGAAAACAATCATCGCTTGTCAAATTCTGCATCTCTGTCTGAAAGTGAGCAGAGAAGCCATGCAGAGGAGCTCAAGCAAGCTAGAGAGAAGCAAGAATCTTTGCAGCGTTCCCTCAGAGAGAAAGATCTACTCATTAAGACTAAAGGGGACCAGCTCGGGCAGGTAATGTAGAAGGACAATACACAACAATACCTAAGCTGCATTGTGTCAAAATGCTAGTTTTCATCCCTAGTCCCCGGACAGGTTGGTGTTTATAAAGTTATTATCAGTTTATCAGTTATTTTATTGTGTAAACTGATAAAATGGACAATAATATGGTTAAAAGGACGGCAATAATATTACACAACGGTACACACAAACTTCATATATGAGCAATATTACAAGAGTAATATTGATACAGATGTGGCTGTATATCGACACTGGTGGAAGGCGTGCGTTAGTGCCGCCACCCATTACGAGATACAGCCACATCGCAATACTACAAGAGTGATATTGTATTTGTAAAACTGTTCGACGGCATAATTGTGTGTATAAGAAAGAAAATCAAACACAGAGTCTCAAAAACCCTTTTGTATGAGGAACAACTTTCTTTTACCACTCATTCACATCTGCAGCTGACAGCAAAGATCATAGAATCACTAAGATCTAAGCTATTTGCTGACAGTCAGAACAGCAGAAACCATTGCTACTTTACCAAACCATTGCTACTTTACCAACATCACTTTAGAGCTAGCTTTTGAATCATTCTCCTGCGTAATGACCAAAGTGATGACAAAACAGGTGATTTTTTTGCTCACATTTTAAGATTATCAAGCTAAACGGCATGAAATGCCATCAGTCTACAGAGATTTCCTGGTATTTCTCTGTTGCAATCAGGATTTCACAATAATTAACCCAAAAAAAGCCAGAGCAAAGCAAACACTACCAGATTCTGTGGTATAAATACAGCACTACAAAATACAAGAGAGAGATCGACTTAGAATGTCACCCACCTGATGTATAATGATTTGTTCTGTTGTAGTTTGAAATTTACACTAAGTAAATGCTGTTTTCTCCCCTAAGGACTTATTATGTGGTCTCTGTCACCATTTTGTGGCGGAAAGTCAATCATCACTTTCTTGGATTTGCTCAGGCTGATGGCGGACGATACACTGAATCCAATGCTCCGATATTATAAATATTTAAAATAGGCACTATCCTTATAAATAAACTGCTTAGTTGCAATCTAAACAACTACATTCTCGACTTAAAAAGGTTCAAAAGTACAGTATGTTGTCCAACAGCAGCAATAATTGTCAAACTATAGACTGTCCTCTGCTTGTTGCTGTATGTGGGCCGAGTATTGCACAAGGGTGAAGGGTTAAGAGGCTGGACAAGTGCTGTTATTTGCAGAATAACGTGCTGCTATCAGCCAATCAGATTCAAGAACCAGACTAAACTGTTGTATAAATATGCATATCATATCATGATATGTATACAAGGTTTTAATTAATAAACCAACATTATTCTAAAATCATTTCAAGAATCCTTCATACATAACTTCATACACGCATGTGCGTGCAAATATACAAACTCTCTCCAGATTTAAAAGACATTGAAGGTAGATTGAATGTAGATTGCAAAGGTGTTGATCATGAGGTTTTTCTGTACACTCCCCAGGTGAGTGAGACTTTACGCAACCGTGAGAACGACAATGAAGTTTTGAAGCAGGCTGTGACAAACCTGAAGGAACGTGCGCTGATCCTGGAGTTGGATGTGAAGAAACTGAAGGATGAGAATGAAGCGATTGCATCCAAAGCTCGTGAGAAAGAGACAGAGTTTCGTGCTCTGCAGGAGACCAACATGCAGGTGTCACTGTTGCTTCGGGAAAGAGAGTTTCAGTTCAGTGCTGTGAATGAGAAGGCCACTGCCATGGAGAAGATGTTGAAAGATAAAGAGCAGGTATGTCTGATTCTTGGTTTGTTTGAGTGTTAGAATATTAAGGTAAATTATCAGTAATACATTTTTTTTAAGAATTCCTGTCATAGGACAGATATTAAAGGGCCATGAAACCCCCTCGTTTCAGCAGGGTGTTTTCACACCTCTACTTTGGAAAAAGTCAGAAAAGTGGGCGTGTCCAGCTCTGTTTAGGGGGGAGTGTCGGAGGAACTAAAGTGGGATGGTGTGGGAGTGTCTATGTGGGCACGCGTGAGTTTCAGTCAAAATACACACACATGATAAAGTGATGGTGTTTAACCTACATGGACATCTGTAGTCGAATTATTTGCCAAATTGTTAAATGTTGGACTTTAACTGCAGTTTGGCTCTTTCATTCAGGGAATTCATTAATGTCCCTCCCGACAAACGAGATATTTGATTCGAGGATCTGCTCTAAGCGTGTATTTTTCATGCAATGTTTGATACCGCACGGCGAATGAGAGAAAAAAAACTCTGCATTTCCCGGAAACTTAGATGCACACGGCAGGTAGCGTCAGAAAGCCGCGTGTGTTATTCCGGTCACAAAATGCGGTGCTATGTTTGCACTCAGTGCAATAGTTAACTTAATTCGATACGAACAAACTGAATAAACAAAGAGCACTGGTCGCTCACTTACCAAATCTGTAGAGACAGGACAATCACCAGCAACTAGAGCCGCGTCATTATGAAGAGAAGACTAACGTTACAAGCGAATCCGGATTTCAGCGTTTGCAGATGAGAACAGCTCTCAGGTAAACAATGTTCCTCCTTAGACACGTAAGTTATTGTTGTCGAGCGTCGCGTACACTGTAATCCACACGTGACTCCAGATGAGCTCTCACAGAGAGAAAATGAAAACAAACTTAATGGCAGCAAACTATAAAAGCAACACTTCACGCTTGTTTTGCCAACACAACGTGGCGTCTCTGGGGCGTAAACACGGTGACACTAATGAATATTAATGAAGTTGCACAATAGAGCGCGCTGATTGGTTTGAACCAAGCCTTACTCATGCATTAATGCATCACACTGTAAGACGTAATAAGACTCACTCTGGCACAGACGCCCAGTCTGCACGCTGGAATACAGCGCTATTATGTCATGACCGTGACGCAGCTTCAAAAATTCGTTTCAAACCGGAAGTACGAATTTGCTTGAAATAAAGCAAAAACAACCAATTTACACTTTTTAGTGAAATATAGGTGTCCTAATAGTGTTTTTAGCAGTGTGGGACACATATACGACTGTCAACAGCTCAAAAAATGTGTTTTGGTGTTTCGTGACCCTTTAAACCAATATTTGTGTCACTCTATAAAAATAACTAAACATTTTCAAACAAATTAATCAATGAACTCTAGGGAAAAAGGATTATGTGACACTAAGGACTTAAATAATAGCTATTAAAATGCATCTTTAACATCCTCAAAGGAATCAATTGGATTTTCAAACACAATAGAAAACATTTATACTTGTAATGTTTCAGTTTTACACTTGTTACACTTATTTTGACCAAATAAATTAATGTTTAATGTACAAAAGAGAATTCTGAATGTTGTTTTGAGTTGTTGTTGTTATTATTATTATTATTAATAAGTATTTTATTTCGCATTCCCAACATACTTAATACTGTAAAGAGTGCATTTTTATAATGATGGAATAAACGCTGTGTTTTATATATGTTGTGAAACTGACCTGTCGCGCTTTTGTCTGTACTGTAGGGTAAATCTGGTGAGCTGAACCAGTTGTTAAATGAAGTTCGGTCCATGCAGGAGAAGGCAGTGTTGTTTCAGCAAGAAAGAGATCAAGTGATGATGGCCCTCAAACAGAAACAAATGGAGACATCTGCACTGCAGAGCGAGGTAGAAAAGGCTGTGTTTGTTATTGTTACTGTTTGTTATTAATCATCACATCTTATAAGAATTGCAATAGTGGAATTACTGTTTATTCATGTTCTCCTGTCTGCCTGTAGCTCCAGCATACTCGCGATAAAGAGCAGCGGCTGAAGCAGGAGGTGGAGAGATTGCGCAATCACCTGTTAGAGATTGAGGATTCATACACACGGGAGGCTTTATCAGCTCAGGACAGAGAGGCAGAGCTGAGACGCAGAGTAACGCTGCTGGACGAGCGGCTCACGTCGTCCTCTAATGCCGTGGAGAGTGCAAGGTAAGTCTCTTTTAGTCTGAGGATGCAATTGCTTGGTCCAAACCCCTTCCCGTCACTAGTCTTTTTTATTTTTCCAAATTTTTGTATTGTTATTATAATGATTATTATTATTGTTATTATAATTAACATATGTGATACCACACATACTCTGGTCTGCTGCAAAACCTCTGAAGCCAAAAGTGTACATTTACATTATTATTAGCCCTCCTGTGAAATCTTTATTATTTTTCAAATATTCTTTGTTTAAATGAGCAAGGACATTTTCACAGTATTTCGTTTATGTTTGTTTTCTTATTTCTTTTAGTTTAGTTGGAAAAAACTAAATTGTAATAAAAATAATAATAATTTAAGTATCAATATTAATAGCTCACTTAAGATTTTTCCTCTTCAATTGGCTAGATCAGGGGTTTTCAAACTGTGGGAGGGGAGGGGTGCGCCAGCCCCTTTTAAGGGGGTTGCGAGACATTGAGTCGTGCACTCAAGTAAATTATGATGACTATTTTTATGCGTCCACTAAAGGGAATATGATTAATGTTTGCTCCACAGCTAACCTACAGGCACCTGTAGAGTTAATGCGTTCCAGTAAAATATATACAAATAAAATGGAGCACGTGTTTTATAAAATGATTGAAGGTGAAAACCCGTCAAACCGGTGAGCTGTCTTACAAAAAAATGGATCTTTCACTTACTTTGAAGACACTACTGACTAGTTATTTGCCTTAATAAGACAGTAATATAATTAAGGTGTTACGTGAAGTGCTTTATGAATGTTGCGTCACCAGGCTATTTGCGTTTCCTGCAGAGGCTCATGTGATTTTGGGTGTTTCATCTTTAGTTTTTCGACTTTACTGCAGTTCGTTTCAAGTTTCACTTTCTCTCATGAACATTTCATTCACGCCCCTGTGACAAACTGGGGTATTAGATGCGAATATAAAGTAAAGATTGGTGGAGGAGTGTTGTTTTAATGGAAAGCCGAATGGAAAGCAGAAAAAAAAACCTCTGCATTTCATTGTGTGTGCGTGCATGCGTGTGCAATCCTTTACTGACAGCTGTGTTTATTGATCTTGTGTGTGTAGATCTTTTCGGCAAAATGTCCTACATCATGGTAATAGTTGGATTGCGGTGTTTACTTCAATAATGCCAATAACATATGCAAACTCATGTCTTAATTCCATTTCTGTTTAGTTCAGTTATGACTTTAGACGAATTAAGGTAATCAAATATCGCCGTTTATATGGCACACTTTTAATCAAAGTATTGTCTTAATACTTAACATTTTTTGCATGTACGCTATGGCTCACACTTATTGACAGTGGAAGATGATTTATGGCTAGTAGTGTCAGGAATCTAACCACAGATTAGCATGTTGTCCTTACAGAAACAGGCTCAGCCATCACACTGAACCAGGCAAGCTATATATTTATGTTTCAATGTAATTAATACTACACACTTTAGACGCAATATGTAATATGTGAATGATGTTTGCACATGCATTATAATTTTGGGTCGAGGGAGGGGTGCCTGGAGGGCGCGAGTGAAATTTGAAAAACTTGGGGGGATGTGTATCCTAAAAGTTTGAAAACCCCAGGGCTGGATTACAGAACAAATCACTGTTATTCAGTAATTTGCCTAATTAACCTTCCTATTTAACCTGATCAATCTATATAAACCTTAGAATTGCACTTTAAGCTGAATACTAGCATCTTTTTAAAATATGTTATGTCATCGTGGCAAAGACAAAATAAATGAGCTGTTAGCAGTTAGTTACAAAACAAATGGCTGAAAAATGTATTGGAAAAAAATCTTCTGCATTAATCAGCACTTTTAAAAGAGTTACAATTCTGCTGGAGAGCTAATTATTTTGCCTTCAATCAGAATCGGTATTAGAAAGAGCTTTATTGCCAGGTATAATCACACATACAAGAAATTAGTTTTTGTGACAGAAGCTTCTACAGTGCAACAGGATGACAGAGACAGGACAAAAACAGATAAATATAAATGAATTTAAAAAAATAGACACAAATAGTGAATGCGGATATATAAAATGACAAGTGTATGTAAAGGTGTAAAAAAAAGTAGCAATGTTTGTTTCATAATTACTCTCATACTACACAACTATACATTATTAATGAACAAGGCTTTTGGAATCATCTAAACTTTCCCATTATGCCACCCCTGCTTCAACTCAAGTGTAAATGACTTCAAAGACATTGTTGTTGCTCACTATTTCAGAATAAACTCAGATTCCAGTATGACAATAGTAATCTGGTGCACAAGCGTTTTTCTGGTGTCGCTAATTAATTGGTGTATATTTTTAAAAGCTGTTTAAAACTGAAGTATACTTTGGACTTTACGTAAACAAATGTAGACTGTTGCATTGGTTCAGCTTCACTAATGTCTCAAACTGTGTGTGTTTCAGTCAACAGGCAAGCTTTCAGGTGGAGTCTCTTCAGGAGCAGCTGAACGGTGCTGTCAGACAGAGAGATGAAGCTCTTATTCAGCTCCGAGCTTCTCAAGATCAGGTCAACCAGTATGCAGTGTCACTCTCTAACCTGCAGATGGTGCTAGAGCAGTTCCAACAAGGCAAGACCTGTGTTTTGCTGTTCAGTTTAGTGTATTTTATATAAACAAAATATTTTGTACAGAATAATGAACATTAAAGATATTACAAATTCTGATTATAAGATTTTTTAATTAAAATGGAAATCTGCAATAAATCTTGAGTAAAACTGACATGTGTATATGTCTTTACAGAAGAAAAAGCCATGTACTCAGCAGAACTGGAAAAACACAAGAGAGAGAAAATGGAGTGGAGAAATAAAGCAGAAAGTCTTGAAGAAATTGCGGCTGCTCTTCGAGTCAGTTTAAACAGTCATGTACACTAAGCTCTACTTTCTGAACTGTGTTTGTGTGGATATACACAGTACATTAATGCTCAATATCTACATCTGTAAACTTAGATAAACCTGGATGAAGCGAACGCAGCTCTAGAATCTGCCTCTCGCCTCACTGACCAGCTGGACCTCAAAGATGAGCAGATAGAAGACCTGAACAAACAAGGTGAGGCAGAATGCTGAAATCAGCTCTACATTTTGATTCCTGTTGAGCTAGGACAGCAGTTCTCCACCATGTAAAGGCGCCTTGTTGTCTAGCACATTATTCAAAACCCCCACATATTGGCAAAGATAATTCCGTTGGTATTTCTGCTGTAATTATGACACCAGTGTTGTTTTCCAAATTGAACTTTACCGTGTGTATTTCAGGGCATTAAATGACATTAATTCTCTTGTCTATTTCGTGAACACAAACAGTAAGTTTGTCTGACAGGCAGTTCACTTAAAGGGCACCTAGGTTACTCCTTTTTTCAGAATAATATTTAAAATAAGTCTTTTATGTCTCCAGAATTTGTCTGTAAAGTTTCAGCTCAAAACACCCATCAGATTTTTTATTATACCTTTTGTAAGTTTCTGTTTTATACCTTTTAGCATTGGGTAGCAGGTTTGTTGTACTGCGCCTTTAAGGCTAGTCTTTCCAGCCCACCATTTCTACGTGCCTTTCTGTGTGCCTTAATCTCCTCCCTCGGCTGCCTCAGACAACATGCAGACATAAAGGAAGCAGATCTCACATAGAGTTTGTAATAAATACTACAGTAAGAACTTTACCAATGAGTATTTGGTGCATTTGTTGTGGAGTTGCAACGATGGGTCGCACACAATGTTGTTACAAAGTTCACGCACACACACAGACAGCGCTGACACACACACACAGTCGCAGCGCGTTTAGCTTTGCACTCTTTTTGCGTGCAAATGTGAAAGAATACAGGTTAATATCCACTGCAAAATAATCCTGATTTAACATCCACAAAGCGGGATTGAAGTGTCTTCTTTTATAATTGTTCTGACATGCGGCTGCAGTGATGAAGTAAAGCTGAAGTAAATCGCTGTGATTGATTACACATGTGCACTTTTAAAACATTTAAACTTACTCTTGATCACATTTGATGATGGTTGATGATCCTAGCAAACTGAACAGACCTTTTATTTCTGGTTGCTTTGCGCACGTCTGGTCTTGTTGATATGATCATACACGTTATCACCGGGACATGTTAATACACAGCTGTCAATCAATTCTTTGGGCGGGGGGATCGCACTGAAAACCGCTCCAATTGATCTACCGTTTTTATGTTGTTGAATTGAAAAAAGAAGGACTGTGTGTGTTTATATCACCCCAATATGACAGTCTATACACTACCTATGTCTGTCCAAACAGCTTGAAAAGTAGATATTTCACCATAGCTGCCTTTTAATGGCTACTATCACTGATATGATACATTGTTATGGATTGGTATGTTGATCTTAAGATTTTTTAATATTACAATGCATCACTGGTTTGCAGAAAATATTGATTTTAGAATACATTTTTGATTAATTTAGACACACTACAATTTTTATATTTTTTCAGTTTATTATTAATTTACTACCAACACACACATTGTCCATAGACTGTAAAAAAATATGGATGTAGTATCCTTGACGTCACCCATAGATTTCTGAAGAGCGCAAAATAAGCTACAAGTGGGCGTGGGCAATCGTCGCCATTTTGTTCGCACGTTATCACTCTGACCTAGGGTAACCAAACATGGGAAAAGAGGCAGGGTGTTAGCATAACACTGTACTACAACATTTCAGGTGACAGTTCCAGAACTTTTAAGAATAAGAATTTCACTCGCATGGGAAATGAAGGCCACTTGAATGGTTTGTGAGCACAATTAAGTTCACACAGCAAACCAGCGAAACCTAACTGTCTTTCAAGTCGCCGCGCCCTTAATTGTGCACTTATTATAAATAAAACAAATGAGTTATAAAAACATTCACCCCCTCACAGTTGTCATGAAGGGTAATATTAGCTATGTGTATCAAAACCATCTTTTGAACCATATATATAATTTATCAGCTGTAAAATTGGCCAATTTAGCATAGCAGTCAGTTGACATCTGGAGTTTCTGGAGCCAGCCCCTAATGGTTAGTTGATGAATTGCAGTTTCACTTCCGTATTGGCTTCATGAGGGAGAGCAAGATTTTGCCACGTTACTCACACCACACCATCTACATGAGTGCCAGATTGGGATGCAACAACTAAAGTATTAGTTGATGAAAATCTTTGCAGCTCATGATTATAATGTCTAAAGCAGCAAAAGCTGAGCAATGTCTAACAGAAACAGCTGATCATCTAACAACACAGAGGCTGGATAACTTTTTTTTGTCTTAACAGTATTAGTTAACTGGATAAGTCTGTGTCCGTGCCCTCTCAGCACTAATGCTTCTCTGCACATCTTTAGTAAATCCTAATGGCAAAAAAGTATTAGCACTGACTCAAGCTGTTTGTTGGTCCTTTGCATTCTGATACACATCATTCGTTTGGAAATATTTATATTTGAGATAAAAGGTTAACAAACAAAACCCATATCATTTGTAAGGGTTGCTAGTACCAGATGAAATTCTCTCGAAATGTGTGCATAAAGTATAATTTTATAATTGATAAAATTACTTCTTAATAGATTAATATATATATATATATATATATATATATATATATATATATATATATATATATATATATATATATATATATATATATACACACATTTATTATAATTGTTTATATTTTTATTTCCGTCTTTTTCAGATGTATGTTTTATATTAAGATGTATTTTTTTTCAACTAGAGCATCTCAATTGTGTTTTTGTTTTTTTTTCTAATTAAGATTTGCCCATTACACTCTGGTTGCTTTTGTGAGTTAATACTGTAACTGGCACTGTAAGATAGGCACCTAATATTAGGGATGTGCGATCAGGTTTTTTTGAGAATGAATATAGATATATATTCGAGTCCTGATCGGTAGGTATTGTCTGATTGCAAACAAGTCTAAAAACCTATAGTCTATATCTTGATCAATATAACATTAAATTGAATTATAAGGCTACCTAATTCGAAGGTATCTGCAAATATTATATCTTTGGCTTAGTAAAACAATATCAGATTGTGGCAAGATGCACAAATAACAAGGATTTCTGAATCATCCGTAATCCATATACCACATTTAAGAACAACGTAGTGTTCATTACATAAGACGTAAAGCCATGAAACATTTAGACTACATAAAAAAGTTTCATATGTATTTTAAGTTGCACAATAAGCAACATCTTTTTCTGAAGAGACTTATAAACCTCAAATGAGCTAGGAAGATTGGGAACCATTAAATGATGCTCATGACTGTGCTTTATGTAGTGGTTTAAGCTTGATTAATATCTATGCAGATACATGTGCATTAGTGAAAGAGAGATAGAGAGTAGGAAGGTCTGTAAATGGTATAGATGTTTAGCATTCTTTTGCATCTCCTCTCTTATGATTTATGGCACGTCAGTATAGCCTAACTGTGTAGACTGAGATTCTCTTTTTCCATCCACCCAGTCTTTCTGTCTCAGCCATCTCTTTCTTCTCTGTTCATATCAAGCCACAAATCCACAATGCACTGCTGTCGGTCAGAGCAGTAGAGGAGGGTGAGAGATGAGTGCTGGGATTTTTTACTGCATCTGTCAAAGGACGACTGAAGAGAACGGAGACAGTATGATAGAAAACGGTTCATTTTTGCTTAGCACAGCACAAGTGCAGCCGACAGACATTCCAAGGTGTTTAGCACAGTCGGGAACTCTTTCACCCTCTCTTATCGCTTTGTTCCTGTGGTCCCTGGAGGTAAATTCTCAGGGGAAAACTCTCAGGAAAATTCTCAGGAGCCGTATCGCCAAACGGTCTGGACTTGCGAAGGGTGTTGATGATAAAGGCATTTAGAGCTTGTCACACTTCTTTGTTATTTCTCCACGAGACATTCCCAGACATACTTTAAGCCCATACCAGTGTTATTACTGTTTATATTAAGGTGCGCACACACTTACTTAATAGCCCTACGCAAACACTTATTCTCTGCTGTTTGCATTAACGCATAACTAAGTGGTATACCACAAAAATGAACACTCACTTTGTAAAACTGGCTTCAGCTAAAAATAAACGTCGCTTGGAGGTGGCTTATAACTTTGTGAGGAGTGTGCTGTAAATTGAAAATATTATTACTATTATTATTTTTAAAGGAATCGCTGCCAGGTCTTAATATTGTACTGAGCAATTCCATACAAATGTAAACCATGCCATGAGAAAAACAGTCAAATAACAAAACCGTTTTTAAGTTGTTTGTTACAGTACTGTATACAAATTCCAAAAAAATGTTTCTGTCATCGTATTTTATTTACCAAAGTCACACAAGTACCAATTTCACATCTGTAACAGAGAGATGTCACGTCCATAATGAAGCTTTACCCTCATAAATGCCAAAAAATTCTAATAAAATAAACATTTTTAATTAATAGAGAGCCAAATCTTAGAGAGAATTTGGCGTCAACAGTTGAGGCTGGTGGTAGTGGTGTAATATTGTGGGGGATATTTTCTTGGCACACTTTGGGCCCATTAGTACCAATTGATGGACCAAAATTTCTGAGGGATATTTCAAGTACCTTGTTGAATCTATGCCATGAAAGATTAAGGCAGTTCTGAAGGCAAAAGGGGGTCCAACCTGGTACCAGTAAGGTGTACCTAATGAAGTGGCCAGTGAGTGTACATTGCTATTTAAACTGGATTTATCAACTTTTCAAAGAGGGAAATTAATTCTTTTATTTCTTTGTTGTTGACTTTTTATTTCCCACTTCAGAAGTTGTAATTAAAGTTCTAAAAAAAGATCTACTGGGTAACCACCATGAAAAAGCAAAGGATAATAAAGAAATCATTATAATGAGGTCTTGTTAATGGTTAAAAATAAACAATAAATGTGTCTCGAGCAGAAATTAGTTGCTCAGAAGGCAATTCGTTAAACCAGAGCATCAACAACAAAGACTGCATTGATATTTGCCTTCCTTTTGGGCTCAACGTGAAGCTTTTGCTTTTTGTAGTTCAATAATTACAAAAATATCAAAGGCGCTGTGAGATGATAGGTAAACATAACCCCTGAGCTTCACACAATGCTGCAATCACAATGCAACATCTGTTCAACTGCAACAAGTTTTCACCCCAGCTACGGTCACTTCCATAAATCTGGAACTGCTCTATTACAAAATTAAAATTAACAAGTCATTACTTAAGCACTTCAATGCCATGATCGTTCAAGAATCATTTTAATTTGCTGATTTGGTGATCAAGAAACATCAGCGTTGAAAACTCTTGTTCTAATTTCTTTTTTATAAATCGTAGATGTTGTTTAGGTTTTATGTTGAATTGAGGGTTTCAGAGAACAGACTTTATCTGAAATTTGAATATTGTGTGGAAACAAACAAAAAATAAAGGTGCCACATCTACAAGAAGCCTAACAAAGTAACATTTTTTGTCTTTATTAATGGGTTTGTTTTAGACAAACCTCAAGTAGACCTAAATTCTACCTATGACAGCAATACATAATGAAGAAAATGTAACCAAATGCTGTAACAACTTGTGCTTGAATGTGTTTAACAGTGGAAGTGAGACAGGAGATGTTGGAAGAGGCTCAGAGGAAACTCATGAACCTCCTGAACACCACTGAAGGCAAAGTGGATAAGTAAGTCCAAAACATTCTAATATTTTAAAAAGGGCGTTCCTGTGAAATATCATCCAACATGTTTAACTTTTGACAGGGTTTTGATGAAGAATCTTTACCTGGGCTACTTCCACACCCCCCAAAATAAGCGTGGCGAGGTGCTGAGGCTTATGGGTAATGTGCTTGGCTTGGACCGAGATGAGGTGGGCCAGGTGGGTCAGCGATCTCTGCTTCTCATTCTGTAAATTCCTCTCTATACTCCCTTTTAAAACACAACTATTCCTCTTTGCAAATGCAAATCTACTCGGATCCTCATATTTACATTCATCAAACGTTGTAGTGTCCCATTTTTTAGAGATGAAGAGCAGCCTCCTTCGCATTTTGTCATTTCCTCCTCATTTCTGTCTGACCCTAGTTGTGAAATTCCTCTTGCTTTCATCACTCTCAAGTGTGGCTCTGTTCCAGTCCTTGTCTCACCCCTGAAACGTGACTGTTAAGTGTAATACTCAACCTCTTGACTCCTCAGGATCTCCGCCCTGCTTCTAATTTTTTTTTTTTTACAATTATCTCGTGTTTGATGTCCGCATGAGGGTTTCCATCAGATGTTAAAAAGATTTTTCCACTCATCTTACCTCATGTGTTTAATTTGGCACAAGCCTTAAGCTGCCCACGCTGGTCTTGTTGAAAAAGGTTTTTGTTTTGAGTGCTTTGAAGGAAGACTTCAAGTTGCGTTCGGCTCACGCTGGTAATCTGGATATCGAGAATTCTGCTTTTGGTAGGACGGCCTGTACTAAACGACATGTCAATGTCCCCGAAACCTTGCACGCATATGACCACATTCATTTGGCTGCCTGCTAATAGGGCTGATTTGTTTTCTGTTGGACAAGCTGTTTTTGCATTTAGATCCTGGTGGGGCTGAATTTCTCAATAACTAATACAGATCAGTTCTGATGATAAAGCAGGATGTGGCTTCATTTTTTCTTGGAAAACACTAGACACTTTTAGCCATTATCCTCGAAGGGGCAAAATCTGTACAGTGTTTTTCCTTTTGCAACAAATTGCACTGCAATCCTTTGCAAGCCTTTTTACTTTTACATTTGAGAATCAATTGGGTTGTAAAAAAGTGAGCGTTGCGTACCAGAACTGAACTGCACACTTTTGCATAATTTCTGTTTTTTAAAAATTCTAGTTTTTAAACCTATATTAAAACTAAGCATTTTCAGAACCCCAGAATGCCTAAAATGTTCAGCATTTAGATGAAAATTGTGTCTATTTAGAATTACTGTTAGTTCTTCAACTAAAACTCATCAAAACAGGAAAAAGTTACTGTGGTATCTGTAGTTAAAGTTTCAACAAACAATAATATGGCGGAATTTAGCTGCACAATATATCTAGGTGTATATGCAGAATGGGGTATATGCCGAAGCATGCTAATAGGACTTTTAATTTGCCAGTAACCTGGGTTAAGCGCTTCCGGCGAATTGAATGCCAATGCAAAATCCGGTGCGTTTAAGGTCTGTTTTCTTTAAAAATCAGCAATCTCCACTGGCTGAGTGATATCCGATTTAAAGTGCGTCTCAGATTGTACAAGAAGCACTGCATTAAATTACATTTCCCCCGCCATATCTTTATAATATGAGCATTTATTTTTACCCCAGTATATTCAATGGAGCTTCTGCGTTAGCCTGCCGATTCTGACGGGCTCGTTCGAGTGAACAGCTTTTTGTCTCGCTTTATGCTTGAGCAACTAAATAAATGCTAAAGTTTATTTAACTGAATGTATTTTAATGACATTACAACATCGATGCTGTATAAGGAACCGTATAAAATGGAAAAAAGTTCACAATAACAGGTCACCGGAAGTGTATCAGCATGGGAACAGCACTAGCTCGGCATATACCCTATAGAAGGTGCAGTATGTAAGTTTGACACCCAGTAGTTGAACTAGGTATTGCATGCCTGGTTCAAAGCACACACAAGAGCAGGTTGCCAGATTAGGGACCAGCAGGAGTGTGCCAGACTATGGAACCTGAAGGCTGATTTATATTGTGTTTTAAATTAAAGCAATGAAGGAATAATTTTTCCATGACATTTATTGCCATACTACTGAAAGCAGCAGCAGCAGAGTTTACCTCAGATCATGAAAATAAAATAAATCATTTGAAATTGAACCTTAGAACTGTGAAACAATGCAAACCAACACTTATCAGTGATTCAGCATCTACATTTAATGTTAAAGATGTTTGATATGTATTAATTAGATTATAAACCTTAACATTTCATTGGAGTGCAGTTATATTCTGTGCTTCTGAATGGCTGTATTTAAATTTCTTTCATGTTTAGTCTATTGCAAACGGACAAGTTGCTTATCGCTGCCAATCTCATCATGTATCGTGTTATGACCCAGGGTTACAATGTAACCTGCTCACCTAATGTTTATGTTTAGAATATTTATATATTTTTTCTAATTAATAACCACCTTACGTGAAACTCTGAATCTGCGTCTTATCTGACGCACATTTTGAGAGCCTTCATGTCTGAATGTACCAGATACACTGTTTTCCACCAAAGCAATCCTGGGTGCTGAAATATAAATAGTTAAACGGGCATTGGGTGTGTTAAATGACCAAAACAAAGACGTAATGCACATATCTGACTACAGCAAAAAAAAAAATAATAATAATAATAATAATAATCTGACTTCAGCATTGTTTTTCACATAAACGAGTACTGCATGTTCACTTAGCATGTTTCCTAAATATCTGCAAACTTATAATTATATTATTATTATGTAATTATATTATTGCAAAAATACATGGTAATATTTGTGTACTTTAGAAGAGTCACAAACTTTAACACAGCACCTCGACCATTTTCTAATCTTCTTTTCAGCCGAAGTGACTTTAGTGGAAAGGGAAGCAAATTTTCACTGTCAAACCAAAAAGTGGACAGAGAACCCAAATAATACACTTTCAAATAAAGTACAATTTAACCTTGGAAGTATATCAAACCTAATCTTACTCCAGCAAATGAATGACAGTTTATTTATTGTTATGCTATATAAACCTCACTTTTTATTTTGATTGGCTTTTGTGTTTGCCAATTATGCAAAAAAATCCCAAAAATGTAAATAGCGAAGTCACTGAAGTGCAAATTGTTTGACGATTCATTTTGTATTTTGTTTGTAAATTCAATTTTTATCATAGAATCCTAGATAAGTGGTACAAATAGGGGATTTGGCTAAAGCGATTGAGCAATATTAGACAGACAGACAGCAGGCAGAAATCAGGAAGTTGAGGGGAGACAGAGAGACAGACAAAACTGAATTAGATGACAGATCCATGCCAGTCCTGCACCAAAAGTATTCCCTTACCCACAATCCAATAGAAGTAGGCTGGGGTCTGGCAGGAGCGACTCCAACTATTCAGCAAGTGGTGAGCAGAATTACCCAACAGCCCCAAGAGAAGAGAGAAAGAAAGGGGGAAAGTAAATACGTGTGTGTGTTTCTGGGTCACACACATCTACTTTCCATTTCAAACCATATTTTCTTTCTCCAGTCCTCCCCACACCTTTCTCACATATTTTATGCGGTACATTAAATTTTCCACTCAAGACTTCTGTTTACAACTTTAGTGACTAAAAATAATCTTGGTTTGCTTTTTTTTTGGTTAAAAAAAAAGTCTGAATCAGTGGTTTTGAACTTGAAGATTGCATTCATTAGCTCTGGTCGAGTCTGTTCAGTGGAATTCGGTATCTCACTGAACTTTAAACAGTTTTATCTTGTATGACTGAGTGGGTAAAAATACTATTTTACACACAAGCAGACACAGCACAAGCATAAATACTCCCTCTGACCTAGTACTGACTGATTTTTTCTTTCTGCAGTTGTTAAAGGAAGAGGTCAAGAGTGGGATGACTGGATGGGTCTCGAGTTGGCTGGGTGGCAGAGCTGTTCAGAGTGTACCAAACACCCCTCAAAGGCCAACGCAAGCACAGAGCCTCAACTCGGTGGGCGCACATACTTATGCACACGCACAGTCATTGTTAACTTGTGTATGGTTCACTTACACTGGTATCTTTTAAAGTCTTTCTCTGAGATGTTCGTGAAGTTCCTGGAGGTAGAGTCTTCCCCTGCACTTCCTGCCCCAAAACTTCCTATGTATGACATCAAGCCCCTGAGTGCGCCCCCTCCTGGCCGGAGTACCGCTAACACACCTGCATCAGGTAGAATGTCAAGATGAACATAATGTATCAGTGCAGTTTTCATTGTTTTTTGGACTTTATTGGCATTAGCCCATATTATTTTTTTTTAGATTTCTTTTGTAAATGTTTTGATATATTTGGTTTTAAAATGTGCATGAACATTTCCCCCACTTTTCACATGAAAGGAACATGAAATATGAAAATGTAATCACCCTGAAGCTGTTCAAACATTTAGCTTTTTTTCTATAGAAAGAAAAACAAGAATCGTAGAGAAATTACTATGGAAGTCAATGGCTACTGGTTCATAAAAGTCTTTAAAATATCTTCCCTGGTAACTTAAATCTATATATGGCAACATTATCTCAGAATAAAATGTTTATTTTATAAAAAGAATGATCACTTTAAAATTATTTTTAAATTTATTTTTTGTTATGTTTATTTTTCTTAGACAAAATAGTATAAAAGTTGAACATCAAACATTTCCCAGGTATCAGTCATTAAATTAAGATGCATATTAGAAATTTATATTTTTTAATCTGAATTTAAGGTAGAATTTGAATATCTGTCCACTCATAATAACTTAATTTGAGAGGTAAGGTCTGATTGTAAAGCAATATAACTAACTGTAAGTTTTTATAATCATTCTTATTCTCTGATAATAATGTACATGCCAGAACTATGGCTGCGTCCGAAATAGCCTACTAATCAGCAGGTACTGCATTTGAATAAAAATTTACTAAATTAAAAAAAGTATATTCTATACAGTATGAATGTGAGCAGTATGAAAGGAACTTGGATGTACTACATCTGCCATTTTGTCACCATCACATGACCTACTTGCGTCAGTTGCGTCGCTTCTCTCCCATTCATGAATTCTCTCGCGGTGCATCATGGAGTAGGTCATCCGGGTACTTCTGACTTACTGTTTATCGAATTCTCTGAATTCTGTCATACTACTTTGCTCGCATACTATTTTTTCTGTACTATATAGTATGGAAGTATGTGATTTCAGTTGCAGTCTATAAATATAATGATGAGACAGAGGAACAGGGTAGTGGGAATATTTTTTTCAATGAACTATAAACAAATGGACCACCATTCGGAAACTACCAAAGCTTGAGCATTTAAAATGACAGTGTTTGCATATGACAGCTTGATTAACATTGAACGTTTTGATTTTTATTTTGATTGGATCATTCTAGTGTGAATCAGAATCAAACTTCTGAGCAGGCTGTACATTTCACTGTCTGCATAAAAAATTTGGCTTTATTATAGTTCGAATTATAGATTTTTGGTAAACTGTAAGTAAAACTGTAGCTATGTTTCATCCACCTATTTTTATGTGAATTTTGGATATGCGCATAAAAAAATGGTTGATGGAAATGCTAAGATGCGCATAAACTTTAAAAATGCACATAAAAAACGTATGCACATAACTGAGTGGGATAAACTTGATAAATGATAATGCAAGTGAATGGATTAACCAGCAGGCTGGCCACATTATAAAACATCTGCAATGATGTTTTGGTCATTCTCAACCATTTCAGTATTAGTGTTATTATAATATTAATTACCTCCAGATCTGCCAGGAGCGTATGTGCTCTGTGTCTCACGCCTTTAAACGCCCCCATGTGTTTATTGTGTCTCACCTCTGTCTTCTGAGGTGCAAATCATTTATTAAATAAAGAAAAGATTCACGCAGCTTCTTCTACCGCAGCAAATTTCATTTATACTTTTGATGTTTGCCACCAGTTTATCAGGAAGTGATGATTTTGTTCTCTTTGACTCGTTGAATAAAAACGCTGCTTCATTCGCACGTGTTTTATGCATTTTTTCAAGTTTAGCGCATACATTTAATTTGCATCTTTGTATGGAAGCATAGCTTGTGTTGGTACACCCTTCTAATGCTGCTCATGCTTTTTCAGGTGTTTCAGGCCCAGGTAAGCGCAGCGGGGATTCAAACCCCTTCCTTGCGCCCCGCTCTGCAGCCGTACCTCTCCTCAATCCCACAGGCGCAGGCAGCACAGCTGGTGCGGGGGGGCACCTGCTAATGAAGCCCATCTCGGACGCCCTGCCCACCTTCACACCCGTACCTGTGTCTGCTGAGGCCAGCGGTGGAGCTGTGCTGAAAGATTTACTCAAGCAGTGATTATCCAGCGGTACTGCCACTCAAAGCACTTTAGCTTATCAGGACACTAACTGATTCAGATACTTCCAATGGCAATCAGCCATTTTAGGAATTAAAAAAGATAAAGCATCTTCTAAGAGGCTGCTGTGCTTGTGAAATTTGAGGCCTAAGTTTGACAGAATTTAATTGACTGAGGGAAGATTACATTATCCAATACTGTTGCGACCTTCTACCAACATTTATTTAATGTTGTGCAAACATTCAGCTAGGTGTTTTTAAGACAAAAGGAGGTGTTTCATGTTTTTCTAGTGTGCTCAGAGACTGTCTGATGCTGTCTGGAATCCACTACACAGCGGATTCATTAAAGCCTTTCCACTTCTGCAAAAACGCTACAGATACGTTTTGAAAATCCTCCAGTATGAACGGTTGGCCGTACGGTGTGGCAGGTGCAATGACGGTTAATCAAAAATTGACATTGGATCTTGGGTTTAGACTGCTGCACATGCGGAACAAGTGTGCGTCGACACTATTTATTTGTATATCAGTCATTTTTTCACTGTTTATGCAGTGGAGAGGAGCTAAAATGCATCTGCAATATTCAGACCTTGCTATAAGGTTGAAAGAAATATTATGTACATACAATTTGGAAAATATTGCACACGCATAAGAAGTCTGAGAAGAAATGAAAGAGTAAGAATGACCTGTAAAAAATCTGTATTCGTTTATATTATCAGAGGACTTCTGATTCAATGGGTTTCAACCAAAAATGCCATCTTCTTAAGGCCTAATATGAAGAATTTTCTTTTTTAGTGTTTTTCCTTTTCTTTTTTTTAGAGAGAGACAGAAAAAATGGCCTTAGTAATTCTCTCTTTGGTTACTCTACCTTTCAAAACAGCTGGGTGCACTTGATTTATATAGATTTAGGGTACATTTATACAGTTAGGGTATATATTTTGCGCTGGTGTTTATTTAAAGTTGATAAATCTTTTTGAAAGACTGCTCATGAAAGTGATACTCAACAACAGTGTTTCTCTTTTCATCAGAATAAACTCTTCTCTACGTATTTTTGCATTTTTTCCATCTCATTCTGTGTTTGAGTGCTATTTTTTTATACATTATGGATTCATTAATACTATGCAAAAAAACTTCAGCTATTTCTTTGTTAATCAGTAAACTGAATCAAATGCTTAAATTGTACGTTTCTACTCCAGATCTTTAAGACTTGCGCAAGTTTGTTGATCTTTTGCATCAGTGTTTTTTTCTTTCTCTGCAGACTATGTCATCGCAAGGCTGTAATTTTAAAGTGCTTATGGAGGCAGTGGTCATGAGCATTATCAGACCAGATTAACCTCAAAAGGGAATGTCCGTCTCTCCCAGTACGTCTCAAAGGAAAACCCCATCTGGAATTCCAGTTGTAGTGTAACCGCGTCTAATACAACACTTTTTTTCTGGTGTGTAGATTCTTAGAATAATTAACCATTTTCAAACTAAATTGGTCTTGACATCCAGTTTCAAATTACAAATTGGATAACTAATACATCTAATGCTCTTCTGTAGTGGCCCGCTTGAAATCTACCACGTATTTGTGGCGTCCTGAAATGTATAACCGTTGCTTTAGATGGTGGAAACTGTTTCAGGGTGTTGGATATGTTAAATGTAAGCAGGTGTCATATTTTAATGCGAACTTTTCTCACACGGCACTCGCAAAGCCAGACAAAATAACCCTGCCCTCACCAGGGAACACCTGCTTTAGCCTCCCACATTCCTTTCAGCCATTTTTCCCGCTGCTAGATTGTGTACATTTGAACTATCATAACTCTGCTGTCGCTTTTATCAGCGTCAGATCAAGTCTAAACACTTTTATATCTCAAGGATCTCCATCCAAATGGGCTTTTGCCTGGAGGGTGTGTTAGTCTGGCAGGCTTTGATCACCTTGAACCTGAAAATATTTGTATTTAAGTGTCTATGAATGTCTGAGTGATTAAAAGGGTGTTCTGTAGCACATCACTGATGTATTCAAAGGCTCACTCAGCTATTTACTGATGCAAACTGCCACAGTGCACTCTTGAATACTCTTGAGTCGTTACTTATTTTAAGTAATTATACTTGGTAAACACTATGTTCTGAATAGTATGAATGTGTGCAGTGCAAATGTTCTAGATTTGCTAATTTGTCATGTCATTATCCAGTAGGGCTGCAACTGTTTCAGTGTTGATATCATGTGATCAATCGCAATAGTCACATCATTCACAAGTTCAGCCTCAGTTTATTCTTACCTCAGGACAATTAATTGGAATTCTAGCTGATCAAGACCCATTCTTTTAAGTGATTGTGAAGTTTAACTTTAACAGGGTGCTTGTTTTCTTTGTTTTTAAGGCCTATGAGTGTGATATTTCAAGTGCATTTAAATAATGTGGATAAGAAATTATTTCAATATCAATGATGCAGTTTTATTTGCTTAGCTTTAATTATTAAATACAGTTAGACTCTCCAAAAAGATAATCCTGAGAAACTTGTCTGTTTCATTTATGCAAATTGTCTGGTCTTCGAAATCATCCCAATCAATATGAACTTATGAGTTCTCTCCAAATCGAGCTATTCAAGTCATCTGGTGAAATAATTACTCACCGGACACTTTATTAGGTACACCTGTCCATCTGCTTGTTATTGCAAATTTCTAATCGGCCAATCACATGGCATCAACTCAATGCATTTAGGCATGTAGACATCAAGATGATCTGCTGCATGTCAAACCGAGCATCAGAATGGGGAAGAAAGGTGATTTAAGTGACTTTGACCATGGCATTGTCGTTGGTGTCAGATGGGCTGGTCTGAATATTTCAGAAACTGCTGATCTACTGGGATTTTCATGCACAACTGTCTCTAGAGTTTACAGAGAATGGGTCGAAAAAAAGAAAATATCCAGTGAGCGGCAGTTCTGTGCGCGCAAATGCCTTGTTGATGCCAGCGGTCAGAGGAGAATGGCCAGACTAGTTTGAGCTGATAGAAAGGCAACAGTAACTCAGCCACTCTTCACAACCGCAGTAGAGCATCTTTGAATCCACAACATGTCTAACCTTGAGGCAGATGGGCTACAGCAGCAAAAGGTACAAGTACCGGTACAAGTAAGATGTACCTAATAAAGTGGGCAGTGAGTGTATATTCATATTGCATTAAAACTGGCAGAAAAACTAAATATCGAATGCCAGATTTTTCCAATATCGTGCAGCCCTATTATATAGTCTATGTAACTATCAAATATGCTGCATCATTGCCATTGACAAACTGTCTATTGTATACAAAAATTCAGTATCTCATCAGAAGTAGATCATCCAGGAACTTAATGCATACACATAGGAGTTCTGCATTCAGACAAACCGTTTTTGGCTACTACATCGAAGGGAAGTAGGAGATTACAGAAGAACCCTCGGTATCTCAGTTTTCTAGTGCAGTGATCCCTTCTGAACACAAAAAAAAATTAGTAAGATTTTGGTCATGGTGACATCTACTGTGGTGATTCGGTGCTTATCAAATAGTCTATCAAGATTCTTCTAGTACAGTAGAGTGCAGGTAACATAGACTAGCCAACTGTCAATTATGTGTTTTTGTTATGAAGGCTATTTTTGGTAAGAATTGCACAATTTTGGTTGATCAGGTGACCAGGTCAAAATCGGGTCTCCATGAGATTCACGAACGATCATATTGGCTCAGATTATTTTACTCTAAATACATGATCACAATTCCTTCCTAGTAGAAAACTATTTTAAAAGGGCAGGTAATATTCATTTTAGTTAGCTTATGCATTAGCATAGCATACAAAAATCTGATTAGTCTTTTATACATAATACATTTGCATATGAATTCACACATTAAATGTCAAATGCGTAGTTATTCACTAAATAGTTTCATTATAAAAATGTACATCCAATTAAAAAAAGAATGTCCAATATGTTTTATAATGTACAATATAGTAAGCTAATATACATATATTATTATTGAGTTTTGTATAAATGTTGCAAGTCAACTATCTTAATAGATAAAAAGCAAAAAACGGGTTTCAGCTGATAAATGATAAAGCCTGAGACCCATTTAAAATTCATTCTGCTTTGATTTGCGGAAAAGAATAAAAAAGCGCGCGTTTAGAACGTTCCTTGATTTGTTTTCATCTTTCTGTAAATGAGAATTGAGCTCGGCTCACTAACTGTATAATTATTTATAACTGCGACATTATCATGTAACCTACACAGTAACTGAATGATAGGACCAAAATACTTATGAATAAATAACTAAAATAGAAAACAGTTTTTTTCTAGACGTGATGGCTCGACCAGATTGGACAGTAGCTCCCTCTAAAATTTTAAGCAGCCTGGCGAGCCTTACAAGTTAATTATGCGTCATTTTATAGATTCTTTGCTCGGTTTTCCTCACTGCCTCCTTCCTCCTGTTGGATTTTGGGTCTGTGGCTCCCTGTGCGCGCTTTCGTTCCAAAGGGGGCTGTCTGTCTTTGATGGGATCCAGCTGTTGGCCAAGTGCTCTGGGGGCCCGTTTATTTGCATTGCTAAACAATCCGTGGAGTGGGCCGAGTACGGAATACAGAGATTCTTTTTCTGTTTTTTTTATATAGCTAGACACTCCTCTTAATATTGGTCAATGTTCTCACAGGTTCTTGCCTTCGGTCGACAGGGCGGCCGCAGCGGGTGACCAAAGACAAGCGTCTCGACGTTCAAGTGATCGCGCGTGCATGCGGCGGGGGCGCGGAGGGCACTTCATTTTGCGCATTGGGTCCTGCAAGCCCGCAAAGCTAGTAAAGCCACAGCAATAAGCTCTTTTGCTAGCGCGAGGTAGTGTGACTTTCTTTCCAGGGGAAGCACAGGGATCCACATAAACATGTTTGTTGAACTACGTGGCTTGAGTTTGTTGTCCAGCAAAAGGTGAGTTTAATTAGTCAGCTGGTGCTGTATGGCAAGCCGCATTATCATACGTTACTTAAAATAACCAACTTGTATTTTAATTTTTAAGGTGTTTATTTGTTGTTTATTATCATTTTATGACTATCATTTAAAAATACTCACGATTGACTGACTGAATAGTCACTGTCTTTTTTCATTTTGTATATTGCAAGTTACTGTCCCTTGTTACTGATAGGTTGTTGATTGACGTTGAGTGCTGTGGGGTTTGTGATTCATTTCTCAGTGGTAGTAACTATTCCAGTGTTTCCTAGTCATATGTGGTAGGTACATGGTAGTGTTACATGTAGTATTAGTATCTATCCCAAATGTTAGTAAAATCTGCCTTGGTACAACTTAATTTGTCTATTGTATTGACTTGCCAGGATGGGGGTTGACTTACAATGTTATTAAATATTGTACTAGTACACTTGTAAAAGTTATATGAGCAATTAGTCCCGACAGCATAGGTTTTAGGTCATTATAACTCATTAAACTAAGTTAATCAAGTTCTAACTTAATTTTGTAAGTTATGCAAGTTGTTTTAAGTCAGTTATAATATAAGTTCAATGGACTCATAAAGTTAATTTGATTCAGCTTTAAAATCAAAGTCAAAAGTCAAAGTCAGCTTTATTGTCAATTCAGCCACATGTACAAGACATACAGAGAATTGAAATTGCGTTACTCTCAGACCCCAGGTGCTTAACATTAATATAAAATATATATATATATATATATATATATATATATATATATATATATATATATATATAAAATAGTAGAGTTTAAGAAAAAGAAAATTTACAGTATATACAGTGCACATAAATGTGGTCAAATAAATTTAGGGCAACTAGGATTTTCTTTACAGTGTATGAATAAAACATAATAATACCATTAGCAGTACCACTTGTAAAAAGTATGGTTACTTGCCAATGTTATTATCTAGTAGTAAACAAATAAGTGCTAGTATGCAATGAAACTAGTAACCACTTGAATTAGTTGTAGTATTTAATGAACAAGAAGACCTTGCTAGTGAACAAAATCCGAGTAACACAGTAAAATAAAACTGAAAAGATATTAGTGAGTAAGTGTTAATAACAATGTTTGTGACTTTTTAAAGAATGTATGAATGAATGTGCTTTTTATTTTCAAAATGATTTACTGATGTTTTGTTTTTTTGCTTGTAGAATGTTGTCAGTTGTACTATGTATCGTGTGCTCCATTAACTATGGGAAAAGTCAGGTAAGTGGATTCATTTGAATTTGGCGCTGTTGTTCAGCATGTGTCGTTATAGGAGTTCCTCACATAAATTTTATTTATTTTTTTGGTATTTTTTAACAACTGTAGTACTAATATCAATGCCAAAGTACTTTTAAAATGTTTAATGCAGCACAAAATGAACTCTAATCCACTGTTTATATGTTGCATTGATAACCAAATCTTTATTTCTCTACAGACGTGCTCAGATGGGTTTACTTTTGATCGTCGTTCCAGACAGTGTATGGGTAAGTGGCTCATCTCTTATGTTATTAAAATTTACATTAAGAACTTGTATTTGAAATACGGCTGTAAATTTCATGTGTTTTCAGACATCGATGAGTGCCGGACACTGCCAGACCCATGTCGGGGTGACATGCGATGTGTAAACCAGAATGGAGGATACCTGTGCATGCCCCGTGGACTCTACTCCCAGTCCTACGGCCGGAACAGTCCACTCCCCTACCCTGAGGCTTCCTATCCTGAAGAGCCCTACCCTGACAGATCACTGGGTTATTCTGAAACATACAGTGCTCCTGTGGCTCCTGTGGCTCCTGGCCCTGGTCCAGGCCCTGGTCCCAGTTACCCAATAGTGAGTCGAACCACTCCCTGTCTCCTTGGATATACATTCGGTGCTGATGGCACTTGTGTTGGTAAGTTTGCACAATTGTGTGTATATATATATATATATATATATATATATATATATATATATATATATATATATATATATATATATATATATATATATATATATATATATATATATAAAATTCAGGGATGTCTTGGTTAAAGATGATTGTACTTGAAAGTATTGCTTGGGTCATGCCCATGCAAAAGGGTTCCCACTCTAAGCCAAATATTAAATTCTCTGTTTTTCATTCTCTAAAAAGCAGAATTTGCATGACATATTAAATTTTTTTTAAATTAATTTAGACAAACATATTTTATTTTAAGCAGCAACAAACAATTATTCATGTAAACAAACAAATTCAATTTAATAATGTTCAACTTTGTTTAAATCCAGCACATATTAATTGTTTGCAACCAGTTACCTTAAAAGTGTAATAACTCTAATGAATACATTTTTTCAGTGTATAATGAATGAAAAAACAGGTCACTGTTGGGCATTTCATAATATTATGGTTTTAGCTTGAATATCATTTTGCAGGACTTAATAGCCACTCTAAGAATAACAACTATTTTTTTTGTGGCAATTTGAAGTGGTAATTCTGAAGCCAAAGCTCCTGAAATTTATATCATCCTGATATGTTAGCCTTGGTTAACTTCCAGTTGATAAGCATTAAAGTAAAATATGGAGCTTAAAATAGCCTAGCTAGAACAACACATGTGATAAAAATATGGTATAGGAAAAATATATGATATTGATAAATGTAAACAAAGGTTTAAAGTGACAAACAAAAATCCCTGATATTCCCTGACTTGGACAAAAAAATCCATGACTAATATCTGGAAAAGACCTTTAAAAATTCCATGACCTGTGGGAACCCTGAAACAAATTCTGGCTGTACTGTACTCAGCTGTGAATGGAGCTCACCTAGAGCCTGCACTTTTGTATAAGCATTCTCCACACAGACAGATAAACTGGACTGCACATGGATGGTGCGCACTGATCTTCACATATGCTATTGATCATGAAATTGCATCATAAGGACATTGTTTTGACTTAAGTATCTTAAGCAGTTTAGCAGGCTTGGTCTACCTGATAGTGATCTTTTTGTCCTTTTAAATGCTATCTAATCTGAGTTTAAAGAATGTATTTTATTAATAAATTAATTTGAACTAATAGTGTTTAGATTTAAAGGGACTGTGAGTAGAAATAAGACACCTATGCTATTAATGATAATGGTGCGTGCTAAGTGGCAGATACCCTCAGGTTAAAATGATAAAGAATTGCCAATACCTATACAATAATAGATTGAAAACAAACATCCAGACAGTTTCCACAATACCAAGAGGGAAAAATCTTACATACTGTATAGCCCCTTTTAAAATTTTGATATAGATTTTTGAAAGTTGTATACAGTTGAAGTCAGAATTATTAGCCCCCCTTTGATATATATATATTTTTTTTCGCTTTTAAATATTTCCCAACTTGTGTTTAATAGAGCAATGAAATTTTCACAGTATGTCTGATAATATTTTTTTGTCTGGGGAAGTCTTATTTGTTTTATTTTAGCTCATATAAAAGCAGTTTTTAATTTGTTAAACACCAATTTAAGGTCAAAATTATTAGCCCCTTTAAGCTTTATATATATAAATATAATATATATATATATATATATATATATATTTTTTGATAGTCTTCAGAACAAACCATCATTATACAATAACTTGCTTAATTACCCTAACCTGCCTAGTTCACCTAATTAACCTTGTAAAGCCTTTAAATGTCACTTTAAGCTGTATAGAAGTGTCTTGAAAAACGTCCAGTAAAATGTTATTTACTGTCTTCATGGCAATGATAAAATAAATCGGTTATTAGAAAGGAGTTATTAAAAATATTATGTTTAGAAATGTGTTGAAAAAAATCTCTCCGTTAAACAGAAATTGGGGAAAAAAATAAACAGGGGGTCTAATAATTCAGGGGGGCTAATAATTCTGACTTCAACTGTATGTGACCCTGGACCACAAAACCTTATGTCTTCTGTTGAACGGGCTTGTTTGTTGGAACAGCCAAAAATGCATTGGATGGTAAAAATGATTCTGAAATCTTCTTTATAATGATTTTAAAATCTTTTATGTCCCATGATAAAATTCCTAACATAAATATACCAAAACTCAATGTATGATTAGTAATGTGCATTGCTGAGAAATTAATTGGAACAACTTCAAATGTGAAATTGTCAGTATTTAGATTTTTTTTTCATCAGTTTCCAGACATTCTGGCATATGTGATGCCAGATCAGTTTTATAATACCTAGCACAAGCTACAAATACTCTTTAAGATGTGATTGATACCCACTCTGGGTCATATCAGGTTGTGGTCTTATGTTTACTTCATATTCTGCAGTGGGTCATGGGTCTTCATGCTCTGAAATGAAACTAAGACCCATTTCTGTGCTGGACTGTAATTTAGTAATGGTTGCGGTGAGCTGAGTGGCATCTTAAAGACTTCAGCAGAATAAATCTCGTAATTTAGACAGGATCTGTCTTTAGTGTGAAGCCACAAAATACTGTGGAACCTCAGAACAAACTACATCTTGTGAAGAGGCAGAAAGAGACACACAGGAACTGGCTTTCAGCCCTGCTTACCAGGATCCAACGTTATGAATACAATGAGACAGTGAGATTTTTGCTGTTATAAATCAAGGATTTGTAACCGACTTAATTCGGTCTGCTTCTGTCGAAGTTGTTGAGCTCGGTGTGATGTTGATAGTACCTCATGTGTTTTATTGCAAGGATTTGGATAGGTGTTATATATTGTGTTGTTGGAGTCTTTATGTGTGTCAGCGTGGTGACCTATTTCACGTGCCGTTTGATAAATGGTAGCACAAATGACTGCATGCTGTATTTTTCGATATGGTCTGCGGATTTGTCTCGAGTTGGTGCCAGTCTTTGCAGTTAATGCATTCTCCAGTCCTCTTACTCCTCTGCAGAAAAAACACAATGAAAGATTTGTTACCTTTCAAGCCCAAGACGGTCATGTTATAAAGACACACAGATACGCTCATTAATGTGCTTGTGAATTTAAAAACACAGACAATGGTTTTGTAGGGCCACTGAGACGTTCAGTACAGCACCATTTGGATAAACCATAAAAATTGCAATGTCAAACCATTGCTATCTCAGCATCTGTGGTGATTGTGCCAAACATGAGGTCATTGGTTCTTGAATGAAATCTGTTACTGACCAGCTGTGCAACTGGTGAGCTTTCTTTTTACACTCCGTTTTCAGTATTTGTGTTTGTTAAGAGATGCTGCTACAGAACAGATGCTCTACAGGTTTGTGTGTTAAATTATTCCATCATTCATCTTACAGGTATCCCTGTAGTGCTGATTTGTGTGTGTGTGTGTGTTTGTAAAAGCCAGGGAGTGCCCTCTTTTTGCCAGAGTTACTAAGGCATGAAAAACCAAAACAGTTGACTCAGTCAGTGCGTGACAAATGCCCTTTATAACTTCCATCTATCTAGTGTTTAGCGTCAGTAAAACTTGTAGACACTCATCAGTTCTAAATGCAATGCAAAATAAATTTAGGTGAAACTTGAGATGAAACAAAGATCACTTATTGTTTTGGTATTTGGATGCTTTGCATGAAACTTTTAAGAGTGTAAATGATCTTATTTCAGGTAGGAATTAGAAACAACAAAATTCCAAATTTGGTTGATTTGTCAAGCTGAAACCTGCCTGCTCAGGCCATAGGATTGTAACCAGTGTCTGTCAGCAAATGGGGGCTGGCTGTAGTACCGCAGACTAATTAATGCATTCAAGCTTAGTGGGACGTCTGGAAATGTAGCTATGCTGTCATTATTATTACTGAGTTACTGAACTTCATGCGTTTTTTTTTTTTACTTCAAATGTTTATCATTAGTGAGATTTTGATTTGTACTTGATTAAATTTAAAAGAAATATCACAATTTACTTTAATATGTTTTACAATATTTTCATTCTTGTGCTGGCAATGTTGAATTTTACAGCAGCCATTACTCCAGTAGTCAAATGATCCATTTAGACATTATTCTGATGCATTGATCTTATTATTGTAATTGCTGAAAATGGCTGTGGTGTTGCATTTTGTTATTTAAATTATGATGCATTTCTGTTCCAGAATTATATGATGAATGCATTTTGATTAAAATATATATATATATATTTCAAGGAAATACATTACTCAAAAAATTAAAAGATAGTGTTACAAAATTGTTCAAAAAAAGTTGACCATGTATGCATTTTACTGTCTGAGTGGTGTAGATCACATTAAAAGAGTTCCTTCTAATTTTGTATAATTCTGATGGTCAGTTATTTTACATGTTAATTTTCTAATGGCTCTTTCCAGCTAATTCACATAGGCTGTGTTAAGTGTTGCTTGACCAGGTTACTTGATCTATTGCAGTGGTGGATTGTAAATGCCTTTGATATAATTTAAACAACTGGTGCGTGGCAACAGATCACTGGCATTAAATCTCTGGAATGAAGATGTGCGTATAGAAGCAAAAGCTTTGAGTTAGTGCCAGATTCTTGGGACCTGGATTGACCTGAACCTGTTTGTTTATATTAATCATCTACAACAGTAGTCTTGTTTGTTTCTGTTATTGAATGATTTATTTTGTATTACCTGTGTATGATTGTGCATGTTTGATATAGAAATCTTGTTGCTTATATGATTTTGCTTACAGCTACCAAGAGTGTATTGAGTTCATTGAACACATTTTACCACATGTAAATCCATTTTCACAGAAATGCACATAATTTCTGACATTTTCAGAGTTCTCCTTGGCTTGCTTTTGGATCTCTCTGATGTGAAGATTAGATTTAATTATCGCAGCAACATCTGGTATTTGGACCACTTGTCAGCTTTAATGAACTGTACCATAGTAAACTTGCTAAAGGTTCAGTAAAAGTCACTGATCACATGAATGATATCACACACACCGACAATTAAAATGAACTGTTAATCTTCCTCTTTTCAATGCAGACACAATTATCTCTCTTATATTTACACACCATTTCTTTCCTCCGACCCTCATTTACATCATGTGCAAAATTTACTGCAAGTCTCCTTTGCTGTTCCCGGATCAGATCTGATCCCAAGAATCTTGGCATTCCCATAATTCCCCAGATCCTTTCAGCACAGATCAGACGTGTGTGATAGTACACATGTAATCCAGATGTTCTCCTTCACTCTTCGAGGTCCAGCTGGGCCGGGGTGGGTTTTTCTGTCTCATGTGGTCCACATCTCTGCTGTAAGCCCTGGCCTTGATGATTTCACCTAGTTTTAATGCTTGCGATGCCTATTACTAACAAACCATGTGATTGTCAAAGATCTGGGCTGCTAACACAAAGGTTCAGTTATACTGTACAGTAAGAGCCCATTCAGTGCCAACTGTTACTATGAAGATATTAGCATCCGCACCAACACATAATGACATTTTACTTATAAAAAGCATATAGTTAGGTCATCTGCCACTTTAAATACTCAAGCACTGTAAACCTAGATATATTCATTCACAAGCTATTAAAATCATAGTAAAAGTAATTTAAGTTTTAATGGTCCAGTGTTTCTTTATCAATATAGTTTCATAAGCTTGTCATGTAATATATCTGTTTATCAACTGAATCAGTTTCGAAGAGCACAACAAATTGAGATTTTGTCTCCTAAAAGAAATAAACAACACATCAGTAATTTCAGTCTTCCTGGATGAACTGTTTGTAAAAAATGCCACCCTATGGATTTCATTGGCTCCCTGTAAACAATGTCTACTTTGTCCTGCATTCAAGATGTAATTGTAGTTGGGTCTAAAAGAGTTTGGCATGCTTTGTCGACGTATTGAGAGGATGCTGTTTACTGTTTTTTTAAAAGCAAAATCATTTTCTTATGAGGACTGATGCTTAAATTGATGTTGTAAAACCAACTTATTACTGTTCAAATCACTGTGTGTGCAATTGCTGCTGGTGAAGCCTCTGGATCCTAAAATTCAGTGATGGCAATGGGTGTTTGCGTTTAGACTTTTGGTTGTCAGACCAATCTAAGCAGAACATTTGACCTTGGATTTTGGAAAATCAATTGTAGGGGATTTCCAAAACAAAATGAGGAACTTTTAAAATATCATCAAGGTTTTTTCAATTCGGTTATTCTGGCAATTTAAAATAATTTATTATTGTAGTCAAGACTCTGATATAATTCAAGCAAACTTGAAAAACAAACTGGTTGTTATTGTTTATTTAAAGGAGTTTGAAACAGTTGGTTCATGGTGATTAATTGATTGGTGTGCTATTGGGCTTTTTGGTCTCTGAGATCTTCTCCAGGACCTTTTTTAGTATTGCCAACTCCATGCTTTCCCATTAATTTAGGATACTTTTACACTGTTTCTGCATTTTTTGTTTTACAGTGAATTTATATCCACATCACAATTGATGCTTCCTTATCTGCTTTTTTCTCGCTGTTGTAAATTTAGTTTGTCTATTCTGTTATTAAGAGGTAAACATGCAGCATACATTTATAAATTCTTCTAATGGACAATAGCTAGTTGTATATTGCTGCTGCCCAGGAACTTCTTTTTTACCCCTAAACAAAGTATTCAATCTAAGCTTTTTTTTTAAATATTTATTGTTTCTAAGCAGCTATACAAAAGGTGCACATCATTGCATTGTATTCAAATTAAGTTAAAGTTACAGTCAAATTTAAGTTATGATATACAGACATAGATAACCTGAAACCTTATAGCATATAGGGGATGTCTATGCCCACTATTGTTTGTATTAAGTGTAAGTCTTGTCCTCGATGTCCTCTGGTTGACATCATCTCTTCAGTACAGAAAATAACTTCTCTACTAGTATGGGTTTTATCATCAACCTCAATGTCATTAAGGCACTTTGGTTAAAATGCCAAAAGCAAGTGAATGGGTAATTTAAAAGTGCACAAGTAGCTTATTATGGGATTTCAGCTATATTGGCCTGGACCCATTGCATCACTTTCCCCATGTAGTAACACTGGGACTGTTGGCAGCTTTTACTAGAAGAAACTAATTATCTGGCTTTCACATGGTCCCAAAGCCCCGAATCCATCATGCCCTCATCACTTTCATAGTAACATTTGCTTTCTTTTAAAACATGTGACTTCATAGTCTGAGAACCAAGGGTGCTTGTTCGGGTATTTGAGGCATAAGATGCCCTCATAAGGAATTGTGCTGATACTGTGCGACTGAGAGTAGAGCAGGGAGATATGATTCTAGTTTTGGAAAAGTGTTGAATAAGACTATAGTTATTTGTTTAAGATGTGATAGTAAGGTTAGATTTATGAGGTCAGGAGTGGAGCTGGTTGATACAGAATTGCTAAGCTTGTACTAAAGAACATCTGTTTGCAACTTCATAAATCACACAACTTTTATATAAATTTGTAAAAACATATTTTAAATAGTATTCTGACTTAAAAAATACATATTAGTATTGGTATCAATATGGGTTGTTTCAAGTGATTTTTTTTGTTGTGGCAAAACACAAGTGGTAACTGACAATGGGTTTCTTTCTCTCTTTTTTTTAAAGATGTGGATGAGTGTGAGGCAGAATCACATCAGTGTAACCCTACTCAGGTGTGTATAAATACAGCCGGTGGATATACCTGCTCGTGTACTGAGGGCTACTGGCTGGTGGGAGGACAGTGCCAAGGTGAGATTTATAGACATCCTAAATGCTTAGGCATTCTTTAATAAAATACTTATTATCAATATGCCTATATTCATTAATTAGTTATATGTACATGCTAAGCAGCATAAAATGCAAACAGTAAATAAAGAACAGTACATTTTCTGTCATTCATTTTTGCCAAGTTCCCTGCAATGCAGAAGTTTGCAGTGAGGATATTGATATGTTTTATTTGGGAAGGGCAAATTCAACTGACCAAAAGTGATGATAAAAACATTCAAATGTTGTAAAATATTTCTGCTTCAAATAAATGCATTATACAGCAACGTGAAAACAAAGAAGCACAACTGTTTTCAACGCTAATAATGATCAGAATTTATTCTTAAAGACGGTGTGACTCTGAAGACTGCAATAGTGATGCTGACAGTACACTTTACCATCACACAATTAAATATTAAAAATTAATTTATTTTACAATATTATGTATTTATTTTTAATCAGCGATTAAAAACATTTTTTTAAACTTACCGTCCTCAAACTTTTGTATAGTTGTATATAATATTGTTACGTTAGAGTTAAATTATAATTTAATCAATGAAATAATCCAGATTTTAGCCATTTCATGTTTAAATACTGCAACAATTTATTTTTGGTGTATAAATGATATGATTTGTACTTATTTGTTTATATGATGCAATAATCCTTTTGTTATTGCACATCACAAAAAAAGTTGTAATGGAGTTATGCCAGCTGTTTTGCGTATTTAGTGCTCTCTAACTCACCTTTCTTTAGACATTGATGAGTGTCGATATGGTTACTGCCAGCAGCTGTGCGCTAACGTCCCTGGCTCATATTCCTGTTCCTGTAGCCCTGGATTTCTTCTCAATACTGATGCCAGGACATGCCAAGGTGCTAACACAAGCAGTCTTTATGACTATATTAACTGATAGTTCATCAAAATGTCTTGCCAGATGCCACCTTCTACCTGCCTTCAGTCTTCTTCCTCTTTCTCTCTGGTCAGATGTGGACGAGTGTGTGACGGACCCATGCTCTCACGGCTGCTTGAACACATACGGGTCATTCATGTGTACCTGTGATGAAGGCTTTGAGCTTGCCGCTGATGGCACCACCTGCAATGGTAAAGGAGGAAGATAAGGTCCAGTTTAGAGGTTTTAGAGAAAGTTTAAAGTTGTTTTGACATTGTGTAATGTGTTTAATGTGTCCTCAGATCTGGACGAGTGCAGTTTCTCAGACTTCCTTTGTCAGCACACGTGTGTGAATGCACCGGGATCGTTCTCCTGCGCGTGTCCGTCTGGATATTACGTGTATGAGGATGGAAGAAGCTGTGAAGGTATCACTAGATTTATGTGCATCTTTAGATGTGACTTTGTTGTATTTCGTATATAACTTTTAGAAATGCTTCATCTATTTTTCAAGAATGGTCATGCTAAACAATTTCATTTACTCATTCCACTGACCTCAATTCATACATATGTGAATGTGGGAGACGAGTAATGCAAGTTCTTGCCAATTTCACTGCATTCCAAAGTTCATGTTTGATCAATTCTTAATGTGATGTGTAACTAGTAGAAGATCAGCATGACCTCTTTGCTGATTTAACTGAGTGCTAGTTGTACAGCAACAGAATTTAAAGTTTCAGTAAATTGCAGAAGGAGACTTTTTTATACTAATTTAAAAAATGACAATCTTGTTAGGGTCTTGTAATATTACATTACAACATAGCTGTGTCCGTAGAAATGTTACATGCCTAAAGTCTAGTGTGACCAAGTGTGAAGTTTTTTTTCCACATTGAACAACCAAGACTAAATATAAAGTCTTCATGACTTGCTAGTATATAAAATACAATATATTTTATGATATGAATTTATTTATTTGTCATTTTTATTGTTGTAGGTATTTTGTTTTGTGTTAATAATTTATACATGCACAATTCATCAGTAGAGTTTTTTTTTTTGTGCAAAACTTGTTTAAAATGTAGTTTCACTGTGAGTTCGAAATATTAATGGCCTCTGTATTTTCTTAATTCATCCATCACTGACATTTGCAAATGACTAAATAATAATTAGAATATTTATTTTTGCTGAATTATGTTTTCATTATTCTTACTGTTAATGATGGTGATGGTAATCTGACTTGTGTCTGTTGTGTGTTTGATTTTGAAGACCTCAATGAATGTGAGTCTGGTAACAACACCTGTACAACAGAACAAGTGTGTTTCAATTTCCAGGGAGGTTACACATGTCTGAACCCTCTTAGATGTGATCCACCTTACATAGAGCTCAGTGACAAGTGAGTTCATGAATGCTGACAATATTGCTTTAGGTAAAACATTTGACTTGCTGCTCTTTTAATATATTTCATCTGTCTTACTCCCTCTCAGTCAATGCATGTGTTCCGCTGAGAATCCTGCTTGTCGGGATCGACCCTTTACGGTTCTGTACAGGCATATGGATTTGTCTTCTGGCCGAAGTGTTCCTGCAGATATATTTCAGATGCAGGCCACTACACGTTACCCTGGAGCATTTTACATCTTTCAGATCAAGTCTGGCAACGAGGGAAGAGAGTTTTACATGCGGGTAAGTAAGATCACTTATAAAATACATATCCAAATGTGTAAAAGTCATAATGAAAATTGATAATAAAAAGCTAGTGCAAAGTTGTATTGATTGTATGTGTATGTGTGTGTGTGTGTGTGTGTGTGTATGTATATATATATATATATATATATAAATATACTCACCTGCCATTTTACTCAGTACACCTTACTGGTACTAGGTTGGACCCCTTTTGCCTTCAGAACTGCCTTAATCCTTCGTGGCATAGATTAAATAAGGTACTGGAAATATTCCTCAGAGATTTTGGTCCATATTGACATGATTGCATCATGCAATCGCTGCAGATTTGTCAGTTGCACATCCATGATGAGAATCTCCTGTTAAACCACATCCCAAAAGTACTCTATTGGTTTGAGATCTGGTGAATGTGGAGGCCATTTGAGTACAGTAAACTCATTATCCTGTTCAAGACACCATTCTCAGATGATTTGAGCTTTTGACATGGCATGTTATCCTGCTTTAAGTAGCCATCACATGATGGGTACACTGTGGTCATAAATGGATGGACATGGTCAGCAACAATACTCGGGTAATAATAGGCCCTAAATGTGCCAAGAAAATATCCCCCACACCATTACATCACCACCAGCCTGAACCGTTATTACAAGGCAGGATGGACCCATGCTTTCATGTTGATAATGCCAAATTCTGACTCTACAATCTGAATGTTGCAGCAGAAATCGAGACTCATCAGACCAGGCAACGTTTTTCCAATCTTTTATTGACCATTTTTGGTTGAGCCTGTGTGAATTGTAGCCTCAGTTTCCTGTTCTTAGTTGACAGGAGTGGCACCCGGTGTGGTCTTTTTCTCTTGTAGCCCATCCGCTTCAAAGTTCGACGTTGCCTAAATGCATTAATTTGCTGCCTTGGAATTGGCTGATTAGAAATTTTCTTTAAAAAGCAGTTGGACAGGTGTACCTAATAAAGTGGCTTGTGAGTGTATATTATACCTTAAATATTACAAGCATTACAATGCAAGTCTGATCTGTTTCAATTAAAATAAATATTGCATGGACTGATCTTTAAATCTATTGCTGCTTTTGTTTGGTCTCAAGATGGACACCAGTGGGTTTTATTTTTCTTAGGCAGAACTAACTATACTAAAACTATTAAAATGTTATACTCGAACTATGGCCTAATCCTGTTGATGTAAAACAAATATATAGTGTTACAAAAGATTTGAGATTTCTTAAATAAATGCTTTCTAAACGTCTCAGAAGCTGGTAAAATGTATAACTCCTCCCACACAAATATGAACCAGTACAAACTATTATTAATAATAATAATAATAATTGCTTTTTGAGTATCAACCCATCATATTAGAATGGTTTCTGAAGAATCATTCAAGGCTAGACTAACACGCATTAAATAAAATAAAATAAAATATATAAATCTTACTCAAACTTTTGAACTGTAGTTTATATATTAATCGTGACCACAAGAGGGAGCTGGGGGATTACTGTGAGACTGTCAGACTCCTATGAGTCTCTTAGATAATCAATGAGTTTTAATTGTTGAAGGAAATCATCTGTGACACAAAAGAGCAACAGAGTTAATATTCTTTAATTAACACAAGAACCATTTTCTGTTATTTTAACACAAGGGTGCCCAAACATGGTCCTGGAGGGCCGATGTCCTGCCAAGTTTAGTTTCAGCCCCAATCAGACACACCTGGGCTAGCTAATCAAGCACTTACTAGGCTTTCTAGAAACATCCGTACAGGTGTGTTGAGGCAAGTTGAAGCTAAAATTTGCAGGACAGCGGCCCTCCAGGACAAACGTTGGTCACCCCTGTTTTAACACCTATGCTGTGAAAAGAAGTAATTTTTAAATATATTTCTTTTACTCTACATCCTTCAATCTTTCTTTCCACCACAGCAAACAAGTAATATGAGTGCAACTCTGGTTCTGGCCCGACCCATTAAAGGACCAAAGACCGTCGTTCTAGACCTAGAGATGGTTACCGTTAACAACGTCATCAACTTTCGAGGCAGTTCAATCATTCGTCTCACAATATTTGTCTCCGAACATCCATTCTGAGGCTTTACCAATGAACCTCTGACCTCTCACCTCCATCATGGACCTCCTGTTACTGCACTACCCATCAGGCAGCTGCGTTTCCTCATTGTATTTGTTCTGTGGTTCAGGACTCTCATGTTTTCATCACACTCTCTGTCTGCTTTATTACAGCAGGTGGAGTTTGTGCTGATTTTTAATATTTCATAATGCAGGTGTTCAGTTAGGCTACCTGGCTGTCGCAGTCACACACCTACACATGTACCCATACACAGAAGAATATTTATGTTGTGTTTCTTTGGTCTTGTTTGTTTGTATGTCCCTTTTGTGCATTTTCTTCCCCCAAAGCTGAAGTATCTATTTTAAAGCTGAATTTAGTTTCAGTACTTTTTGCAGCACCTGTTTCACATTGTCTCACTGTGACTGTGAGGGACGCTTTTATTTGGTCTGAACTTCTGAGCACTCAAAACAGTGAGAGAGCCACCAGGATTGCAATAAAATAATTTTAAATTAAAATGTCCAGATTAGCTCTGACAGTAGCCTGCAGAGCACCTTTCGTACCTTTAGCTCTGAATTTCTTATCATTTGATCTCTGCAGAATTTCCTCTGTGTATGTTTTTATTTGACAGGTAAAAAAAGAGCCCGGTCAGTCAATAAACAAACATTTGATGACCTGAACTGATTCTGGTTTTTGTTTACTTTTGGCTAATTTGCATACATACACATTTAAAGTTGTTCATTAAATGTATTTAAGAAGAAGACAATGAAATGGTTTTTAATGCACACTTTCAATGTTTTTAAGGGCCTGTAACAGTGAGACTTTAATCAGATGAAACTTCTTTTAAAAAAATACAGATTTTAGAGAAATATATTAGTATTTGATCATGTATTTGAAACATGTGCACAACTTATAAAACATGAAAGTTGTGTAAACTTTTGACTAAGTCAGAGGAATTAAACAGACTTTTTCACTGTTAAAAAAGTTTACACAAAATGATTATGAATTCACCCCCAGGCCATCCAAAACGTTTTTGACTTTCATGTTCAGCAGACACAATTTTCCTTGATTTTTTTTTTTTTTTGTCCTCTGGGATTGTGGATTAGTTTAAAACTGCCTAATAATATGTATTGTACAATCAAATGTCGTCTTTTTGACCTGTTGATTTGCATTAGGTGAGAAAAATCCTGGACAGTTTCTCTTTTTAAACCTTAATTTTAGAAAGAAAAAAAAAACTGAATTTTGGCGTAAACTATTTATTGAATATTGAGCGGCAGGCTCTAGGACCATGTCGTTTGCAGAAGTTTTCAGGCTCTGAAGTCTTGAGGCGCACCTGCTGCATTCGCGAGCTCAGAGATTTCAGCTTCTCACGAACAGCAGCACAGGTACGTTCAGCCTCATCCATACAACACAAACATATCAAATAGCAAAACAGTCATTCGTTTTATTTCCTGAAATACTTTTTGTTATACTTTCTATATTTTTCTAATATTCAGATGCATTGATTGGCTTGACGATGTCTTTACTCCTCTTCTAGAGACTTGTTTATTATGAAAAATCATTTAAAAGTGACATTTTAGTCGTTAAGACGTAGTTAAAGAAACATTTGTGTTAAAATGATTTGTTTTTACCTTATTAACCTTATTTACTGTATCTTTAGGTGCCTTATTTTAAACCACGACACAATTTACAGTTTATACAGTTTTCTAAAATTGTATTCTTATTTTCCAAGGTAACCCTGATGAAAATTACCCAGTTTCACCACAAATGCAACACTACAGACTAAAAGCCTCTGAATTTAACTACAGCTAGGCTACCAACTGCAATTTAATGATCGTTTCATTTTGTATTAAGATTTTTATTAAACAAATGGTAATCAATCTGCCAAAAACATGGTTATTACACGTTTAATATATTACAACCATGATTCATTTACATAATAGAAGAGCAGTGTTAGTGGAAAAAAATGCTTATTAGGTGAGGACATCAAGGTTAAAAGAATCAGAAATGTGATAAACCAAAGTATATTTGAGTAGAGATTGAATGAAGTTAAAATATTACCATTGTGTGCGTCATTCCCATTCAGGCCTTAATCCTTAGCAATACACAGGAGTCTGATCCACAAAACACATGATGGAAATGTTGTGAATTAAGAGTTCTGTCTGCTGTAGGAAATTACTACTGTGAAACTCCTTTTATGTGATTGTTTTGTGCAGATCTGCAGTAACATGATGACTGACTGCATCAAAAACTGCTGCAGGACGTTTGCGTCCAAGAAAAATGAACCAGAGATTCAGAGTGAGTTTAGTTTTCACGCTCACCTCATCATGATTCTTGTTTTATTAATCCATTCACATAGTGTATATGCATATAATTGCATTTGTGAACTGATGCATTTGCATGGTTTGTAGTGATAAAAATTCGAGCTCCTGTTAAATCAGCTGCTGAGTGCAATGTGAAGAGGGGTGTTGGAGTTTCAGAGGATTATCTGCTTTCTAAACTGCCTCCGGACGGCCGAGAGGTTCCTTTCATCATCCCAACCTTCAAACCTTCATACATCCAGCCGAGAGGAGCACAATACTCTGGCCACAACATTGGACAGCAGAGTAAGCAGAATTAATCTGATGAGATTAAAATTTCCTTACCACTTACTGACACTCGAGTGGTTCTAAACTTTAATGAATTACTTTCCTCTGTTGATGCTGGGGACAAACAGCCATTGATATCCATGGTAAGATCAATAAATATTCAATGGCTGTTTTTTCCCAACATTATTCAGTATTTCTTCCTTCCTGTTCAACAGAAGAAAGAAAGTCAGACAGGCTTGGAACAAGTAAAGTAAATGATGACAAATTTTTCATTTGAATAAATAAATAGTTGTATAATTTATTTTTATAAGTAATTATAAGTTATAACTGACGATGAGCTGTTAGCTTGATCAGTTAGTTTGCTGTTAGTTTGATCAGAATCAAACATTCAAAAGTATAAATGTACAGTTGAAGTCAAAATTATTAGCCATCCTGTGAGTTTTCTTTTTTAAATATTTCCAAAATGATGTTTAACAGAGCAAGGATTTTTTTCACAGTATTTCCTAAAATTAAATTTTTCTTCTGGAGAAAGTCTTACTACATTTACATTTACATTTAGTCATTTAGCAGAAGCTTTTATCCAAAGCGACTTACAAAATGAGGACAAGGAAGCAATTTACACAACTATAAGAGCAACAATGAATAAGTGCTTTAGGCAAGTTTCAGGTATGTAAAGTGTAAGACGCAGAATATTAGTAATTTTATTTATTTATTTATTTATTTCTGTAATACAGTTAGCAATAATACAGTAATAAATAATAATACAGTAATAAATAACTGTAAATAATACAGTTGGCTCCGGTGGTGCCAGAGAGGCAATTGCAGGAAAGTAGAGACTAGTTTTATTTCGGCTAGAATAAAAGCAGTTTTTAATGAAAAAAAAAAACGTTTTAGGTCAATATTATTAGCCCTCTTAAGCTATATTTTTCGATAGTCTACAGAACAAATCATCATTATACAATAATTTGCCTAATTACCCTAGTTAAGCCTTTAAATGTCACTTTAAGCTGTATAGAAGTGTCTTAAAATTTCTAGTAAAATATTATTTACTGTCATCATAGGAAAGATAAATGAAATCAGTTATTAGAGATGAGTTATTAAATATTATGTCTAGAAATGTGTTGAAAAAAATATTCCATTAAACAGAAATTGGGGGAAAAAATCGACAGGAGGACTAATAATTCTGACTTCAACTGGATATATTCAACCTGTTGCCACAATTGTGTCTACAAATCTCTTCTGAATGACTTTAGGCACCACAAGGTCCACTTACGCAGAAAGGAAGGCAGAGCTGGCAGGAGTCAGTCAAATGATGTACGATCCTGATGTGAACTTAAACAGCAGTCATATGATCAGCTACGTGTCGCCAGGTTCACTGAGACGCCCTACTCTGAAAAACAGAGTCAACTACAACCCTGGCACAGGTGAGAGACCTGTAGATCTGCCCAAAACATCTATTTATGATGTTTACTATCCAATGTTACTTCCTCATGGCATCTTTTAGTACGTAACTTCTCAGCAGGTACTGCAACCTCAAATATTTACATTCCAACCCACTTGTGTTTAATTCTGCTGTTTTATTCCCGCTCTTAAATCCCCTTATTGTTCATGGCAGATTTGCAGTGGTGTTGTCCCAGTTTGTATTGTTAGACGTTATCAAAAGGCTCAGTGTGACACATTTGGAAATGTTCGAATTGAAATTGCTTGAAAATGAAATCAGCCCAGATTTCAGCGAGTGTCTTTGGACTCTTTCTGAAAGTGAAGTAAGGGAAATTATTTGTGTTTTTCACAGGTTTGGATCACAGCGACGCACAGAGACTCTGTCTGTCCATGTTCGATCTGTCAAATCCTCAGGGCCGTGTTGAGGTGACTTCACACACACACACACACACATGCAGACACACACACCTTACTTAACAACTTAACAACACATCCCAACACATTCACAACACATTCACATGCAGCTGTGATCACACACACCAGTTCACACAAGCTATTAATGATGCATATGAGCAAATGTCTTTTATTTGTGTGGTGGCAGCATTACTATAGTTTTTAGCATCACATGACCCTTCAGAAATCATTCTGATATGGTGATGTGATTTGATTATTAATGTTGAAAGTGGCTATAGGCCTGTCACAATAATCTATATATCAACATACCGCACAACACATGGATATGAGCTCTATCGTTTTTGGTATATCACTTATACATAAAAACAATTCTAGCAACATTTAGCTGATTGTGCAACATATCTATTTCTATTGGAGGTGTCATTGTCAGTATGGTTAAAAAATACTGTAGTATTTGTTATAAATGAGTACAGTATATTTTCACGTGGGTGCCTGACAACTGAAAATAGAACTGATAGCAGATATTGCAGCCTTTGTTACTTTTTACTTTGCACTTTTTTTGTTAAAATGTTTTATTATGTACTTGTTTAGGATACACATTTTCACATTCTGATTCCAATATCTCATTATTAAATAGTTAAAATTACTATAATTAAATGAAATATTCTTAAGAATAAAATATGATGTGTACCTGCATTGTGATGATATTATATCGTCATGCTTGTATTAAATAATAAGTGGCATAAAATGGTCTTCAAATGGCAATGATATCGTTTATCGCAATATATTTTGGTGCAGTATATCATGAAAAACAGGTATCATGACAGGCCTAAGTGACTATGGTTGATTTTAGTAGGTGTTAATGTAGTGAAATCATCATTATTATTTATTTTTAATTCCTTTTTTAGATTTGAAATGTAGTTAATATTTAAGAGTTCTGTGAGTTTTGTCTGTTTAAATATGTCTAGTTTTAAACAAATTAAACAAAATAAAAATGATAAATATTTCTCTGGCCACTAGTTATGATATATTTTGTTAGTTTTTTAAAGTCGGAAATATATTTTTGGTTTTTTGATTTTACCTTTTTGGTTACCTTTAACCCTGATTTGATAAATAGAAAGTTCTATGTTTGTTTTATATTTCTATTAATTTCCATATATCAATTGTATTCATTTATATATCAGGTTCTGTTCAAATTATAATAATTATTATATGTTATGAAATAATAAAATAATTGCTATTGATTATACAGTACATTATTGTGATTATGCTTAATTATTATTGCATATATAAACCCTATTTTTGTTTTTTGGCACTGAATCAATTAATATGCATTTTTTTCTTGTAAATGATATTAAGTGAACTTGTAAACTATTTACAATACTTTTTTATCAATTCATGCCGGCAGCTAGCTCTCTGCAACTCTCACATGGTCGCCCACTGAAGCTAAGCAGGGCTGCGCCCGGTCAGTACCTGGATGGGAGACCACTTGGGAAAGCTAGGTTGCTGCCGGAAGTGGTGTTAGTGAGGCCAGCAGGGGGCGCCCAACCTGCGGTCTGTGTGGGTCCTAATGCCCCAGTATAGTGACGGGGACTCTATACTGCTCAGTGAGCGCCGTCTTTCGGATGAGACGTTAAACCGAGGTCCCGACTCTCTGTGGTCGTTAAAAATCCCAGGATGTCCTTCGAAAAAGAGTAGGGGTTTAACCCCGGCATCCTGGCCAAATCTGCCCACTGGCCTCTGTCCATCATGGCCTCCTAACCCTCCCCATATCATGATTGGCATATCATCACTCTGTCTCCTCTCCACCAATCAGCTGGTGTGTGGTGTGCGGTCTGGCGCAAAATGGCTGCCGTCGCGTCATCCAGGTGGATGCTGCACACTGGTGGTGGATGAGGAGATTCCCCCCCCATTGTGTAAAGCGCTTTGAGTGCCCAGAAAAGCGCTATATAAATGTAACGAATTATTATTATTATTATTATTAATTCAATTCATCTTTATTTCTATAACGCTTTTACAATGTAGATTGTGTCAAAGCAGCTTAACATAGAAGTTCTAGTAAACTGAAAATGTGTCAGTCCAGTTTTCAGAGTTGAAGTTCAGTTTAGCTCATTTCAGTGTGGTTTACTTCTTTCACTTCTAAAAGTCCAAACACTGAAGAGCAAATCCATCGATGTACATCGATCTATTGGTGGCATGACAAAAACATTTCACCAGTGAGAACCACACTTTGAATTGCATATCAGTTTCTATTGTAGTTCTGATGGAATAAAGAATCAGTTTCATGCATCAACACGAACATATTAAGTCGAGTGTCTATGCATTAACACATCGCGGTATAATGATTAGCTGTGCTGTTGTTTCAGTAACATTAATTCCTCTGTGTTTCTTCTCAGCGTTATGATTCTGTATCCAGCATCCAGAGCAGCACATCCTCCGTTCAGGATTCCTTTGGGAGCAGCCGTAGTCTAGGTAACCATTCATGATGGAACACCACATTCCGAAAAAACCCTCAGCGTTCCCTTCCAATAGAACTGTTCCACTCCACTGTCACCTGGAATTTCCACTGAAGTTTCATTTGTTTGCTTTTGCTTTTGTTTTCTACGGGGTCTTTTAGGACCCTTTATTTCCCAACTGTCTTACCCCCTCTGTCCCTCAGCCAGTGCACACATAAAAGCAGACTCTCAAACAAACTCACTCGCGCACACACACACACATACATACACACCCAACATGGGCTCAGATCACTGCAGATTGTGAAATCGTAAAGGGCAGACACAGTAATTACTCCCAATTGTTTTCCCTCAGGTCCAGTACACAAGTTCTCAGATAACTCTCAGAATGTACAGTGAAACTTTATATACAAAACATAAATAATAAACATTTTAGTATACCGAATACTAATGTTATGTATTTTTTTAAGTTAAACTTTTGAAAATAAAAGTACAAACAGTGTCACTTTTGTACATAAAGGGTCCATATTGGTACGTTAAAGGGACACATTAATCATATTTACACATTAGTTATTAATATTAATGCATATTAGTATTAGATATCATTTGTACTTTTATTTCTAAGAGTGTAGGGTTCAAACATTTCAGGGGGCCAGTAAATTGCTTAAAATGTCACTATTATTTGATTTTTTTCAGACATTCTTTTCTTATTTTTATCCTTTTTGTGAAGGATTGATGAGTCACTTTTTGTATTCATATGTATGTGCATAGAATCCATCACGCTGTCTGGCGATGAGCGGGATCGTGAGCCGGGGAAAGTGTGTGTTCACCTGAAGTATGAGGCGGCGGTGGAGCAGGTGTGGATCACCTTAGTAAAGGTATGATTTTATCCAGGTTTTGCTGGTTTACAACAGGCCATTGTGTGTCCCAGTTGAATGGAGCCTCTGTGTGGCTGAGAGAGACCTTTAACAAATGACCACATTTCTGACCAGCTATGTTTAATCTCCCTTTTTTGTATAATTAAAAAATAACTCTCATTGTATGTGTGTCATTTGATGATATAAGTGTGCGGTGCAGTGTTATTTTAGTATCACAAGTTTTATTAAGAGTTTGAATTTGATTTTGTTTGACATTTTATGTTTTCATATTAATTTTAGTTTATTAAATGTATTGTTTATTTAGTTTTCCTTGCATTTTTCATTTTTGATTTGGTCACACTTAAAGAATATGTTTCCATTAGTTAATGCTAGTTAATGTACTAACATGAACTAAGAATGAACAATACTTGGAAAGCGTTTATCAGTCATAGTCCAACAGTTACTAATGCTTTATAAAAAGCTAAAGTAATGCACTGTCAGATTATAAAAACTACCAATAAACAACTTTAACATCTTTAACTATCAATAAAGATGAATGACTATTGTAATACATGTATCATTCATGATTTTTTTGTTAATGAATACATTACATTTACTAAAAATATAGGAACTAAAGGAAGCTTATTCTAAAGTGTTATCCTACACTTGAGAGATAAGCAATTACTACAATCTTTTTAATGTTTTATCTATTAATTCCTGTAAAGTTGTATCTTACCATGACATTTTCACACTAAATGGTTATAAGAGATGTGTTTGAGGTATTATATGCAACATTTTTAATTTATTCTCCTACAGTAGATAAGGAGAGATCTGCACTTAAGTAGCATACTTTGAGGGTAAATGTGCTTGATGCAATGGTACAGTTATAAAAAGCATCAGAATTGGTGTTTGGTATCAGCCGATCACCATGGCAAGGAATTGGTATTCGTTATCAGTTGTCCTTAGCAAAGCATCCCTAATACGTATATGTATACACACAAACACACACACACACACACACACACACACACACACACACACACACACACACACACACACACACACACACGAAATGTCTTATTGTAATACATATTTTGATAACACTTTAGTTTAGGTCACAATTCACGCTATTAATAAACTATTATCTAACACTATTAGTTTATTAAACTACTAGTAATCTGTTTATTAATCGTTAGTAAGGTAGAAGTTGGGTTTAGGTTTTGGGTAAGGATGGGGAATAAGGTCATACTTTATAACTACTAATGAGCAGTTAATATTGCAGTAATAGGATGGTAATAAGCCAGTAGGTAATACTGTGAATTGTGACCTAAACTAAAGTGTTGCACATATTTTATTTATATAACTGTAAATGTTCATTTACCTTTAGATTTTTCTAATGACCTAATTTACTTAATTTGACTTACTTTATTGTTTATGTTTGGATGTGACAAAATGGATTCACTTGATAGATGGTTAATTGTATACACAATAAAAGCTGCCTTACATAACTTGTTAATAATTACAGTATTTTTAAAGAGTGTGGACATAACAGTGTAGACCAGATCCTGAGTGATTTGTCATAAACCTACAGACGTCACTCCGGATACAATATTCTTCTGCAAGAAGCATGCTGTCTTTTATTATGCCGCTGACTGCTGGAGTACTAAAAGTATACTGTACTGTAGCTTTATTCACTGTTTTATCATATTTCATGATATTTGTTTTGTTTTATTTCTGTCGATTATTTTCTAATATAAATATTTCAGAGCTTTACTTTTCATAAAATTCCCCTTGTTGACATACAGTGGCTTTAGTGGTTGTAAAAGCTCATAAACAGTAGGCTTACATGTTGCTATCAGCCTTTCTCATTTTTCCACTGGTTTTGGCACTTCCTCTTTTTTTAGTGCACAGACTTGAGTGTCTATAATGAAAGAGTGGAGCAGCAGAAGATTGGGGTTAAAGGCGTCATCACCGTGAACAAGCCGGTCCGGTTTAAGAGTACGCTTAAGGAAGCATCAGAAGTGAGTGAGATCCAAAGCATATTAAGCTACATCGTACAAAATTCATTTTAAACTACAGCTTTGTTGGTATCAAGGTGTTAAATGAGAGTATATTCAAAGCTAAGTTTCTTAATTAATGTATTTAATAATTTGGTTGACTTATTTTATTCAATTAAGGAAGTTTTTAGATGAAACTGTGGTCCTTGGTGATTCCTAAAATGCAATTTGAGATTCAAAAAAACATATGTGCACACAAACATGCGGAGAGATGAACATTATTTTACAATATCGCCTCTACAGCTTTGACAAACAGACTTTTGATAAAATTAAAAAATAAAATGGAAACAAATTCAAAATGATTGTTTGATTAGTAATTAAGTCTTATTATATTTAAATCAAATTTATTTTTAAAGGATGATATCTCTACATGTCTAAAGAAAAAATAAATAGAAATTCTAAAGTTTACACATGCTTCATTATTAATTCTTATACTGCTTTTTAATAGTCTGTATTGTCACCTGGATGATCAAAAGCAGCAAACGCTTACTGATTCATTATGAGACATAATGCATTGAAAATAAGGGAACGTAAAACTTTTGAACAGGATTATTGTTGATAACTGCTTTAATTTTGTTTAACGATCTTGTTTAATTTTTTGTGTTTTAAATAGTACTACTCTTCAGAAGCTACATGAAACGTTATTTAATTTGCAGAACACAAAATTAAAAACATTTTATTTAAAGTTTTCACCCCCTATATTTTAATGAATGCCTTGTGTTACCATCTGTTGCATGAATAAATGTTTTTATCTTTGTAATATTTGCTTGAGTCTTAAGTCTGAACCAGTGTAAAAAAAAATAAATCGGAAATATTGCTGGGCAATTAATGAAATTGTAAAACACAATTGAGCAAAGCTGCGATTGTCATGCACACTTTGTGATGGTAGTGCGGTTGTGTGATCAGTAAAAAAATCACTGAAAGCCAGAGGAAATCCCAACATTGCATTATGTACAAAAGACTTAACTGCTTTCATTGATTTATTGTGACTAACAAACACACATCTACAGAAGCAGGATACTGAAGGATTTATTTCAAACACTTGACTGAAGTTATTAAGGGCACTTTGGTTACTTTTGGAGCACTTTTGGTTATGTCGTGTGCACCATTTACTACACAGAGACATAGTTCTTTGAGGAGCAATACAAACAGCTGCCATTAGCATCCGATCATTCCATTTTGTATGCAAGCTTGTCAGTGAAGATGCCAAAGAATGTGTGGAGGACATTTTGGTTTTTTTTCTTGAAAACAGTGCATATAACCGAAGTGCTCAAGACAAACACACAGTAGGATTTATCATAAAATAATCATAAAGCAGTTACAGATCATCCGGGTAATGATGTATTCAGAAGAAAATATAGTTGAACTGCGTAATTTGTGTAGATATCTTGTGTATGTACAGTAGGTTGTGTAAAAAAGCTAATTCAGGGCACTACTAAATGAAAACACTTTCACTTATATATTTTCAGAATCTCCAAACGTGTCAGTGTTCTATTGCATTTGATTAGACATTACTATGCTGTGTCGGTCTGGGTTTCAGGACACTGTCTTCATGGAGACATTTGTGTTCACGCTGAACCTGGAGCAGATCCGCAGGTCTGCACTAGTGCTGCGGCTGCAGGCTCACACACCACGCAAACGCACACTGGGGGAGTGTGTGCTGTCTCTACGAAGCCTCGGACCGCAGGAAACAAAGCACTGGCTAGAGTTCAAGCATCCTTCTAAAACACATGTGAGTGGATCTCTCTGTGATCACATATCACAACCCAAATTTAGCTTTTGTTTTGATTGTAGGATTCGCTGAAAACGTACCTCCATCTGCAGTAATCCACAGTCTGTATTCACACACACCACCATATATAATTACATTACAAATGAAACCGTTGTTCTAGTTCTGCTCCAGTCTGTTCTGTGTTATTTAGGTCACTAGTTTTGAGTAAGACAGACAGACAGATGGAGAGAGAGTGGGGAAGAAGTCAATACACTGAGAGAAAAAAAGACTTTCAGTGAATGTACTTAATCCTTAAAATGCTGATCTCTTCAAATCTTCCTGACAAGAAAGACTAAAAAATAGTATTTTTTATTAGTAAAAGACTATATCCACAATGTTCTTTTAAATAATAATAATATTGTTTATAATGTTCATATAATATGATTTCATGTTAACTAATATTGTTCTGTTAGTTAACAATAAAATTAATCAGATAGTACTGAAGAGAAAACACCATGTCTACAATAATATTAAGAGCAACAGTTTTTCTTACATTGCTTTTGTATTGTATCGACTGCTGAAAAATCTTATTTGAATTAGTGTAATAAGGTCCCTTTTCGATAAAGAGATAGATAAAGGACATTTAAAAATGTAATACTATTAGTATCAATATTTCTTTGAAGTTTCATACATTCATTACAATATTGTTAATGAAAGATACCGTATAGAGCTTCGGCACAGATTATAGCTATTTGCTTTGGTCAGCTAGACTTTCTGAAAGTGCTTTGATGTGTGTGTGTGTGTGTGTACGTGTTTTTGTGACATATCAGGACACAAATCTGTATAATGACATAGGTTTGACACAGGTATTACAAAAAGGAGGTAAAATATGATGACATTGGTGATGTCCTCGTTTCTCAAAATGCTTATAAATCCTACAGAATAAGTTTAATCAGAGAGGAAAGCTGCACACAGTCTCCTGTGATGGTTGGGTTTAGGGGTGGGGTGGGTTGAGGGCAATATAATATACGGTTTGGACAGTATAAAATTAATGGAAACCTATGTAATGTCCCCACTTTTCACAAAAACAAACATGTGTGTGTGTGTGTGTGTGTGTGTGTGTGTGTGTGTGTGTGTGTGTGTGTGTGTGTGTGTGTGTGTGTGTGTGTGTGTGTGTGTGTGTGTGTTCGACTGAAATGAAAACAGAAATGAAAACAGAAAATGAAGTCTTTTATCACTGGTATAGTGTTTGAAATTGACAGAACAGAGTTTCATAATGAAGGTCAGTGGTATCTGGTCTAGAGGAAGTTTTTTTTTTTTTCTAAATCAATAATGGGTGTGTGCATGTGTGTGTGTGTCTGTTTTTATCTGGGTCACAAATTGGCTTATGCAGCATCAGCAGGTTCTCCGCCTTAAAAAATAAAAACCTACATACACAGCTCCACACAACTCAAACTGGTCTGATTGTGTGTTTCTGTAGGTGTGCCATGCTGAGCTTCAGCTGGCCTTGTGTTTCCAGCCTGTGAACAGTCGAATGCAGCTCCAGATCCTCAGCACTCAAAACCTTCCTTCATCCTCCTCACCGCTCACACAGAGTGAGTCTCTCAGCTTTATTCATCATCATCAACATCGTCATAACAGCTTCATCTTAGTGCAATGTAAAAAAAAAAAAAAAAAACTGTACTGTTCACTCAAAATCGATCACGTCATCATTTACTCATCCTCAAACCTCTTTTTTTATTGTAAAGCAAAAGAAGATATTTTGAGGAATGTTGAGGGAAAAGCAGCCATTGTCTTCCATAGTATTTTTTTTAGTTCATACTATGGGTGTCAAGTATTTCAACATTCTTCAGAATATATTATAATGAAATCAAACAGGTTTGCAACCACTTAAAGGTGAGCAAATGATGAGAATTTGAATCCAATAAAAAAGTTTATTTTAACCTTTTATTTTAATCTGACACATTTTCCCATTTGTTAGTTGTTTTGTGGAAGCATGAATGTGACAAATATGAACTGAACTGTGCAAATGAATGTTCTCTTTAGGTTACTTTGTGAAGGTTGACTTGCTGGGTGAGGGTAAGTTCTTACTGAAGAGGAAGACGAAGGCGGTGAAGTCTTCAGGAGGGCAGGTCCAGTGGGGAGAAGTGCTTCATTTCCCTATCACCAGTCAAGACCACAATCTGCAACTGTCAGTTAAACTCTACAGCCGCAGCTCAGTGAGGAGAAAACATCTGCTGGGACAGGTCAGTCAGAATAACACAGACTAAAACACACTAAATAGTAAACATATGTACACCTATATGAAAAAAAAAACTTTTAAAAACACAGTCCAATCTCAGAGTAAAATGGCATGAGCTGTCACATGTTTGTACCCATAGGGTCTTTTATGGCACTTCTACCTTATAGGTGGCTTTTGAACCTTTGTTGGAACTATAAGGTACTTTTTAGGTATTGATATGTACACTTTAGCTACAAATATGTACCTGTAATGTGAACGGGATGCTGATAACAGGGGTGCGGATCCAAATGCAGGTTTTTCAAACAGAATGGTCAGGCAAGCGACTGTCAACACAAGGGGCAAACAGATGTACACAGGCAATCCAGAGTGATGGTCTTAAAACAGGCAGGCAGCAGACATTGTAAAGCAAACAAAACAAGGTTCAAACACCGAAGGCAAGGAAAGGAAAATGTATGTAAAACAGTATAACAAGACTCAGTCATATATGTGTGTGTGTAATCAGTCCATGAGCAGCATTAGCTGCTCAAGAAATATTTAAATATATTTTTAAAAAGTTTTTTAATCGTGATACATTTTATTTATAATTATTTAAGAACAGCATGCAATAAATATATATGTATGTATATGTAATATGTATGTGTAATATATATTTATATATATATATATATATATTAATAACATTATTAATGTATTTACTGTCACATTGGACTAATTGAATGCATCCTTACTGAATAAAACGTGTGTTTCTTCATTGAAGGTGCTCTTGAGTTTGGACAGCAGTTCTCCTGAGGCAGTGGAGCAATGGAAGGATGCAATGGCTAATCCTGAAAAAGTGGTGACATCATGGCACAGAGTTAGTCGACCCTGAAACAAGAAAGATGCTATATTTTTGAGCTAAGTGCATTTTAAATGCAACTTAAAAAAAAACTTGTTCATGTTCTTGTTGAAATATGATTATTGTAAGTGGAATGCATTTGTCTAAAATGCTGTGGTAGTACACACACGTTTACATGTATAAACTGAGTCGGACCAGTTGAGTCGCTCCTAATGTAGCTAATCTAGTTTGTAGATTTAACATATATGTTCCTCATCTGGTATAAGTTTGAGAACATGCAACTGTCTAAAAACCTCTGATAATATCTTAAATGTTTTAATACAATAGCTGTCAATTATGTCTCAGTTTAAAACAAACAAAAGCATTTCTAGAGTTTCAAGAGTTCACACTTAGCTGATGATTTGGAGAGCCCTGAGCTCATAAGATCCTCGAGCCCAGGGCTCCATCCCGTTTGCAAGGCGAGAGGGGAGTTTGAGCTCAGGTAGATCTCGAAAACTCCCCCGCTGTAGTAGCTAATGAACAGATTTTGATTGCTCTTAAGAGATAACTACATACTAGGAGCATGTCTATGGTGCCGATTAACTTAAGTTGCATGTTTTTGGACGGTGGGAGGAAACCGGGAAACCCACGTGAGCACGGGGAGAACGTGTAAACTCTGCAGAGAAACATTGGCTGGCTAGGTAAGGACTAGAACCAGCGACGTTCTTGCTGTGAGGCAACGGTGCTAACCACTGGGCCACCGTGCCACCCATCTAGGAAAGGAGGAGGAGTAGGGGTGGAAGGGAGGTTTCTTTAAAATGAGGATGGCTGTTATATGGAACTTTGGGTATTTATAGTGGTTTAGGAAGCGTCTGATTGGTGAATCATAAATTCACTAATGCAGAGTCGGCTACAAGCAATCATAAGCACGTGATCCTCTCAAAATTAGTTTAGAAATAAACTTCACTTAAAAGCATTCACTGCATGAAGCCAATCAAGTTGTCCCCAAGACTGTTGTATGAGCAATCGATCATGAATGTGATATTGATATTAATAGTTCAACAAACAAGACGTTAATATTGAGTGTGTTTATACATAATATTGTCTATTCTGTTTCATTCAGAGAGGAGCATCTCAGAGCGATGTTTCATTCATTAACTAACCTGCCTTTGAAAGAGTCGAGTGAGCCAATGATTCAGTAATTCATTCATAAAGATAGTCACATGCTTTTTTCCAAATGAATCAGCTGCTTTGAACAAATCTTTTGAATGATTGTTTGAATGAATCATTTTTCAAGATAAGAACAATGCCTAATGGTGCTGTTAATTTATATTCATTTATATTTCATTTATATTTTTTTCCATGACATTTTACTCTGGATCTATCAGGATTTTGTAACTGGATGTAAATAATTTAATTCTGTAATGACCGTAGCAGCCCTTATTTCATTCATATCATGTCACAAAATATTTACATTCAAAGCTTTTATTGACATTTTTCAATTAAGCTTTCATTGTTTTTAAGCTCACATACATTTTACAGCAAAAAATGTTTTTGAAAGTTTAAAAGACATGTCTGTAGTAAAGTTCTGTTTTTTTTTAGCAGAAAGTAGCAATAGGTAACAGAGGCATGCATATTCAAAGCCACTAAGAAAAGTAGCGAACACTGTACATTTGCAATATTAATAAAATAACTGTTAGAATGAAATATATGCACATTTAGAAAAAGCCAGGGTACTGTAGTCATATAGGTTATGTTTTTACTAATTTATTAAAATTCAAAATGTAAAAATGACTGCCTCTGTAGTTCTAGTGCCAGCATAAAGTACCAGTGCAAAAATACACACTGCAAATTGTTTATTATCTTTCGTTAAAACAAAAATCCAAAGAAATATCTACACATCAATTGATGTTAGTATTGGACACCCCTAGCACATGAACAGGACACATACATAATGTGCAATAAAATGTATTACTGTAGACTAGTGTAGCAACATGACCAAAAAAAGGGCAGACAGTCAGCTAATAACGATTAAAAATGAGTAAATGAAGTATTATTGTCAGTGTTCTTGCGTTTAACTCAGCACTGCTGACTTAATGGCTAACTGTTGTGTATATAGAAATAAAATCAGCATTTTGGTGATGATTATCGCACTTTCTCTTGCTCTCTGTAGAAGATAAACCAGTTATTAGATGCAGTGAAGCCTCTGGTGTTGGTGCCGGGGGTAAAACTCGTTGAAAAAAGCTTTTATTTTTGGAAGTCTAGAAGGTTTTGTGTTACACTCCCTTCCAAATGCAATTCAATCCTTCGATTTGTCCCCATTTCCTTTCACAAGCACAGAAAAAAAAGGGAAAGGCCACAGGAGAGGGCAACAAAGAGACTTTTGTTAACACATTTCACCTCCCTGCATCTTTTGTGTCGCCCTCATTTCAAGGTGACCTAACTTTCTCCTGTCATTTCTAAGACTTAATTTTTGCACAGGTGACAGACAGTAGCTTGCCCAAGAGTGTTCATTGTCTTTATGTTTAAGTACTTTGTGTTATGCAATGCTGTAGGTGTCTGATGTTATGTAAGACAGATATTTAAAAAGTAAATATTCCATTTGTACCGACTGTATTTTATGTGCATGCAATAAGAAATATTGTTTAATCATACTGTTGTTTCTAAAAGAAGGATAATAATAAAAAGGATTAAACAACATGGATAGCTAGTTAAAATCTAATGGGGCTTTTTGTTAGTTTATATTCACAAAAGTCACTTTCATTTTTCTTTAATGATTTGACAGCTGACGCGATAACTGCATATGGTGATTTATTGGCATCATCATCCTCCAAGCCCAGAGGAAACACTATAAACTGACCAAGCATGTCTGAGTGTTTGTGTTCTTTAACCCTCTCTGATTGTGCGGCTCTTTTAAAGCTGCTTCCACATCCGGGTGTGTTTTATTTACGTCATCACTTTCAGGATGGTTGTTTGAACAGGGTTAATGGTTATTTCTGAAAGCACCCCCCCCCCCTCCCAGCGGCAGCAAAACCCTGTAAAACAGCTGATCCTTGTGTTCAATGGTATTTGTGTAACGTGTCGTAGCAACCATAAAAACAATAACAGAAAAGACAATCATTTTTTATAAAAGCTAAACCTGAAATTTAGTGACAACACAAAATAATAATAAAACTGTTATTATGGCATTCATTTGAGTGTATATAGCAGTTGTGGTAGTAAATCTTTTATCGACCACACACGCACACACACACACACATAAACAGCTGTGACCATGTGGAGTTTGTGTGCTTTAGTGTGTTCCAATTAAAAGTGGATCAGCAGTTCCGGGACTTCAGCTCTGTGTCCAGGATCTGAAATCCCCTTAAACCACTCTATTTATTTTAAACTCATTCACAATATAAACCCATTTACAATCACATATAATTTATTTATTTATTATCACTAATTGATAAGTAGCAGTGTTTTACATCAGATCTGTTCAGTTTCATTGCAAAACTAAAGGGGGGTTTCAGGATTAAAATCTCAAAAGGGTAATGTCTTGAATTTCCCCCTGACATTAGAATGTCATGTCATACTCAGTTTCATGGAATTTCTGGAGTGTCATGGAGTCTGTTTTAGGCATTGAAAGTCTGATGTCATTCCAGATGCTGGAATATCAGGAATTTTTGTTTGATGATTTAACTTGTAGTTTCCAATTGTCAAAAAATATATATAATTCTACATAGTTTAATGCCTGTTGGAAATTGCATATAGTTAAATTATCCATTGTTGTTCTTGTAGCTTTTAAATTTCTGCAAAATGATTTTAAGCTAAAACTATTATAATATTATGTTCATTCATTCATTTTCTTGTCGGCTTAGTCCCTTTATTAATCTGGGGTTGCCACAGCGGAATGAACCACCAACTTATCCAGCAAGTTTTTACACAACGGATGCCCTTCTAGCCGCAACCTATCTCTGGGAAACATCCACACACACATTCACACACACACACACACACACTCATACACTACGGACAATTTAGCCTACCCAATTCACCTGTACCGCATGTCTGTGGACTGTGGGGGAAACCAGAGCACCTGGAGGAAACCCACGCGAAGGCAGAGAGAATATGCAAACTCCACACAGAAACACCAACTGAGCTGAGGTTCGAACCAGCGACCTTCTTGCTGTGAGGCAGCAGCACTACCTACTGCGCCACTGCCTTGCCCTTAATATTGTTATTTTAATATATTATAATATTAATATAAGCTGAGTTTTTCGGTTCATCAGATGTCATGGAAATTAAGCAGTTTAGTCAGTGAAAGTCAGTGAATTTGATATTTAACTTATAATGAGGGAACCCTGTGTTTCCCTTAGACAATAATAATGATTTTTACCATGATTAACAGAAGAAATCCATCAATGTCATTAAGTGTAATAGAAGTTTATATTAATCTTATCACAGATATTGCTGCAATTAATCCAGACCCATACCTATTAAGTTTTGTTTGGAATCATTATCACTCTCCTTCAAGTAACAAGGTTTTACACAAAGGTCAGCATTGCGAAGTTTCAATCATAATGTATTATAAAAGCTTTGATCATCTGTTATTTTTATATTTTAATAAGAACACATCAGAAAAAATATGTTGTTTAATGATTTGCACAAATAAGAGTGTTATGCTGAATGACAATAGAAGATTATTTCATGAATAGTTTAAGGTTTCCACAAAATTTATTCGTAACAAAAGACTTTCCTTGTAAGTAATATACCTTTTTACATATTAAATCTTTTTGTACGTTTATTTTGATGTGAAAACTAAAAATGGGCTTCTTATCTTCCCTACTTTGTGAATAGTAGCCCTAATATCCAATTTATTTTGATTATTTAATCATGTATTGTAAAAATGCAGAACGTTTTATATGGCTGATTTGTTTATGGTTATGATATAGAATAAAAAAAATTTACAGTATAAAATTCATTATGTGGAACATGGGAAAGCCATGCTGTCAAGTAGCCTAACTATTTTTTTCAAATATTTTCAGAGGTCAGTCACAGTGTAACTTTGCTACATGATTATTATTATTATTATTTTACTTAATTTGGTGGCTTGTGAGAGCATTCTGAAAAAAACATTGAGTCCAAAAACACGCATTTGTTGTGCGCGTACACCATCTAGTGACAGTAGAAGTGGATGACCAGTGAAGATTATGATGCTGATCATTGAGGTTTGACCGAGTTCCCGCCACAGTTCATCAGCTTTACACAGTTCATGTACAGTAGGAACATGGGCGCTAATTTCTAGTTAAGTGATCCACACACATTATTGTTTAAGAATGTCTCAGTCTTCACCTATACGTAACGGAAAATCCTACTTTAGCTATGTCGAAAAGTGTTTATTTTTGTAACTGAAGTTTAGATTTAGCTAGTATCTGAATAAGGATTGAATTTGGAATATTTTTCCAAAACGGGTATTTTCTTTTGTTGGAGGCATGAAATATTTTTTGGCATAGGCTTATAGGCCTAAACACAATTTTACTCCTTACACGTCTTTTATTTGGAATAACCAAAATATTTTATATAAAAAAAAATCTTTATTTTTCAGTCCGTGTTTAAGAACGGTTTGCTTTAAGTTAGTTATTTATCAGCAGAGTTTTTTTTATGAATTACTTTGAATTTATTCCAGAATATAATATAGTAAGTCCAAAAAAAGTGCCATTGTTATGGGAGCTATAACATCAGGAAGGAAATATGCTCTTTAAAAATAGCATAATCTCTCTCCTAAAAAACTTACTTTTCTAATTCGACAGAGACTTTTATAAAATATTTTCATATAAAAAAGATCGAAATTAGATCTCCTTTTATTGAAAAAGTTGTTACATTGTCCTCTGTAATCTCTTATTTAAATAATATATAGAGATTCAAAATGGGGAAATAATATGGTCTTTGCAACAAAAAATATTTCTTCAATAACAAGGTCAATGAAGTGTTTTTTAAATTAATCAACAAATTTTATCCTAAAGAATTTTTGAAAAAGTTTTATTCTAATATTGATGTAAAATGTTCATTTTGTCAATTTCATACTGAAACAGTTTTTCATTTATTTTGAGATAATAAATATGTTGTACAGTTTTGGAAACATATTGGAATGATTTTTTTTTTTTTTTTGTTATTACGAATCTGCCTCTACTAAAAGAATGCTAGTTTTGTTATGAATTATTATTATTATTTTTTTTTTTGTAATTCCATATCCACAAATTTAATACCACTTTACTAATTTTACATTTCATTATCTGAAAACAAGAAAGCAAACAGAAGAATTTAATTTTGTTATGACTTTAATTGATGTAGGCTACTAATTGATTCTTAAATGTCTTACCCTCAAGTTTATATCATGTTCTTTTTTTCTTTCTGTGAGCACTGTGTAGAAACCATAGAAACACGGACACTATTTTTTTATAATCCAGACTGATAGGTTGTATCAATATAACAACATTGTGTCTGAATTGTTAAAAATATAGTTTTTAAGTTATTTCCATCCCAAAGTTACACTGCCATAGCAACAAACATCCGGTCACTGAATTGATAAATCTTACCTGAACTAGATAAGTGACTCACACCCAGTCTGTCGACGTCTCGGTGAGTCATTTTACGTTAGGCTTGCCTAAAAGTACACTGGGCAGATGTTTTCAAACTTTGTTTTGCGTATATATCATTTCCCTATCATTGTTAATCGATTATATAAGACTATAATTAAAAAATCATCTTTATATTAAAGTATTTACTCATAACGTAGCTTATGGATTTATTGGCTAAGTGCAGCTGTCTAGATCGCACTGAACCTGGGGGTACAGTGACGCACAGCGTGAGGAATTCCACGGCAGGTATAAAACACCTGAAGTGCTTTACCTTCTTCACACCACACTACGACAGGATTTAACATGGGCACTGAGTCAGAAAACAGCGGCATCCTTAAAGAGGGCTTTATGGTAAAAAGGGTAAGAACTCTTGGACATGATTTCATTCCATATCAATATCCAAACTGCTTGTCTGTTCATAAGGAAATTATGTTGGTTTTTAGGGTCACGTTGTTCAAAACTGGAAAGTTCGTTGGTTTGCACTTAAATCGGACAGACTCCTTTATTACAAATATGAGGGCGGCAAACGAGATTCTTGCCACCGAGGGACCATTTTATTGAGGAACTGCAAAATCACATGTCCTTACCTGGAGTACGAAAACAGACCGGTGAGTCAGAAATTACTTATTATAATACGTTGCTAATATCTTTATCTATTATATAAGTTTAAACAACAAAATATACCTAAATGAAGAGCACATAAACACATTTCAGCATAATGTAAAACCATTTTAGAATGTTTGATATTAATATTTGTGTATTCACTTGTGCAAATATCTATTCTTGATCTCAAAATGTGAATTAACATAAAGAAACTCATTGTCTTAATTAGATTTTAACTAGTGACAGTTATTTTCTTTGATTCTGTTAAATGTGACTTGTATATAAATAATCATAAAGTTATATGGTGCTCTATAGCAAAGCAGTATCTTGTGCTTTAATATTAGGTATTTTACATATTAACATTATTATTATTAAATCTCTGAATCAAAGAAGGTCATTTGGTTTTTCCATAGCCTGCAAACAAATAGCATAGTGAAGTTGTTCAACACTGGGAGTGTCTCTGTGCTTTAAATGTTCATAGCCTCAGGTCATCCTTCATATGAATTACCTATTATTTTGTTTTGCAATGCTCACATGAACTAGCATGTTAGGAACATAACTTTATTTCCCCCAATAAATCTTAGCAATGTGTCTGACTTTGTGGAATAACTTCAGTCAAAACCAGTTTCAAAATCCTGAGGTTTTATGCTTGTGTTATTTAATATGCGTCAGTTTCATTTCAACATCGCCAACAGCTTAAGTTTGTTTAGATCTACTGTACGAGATGAAATGCTGTTGTCTGATTCTGAGGAAACCACATTTTCATCCTGCAGTTGGTGATAAAATTGGAGACCAACACATCAGAAGAGCACTTTCTGGAGGCTTGCATGAGGGAGGAACGTGATGAATGGGCTGCGGCGATTGATGCAGCAGTACAGAAACTCAGCTCAAGTGATGCACAGGTTCCTGCCCCATCTCAAATAAAAGCCTCCTCAACCCTTCAACTTCAGAATGTCAACCTCAGGTAGCTACGAGTCTGTGTTTGTCAGTATATGTGTGTATTTGTTTGTAACATTACATTTAAATGTGTGTTTATTTATCAGTCAGGTGGTGGACTCCATGTATGACGTTCACACTGGTATCCGGCACTGCAGTCACATCGAGCAGGGCAGCTCTTACAGCAACTGTTTCTCAGGTCAGACACTCGAACACACTGAGCCAATGCAATAGAGCAGTGGTTTTGAAACTGTGGTACATGTACGCGGAGGAATCACTGAGTAATGACAGAGAAAATTAATACAATTTTAATTATTTGATGCGTACAATAACACCGATGTGATCAGCACTAGCTGTTCTCTAAAGCCTACGATCAAGGCGATGTGCTTAAAATGTTTACTTTAGTGCATCATGTCATCAGCTGCTAAAATTCTTTTATTTTGAAAAATGACCTTATTCTCTTGTTACATCTCGGTCACTTGAGCGCCAAAATTTAACCCACAGGCTAGCAAAATGAGTAAGAACTGCCAACGAATGGATCTGCAACCCATTTATCAACAAATCAGGTAAATCCAGCATGTATGTGCAAGAAGAAAATCGACTGCTGTAGATCACAAATCTATTCACTTATCGTGTCATTTCCACTCGCAAGTTTGTTATTTACAATGAAGGAGCAAGCACCACAATGCACTAGCGTATTCAGGGCGTGCCCAGTTGAAAACATCTTAACTTTTCAGAATGCTGCACCGCAAGTCACGTGACAAGAACCAATTATCTCAGACAAACACAGAACACCTAAACACTGTATTACTTTTATTTTTCTCCAGAAATAAAACTGGTATCAGAGTGCAGCAAAGTTTTGTCAGCTTGATATTCTCTGAAAAAAAAAAACTTCGCAATGTGCCTACAAGTTAATGTTTAGAGTTCAAAAAGTTTTACAAAAAAGTCATATGTATATGCAACATATATTTCAAAATTTATCAAAAATTGTATTACTATGAAATACCTGAAAAATTTTTTTTTGAGTGGGTACTTGGTAAAAAAGTTTGAGAACCACTGCAATAGAGCATCAATGTTCATTATGGAAGAAATTACATTTTCTGATCCCTATCTGGAGGAAGTTGACAATTGGAATTGCTAATATGAAATTCATGCATGGTAAATAAAAGGTTTAAATCAAAACAAAAAGCATCCTGCACTTTTAAATGAGCTTTTAAAGATACAATTATTGCAGTGAAACCAGAATAGAAGAACTATTTTGGGTTCCTCAAAGAAAGTTTTAACAAAAACTGAACCTAAAACTGAAACCACTGTATAAACACCACATTACACTGGTGCTTGTATTCTGGGTGAAGACTTTAAACCCATAATTCACTGTAATGTTGAGCACACATCAGAGTAGACCTGTAAGATTAATCATTTTTAAACCGAAATCGTGATTTGAAGGGGACCGTTTGTTATTGAGCCAGATCAGTATCTAAAGTAATTCACATAAAAAAAACACAATATACACATACCGTAGCCAAATTCACAAGCATAAAACCAAATTCAGAAGCGCTTAATATTAATATATATTCGCACAAACACGATTAATCATTTTTAAATCAAAACCGTGATTTGAAGGGGACAGTTTGTTATGGACCATATCAGAATCTAAAGGAGTTCACATAAAAGACATGATGTACACATGCGTAGCCAAATTCACATGCATAAAATTAAATTAACACACACAATATAAAAATACACAATCATCAAATACGTTTCATGAATGCAAAACATCATTTACAAATGTACAACAGTGTACAAAATGTTTTGTATGTTTAAAATTTGCGAGTTCATCTTAAATGAGAATGTGCAAATGCTTGTTCATGTATGACTAGCCCTGAATACATGTGTGTATTTTTGAGACTCTCCTGGCAGCTACAGGTGACTTGTATCATTCAGCCAATCAGATGAGAGCTGTACTCAATGTGACCCACTCTGCACAGCATGGCAAACGGAGAATGCCCAGATGCCCAGGCTTCAAGCCATAACCATTAAATTCCCTGGCTTCCACTATGTTCCTTCTATTTCAAAATGTTTCACTACACTGTAATTATATTACAATCTATATATTCATTCATTCATGTTCTTTTCGGCTTAGTCTCTTTATTAATCTGGGGTCGCCACAGAGGAATGAACCGCCAACTTATACAACACGTTTTTACGCAGAGGATGCTCTTCCAGCCACAACCCATTATCTATATATTGTTTAATAAAAAACAACACCAAAAAAAAAAAAAACACTCATATCCAGGTGGAGTCGTAAGTGAAAGAGGATTTGCACATTCTCATTCAGAATGAACTCGCAACTTTTAAACATTCAAAACGTTTTTTTATTTTTTATATTTTGTATAATTTGTAATATTTCTATTAAATTTCTAAAAGTAAAGGTTTTATATATCTTTAAATATAACATTTTAACATATTTAAATACTGTAGTTGTTTTCTTAATTTGTCGTGACTATTGGTAAAAACGGCAACGATGTTTAAGAGGTTTTAAATAAACAGTAGCATTTTTAAATTGCAATAACAACAAGCAATTACAATGTAAATACAACAAGTACAGTACAAACAATACAGAGATTGCTTTTTTAGCAACAAGGAAGACATGACAATTATAGAAGTATAACAATGGTATAGCAAAAAATTAAAGAATCAATATAAATAGCATAATATAGCAAACTGTGTGATTATGCTTGGTCTTATTTGGTGCTGTTAAAACCACCTTATCAAACCTGTAGTTCTTTTATGAAATGGTTGTAAATCATATTTTAAATCTCAATTCGATTTTTTTCTCCAAATCATGCAGCCCTACATGTGAGATGGAGATAAAGGTATAACAGAAAATGAAATGCATTGGACTGCAGCACCAGGGGAGGCAGCTTATTCACATTATGACAATTTTACCTCAGAATCAGTTAAAAAAAAAAACATGCAAAAATGATGTTTAATTTTATGTTTTACATGTAACTTTGACAGTTAATAAATAAAAAATATTTGCCTCTTGTTGAAGAGCATTGTGGCCAGAGCTACTTCAGCAGGTGCTGATTCACTCCACACTAGAGTTTATGTTATTTTTGATGAACAAATAAGTGTCACTAGTCGCCACCTACAGGTGAATTGATATTAAGACTTTTAAAAAGGCTTCAAGATATTGGAAAAAAACTGACGTTGCAATGTTTTGTATTTCTGCGATATACTTTTGCGGTATGAATGTATTTTCACAAGATGATTTAAATGATTCTATTTGGGAAGAATTCAAAATTTTACATAGATAGGGAGTGCATTTGCGAAAACTGTAACAAACAAATTTCAATACAATGGAACAAAGATACAAATGAACTAAACAGTGCTTAATGGTTTTCTGGAGAGACTAACAGTATTAGGGTACAGGAAGGAAATCAATCAAATGTAACATAAATCTGTATACAGTGGTCAGTATTTGAAGTGGATCAAAATCTTTCATCAAAGTTGTCCCAAAACTAATCTACAACACCCATTCTTGTTTTAGGACAGTTTTGAAAAACGTTTTTGATCCACTTTTAAATGTTGACTGCTGTAGTATTCATACTTTGGAACTACTATTTGTAATTAAATACAACTAATCTTATTACTACCAATCTACAAATTTTATTCTAGTGCCAAAGTGGTTTACATTTGCTTGAAATAGTAATATTACTTAAAAAAAACCTTTCACTCTATTAAGGTTAAACTTTGTATGTGTTCTGAACTGTGTTTTCTGGTTAACTATAATTCCAAATGTACATTGCAGTTCCTGCGATGTGTCTATGGCAGATTTGCACATTGCAATCTCGATGCTTAAACGATATATTGTGCAGCCTTACTCATAAATCAACAGCGATTGAGTGTTTTAATCTGCATGTGTGCAGGTTCAGCAGTGGTGGATTGGCTTGTGTTTAATAAGCTGGCTCTGAGCCGTGTGGAGGCAGTAACGCTGGCCTCTGCTCTGCTGGATGAAGGCTCTCTGCGGCCCGTTGGGATCAGGAGTGCAGACGCTCTCCGTAACGCTGCTCTCGGAGAACAGTTCCTCGACGATTCCACTGCTCTCTACTCCTTTGTAAGTTACAGAGCTCTGTCTTCAGTCATTTTTTGTATTGTAGTTATAAAAATAAGATATACTTATTAAACTAGACACATTTTCTCAAACAGTCCCAAAGCTTTCAGAAGAGAGGCAGTGTGAAGGCAGAGAAATCTCGAACTGCAGTGGAGCTGAGTGGAAAGGTGGTGAAGAGAGGTTACCTGCTCAAACAGGTGAACATTAGCACGGTTTCAATCCTATTGTGTTTGTATATATAGTTTGAATTCATTTGTAATGTATGTATTAATTGTTTTGAATTCCACATTTTTTGTGTGTTTTTTTTGTAGTTCCCCTATAAATACCAAATAATCTTTTACTCACTCTTCACTTGTTTCTTGCTTCTGGTAAAAAAAAAAAAAAAAAATATATATATATATATATATATATATATATATATATATATATATATATATATATATATATATATATATATATATATATATATATATATATATATATATTCTGAAGAAAACCTAGAAACCATTGATTGCCATATTATTCATTTTCCCCAACAATGAAAGTCAATGGTTAATGGTTTCCAGCATTCTTCAAAATGTCTTTTTTTTAATGGAAGAAAGGTTTGAAAACACTTAAGGGTGATTTAGTAGTGAGTACAATTTTTATTTTTAAGTGAACTATATGTTTAAATTTAGTAAACTAAGTAAAAATTACAAATATTTCCCTGACAAATAAAATAAGATAACATTTAAGATTTGTTTTAACTGAAGTTTTGTGATTTTGTTGTTTCACAGTATTTTCTTGTAATGCCTGTATAGTGTCTAATAATTATTTTTATTTTAGTCAATTCAGTAAGTCACATTTATGCTAACTAAAATAATGTTAACGTGTAAATAAAAAATGTAGCTATTCAGATTTTATCTATTTAAGCATTATACTGTTTTATTTTGAGACATTTTAGTACTAAGTACACTCAAAAGATGACATTTACTGTTTGTTCAAACTACTTATTTAAAATGAGCCAAAACAACACAATTATTGATTTTTTGGAGAAACACACAATTGTTTTGTTCAACTTGTATAATATAATATAATAAAATATAATATAATATAATATAATATAATATAATATAATATAATATAATATAATATAATATAATAAAATATAATATAATATAATATAATATAATATAATATAATATAATATAATATAGTAATATAATAAATAATATAATATAATATAATATAATATTGTAATAAAATATAATATAATATAATATAATATAATATAATATAATATAATATTGTAATATAATATAATATAATATAATATAATATAATATAATATAGTAATATAATGTAATATAATGTAATATATAATATAATATAATATTGTAATATAATATAATATAGTAATATAATATAATATAATATAATATAATATAATATAATATAATATAATATAATATAATATAATGTAATATAATATAGTTAGGGTTGTAACGGATCATAGTTGACGTGATTTGCACAGATCACAACCCACGGTTCAGAACACACATGACCCGCGGATTAATATTTTTTTACTTGTAGAATAATCCTAAATTTGTAACGATTGCTGAGAGATTGTCTCTCACGTCATTCAAATCACATGAATGAAAAACATTTAGGCTTTCCTGTACAGTATAAGGATGACAGAAGAAGTTGTGGTGGGTTATTCATGTGATGGGTTTCTTAGGTCATTTAAGCTGTTTTCTTTCAATACTCGTTTAGCCTGCATTAATGCACGATTAATCATTTAAAGGTCAAGATTTCAAGATTTCAACACCCACACAACAACCCATCACCATAAATAATGGTGATTTGCACGTTTATTAATTCTTCGAATCGCTGCATTTGAATCTGTGTTTGTAAAACGCAAAAATCAAGAAAGAGATTGAGTGTTTAGTCTTTTGATTTAGTTATGAAGTTACAAACAGTGAAATAGGACAGAAGTATCGGGATAAGAGTTTAAAGTTTAGATAAAATCACTCATGTTTACAGTGAAGGTTAAAATCATCCTCATATGCTCAAAAACGAAAGTTGTAGGCAGCAATTACATTATTTAAACAAAACTTGGGGACAACCAGCCATCAAAAATATGCCACCAAATAATTTTTCAAAAATGATCCATCTAGCAATGAAACAAAGTTTTGAGTGAATAACTGATCATTTATTAAAAATTAGACTTAAATTAAATATGGGTTGTACAAATAATAATGTTAGATTTATTCATTTAGCATTATCAGCAGCAGAAGTAGTAACAGTGATTTTTTTACAATATTGAATATTTTAGTTTATTTTTATTCAGCTAATTATTTCTTCATTTTATTTTATGAAAGTAAAGTTGTCTTGCAGTACTGTTTTTGTAATAAATGGAAAGCAAATTACCTTTGTCGTCTCCTCTTTTGGAATGATACAAAAAATGGTCTAATCTGTGACTAAAAAAACATAATGTGATCTGAACCCTGAGGTTTGTGATCGTTACACCACTAAATATAATACAAATGAACTTAAGTCCTTCATGTTACCCCAACAAAAATCAATTGTGTGGAACCCAGCAGTTTTTACAGTGTAGTACACATTTAAGTTCACTTTTATTTCCATTAATGTTTATTATATTTAAAAATAACATTTCGTAAGTTACTTTTAATTTCAGCCATGTAATTATAATGAGCACTCTTCTACAACTGGATCTGAAATGCACTTATCTGTGATAATGACTGTATGTTATCTCTGTTTAAGGGCCACAAAGTCAAGAACTGGAAGGTGAGATTGTTTGTTCTGCGGGCAGAGCCTGGTTTCCTGCATTATTATGACCCCAGCAAGGTGAGAATGCTGATATGTGCAATTATAAAGCCTTTTAAATAACATTTATCCCAAAGTCTAAAGTGGTGAGGATGTTATTCCGCTGCTGACTCTTCTGTTCTTGATGGCCACTTTTCTCAGGATGACGTGACTCCAGCCGGCAGTGTTTCTCTGCGTGGCTGTCTGGTGTCTGCTCTGGATGATAACGGCACACCGGCAGGTGAGTCACACACTTCTGCTGAAATCTCTGAAGTGTCATGAAGTGCTCATGCAATCAATCCATTTGTTGGGTTGGGATGTATGGATTTTTCCAGGGAAGCCTTGTTTTAATTGAGAAACTGTCTGAACAGTCATTTATGACCACTGTTCTAATCTTTTACTAAATGATGGTGTTCAGTGTCCCAGACAGCAGTATTTTAAGGATTTATAAATTATGAATCACTGTCTGACCATCTGAGATTAGACATAAGCATTGCAGTCATGATTTTCAGTCGTATTAAAGCACACTGCGAGTCTATATTAGAAGCATTTGTTGTTTGATTTTGGCATCTTTTGGATGCAGAAATAAAAATGTACTTACCATTTACCTACACTCAAGTGTAGATATTCAGAAGATATTCAGAAGAATGTTCAAAACTAGTAACCATTAACTTCCATAGTAGGAAAAACAAATACTATGCATGTCAATGGTTACTGGTTTCCAGCATTTTTCTAAATATCTTCTTTTGTGTTCAACCAAAAAATGGAACTCAAGCAAGTTTGTAATGATTGAAGGGTAGAAAATGATGACAGGATTTTCATCTTTTTAACAAGCGGATATTTACATCAGGAAAAGTTTCCATGCCACAGGCAACAGTGAGACATAAATACTGTAATCTCAAAGGCTAATGATGTGTTTCCTGCAATCCTCAGGTGTTAAAGGTAAAGTGCAGGGGAATCTGTTTAAAATCATCACTCAGATGGACACACACTATTACATCCAGGCTCCGACACACGAGGAGAGGATGGACTGGATCCAAGCTATTAGACGAGTCACTTAATTATGCACTTTCAAGCTCAGCGGACTCTACTGGTATTATTTTAACTCATTTGTTATGAATTCGTTTATTTCTGTTATCAGAACTTTCCCATTAAGGGGCAACATGTGCTTTCTAGCATCTTCATATGGGCAGATTTTACAGTTATTATAACTGTGTTGTTGCTTTTTTTTGTACATCATAAACTTAACCGTTTACTTCAGTCAGTCAATAATACACATTGTTGCCAATAACTGATCAAATTTATATGCAAATAACACTTAAAAAGGAATTAATTACAGGCCAGTGCTAAAATATTAGGATGAATTATTGTGCAATATTACTTAATACTTTGATCATGATTATTAATATTGATTAGTAGAGTAAATAATAAATGTATATGGCACATTATAATTTGGCTACACACAACACATTAGTCCTGTACATTAGTGTAGCACAATTTATCTCCTATTATAGTCTCTAAAACAGTCTAATTAATCCTCCTACTGTAAATTTCCTCAGCATTTTGACAAGGTGCATTCCAAATGGGATACATCGCTCTCTGAATGGCACTTGGGAGTGATAACAATCACAGATTCCATATTGAAGTATCATTCCAAAATGAAGTGCTTAAATCTGGCCACTTCAAAGGGCCCTTTGGAATATAATAATGATTTCGAAGGATACAACTGATGGACACTTAGTGCCATGATACTTTGAGCAGGGATTTGTTTGGTTTTTACACACTGACTTTAATTAGGAAGGGCTCATCTCTATGCCCTAATTCTTTCAGAGGGACCCTCAGATGGGATTAAGACATAGTGATGAGCCCTTCCCATTGGAATGCAGTAAGGAAAGAGAGTAATCTAACACTACTGATTGGCTACTGCATTCAAATGAAATTTGTGTGATTGATTTTAATGCAATGTGCGTTAATCTGAATGCAATGCGGCAATTGACACTCATAAAAATGAAAATTGAGTCACTGTTTACTCACTCTCAAGTGGTTCCAAACCTTTTGAGTTTCTTTATTCTGTTTAACACAAAAGAAGATATTTTGAAGGATGTTGAAAATCGGTAACCAATGACTGCCATAGTAGGAAAAACAGAGTCAAAGGAAGTGAATGGTTACAGATTTTCAGCGTTTTTCAATATTTCTTATTTTGTGTTCAACAGAAGAAAAAGACTCAAGCAGGTTTAAACAGAGCAAGTGAAGTGTGAGTAAAGAAGACAGAATTTGAAATTTTGTGTGAACTATCCCTTTGTCACACATCTGTTTCTTCACATTCTTGCAAATGTGTTGTATGTGTGCAAATAAAATAAGATATATACAGCGTTACAGTCTAAAACAGTGGTTCTCAAACGTTTTTCATCAAATACCACCTCAGAAAAAAGCTGTCTTTGCAAGTACCACAATAATGAGCTGTATTGAAATACAGTACCGTATTAGGTCCAGTAAAGCAGCTAAAGCTCTGTCCAGTTCAAAAACGAGGGATATTAGTTCCTAATATTGAGAACACTTAAATTATAATGGGCTTTTAAAAGTTAAAAATGGTAGGTTATTGTTCTTAAAAAGTAAACAAAGAAGAAAAAACTCTTGGTTTATCACCACCTGCAAATGTACATATGACATATTTGATTCATCCGCGTACCACCAAAAGGAAGCCCACATACCACTAGTGGTACATGGACCACAGTTTGAGAACCACTGGTCTAAAACAATTAAATATTAACAATAAATAGTAATAAACCCCAATAATAAATAATAAACCCTCATCCTAATTAGCATGTAAAATATTTTTATCTCAAAGTGTAGGTGGTAAAGCTGTATACATTCAGTGAATGTAATGTGAAATGTATTTAATGATCAGTGTGAATTTTCCTAGTTTGTTATATCTTACTTTGCAAAGTAAAGTTTTTATTTGAATATTGTCCTTTTGTAATCTTTCATTTGACATGCATGCTTTTGTTTTGGTCATTGACTTGTTATTACATGCCATCAGCTTGTCTATCAGGCTGTTACTTAACAGAACTGAGCTCATGTCTTGCACAAGCCTCTTAGTTTGTGTGTGTGTGTGTGTGTGTTGTGTTTTGTTTTGTTGTGTTGTGTGTGTTGTGTGTGTGTGAGATTCTCACTCTCTGGTATGACCACACACACACATTAAACAAGTCAAATAATTCAGATCTTCTTGTTTAAGAAAAGTTTACAGTACATATTGCAATTGTTAGATGTTATAAGACATTCAAGCAGACCTTGCTATGAGCCTTATTTGACACATGCTTCATTTGCAGCATTGTGTAGACCGACAGCACCAAGTACAGGCTCAACATGGACTTTGAGTCCTTTTTCTTCAAACCAATACATTCGCAGGGAATTACATTTTAAAGTGAACATTCGGGTGTCAGTTATGAATGCTAGGCTTCTGTATGCCATCAGACCAGTTCTGTGGTACATTCCCATCAACAAAAGATGATTCTGAATTATTCTGTTGAAATGGTTTCAACATTCAAACAGCAAAACAAATACAACTGTTCACAGAATAGTTCACCCAGAAATGAAAAAAGCTAGCCATTGACTTCCAATGTATTTTTATTTCCTACTATGGATGTCAATGGCTACCGCTTACCTACAGTCTTCAAAATATCTTTTGTGTTCAACAGGACAAAAACACTGTTCCACTTTAGTTTGGAACCACTTAAGGGGAAGCAATAGTGGAGTATATGCTTGATTTTTGAGTGAACTATCCCTAAAACACCTTGCTACACTCCAATCAATGCTGGTTTTATTTCAACCAAAATATGGATATGATAATGGACAACCCAGCAATTCTTTAGAGCGTAGCAATGACAAGGCCATGGGTTAAGTTTCCAGGAAATGCCTAAACTGATCAAATGTATAGCTTGAATGCAATGTAATATGCGTCTATCAAATGCATAAATAAATTGGAACTACAATCACCTCTACAAGCACACCTAAAGTCGTCTACTTAATAAGTGCATCTAATGGAACAAATGAAGGCACTTCTGCTTCTGTATCAAAGAGCCAAATAAACTGATCAAATGTTACCACAAAGCAAAGTAAAAACATTAGGTAGTACGTCATGTGTTTTAAAAGCTAAGCTAAAAAATAATCTACAATGCTAGCTAGCTTGCACCAAATCATAACTTGAATTTTAAGCAATCTGTATTTCAACTCTTTACTCTTTTGTAGGTTAAAACTAGCTGCACATGAGGTTTTCTCCTTTAAATGTGTCCAAATATACACAAACATTCTTTTTTTTTTAAATGAACAGCAGCAAAATCAACTAAAATGAGCAATAAAGACCTGTTGTTTGTGTGAACAGGCCTTGAGTCGACTAAAACTAACACGGGACAAACTGAAATGAGATTTAGGTGTTATAAATGAACCGAGAAACTCGTTTAACTTTAAATCAGTTGAATACAGTACGCTTCTTCATCCTCGGGGGTTGCTCCTATGAATAGTCTGTCATCCTGGCAGGCACTTCTCCTATTGCTCAAGCCACTTTGGTGAGCTGTAGATCTCCGTGAACTCTGAGAGCATTAAGAGATGCCAGCTGAGTCTGTCTGTGAGCGAAACCACACAGCGGCTGCCCGTCCACCAGAATACGAAACTGCTGGTGCTCGCATACAATCTCCATCTGACAAAGACAGACGACAAGACGTTATTATTATGGCTGAAAGGTGTGACATTAGCAGAGATTTCAGTTTTAAAGTGGACCTATCATGAGCCTTTTACAAGATGTAAAATAAGTCTCTGATGTCCCTAGAGTGTGTATGTGAAGTTTTAGCTTAAAATAACACACAAATCATTTTTTATAACTCTATAACTTTAATAACCCCTTTTAAAATTTGAGCCAAATTGTGGCGTTTTGGTTACTGTCGCTTTAAATTCAAATGAGATTGTGCTCCCAGCACTCTTTTCAAAAGGGCAGAACTACAAACAGCAAAACATGACTCTTAGTTGCTGACATTATCATCAGCAAGTGTAAAAACTAATGGTGGACAGCTGCTTCTCACTTAGGGCTGTTTATGATGTCACCAATAGGCAGTGCTTTCCCCCTCTGATGACATGTAAAAAGGAAGAATATCAAAGTGTTTTTGCAAACTATTTTCATCAAGTGTGATCATTCATTCATTCATTCATTTTCTTTTCGGTTTAGTCCCTTTATTAATCTGGGGTTGCCACTGTGGAATGAACCGCCAACTTATCCAGCTTATGTGTTACGCAGTGGATGCCCATCCATGTGCAACCCATCACTGGGAAACATTCATACACACACTCATCACACTCATACACACACACACTCATACACTATGGTCAATTTTAGCATACCCATTTCACTTGTACCGCATGTCTTTGGACTTGTTTGGGAAACCGGAGCACCCGGAGGAAACCCACGTCAACACAGGGAGAACATGCAAATTGTTGGCAAAGAAATGCCAACTGACCCAGCCGAGGTTGAACTAATGTGCTACCCACTGTGCCACTGTGTCACCGTCAAGTGTGATTATAAAAACTTAAATTAATACATTTTTTGCTATTAGAGGCTTATATTGACACACTGTTGCCACACAACTGTTTAAAGGTCCCCTTTAACATAGTCTTTACCTTAAAGGCTTCTCCTGGAGCAAAGGGAAAGAAAGACAGAGCGGTTTCTGAAGAGCCCCATTTTCCTGACAGACGAGCGTTGCGAAGCACGGCCTTTTCTGGAAAGTTCACCTTTAACTCCAGCCCAACATCCCCCTCGATTTCCTCATCCCCCTCTCCTTTAGACTGGCACGACACTATCACTACCATACTTAAAAAAACAAAATACAGACAGAATAGACTTGGGTTATTTTTAACATTGGTTATTTGTGTAGGTGTGAAACTAAAACATCAAGTCAAATGGAATTTGATCAAATCACATCATGAGCCAGGAGTTCCTGGGTAACCCCTGTTTGCCAAATATGGCCAGGATTGTCCAACTGTTGTTTTTTCCTCAAATCTGCCTGGCAAAGACTTCATGGGAACTGACCTTTTCTCATGCTGGCAAAAAAGAAGTGAACGACAACAGCTGGAAAACCAAACGCATTACACTGTGAACATTTGAATGGAAATCGAATGTTAAAAACAAGATTAAAAACACTAATTCCATTCTCTACATCACGTCAAAGAGGTTGGACTGACAATAAAAAGAGGAGAAAAGCAAACCAAAGATATTGTCAGGCATATTTAAAGCAAAAATCATTTGGTTAGTCATATTAATAGAATATTTAATTTAGTTATTTATTTATAAAGCGCAATAAAACAACAGTTGTAGACCATTGTGCTGTACAAATCTAAAAACTAATTATCAAAAATAGCTAGCAACAGATAAAACAACATAGAATACATCCAACATACCACACAGCATCAACGATAAATAACAAGACACCAGGGGCCTCATGTACAAAGACTTGCGTTGAAATCTATTTTTTTCTTTTGTAATTAATTCCGGAGGACAAACTTGCCAATAACACCGTTTTTCTCCGGTCTACTTCCGAAAGCAGCACCTTCAAATCATATTCTGTTCAAAGTTTCTCTTTTTGCTTGCTTTTGCCATTGCTTTTTCGTTGGGTTTTTGCCAAAGTAGAGGCCCCAGATAGCTACAGTAGGATCAATTCAAGCTTTTTCTATAGGTGTAGTTTAACTTTCCCTCAGAACAAAGATTTATTGGAAATTGTTCTGATGGACATAGGTAGCCCATTCCACATTTTCAGACCTACTACAGAGAAAGCTCGAGCTCCTCTTTTCTTCAATTTGGATCTAGGAACCTTAAACATCTGCCAGACATTTTAATAAGATTAGAGAGATAAGTCGGAGCCTGGCGATTTAACACCTTAAAAACATACATTAAAATTTTAAACTCAATTCTAAAACATATCAGCAACCAATTTAGGGAGCACAGGATAGGAGTTATGCTGCTAAACCTGCGGGTGATATATAAAAGGCATGGATTAATCTCTCAAATTCTGGCTTTGGCTGATCATCTCAGCTAGAAAAAACAAGATTTAACTACTGCATTTACCTGTTTGTCAAACAGAAGGGTAGAATCTGGAATAAAACCTACATTTCTTACAGATGGTTTAAAGCAGTCAGATATTAGATGTTATTTATCTTTTCTTAGTTTCTTCCTTTTACACAAAAGAAGACATTTTAAACAATGTTATATGCAAAAAGATACTATTGAAGTAAATGAATACTGGTGTCCAACATTCTGCAACAGAAGAGACATTATTAATGTTTGAAACATGTAGAGGTTTAGTACAGTTTTGGGTGAAATGTCCCTTTAAGGACAGTGTTGAAGCACTAAATACTTGTTATTTTAATTGTTTATTTTCTTTTTGGCTTAGTCCCTTTATTAATCAGGGGTCGCTAGAGCGGAATGAACCGCCAACTTATCCAGCATATGTTTTACGCAGCTGATGCCCTTCCAACTGCAACCCATTACTGGGAAACACCCAAACACTCTCATACATACACTATTGACAATTTAGTTTACCCAATTCACCTGTACCACGTCTTTGTACTTGTGTCCGGGGGAAAACGGCGCACCCAGAGGAAACCCACGCAAACATTTCCACACAGAAATGCCAACTGACCCAGCAGAGGCTCGAACCAGCGACCTTCTTGCTGTGAGGCAATCCACTACCACTATTTTGCCATTTTGCAAGCATTTTTTTTTTTTACCAAGAAATGTATGACTTGTTTTATTAGTTTGATTTAATTGAATAGTCTGAATGAAACTAATATTTTCACACACAATTTAAAATTTTCATAAGTTATTTGAAACATCAAAGAGATTTTGCAAGCAGTAAACATATTCGATATGTGTATAAAATAACATTAATTTCATTTTTTGCAGACGCCAGAATGTTTTTAATCCACGTATGCAGTAACAAAACGCTAAGAGTGTGGCTGTATCTACAGTCCCCTTGTGTTGCTCTATTTAAAACGAATTTTTTTCTATAGTTTTGTTTATAGGCCTATTTTCTGGCACTGTTTGCTTCATGTCATGTTTGTGTGGAATGGAGACGTAAAAACGGTTTAATCCCTGACACAACCGGCTCATTGTGTTCCCGCAGTGAAGGCGCAGTCTTATAAACGAGTCATTCAGGATGTATGAGGTGACAGACAGTGGACAATCTGGACACATAAACGCGGGAACCACAGAAATACAGACAGATGTGTCTCATACCAACCTTTTAGGCTGCTTATGAACAATACCCATCACTATCAGCCTCATGGTCGGCCGAAGACCCCCTTTGATCTCCCCAACATAGTCCTCCTCCTGCAGAAACAATCGAGTGCTTTACTTCTAACATGGTACAGTCCAGATAAAATCAGATTAATGCGCAGATCTAACATCACGATATCATGACAACCCGCTGCTCAGAGACGAGAACGAAAATCACCTCAGCTTATTCTCAGTTTTCAATATTGTTTAATATGCAAATTAGGCTACATTTTTTAGGCTTTTATATAACGTTAAACTATCGAATCGTAGTATAATGTAGCGTAATGTAGGAAATATTTATGTGTGACATTGCATTTTTAAAAGAGTTACATTTCATTAACCTGTGCCTACGTCACTATTCCCACGCTATCAATTATCTCCGTGGAGGACTAACTGCGAAATCATCGTCATCATACTCACGTTTCGGTTGTTTTCCTTTTCCGACATGCTCTCCGCTTGTCGCAATGGCTTTAGTTTAGTCGTGAAGGTGTTGCGTATCGAGCGCGAGGACAATAGCTGTCATGAACGGGAGTGATCAGCACCGTCAGAGCGCGCGAGACCGGCGTTGGATGCGCGAACCCCGCCTCGCGCCACCGGGTTTCCATAGCAACCGACTCAGTGACGATGACAGATGTACAGCTGAAACTTCAGCATTTCATTTAGAAAGAAATAAAAATAAAACTATTATTAAAATATGAGTCTCGCACTTCCAGAAATTCGCAACAAGAGTGTAAAACTAGGTAGCCTAAGTTTTGTTTTTTTAATACTGTGATTAGCCTCACGCAGCAAGATAAACAATAATTCACTTGGGAATGAGTTCATGTAATAGTGGAACAGACAACACACTCGATAGACATAATTAGCTCCAGGTCCCAATAGGTGTATTGTTTCGCATTCCCATCTAACCAGTCCAGCAGTTTGTTTCTGCACTGTTTTTACCACCTATTGAGAGTTTCCAAGGCTCTACTTCGAGCTCTAGATGATTAAATTTCACCAAGTTAGTTTTTAGGTTCTCTTACAAACAAAGAGCATGTCATTATGTCTTGTTTCTATTTATCAGTACAATTGATCAAAAATATATCAAGGCAACAAAATATTAATGCTGTATATGGGGATTATGATATATTATTATTAATTTTAATATATGGGGAGTTACTATAAAGTTTATATTATTAATATTATATCTTCAGTGTGCAAATTATACAATATTATTTTGTGTAACATGCTTCAGTGAACCAAATAAAATGACGTCTATTTTAATGCATCATCTTGAATTTTTTAGTGCTTTGTGGGGTAGTTTGTGTATTCTGACCTACAATATCCTGTGATTAGCCATTTCAGAGATTACTGTAGGTCAAACTATACAAACAACGCATCTAATTTGACTTAACTTTTAGGCTATATATAGAAACAAACCCCTATTTTACAAGAAAAGTGTTTTAATTGACGTGATTATGCATTCACAATGGTAATGGTAATTTTAGAGCAAACTATTTCTTATTATTTAGAGGACTGACCCCTATACACGTCATTTTCATGCTGACTTTGCAGTTCAGTAGGAGTTGATATGTTGAAATGGTTAAACTAATATATATTTTTTTTAAAAATTGCAAATAGATCATAAATTAGGGTACAATGAGATGCTTTTACAGTCAATGTAAGAACACTGAAGTTTTGGCAGATTGAAGGTTATTTTCTTATCTGGCTAACAAAAACAGGCTAGTCTCAAAATCATACAAATATTGACTGTTATACAGTGCTCAGCAAATATAAACCCCTCACAAATCTCTCTTTTAAATTTCAATTCAGATTTTCTACAGGATACTTTGCAATAATATATTTGTGCATATAGATTAGTCAGTGCAACGCCAAAAACGGAACTCAAAAAGATCTAACAAAAAATAAATAAGATCGCAGTCCAAAAACGAGTACACCCAAATTACTTTTTTAAAAATGTAGCCTAAATGTTTTAATAAACAGGAAAACTCAAGAGAAACATAAAAAAACTGTTGAAGTCTTTTACATTTTTTTTTTTGCAATTACTTGTTTGAATTTAAATGTATTATCTTTCTATTCCTAAATTCCTAAAGATGGTAGGTGACACAACTCTTATTTTAATTTAATTTAATAAACCTGCTTTGTTTAAATAGACCAACACATATTGGCTATGTTGACCGAAAATTGGATACAAATATTTAATCTCAAATGGGGGTTACTCACTTATGCTGAGCACTGTCACTATTTATTTGCATTTCCCGCTATACACTATGAGTACATTTCAGTTTTTTCCAGGTCAGTCATTTTCTTTTTGACTTATTCCCATTATTTATTAAGGGAATGGATCACCAACTTATCCAGCATATATTTTATGCAGTGGATGCCCTACTGGCTGCAACCCAACACTGGAAAACACCCATACACTATTGCATTCACACATACATTATGGACAATTTAGCTTCTTCAGTTCACCTGTACCACATGTCTTTGGACTGTGGGGGAAAACAGAGCACCTGGAGGAAACCCACACGAACATGAGGAGAACATACAAATTCCACACAGAAATGCCAACTGACCCAGCTGAGGATCGAACCAGCAATCTTCTGAGGGCTACCAACTCAGCCACCATGATGCCCCTTTTCAGGTCATATAAACCAGAAAATGAAATGTGCAAAAATAAAAAGGGAGAGAAGATGAATTGTCATTTGGACTCTACAGACATGCACCATGGGTTCCAGATAGGATTAAAGGCAAATATTTCATTAAAATATTTTTAGTATTTCGATAGGGGGCGCTAAATGCAATTGAATGTGAATCTGTAAGCGAATCCCTCTTTAAGTAGCATTCAAATTTTTTGTAGTATTGATGACATTTGTACATAGAACGCATTTAACAACTGAAAGTTAAGTGCAAATGAATCAAAAACGTCTATGAAACGACCTTTCAATTCCTAATCACAAACGTCGGTGATTGGTCCAATCGTACAGCGCTGACAAAAGTATCACGCATCACTTGACTTGTCAGTAAATTTAAGAACTGCACAAATGAATTAAAATGTAACGGAAAACAAATAAATAATACTTAACTGGAATCTAAATCTATCGAGGCACACATTTCATCGCAATATAGCCTAATTTAGTTTCTTATGTTTTGACCCTTGAACTGACAGCTCGTGGATCAGCTGATTGAGTCACATGACTCGGCTCTCTCATGGCCACAGAGAGACAGCTGATGGGAAGCGCTGTTCAAGGCGCTGCTCTCTAGTCTGACAAATAAAGCACAAACGCACATCGTAAGTACTAATTGAACGATTATTTTCTCTTATCTACCAGCTCAGTCAATGTGTACATCTTTGATGATAATAAAGTCGATTCGACCCGCCATCCTAAAACTATTTTTGGTGGGCAGTGTCATGTTGTTTTGCTGTCGTAATTTCACTTTTAAGAGCTGTTACAAAACGAAAGTTTCAGTAACACTGATCAAAATGTAAACAACCTAAAAACTAACACATCTGTTATTTTTTTTCTGCGTTAGGATAATTTTTAATCTTGCATAATTCTGTTCTGCACCTCTCATACAGTTATGATGTCTTTCCAAGATCATACTTTATTTTATTCAAATTAAAATGTACAGGTAATATAAATACACGTACAGATTATTTCTATAGGTGTGGAGTAAATGTTTTTTTCTGAATCCTCAATCATTATCATGTCCTGCATTTCATATGATCTCACTTTTGCGGTCCTAACCTTATTTATTTAATTTCATATATTCTCTACTATATGTCTCAGATGTGAAGTACTTTATAACACACTGAGGTCAGACATCTTTGAGGATCATGCACCCGTTCGGCCGTGAAGAGGAGACCTCCAGGCGGGAGCTCTTCGGCTTCTTCCGCCGGTGTCTGCAGCGCGGTGAGTGGGAGCTCGCGGCCGCTTGCGTGTCTCAGCTCGGCGAGGCGCGTGCAGAAGATCCGCACAGTCCGCGAGACATCGTTAAGGCCATCGTTACACACCCGTACCCGCTTCGGTGAGTTAAACTCTTACACTAATACACCACAGAAACACATTTAACCTGATGGTGATTGAGGTATAGTTGGTTTTTTTTCACACATATCTCCTTAACAATGTCTTTTCATAAAGGTATAGTAAAGTACCACATTGTTCACAGTCAAATAAATGATTCTAAAGTTGTTTTGAAGTCATACTTACATTAATAATTTCAGTCCAAATATTCAAACTACCATGGTAAATCATATAGTATAACGTATAGGGAGTGTGTCACAAGTTTCCAGTGAACAAATGTGCAAATATAAACCCAACTTTACCTCATTCTGATGCTGTGATTTTGAGGCTTCATTTGGGCACAACTTTCTCTGTGTTTCAGCAAAGGGAAGGATTTTTGGTGACAAGTCTCATTTTGACACACATGTTGGAAAATGCTTTCAAAAAATCGAATACACTCTTGGTAAATTTATTACCCTTTCGTTGTGTTAGTGGCTGTTTTTGACCCATTGACTTCCATTATGCAATTTCTTTTATTTCAAAGTCACAAAACCATATAATCATGCATTCTTGATTGTTGGTGCTTTTCCTTCTTGGTCAAATTTGTAATTTTTCTTTACTGTTGATCATCAAAATTTGTTGTCAAATTTTTACCTCTTCACAACAGAGAAAACTACCAACAATCGTGAATACATGATATACATGAATACATGAATACGAGAATACATGGCTTTGCAATCAAAAAATGTCATTATAATGGAAGTCAATGAGGCAAAAACAGCCACAAGCATAACAAAAGGGTAGTCCATTTGAACAATACACAAAGGTTAAGTCATAAACTGCATGAACTGATCTAAATAAATGTAAACAAAGCAATTTTCCTTGTTCTGTGGATGTTGTTTACAAATGTAATAAGAGTATTTTGAAGGAAACTGTGCTTACCATGAAGAAAACCCATAATGGATACTCTATATTCAACCAAAACATAGTTGAAGAGGCTATTAAGAGATTTTAAGACTTATTTCTTGTCTTTTTTGCATAGGTGGGAAACAGTGGGCAGCCCTCACAGACTGGCCTGGTATTGGCTTCAGGTCCTGGAGAGACCGACTGAAATAAAGGTGGGTTTTCTGCCAGTTAATAATTTCTTATTAATTCTTCATGTTGAAGCTTATAAAGCCAGTTTCTGCAATGTAAGAATACATATATGCTTTGGTAAATTATAGATGAGCGGTCAATACTTTAAAATAATATTTTTGACTATAAACTGAGATTGCCATATTCGTCAAGATTGGAAGCTATATCCTAATAATGAGATTAAAAAGGTAAACCAGTGGCCTAAAATGCTATTAAGAGATACAAAGTCAGAGTAACTTGCCTAGTCAAGATTGATTCATACTATGAGATGGCAAGTGACAGTTATAAGAATATTAAAAAATATTACAAAGCTGAACGTATGGCATACTGAGTATTAAAGATGAAATACAAATGAGTTGCCAGTTGATCTACCAAATTAATCTTTTTGGATTTAAAAAAAAATACCGTCTCATAATTAATGAGATTTTAAAGGGCAATTATGACTCACCATTGTGTTGTTTTTTTCATAATTCTCTAATAAAAAT